ATTAGTTAAGATATATGATATAACAAGTAACTCGCAATCTTTCTTCTAGTACAGGACACCATGGTGAAGTTTTTATTTATGACTAACTGTGCCCGCGACTTCGTTAGCGTGATAGTGACTTTTAGAATTTTTAATTATTTAGGCTGTTTATTAATTTATGTAAGGGCGTATTTAAGGCAGCCAATATATATAATTACTGCTACTTTGCCGCAACACTCTCACCTCACATCACTCCTACTCTAACTCCCAGTCTCATTCTCACTCCCACTTCCACTCCCACTCCCACTCCCACTCCTATTCCCAAAAAAGACAAAAAAGAAAGTTTCATTGTTCTTGCTTCAAAAACCACGAATTTCCATACAAACTTTCATCCCCTTTTTCAACCCCTATCCAACCTCTTTTTGGCATTAAAAAATAATGTATGTATTTAAAATGTCCTTTCTCTAAAATATCTGTGCACCAGATTTCATTTAAATCAGTTCAGTAGTTTCGGAGTTAAAGCCGGACAGACAGACAGACAAAGTTACTGTCGCATTTATAATATTAGTATAGATTGTAAAGCCAGTCTACCACCCCCCCGTCGAGAGACGGTCGTGCCATGACGTGTCACAATTCAATTAAGTCCGCGCTGCTCCCTCATTAAAATAATTAGCTGTTAAAAGTATTAGTGGAAGCCATTACAAAGTGGGCTGAGAGTGGGCAAGATTGCACTGTGTAGCATCGTGTGGACATTCCCCGCAGTCACGACTTCGCAGTAATGCATACCGATGTAGCCTAGTTGCTTAGGCCGGGGATACATGGCGCTGAAACGGGTAGCTTACTAGTTGAAAACGAAACTTGTAGAGGGATTGAGGACTTTAATTGGAGTTAAGTATCTTGCACTTTCGCTAATGCTTATATGTGATAGCATACATAATGGTGCTTGTGCTAAATAAATTCAGTAGATGTATTATTTACCAGTGTTGTATGTTACAGCATAGTCGTAGTCTCTTGCTTCATAATTATGGATCCCAATGATTGTAGAACGCCTTCATTACTAGAGAACTTCTAGAAGTTGAGATATAGATACCCGGCCTATTTTTCGATCTTCGATTATCTGTCATTATTTATAGATAAATTTCCAATTGCCCATCGCAGTCTTTCCAGGTCGAAAATGTTTTTATACTTGCAATGCACCGAAATTGCTGTCAAATTCCATGTAACCGCACCAGAAAGTATCGGAACGGATAAATACCGCTGAGTAGCGCACAATTCAATACCCGACTGAGACGGAATTAGAAAATGTTTGTATTAAACCGACATAATCGCAACTTACTGCCCCTTTCTGTTGCGGACTAACAGAATTCGCGTTATTTGGGCCGCCTTTTTCAATCTCTACTAATGTTATAAAGCTGAGAGTTTGAACGCGCTTATCTCAGTTCGATTTGAGTTTTTTTTTATTGGTTAAACCATTTATCGAGGATGGCTTACGACTTAATAAAACATAAGACTGCTGTGAGATTATGAAATCTGAGGGAAACGTAGAAAAAATGTACGAAAGAGGTTTCTGTTGCGTGCACTACGAATGAAAAAAGAAATCTTCTTTAAATGGTCTAAAATATTAAATATATGTCCAACTATAGCTCTGTTATTGAAGAGCTCGCGTTAGAATAATATCATTAAGGTCCTGGATCCGACAATAATAGATTATCGTCGTCAAAAGGACACACAAGTTTGATTAACTATCACAAAACAATGAAACTTTATTTTACAATTAAAAATATTAATTTTCCAAAGTAAGTACCATTTCCTGCTAGAGGCAATTCTCAATACTGAGATCGAATTTATTCTTCTTATATTGATCTTATTCCGCCAAAGATTTATTTACACTAATTAATGGGCAACATATTATAACAACACACATTACGATTAAAGCGGATGTCTCACAACTTTCAAAGCCCATTGAAACAGATTATAAATTTGAAATGTACACCCGCGAGACAGCATGGCTGTAAAATTAATGGAAACACAACGTAATCTAATCTAATCTAGGCATCTCTAAGCCTAGTTTATGGCAACACTAAAACCTTTATGGATAACTTAATTTGTGATGATTAACATTCCCAAACATAACTTGCTTAAGCTTCGAATGTGAAGCAATTGTGTACGAAACGAGAGTAATTCATGACAAAATTAAATAAAATATTGTCAGATTTTTTTTATTGAGATCAGTTTAAATATTAATCAATAAAAGTTTAAGTAAAATTATGTATACGAAATAATTTCTGTGTTTAAAAAGAACTATTCAATATATCAAACTAGTCAAGTATAACTTTCGTAGTATCGTCTAAGTACAATTTTCTCAGTATCGACATGTCTCGTGTTTTGGATACTCTCCAAAAAAGGTTACCTTATTAATAGCAATACACGAAGATACATTTTGCACACCTGTTTGGTGCTAGGGCTGCCAAGTATAGTAAGAAAGTAAAGTAATCAGTGGGAAATAAATCATATGTTTTCTTACTTCATATACAAACAAAAAATTGTTAAACGGGAAAGAGTCCTAACATAAAACAGCAAAAAATTTTAGAAATAGGCGTTCTCATCGCAAAGAATCAATATTCTCCAAGCAAATAGGTCTACGGAATTAATTAGGGCATTTAGTATTTTAACTTTTTGACATAGAAATGTCTAAAAACGGTCCTACAACATTTTAAGATTCCAATTTATTAATTTGTATTATAACTGGTTATAAAACGAATCTTAACAATTTCTTTACGTATCTGTTCCAAATCAAGCTCTGTAAATAAATAACGGAAAGTAAGTGTTGTATACCTAAATTTATTAAAAAAGATTTTTATTAAATAAATAATGTATAATATACATGTGGCTTGTGGCAGCCCTAGCTAGATAAGGGACGGGTAACAACACGGCTTAGAATCGCGACACGTTAATTGAACCCGTTCTAAATATGTGGTGACCTGAGAGTTGAGACCCGTAGCTAATGTACAGTTTATGCTCTTGGTATTAAGCTAAGTCTAGGATCAGCCTTATACGTTAATTATTCTTATTGAGGAATTTATATGTTAAAAGCTGACTTTGTTTTTTTTTTATAGAGAAGGGTACATATTAAATTTAACAAGATGCGACGTCGACCTGTTTTAGTTTCGTTTATTCGAAAACCCACAGACCCGTTTTTATATCATAATTTTTGCCTAGCATTGCAATAAGCACGAAAGGTCCTGGTTTTAACTTTGTGTTCGCCCCCATGCTCCATAAGAGAAACGCGATTTCGTACATATATGCATTTTTTTCATCATCAGAATCTATTAACTACATACTAACACCTTCATAATATTGATTATATTTCTTGTTCTAATCCTTGTCCCAGCTGACTGCTATAATTATTTCAGAGCTACCTAATCTAGAGGCGGTACGCAAACAAAACATGTTTCGTTTCGTAACTGGTTCAATTTCGCGCGTCTCGACTCGTGAATCTTGCTTAACTTCGGTCCTAATGCATTCATTAATAACCGCAACCGACGGTTGTTACGAATCGGTTTAATTAATCTTTGTGCGGCTAATGATTGGGGAGACTAATTTATTTAAGTACAGTATCACATGCGTGTACTACTTTCAATGATAATAAGTAAGTTTTGACTGTCTAGTTTACGCGAGGAGAACATATTTAAATAAAAGTGGTAGGAATATCCAAAGTTCACGTTCACAGACGAAAAAGCCGCAAAGTTTAAGCGCGTTTTAGTTTAAATCTGTGAATTTCCGAATATTCTAAGTCAAAAAAGCTCGATAGCGCATCTCATTTATATGTTATATGGTAGCGGTATATCACTTACCCTCGAGGGAACCCCACGTTTGTCTGTCCTTCTCTATCATAAAAAACGAAAACATTTACTTAACAGAACTTAATTTAAACACGCCACTATATACAAATGAAACATTAACAACAAAGGTGGAAGCTCCAACCATTAAAAAATTGTTTTGAAAATATTCCGATAATTTCCAAATAAAATTATTGAGTGTGGCAACGATTTTACGATTATAGCCCGTGCCGTAAAACAACCGCAGACTGAGCAGAAACAAAAAATGCCCGACTTATCGTATTTTTTAAAAGCAGTAAAACGTGTGTATAGTTAAAATCACTTAAGCTTTACCGTTGAAAATTGATAAGATTCACCTAATACTTTGATGTTTGATACCAATTACAGGTTTACAATCCTACAATACGTTAGAATTGATTACACTACGTACGTATAGTGCACACAATATTAAAGTAATTGTGAGATAGTATTCGAACCAGCAAATATTTACAATTATGTCCTAAATACTGTCTGTAGTTTACGCGAGTACACATTTTTAACGGTTTAAAACTTAAAATATATTAGTCAGCTTATCTACAATTAATTTCAACTATGTACGGACGTTTCGGTTGCTTTGCAGAGCAACCGTAGTCAAGTTTTTAGTAAACTTATTTGGTGTTTTTCTTCAAGAATGTCATAGTATAACTCTACCAATTTATATATACAGCTTAGTCTTTAGCGTCAGTTAAAATTACATATCAATGAAATCATCGACTTGAGAGACTTCCTTGCTGTTGTCAAAGGTCGCTTTCATTTAATATATGGTAAAACAATCATGTTATATCATTATTATAGCCTATTTTTAAATCAAAGTTTTATTAAACAATAACAATTTTAGAAGAATCACATTTAAATGAAATACGTTTATAAAGACATAAGTTTGTCAGACGATTATACATGTTTACCTTCAAAACTTGGTGTCAATTGTCAATCAACACTTTAAGTGCCAAAATTAAAGTCACTTAGGCAATTCCAAACGTCTTACGTTCCTCTCCCCTTATTTAAATTTGCCAAACTCTCCTACAATATTTTACAAACATTGCAAGCAGCTGAATACAATTCAAAAAAGTATCTGTAAATCTTGGTTTTAAAACCTGTACTCAAAAGCTTACGTTCATGACGTAGAGGGAAATTATGTGGAAAATGTTGCATAACACTGATTTGAATCTTGTCTGGTTCGTGTATAAATTCGTTTGGCCATTAAATGGGTTAACTAGGCCGAGTGCGCACGCGCTGGTTACATCAAACGTAAGAGCACCTCCCTAGGGCTGTGCTTCTTATATATGTATTTTTTCCCGACCATTGCCACAAGCGAGAATAATTAGTCAGTTTATATAAGTGCGATCAGTCGCTAGATATTTATGATTTACTGAATTATATAAAACACATACATAACAGAATATAATTAAAATTTTGTTTAGTACATCTTTTGAAGTGGGTAGACAGACCATTACGAAATAATATTGCAAATATTGTGTGTATACTTTATATTTTAAATTGTCTATTTGAATCTTAATATAATAACGTTGTTGAATTATAGTTTTCTACACTTTTCCTTAAATAAAATATTGTGATGGTGTATAAAATAAATGAAGACCATAAAAGATAAAAAATGGTATATTGATACCTCTAGACCTGTTCCCCTATAGATAAAAAATAAATTAATAATAGAATCTACTCAAAATCGTACACTTTCGTGAATATTATTTTTGTGACAACCCTAATCATAAACAGTAGCAAACCACAAATGCTATGATGATCAGCCGAGTGAACTAAACAATCCGCCTTTGATTTTACAACTCATCTAATGGTTGCATTGTAGTTCACTGCTATTCACCCAATTTCAAGTGATTTATTGAGGTTTTTAACTAAAATTAGATTTTAATAAAAAGCTAATAGTATAAAACGCGAAATACATATACTGGTTAACTTATTATTTAAATTCTACCTTAACAGTTAATCTTAAAGCGATAGAAACTACGGTCCGACGGTACGGATGCTTTGCTTTAAAACGCGAAATTCAATAATGTCTATTTTTTAATTGAACCGTGGTATGGATTTTAAAGTGTTTATAATTCCCGGTTCTAGTGCTTCAATGCTTATGTGTATTTTACTATTAATGCCAAATAACTTAATTAATATTTATTAATCCTTACTTTTTGGGAGTGAGAGTGAGAGTTAGAGTAGGAGTGATGTGAGGTGAGAGTGTTGGTCAATGTAGCACTTACAAGATAGATTGGCTGCGATAAATGCGCAATTACATAAATTAATAAACAGCCTAAATAATTAAAATTTTTACCCCAAGTCCAATCCACGCGAACGAAGGCGCGGGCACAGCTAGTTTGATATAAAATTAAAATATAATTTTAATAAAGATTTAATTCGTTTTTATGAGGTTGCCCGTTGACGTTGCCGCTATTTGCTACATAACGATTCAATTTAAAAATATTTTCCGAACTGTTTTTTTTTCGTAATAAATTATCAAAATCTTCAATATTAAAAAAGCCTTGTTCCATTAAATTTTAGATCCTCAACTCGTGATTTCTTTTACAAATTATAGTTTTTTCTTCCCTAGACTTGCCGGTAGACATGCCTTATAAACGGTTAGCAAAGGTCACGCGATAATTCAACTAACGATTTGCAAATGTGTCCATTTTAGTGTATTAGTCATAGTTCGTGACAGTCGAAGTGTTAGAGTGACTCAATCAGAAAGTCGGGTCGATTCCTTATAAGTTACAATACTTAGAGACGGACTGTGTATTGTGTCCATTTCTAATATTTCTGAAACCTGTTGGACTTCATCTGGACATTAAATTGATGGCATTAACGCATAAGATGTTATAAGTCCTGTCTATACGTTTAACGCAAGTCTACCACGTCTAAATAAAACACTATAACGGTTTTAAAAGAAACACGAGTCGAGGCCAAAGTTATGGAACAAGGCTTTTTTAAATTGAAGTTTTAACTAATATATCACGTAAATAAACAGTTCGGAAAGTATTTTTTTAAATTGATCGTTATAATGCTGGGAAATTGCGGCAACATCAACGGGCAACCTTATGCTTGAAATTTTTTAAAATTAGATGTCAATGCTATCATCAAAGTAATGTGACCGCGCAATAGTTCGCGTGGATAGGACTTGCGTGGTAAAAATTTTAATTATTAAGGCCCTATCTATTACGATATATGTAACCCCAGCGATGGAGTATTAATCGCAGCCAATGTATCTTGTAAGTGCAAGATCTTGACCAACACTTACACGCTTTACATAACTCCTACTTCTAACCTCAAGCTCACCCAACAGTAAGGATTAATAAATCTTAATTAATATGGCATTACAAATGAGCGAGGCTAGAATCACGATACACCATAAGCATTAGAACCAGGTCGAACCGGGAATCCGTCTGTCACAACAGTTTAAAATGGTAATACACACGGTTCGAATTAAAAACGCGCATACGACATCATTGAATTTCGCAAGTCTTAGAGCAAAGCATCCGTACGTCGGACCATAGTCTTGAATGAGCACTTTAAGCATTAACGGTTAAGGGTACATGACTAATTTAATAGTAAGTTAACCGTATATGTATTTTGCGTTTTATACGGAAGCAAACCTGCTCCCAGCTGTTGGACATAAAAGGTTGACGAAACGATTAAATAAGCTGCAAATAAGCTAAAGCTGCTGAATGGAATTAAGCATATCAGCTGAACGACGGCTACATGCGGTTTACAAGGTTGTTATCTTAACGTTTAGGAGCAACTTAAGCTTATCGCCTCGGCGCGGTTTGATGTTGCCGATTTCATTGGAACGGCTGGTTCTTTAGATTGTGAAAATCTTAACGGCGTAATCGGGCCTTGATTCCTTAAAGGATTATGTTGTCTTGCTAATTATTTTGCTACAACAGCGTGCCTATAATCTTAGATTCCAGAGCAAAAAGTTCAGCTAGAAGGTCCTGTAAGCTCCGGGGCCATTGGGGCACCACCTGGGCCTCAAAGCTACGCCCGATGAAGGAGAGTTGAAGAACTATCTTATTTTTTACTTTTGGACGTTGACTTAGCGTGTGTATTTTCTTTATTACTCAAAGTAATAATGCATACATATGCATTTGTAATCTGATTCTGTAATATGGTACACCTGCTCCCATTGTTTTGACGGCGCCATTGTACTAATAACAAATCCAATCACACGCATTACTATAAAAAAAAAGAGGGATTCGCAGCAATAATAAATGAGGGTATGTACTTACTTTATATTTGTACTAAGTAAAACTACTTATTTCAGGGTGCAACTGTTCAAAAACGGGTTCTGAGAGCAACGTTTGCGATATACGGACAGGACAGTGCCGCTGCAAGCCACACGTCACGGGAAGGGCCTGCGACACATGCGCGGTAAGTATTTATTTTCAAAAGTTATTAAAAAAATACTTTTGTTTAAAATATCTAAAGAACTATTTTTTCTGTAATAACCAAACATTAACTTTTATTTTTGACCAATTTGTGATTTCTCTTTTTTTTAAGTAAAAACTACCTTTGTAATGGTTAAAAAACGTTAAATTCGCGCTTGTACAAAAAACTGATGGAAAATTCGTAAGAGTAGAGTTAAAAACTCTAAACTGTCTGTTAAATAAATTTCATATTTATGAGGGGTTAACTTATTAATGTCACATAAATTAGCTATGTTACTTACTTATGCAACTTTTATACTAATGTTCTTTAACCAGTCTGTAATATCAAAATTTTAATATTTTCACATGATGGCGTTATATGTAAATTTCTACTCGCTGTTGCACTTTTGAAAGCTATATATAGCCCAATATAATATACACTTTAGATAGCATTAAATTGATCAAAGTCTACTTCACACTTAAACTGTGACTAAACAAGCAGCCATCAATTTTCAACTGAATGGCCGTTTGAGACGAGAACAAGCGGCTCGGACATTTGATAAAACAAACGGCATATCTTCGTAATAAATACGGAGAGGTTGACAATTTACTTCATTAGTGTCTATTTGTCCTGAAGAAGCGTATTTTATTGGCATTGCAAACAAATTAGCGAAATACGAAAATTATTGTTAATTGATTAAACAGCAGCACAAAATGCTGTTGGGTTCGACTCCGGTTCGGGGTTTTTCAATCTGTCCACTCGCTTAAATAAATTCGTGTGTTATTTATGTACCATAGAGAGTAGAGACGTATAGATAGATAGATACGTCATTATGATCTATAGACTAAATGGCAGAATAATTACAGACTAAGCACAATCTAATATCTAGACTTATGAAGTGTCGTTTACGTTAACCAATAATAAATTAATTCCCATTTTCGTACATTTAACTAAACACTCTTTTTGTAATAGTTTTAACGGTTTAAGAATTGGTAGTGTTCGTTAGCAGCACGTAATGTAGCCAGAAAAAATCATTAATATATATTTTAAGGCGAGATTCGAACCTGCGACTACTGTACGTGCTAATGTTAATTACAAAGATACTGTGTTATTATATACCCATATATATTCTGGCACAATACTACTATTATTTTCGACTCTATAATATTAAATTCGTTGAATCATAAAACCTTTTCATTTTACGCGAATGCAAACAAAAGGACAGTCAATTTCACAAGAGGCTTGTCGACATTTCAAATGTCTTACAAATGTCCTCGTGGTATTTGCACTGACGCGAAACATGTTTTAGGATAGTGTTGAAACGTTCATATTTTACAGACTGTGATAAATGTCTGTTTATAAAATTTTGAATTTGAGTGTGCTAATAATATCTCTTAGCGAACAATGAAGGTTTTACTAGGAAAGGTTAATTTTCATAGGCTGGAAAAAATATAAAACGACAGTTCTAAAGAAGTAAAAAAAAAACTTAAATATTTGTATATACATGTGATTTAGAGGTAACAAAATATTGACAATGAGGCGGCTTATTCAACTACAAATATTTTTATATAATTTGTCTGTTTGTCTTCTTTTTGTTATAGTTAGTAGTCTTTGTGAAATAGAAAAATGTATTGTTATATTTTTATTTAATGATATATTTTTTATTATTATATCAACACACTTCTATAAAAAAAATCAAAAACTGTGAATAAAGTCCTACGTCGTTTGTGAATAAACTTGACATCGTCTCCTTACCAAAGGCGTAAATCTTATCACTTTGAGAATGAGAATAAAACAGTTAACAGTGTAAAACATCGATATTGGCACAATGTCGCACAATTAACGTCAATAGTAGACTTTATAGCACCGCATGTCTCGGCTTAACGAGCTTTTATAAATGATTTTATCTAAAGCGGAAGTTTAGTATACTATTGTTTCGTTAGACGAAACACTTCCTTCATTTACTTTCAAGTATCAAGCTTCTTAGAGAGTATTTGGTCTAATTTTCTTATGATTGAGGAGGACGGATAAATATGTAGTTATTTTTATGGAAGGTGAAGTACTCTAGCCATATAAAGACTTCACGGCTTTTTTATCTGTAAAAACGGTGGTCCACGACACAGACCGAATTCAGATATTCCTAGCACCTATTTAATATATTGATTTCCAGACAAACCTCGACATGTTTTAGAACAATTAGAAATCCCCAGGTTTTGAACCCACGGTCCGTTGAGTATAAACCTTGTATTTGCTACCATTACTAACAAGGAACTTATAAATGTTTATTTTCTAAAACTTATGCCACTCATTATAGGAAGGCTACTGGGGCCTGGACAGAGGCGAATGCCGGCGATGCGAGTGCGGCGCGGGCGCAGCTGCTTGTGACCCAGTTACAGGGTTATGCGCTTGCGCAGCTGGTGTCGGTGGTGCACGTTGTGACCGATGTCTGTCAGGTTACTACGGGTTCAGCCCTACTGGATGCTTGCGTGAGTATTAGTCAAAGTTCAGAAATGTTACATTATGTAAAGATTGATGGTGACTATATTTTTATTGAATAACCTCACAAATTTTATTAGATTGAGTTCATGCGATGCTAGCAAACTTATGTGGAAGCTCCAGCCTTCAATTCGAAATATACCAATTGCCAAAGTTTCTCGACTACAAGACGCATGATATCTATTTTTATGAACGCCATGGAGTTGGTATTTATTCTTGTGGCCTATTCTTAAGGCATGAATTGGTCACTCTTCTTTACCCATTTTCCAAGTCCCAAATCCCCAAGTTTTAGATATTGTAAATTGATTTTTCAGTATGCCCAGCGTGTTCGGAAGGCAAGGTATGCTCCTCAGTGACTGGACGATGTGTGTGCCCCGGACGAAGCCGCGGGCCCGGATGCTCCCTTTGTGCTCGAGGCTACTGGGGACGAGAGCTGGGCTGCAGATCTTGCTCGTGCGGCCCTGGTGCTGTGTCTGGTACTAAATTCAGCAAAGCATTTGTCTATTTTATGCCAATAAAGTAATAGGCAGAATATTTAGTGTTTACCAAGCCTTTTTTTGGCTTACAAAATTAACTGATGGGTACTTGAAATTTTTTTTCTTGCTTATTTGTGATAAAAAATTTTGTTATTTACGGGTGTTGTACATCATTGTGTGGGTACACACTATAATGTTATATATAAAGATTTACGTTTTAAGCAAACAGCGTAATACTTTTAACCGTTTTAAACGAGAAATATATTAGCTAATAACGTAGTTAAAATAAATAACAAAGAACAACTAACCAATCAATTCAACCAGTCAATTACGTGTTTTGAACATTTAAAGGTATTGTATTTTAAAGTGCGCTACTCGCATAAACTACAGACACTAGAACAGCATGATGAATTATCAGCTATATCTCAATAATTCCCAGAGACATGTGACATGCAATCCGGAGCATGCGAATGCAGACCTGGCTGGACGGGACGAGCATGTGACCGCTGCGAGCGTGGCTTCTTCGGACCGCGATGCAGACCTTGCAGGTGTAGCGAAGCTGGTACCAGGTGTTCCGATGTGTGCGAGTGCGATGAGAACGGAAGGTGTCCTTGTAAGGTAAAACTACTGAGAAGCCGTTCTAAATATTAAGTGGTAAATAACATTATAATGTGAAGTGACAGATTTAAGGTAAATTTAATTTAATTTAGCTATAAATATGCGTAATATATAAAAATATAGTTTAATAACATCATTTAAGTATTAGGGTCAAAATTACATTGACCATAGGACTTTTTAAAGTTTGGCACTTATAGGAAGAAATTATAGACAACCTTCGGTTCCTGGTATTAAGTAAAATGTGTCTCTATATTTAATTTTTAATGTTGTCCTTATTATTTTACATGGTGATAAAGAATAGAAGATGAATTGTGTTGAATTTCACCCATATAACATGCTCCAATTTCCAGGAAAACGTGGTCGGTGACAAATGTGATAGATGTCTGGACGGGACGTTTGGCCTGTCGAAAACAAACCCTGTGGGGTGCACCGCTTGCTTCTGCTTCGGCCGGAGTGCTAAGTGCACCCAGGCGGATGTCGTCAGAGCTGCCCTCCACGCTGCTACACCGTTACATCTTACGTTACTGAGGGGTGATATTGCTAATGTGAGTATTTTGCATCTCTTCAGCTATTTAAATGAAACTCATTCAACGGTTAAAAAAGCGAAATGTATTAGTCAAAATATATTTATTAAATTTCAAGTTTTCAACCGTTAAAAGTTTCATTTAAGATACTACTACAATTTTCGCAGATTCACCTAGTGAAAAGACGCAGCTTCGATTATATCCGTTAGGAATGTCTTCTCTTCAAATTAAATAATGCATTATGGACACTCTATTGTGATGTTTTTTTTTTGTTATATGTTATCTATCCTGCATGTCCTTTCTAAAATTAGAATGTTCATCACCTGAATCTAACAGTTACTATAAGAAATATATTTTTTTATATCATAGATGGAACAGGAATCCCTGCTGGCCGTCCATACGCGTCACCCGGAAGCTACAGTATCAGTCCCCTGGCCTCCAGTGCCAGTCTATGCTGAACTAGGGGAGGTGTTCCTTGGTGACAGGGTCATGTCGTATGGTGGAGCTCTGCGGTTCCGCGTGGAGGAAGAAGGCGGAGAACCTCTCCCTCAACATACTCTATCGAGGTTTCCTCTCGTCAGTATACATGGTGGGTCGTTGGTGCTGGATCATTATGAGGTATGACTTATCTTTATGTAAAACACTTTTTACCAGAAAACTCTTTAGTGGAAGAAACGAGAATTATTATTAAAATAAGTATTTGTTAGTATTTATTTCTTGTCAAATCTCTTACAGCGAGTACCAGCCGTCAACGGTTCATACGCAGTGTACCTCCACGAGTCGCTGTGGGAAGTGCGCGGGCGCAACGCGGTAGCCTCTCGCGGTGCTCTCATGTTGGTACTCCAAGACTTACAACACGTGTTCATTCGGGTGTCAACCAGGATGCCGAACTATAGAGAGCCGTTGCATATACTGTAAGTTAAAAGTTTATATTAAAATAGAAATTGATTTTAGATTGAAAAAAAATTTACGAGACTTGAACCGGCGTCTAAAGCGTGCTCTAACCAATTGAGCAACAGTGACGTCATCGTCGAAATTGAAATTTTAAAATTTGATAATGAAAGTACAGAATTTAACGTTTTAAAACTTTAATATTTTTCGCAACTTTAATATCTCGCACACGAAGGCACTATATAAATTAAAATACTACTACTACTACTAACATACGTACTACCCTCAACCGTAAAAAGACAGGTTGTTATCTTGTCATAACGCAATGACACTAAGACATCTTTTGAACAAAAACTTATTCAGAATACCTTTTTTTTGTTTTTTACTTTATAAATTATTTGTATCTAGTATTCACTGCTTTTCCTCTTTCATTGGTACTATAGCCCATTGCGTATTATCTTACAGGCTACTAAACGTATCCTTGGAGACAGCCGTAGCTGGTCTATCACGGGGTGCCCCAGCCCCAGGTGTGGAGATGTGCGAGTGCGGAACAGGATTTAGTTCCGGGTCATGTCATAAACCTGCAGCTGGCTTTTGGCTACCACCGACACCGCCACATCTACGACAGACAGCAGGAACTATACTTATTCATCTAGATAGTACACCGCGACAGTGCGACTGTAATCACAGAGCTGAACTGTGCCATCCTACTACGGGAGACTGTGTGGTGAGTACTAAAAATATGTATATTACGTACCAATCATGTATGGTAAATAATGGGGTAGCTGTAATATTAAATATATCTACTTAAAACACTACTTGGCTATTTGGCCTTATTACTACGATTACTAGCTGTGTCAGCGACTTAGTTCGCGTAGATATTTTGGGCAACCAAACTTTTTTTGCAAACCTTTTTTTTATAAATTCAATCTGTTACTCACGACGTCGGTTGCGCCCGTTGTTCTTGCAAGTTAATCTTAGCGGGTATTGTTTTATATCATTTAAAGAGGAATAATTCTTTCATACACATCGGAAACTCACAAATATGAATGTATGAAAGTCTTCCCTGTTTTTTTTTTCATAATTAACGCAGTTTCTTCAGTCTGCAGTTCTGCAGTCAAAATCCGATGTTTTATAGCCTTCAGCATTAATGCCAGACAACCAACCAACATAATGTTTCACTTTGAACCATTAGTTTCTGAGATTAGCGCGTTTAAACAAATAAACATTTCAGCTTTATATATTAGTACATAATATTCCTACTTAATGATATAAAGATGTAGAGAAAATAATCGTGATTATTTTTAATAAAAAAGTAAGTTAAAAATAAGATCTTAATCTATATTTATGTCATTGCATTATACTCGAAAAATATACCTTGTTATCACTTTTATTCTCATAAGGTTGAAAATACTGGGTCTTAAATTATAAATGTCATTATTTATTATTATTATATCTTTTAGAATTGTACGCGAAATACGTCCGGCAGTCATTGCGAGAGGTGTGCAGATGGATACTATGGTGTCCCAGACAGCCCCAGTGAATGCCAACCTTGCCCTTGTCCCACACCTCATCGGAATCGTGCTTCTTCTTGTACCACTAGGCATAACAGAGTTCAATGCTATTGTAGACCCGGTAATTATCTTTCTTAAATGGTTAATAGTCCTAGAAAGGTTTTTATTTTCATTTACTTAAAAAATCAATCCATTTTTTCTAACCTGTAGTTACACTACTATACAACATTCAAAAAATTATATTATATAATGAAGTGCCAAACAACTTTTAAATTTAACATTTACGTTGTAGGTTACGCGGGCATTGCTTGTGAATCCTGCGCAGCTGGTTGGGTAAGGAACAGCCAAGGCGACTGCGAGCCATGCACTTGCGATAACCGCGGTGCGCTTGCGCAGACTTGTGACGCGCAGGCCCGGTGCCACTGTAGACCGCACGTAAGCGGAGACAAATGTGATCGCTGTGACTTAAGAAGACATTATCTAGATGATGGTGGATGTAGACGTAAGAATTATTTTTGTTTTTGAACTGGATTTGCCTTATATATAACTATTTGAATCTGGATCTAGACTTTGCTAATGTCAAGTAAAACCGAAACTTCTAAACTGACTATACAAACATGTTCTACAATGTTGAACTTACAATTTCATTTTATCTATATATCATTAACATCAATTGAATTTACCATTGAATACAAAGCTTTTTTGATACTTTATGTTATATTTAAATGTCATTTTGTCTGTTTCCAGCATGTGACAACTGCACCCAAACTCTCCTAGATACAGTAGAATTAATGACAGTAGAGATGCATAGACGTGCCGATATTACGGAACTGACTAAAATCCCACAACCGTTCCCCGCGTTGAGAGAGTTCGAACACAATGCCTCCCAACTCCACAACTCCCTTCGTCATCTAAAGACAGATATCGAAAAATCTAGAATAATCGCAATCACCATGGACGATTTAGAAGAAATGGAACATAATTTGTTTACGAGGGCGCACAATTTAAAAACAGAAGCTTCTAGAAGGGATAAAGAAGGACAATATCTCAGTTTGGAGAGTATGAGCGGTTTAGAGGATGTACTCAAACAGAGGAGGATGTTGGGGGAACAAGTAGCTGTGTTGGATGACTTTGCTCGCGGGGAGAAACATTTGAGTGCCCACAGAGCGTTGAAAGAAGCGAGGCGACTGCTGAAAATTATTAAAGAAATTCGACTTATAGATTACAAGGCTGGGGCAACTGATGTTTCTGATTCGGTAGGTTACAATTATCAAATATTTCTAAGGTAAACATAACTAACTTCTTTTTTTTTAGCATCTTAAACACCTTTTAAATCCTTCGTTAAAAATCTCATATTGTCAATTCATTAGCAATTGCGGTATCGTCTATAGTTTACGCGAGTAGTACACATTTAAATAGAAAACTTTTACGGTTTAAAAACCGAAAAAATAATTTAAAATTTTTTAAAAAAAATTTTTATTCCCCCCCCCCCGGGGGGGGGGTTTTCCCCCCCCCGGGGCCCCCCCCCCAAAAAGCTAAAAAACAGTAAATTCGGTGTCATTTGACATGAGCTAAGATTAAAATGGTCAGGTAAAAAGTTCACAAACAATTAACTAATTGGTTTGAACCAACGAATTTAACTAAAATCCTGTTGTATTTTCAGGCCAATCTGCAGTCAACATCAGTCCACGAATACTCATACAGAATAGAGGACATTTATCGTCGCGTGCGCAAGATGCAAGCCGCTCTAGATCAGTGGGAGAATAAAATGGAAGATGTAGGAAAGCTATCGCAGACTGTGTGGAGCGCGGGAGATGCTGTTGGGGAACTTCGTAAAACAGTAACGCCTGCTCTGATGAGGTTAAAAGACTTGGGTTTACGCTGTCGAATCATGCTAGAAGTAAGAATAACGATAAATATTTTAAAAAGAATAGTTTATATGATATACTAAATCAATTTAATTTCACAGGAAATCACAAAACAACAAACAAGAAACCTCACAGATGAAGCAAAGAAAGCTATTTCGCAAAGCAAACACTACGTCACCAATCTTCCTCAGATCATAGACGAATTACAGAGTCTAAAATCAGCCGCCGAGGAAAAGGAAGGAATTTTGTACAATTTGACGCCCGCTTATAAAAAGAAATATTTGGAAGCTGTTGAAAAACATGTCGCGATGTTGAGCGAAAAAGCAAAGGAATATAAAAAGTGAGCATAAGACTCTACTATACTTAATAGGAATTAAAATAATGATACTTTATAATATCAAAAATAGTTAAAAACTAATTTCTGGGCTTTCATTTTTTTGCTAACTATTAATGAAGCAAAACTTTACTTTAGTCTCTTCGCGGGTACCCGTGCTGCAGCCTCGCTAGGTGTTCAGGCTGCTGGTGCGTGGGCAGCAGTTAGTAGAGCTGTAAAAGAAGCAGGAGTTGCCGCTGACGCTGCAACTGCAGCCACAGCGGAAGCCGTACAGCTAGCCAGAGGTCACCAGCCCTTAATCGAAACTGCAAATGCGCACTGGGCCGCTTCCGAAGACTTGAAGAGTCGTGGTAATGCTGTACTGACTAGTGCTGAAGGTAAATAATACAATGTATTAATAATCGAATAAAAAATGTTGTCGTCACGTTACGTATTTCATTGGTGCTTGACATCATTGGGTCGGAATGTGTTTTTGTTGCCTGCGTTTTCGTAGCCGTGAAAGAGGTTTTTCATTTCGGAGTTGTTAACACTGTTGCGTTCATTAAAGATTTTCGTGATGATAAGGCGTTTAATTGTTCAGACTGTTTGCGTTCATTAAAAATTACAAACACATTTTTAACGATTTCTCTTCCTTGATTTTTAAGTGGGGTTTTTATTTTTACAATTCCGAATCAAATGCCAGCCTTCTTCTTTGTTTTTCTTAGGTTTATTTTGATTGAAAATTAATTTTCGAATCACTTACTTCAGAAGTCATAATGACGTATTGACGACATGACTCTTTAACAGCCACTCGTAGCTACTTTGGTTATTTGCATTGTGTTTAGCACGATAGATCTCGGGTCGAGCCTTGCGCAAGCATTATTTTGGTCTGCAGAAGGAAATTATCGATATTTCTTAGTTATAATGCCATATCCTAGATAATAAATAAGCGTTAAATACGTGATCTCTCTTTTCAGAGTTGGGTCGTGGCGTAGAAAGTGCAGCCCGAAGTATTGATTCCATAAGCGTGGGTCTAAGAGCGCTAGGCTGGAGGGAACGATCACTAGCAGCTGGAGCATCCACTGCATCATCAGGACTTGGTAAGTATAGTTTAGATTGGGTTTTCTGGTTTGCTAAAACTCTACAATTTGACAGTTTTGTTCGAATCGATGTAGTTTGTAGTTTGAATCGATAATAATTTACAGGTGGTACTGATAACGGCGCTCTGACATCATTAAAGAGTGCTAGTGAACAAGCCGAACGGGTTTTCGCTGTCTCCAGAGCTCTGTATGATGAAGCCGCGGAACTTAGGAGGCGAGTACGTTACCACTTGAGAAGGAAGCTTGCAGCGCTGCAGCGGCTTGGAGACACAGCACTTGGTGCTGCCGAAGAACATGGTAATTATTGATTCGTATTGTGAAGCACACAATAGTAGTGTTGTTAAATCATCAGTTTATTGCATTATTATAGATATGACGGCGACCTTTATGCAGTACAGTTGTTGATTTTTAAGAAAACAAGACAAAACTACAATGTTTTAGGATGTAATTTTATAACACTACAACACTCAATTCCCAAATAGTATATTATAAGAATCAATTCAAAAAGGGGTAGGCATAAAAATCACCATGCAACTATATGTTTTAGTATCGCAAATCCGTGGTAACACGCTTCGTGGAGCTGAAGTTTCGGAGGCCTTGGCTGCCGCAGCAGCAGCAAGGGCACGGGAGCATTCTGCTGCTTCTGCGTCTTTAGAGCCAGCTTTAAGATCATTACGGGAACGCGTTGAGCGAGCTAGGCATGCCGCAAGTACTGTAAGTATATCTACTATTATATTTAGAAGATGTTAAGTTTCTCAATCAAAGTAAATAAGCGACCTCTAAAAACATTTTCTCAAATCAGATCAAGGTTTTCTTCGATAAATTATAAAAAAACTTTTTAATATTAAATACAGCTACATTAACCCAATAGTAAAGAAATTAATATATTCATTTCAGATCACAGTATCAGTGCGTTCTCCGATGGCGGGAGTGGGGTGTGCACGCGCATATACCATGTGGAATGCTCCCAGCGTCACCAGACTTTCTCTGGCTGTCAGTTTCGACGGAGACGTCAAGGACGGTACTCTCATTTTCTTGAAAGATCAGGTAATTGAACTTGATTAAATTGGTTCCAATAATAAATCCAATTTGGATTTCCAATGAAGAGACAATCTGAAGCGTTTTAACGTACAAAAAGGAGTAAATAAATTATAAAATATAGCATTTCAAACAATTTTTATATATTAAATTAATATAATACATAAGTTTCTGTAATAGTAAATCTATATTCAGGACGTACCCGAACGCTACATGCGTCTTTCGGTAGTAAACAGCAGACTACGACTGAGCTGGAACGTGGGCAGCGAAGAAGGAATTATCATGCACCCGGAGCCACTGGTATCCACCATTGATGATGCAGACCATACGGCCTATACGATTGAAATTGAAAGGTAATTAAACTTGTGTCATTATATAACTTACGATTCTAAATTTAAAATTATGAATATCAGAAAAGTGTCTGAATATTCATTTTAAAAACACTTATTAAATACCCTCACGAAAGATTTAAAAAAAAGTAATCAATCTAATGCGTAATTTTTAATGTTAGGAAAAGTTATTTTCATTTGATTATGTAGTCGATAGCTCAATTGGTTAGAGCAATAGAGCATGGACCTTCTAACGATGTCGATTTATGTTTTGCCCTAGTCAGAATTTTTTTCAATTTATTTTCAATTATTATTGTAAGTATCAGATAATGTTTCTAAAATTTACATCCAGTGCTGCCAACATAACATTGTAAGTATGAAGTTAATCCACAGGGTATGGAGCACAGTGCGTCTACGCGTCGAACGTTCCGGAAACGCTGCTATAACGTCTAGCAACAGTACAGCGGTTATAGATGGAGGATTACTCAGAGTGTCTGTACTGTGGCTCGGGGAGACGGTGGCGCCACTACCAGGTTGCGTCCACGCTTTAAAAGATGACAATGGCGCACTGGGTCTGTGGTCCTTTAGTAAGCAGCCGAGCACTGCCCGCTGCGTTGGTTGTACTCATAGGTCAGTATTTTTAATTAGCTTAATTTAATTGTTAGCTATAATTTAATTAGACATTGTTAGTCTAATAATAACGGGTCAATCCTTCAATCCCAACTGGGTATCGTATAGTAAATTTACAAGCTTTCGGAAACATGTTGAACTTCGTCTGTATATTAAGTGGTTGGAAGGAATCGAAATTCCATCCAGGACACCAGCGTTGACAAATAAAAAGGTATAAAGTTTAATCTCGTTTTAGTTTGTGTCTGTAGATTTCGAAAAGTCCAAAGCCAAAAATTGGTCGACAGCACATATTGATAAGATGTAATATGGCTAGAGTATTTCACATTCCATCAACTGAATCCTATATTTTCTATCATTTTTAGTCATCCATCCAAACCCATATTTTTAATTGCGTGATTATTGATTTTTTTCAGACGCATCAGTCAATCTCGCGGTTCAAGCGGCTTAGTCCAGTTCAGCGGCGCAGGATACGCCGAGGTACGTCGCTCGGGCCTCCGCCCTGCAGACCGACGTCGTTTCACTATCTCCTTTACTTTTCGGACTAAGGATCACAATGCGTTGCTGTTTTTAGCCCTGGATACAGTCAATGTAAGTAAGGAAAGAACGACGGAAAGAAAAAATATCAAACGCCTTACGTACAGGCGATTACGTGGTGTCCTTTAAGGACAAAATTTCGTACAAATCAGTTAAAATTCCTCTATTTTAGTGTCCCAATAATATGTCCTATGTAAGTAAACTATATATTATGTATTTGAACATAACATCTTTGTTTTCTCCGGTCTCATCTTTGATCAGTTGACTCGTTCTAGCAGTGTTTTTTTGCTAAGAAATTTTATTGTCTGGAGATAAAGTTAATTAATTATGATTACAGAACCGTTCAGTGAGCGTTTGGCTTCGTTCGTGCAGAGTGGTATTCGCGGTACAATATGGCGGATCTCTGCTTGAAATATCTTCGAGTAGTACGCATTGTGATGGGTCCGGTGCGCACGTGCAAGCAACAAGAGTCTTCAACGGTCTGGAAAGAGGTAATGTGTTGATTGATGGTGATTGAACGAGTGGCAAGAATATTGTTTTTATGAAGAAGTAAACTTTTCTATAAATAATTGAATGTTGATGATTTTATTATTGACTTCTTTAGATAACTAAAGATAAGATGACAGCCTTTTAAAGCAATATATGCGTGATTAGAAGTTCACTTCTGTGTAAGAAAGAGAAAAAAAAAAGGGGGGAGAATTCCACAGCATGCAGGCATTAAAGTCTTGTTCTTACAGGCCTATAAGAAAAGTTAAGATGTCAATATTATTCGTTGTGTTTTCATACCGATTACTCAAGTACTTGGACTATACAGACTTAATAGTAAATAATCGTTATTTTTGATAGTTATCTTAAAGAATGTGTATGTAAGCGCGTTGGTCCCCAGGCAGCCTGCGCGTAAACGGTGAGGAGACCTTGGGCTCCCCTGATCCCCCGGTACAGAGCGCTGCGCTCCTTCCTGATCTGCAGCAGGCCGTCTACTGGCTAGGGGGTGCCCCACCCGGGGAGCTGATAGGTGAAAAACCCCCTTCGTTGCTGGGCTGTATAGGAGCCTTAACAGTGGACAGAGAGGGTTATGATCTGCTCGATACTCCAACGAGGCATGGAGTCGAACCAGGATGTTCAGCAAGGGTTAGCACTTAACATCAACACTATAGGCTATTTCCTCTAACTTGGCTAAAGGCCACATCAAACATGGCAGATTGCAAACCATAGAGAGAAGTTGTTGCAACAGATGACAAAGGGATAAAAAAATATCGATTATAGTAGGACCAAACGACCTCAATATTCAAAATCACTTTTCTGACGACTTTTTTATATTTTTTTATGTCATTATTAACTCGACGTTTATATCGCTTTTCAGCGATCATGCATAAGTCGGACCTTTTCTATGGTCATTTACTTTGTTTTCATTCCATCTTTATGTAAATGTCAAACTTAAGAATTTTTTATCTGTACATTTATGTAAGTTCACTTTTATGATTGTTATTATACTACTAAATTTTTGTATGGAATTGTGGTTTTTACTAAGTGAATATGAGGTAGTTCATTAGTTTAATATATAAATAAAGTGTTTTTAGTATAAATCAATGGAAATTTTAAATAATCGTATTCTGTTTGTTTACCAAATACACTATACTACTAATTAAAAATTGAATATGATCTGAACTGAAATGAACTTACTAAATCAGAAGGGACCAGAGCCAATAATACTTATAACGAAAGCACAATGATTATTAAAAGGAATGTTCAACTATATACAGATTCTTCGATCAGCGATCTTCCAAGGAGAAGGGTACATAGAGATGGCAACACCAGCCATTAGAAGGAAGTCCTCTCTTGGAATATCATTCAGAACTAGATCATCATCAGGTCTACTGCTCTACCGAGCACCTGCTGCCGGTTCCAATGAAGTGGATGATGAAGATGATGGCGATGATGGACATTATTTGGTGTTGGCTATTGTCAAAGGTATCTTCATTTTTCTTTGTAACCGTATGATCTAGGTAGATTCAGCTGAGGAATTATCTGAGTCACGTATAAGCCAGCGACCTAATAAGGTTATTTTTAACTGTTTCTAGGCGAATTAGAAGTGATAGCGGCGGCCGGCAAAGGAGAACTGCGTATGCGCGTTAATGGAACGAAGCTAGACGACGGATATTTGCATTCTATCAGATTAGTTCGAGCACATAAACAGGTATCATTATCGTATTAGCTAACCCTCTTTAAGTCATAAATCAGATTTTTGAAATATAACTAATTAGACACAGTGCCTTTCAGTTTTACAGACAAACATTATTGCAGACGTTACATGTATATACGTTTTCTCCTTTCCTTTTTAATAATATTGCCTGTTATTACCACCTTCTTTTCATCATATCAATATCCTTTTTTTATTACATATACAAAATCTATATTTCCAGCTAGAAGTGTGGGTAGACGAAAAATCTGCCGGTAGCGGAGCTTTAGTGGGCGGTGGTTTCGCGGCGAGACCTCGCGGGCTCTTCATCGGCGGGGCTCCGCCATCGCATCGGTCGAGTGTCGTGGTGCTACCTGTCACTACTTTTAGTGGAACTATCACGGACTTTATAGTCGACGCAACGTAAGTTTTATCAAGCAATTAGCATATGAGCGATTTTTCGTAATTATCATGTAAATTAAAGTATTGATCATTATCAAAGGAAAAGAGAAAATACTAAGGAAGGTAGGACCTTAGTCAAAGTTTCTTAGAAAGAATCTTAAATTGTAAAAAACAGTTAAGAGTGTGCAGTTATTAATAAAATAAGCATCTTTTGTAGATTACTGGGGCTAGAAGAAGGCGTAAGTTGGGGGGACGTTAGAGTAGGACGAGCAGAAAGCGAAACAAGGATGGACGCGCCAGCTGAACCTCAAGCAGATTCTGCAGCGCTTTGCACAAAGGTATAGTGAAATACTCTTTTAGCAAGCTTTTATTAAGTTGTTTCAATCTGTTAGGAACCATATAATTAGATATATCAACGACTACTTTCCAGATGTCCTCATATACAGTAGAAGCAGGCGCTGTTAAATTTGGGGACACTGTGGGGAGCTACGCGTCATTAAAGCTGCCTCGGCAGGGGGCGAAAGCAGAGTTCGCAATAACTCTTCAAATAAGAACATTTGCCGCTGAAGGACTGTTGTTCCTTATACCGGTAACTCTATGTTTCTATTCCTTGAATGAAAAGTTCATTAATACGAGTTCAGTTAATCACATAGGAAGACAGACGAACACGTCACTAAACTAAAACTAAACCTCAGTCATATAACATCTCAACTACTTCGGTATTTTGTTAACCAGGACGGAAATTCGATATTATAGCATCCGGATTTTCAGAAAAATAATTAATTGATTTGAAACGTTTTTGACCGAGTGCGGATGGAATCCACGACCCGTTAATTATTAGCCCTACGGCCTATGTGCTACCATTAGGCCAATGGAGCCCGATAATGTATTGAGTGGTACATGTTGATTCTATTTTTTTTAGGGTTCAAAACTAAAAGCGAAGCATTACACAGCCCTGTTACTACACGAAGGCAAGGTGCGGCTCGTGGTTCGAGGTCGAAAGAGAAAGGAAATCTCGTTGGCTGCGACTTTAGCTGATGGGACTTGGAGATCTGTTAGTAGCTTTGTAATTCGTATGAGTCCATGTCAGATAATTCGATGACACTTAAGTCTGCTTACAGAATTACAGATTTTTTTTTTATATTATGATAAATGATATTCTTCATTATGAAGTCTGTATTAAATTTCCGTCTCTGTTGTCTGTAATAGATTAAAATTTTTACTATCTCACCTTTTACAAATTCAATTCACACGCGATGTATTCAAATGAATTCTAAGGTGTAACTTGACTTCTATTTCTGTACCGTTCCTTTCTTGTGTGTTTGTGTAACTTTGGCACATGATATTTTTTTCCAAATACATGTCAAATGATAATTGAAAGACATTTTTTTTTGTTTTTAAACCAAAAACTGTTAAGCAATAAACATAAACTTGCTTTCTAGGTGACAGTGCGTATATCGCGCAATCGAATGGTTCTGTCCAGTGCGGGTGCGGCAGCAACGTCCCGTGCGCCGGCACATTCGCGAGCCAACCGCATCTACGTGGGCGGTTTACCCGCTGCCCATGCGCTACCAAATATACCAAACGCGGTAATTCTATCATTAGACTTAAATGATTATTTACTTATTTTTTTAATGTATTTTTAGTGACAAATATTTTTATAACTAAAGTCTACCTCTAAGTTTCTTCATGTCAGTATTGTTTAATAGTGAATTTTAGTTGGTTTTAACTATGGTCAGATTTCCTTCACATAGGTATATTCTAAAAATGGTTATATTTCTTTTAGATTATACGCGCGGGAGGTTTTCGAGGGTGCATCCGTCGTGTGGTGGTGTGTGGACGTGCAGAAGACTTGGTGAGGGATGCACGAGCTCATACGGCAGTGGGACAGTGCTTCCCAAGTGTAGAACGGGGGGCTTACTTCGCAGGTGGGCTAAGTTTTACTATCTTTCATCACTGTTATATACGTATGTGTATTGGAGCATATAATATTTATAATTTAATTGGGAATTTATTTAGAAAATACATATATATTTTCAGTCAATATTCTGCAGCTCGTAAACATATTATAAACTGCTTTCCAGGGGATGCATACGCAGTGTGGTCCAGTAAATGGTGGAGTGAGGATTCGGAGACAGTGGAGGTGCGTCTCCAGTTCCGTTCGTTTGCTGCAAATGGTGTCATTCTCTCGAGTGGAGGAACTACGTTAGAGATTAAAAATGGGATGGTAAGATATTAAAACTAAAAGTAAAAATAAAGCATATCAAATTCATTATCAAAATCAATTAAAGTTGTTTTGCCCTTCTTTACATTGTACAAGCGCCATCTGCTGTTTTAATTCTGAACTACACAGATATTTAGTGTAAATGTTGTATTTCCAGGTAGTGTTGAGCAGTGGAGGCGCACGCGCCGAATGGAATGGCTCAGGAACTAATGGCGGATTGGCTTGCGACGGGGCATGGCACTCTGTAGTGGCACGCATATCAACACAAGCGTTATCGTTATCGCTAGATGGCGCCGGCGAGGAACGGGCGGCCACGCCCACTCTTTTTAACACGGATACGCCCAATTTATTACCACTGTACATAGCTGGATTGCCTGGTAATATATTATGTAGTTTAATAAAAATGAAATAGTTTTGTGTAAATTTGAATCGATCCACTGTTTCTGATTTCCGACTTTTCTTCTGTGAAAAGATACTTACGTTGAAATATACTTTAAATACCATCTAAAATTATTCGTCTTGGGACTTAAGAAAACTAATCAAATATGATTTCAGAGGGAGTTATAGACCCAACTGAGAACCGTGAGAACTTCAAGGGCTGTATTCGCGAAGTGTCCGTCGGTGGAGTGAAGAAGGACTGGCCAGCAATGCAGGCGTTGCATCACGTACTTTTGGACTCTTGTCCCACCTCATAGTCATATTATATCCATCATAAAGATGGCGTTCATGTATATAGACTTCCACAACAGTGTTCTTTTGAATTTGTACTTATTATTTTTAAGACGAAATTTCGACAAGTGTATTTAAAAGTATTTGAAAGGAAAAAATATTGTCCGAAAATGCTTATGACGGCGCAAGCGCACATCAACGTAAGGGAAGCGCCACTCATATCTTTTAGATAATTATTGGAAACCTAGTACAGAAGTAAAAAGCACCTTGACCATTTTAGATATATTTACATCAGGATCTTTGTACTATTAATAAAAATGGCACAACTAGAGGTAGGGGATATCGAAACACGCTTTCCGTTTTATTGGGACAAACTTGGTTAAAAAGCATATCATTGTCTTTCGGGCTGTTCGGCCGATGTGAGCGAGAAGAGGTTCTCGACGTTTCGCCATCACGTGTGGACGGCATCATCAGGAGATGTTGACTCCTCGATTGCTTGAAGAATTGATTGATTGATTCTCGCTCACATCGGCCGAACAGCCCGAAAGACAATGATATGCTGATCGATGGCCGTGAAAGCCTTACTCAATTTATTGGTTAAAAAGATTTGACATTTCCCACGTAAGCCAATGAGGCTGTATAGAGGCTATTCTCGTTGTAAATGTGTACTTATCTATGGTAATATATAATCGGTATCAAATTGGAGAACGCTATCGATGCCTTATAATAGGTCAGTAAATGTGATCACGTCTTGCCTTTTTGTTGCCATAATCGTTTTTGTATTTGCCTAAAAACATAACCATTATAGGAACTAGGGCTTTACTAAATTAGTCCTATACGAGTCATAGCGTAGATCTAAGCTAGCCATAATACTCATGTACATAAGTACTTAATGCGTCACAAACCAGTATTCAGTTAATTTTATTTAGAATATTTTAGCTGTGTGTTGTATTCGTATGTTTGTATTGAATTGTAGGGTAGGCTGTTTTTTAACTCTCTCCATTAGAATTTGGGTTAAATAATGTTGCGAGTACAAAGCTAGCTAGCTTGTGTCTATTTCCCAATATGTATTGATATATTATGGACTCCAAAATTATTATGTTGCATGAATTACATTTAGCCTTGTGGAGATATACTGTGTAAAACCTTGTTGGATATTCCTTAGATAGTTAAAACGAAATGGAAAAAAAAAGCGATTGCTTTATTGTACAAGACTAAGATAGGTCCACAGTGCATGTGGATTAATGTCGCTGAAATTTTTCCCCTTTCCTAAACTAAACCCTTTTGTTTACCATTGAAAAAATTAGTAAATAAAGTGGCTTTATGCAAGAGATATCATTTGACTCAAATGGAATGTTTAATCCAGACATTGTTATATGTCCAACTGTCAACATGTCCGTTAACTATTAAACACAAGCTGAGAATCTGTTAAATATTTAACTACTTACTAATAAAATTTACAATTACTATCATACCTAAATAGAAAAAAACAATGGCGCCCCTACAAATTTGCATTTATGTCACAAGTACGTCGTAATTGTAAATAGCATAGTTTAAGAGCTTTAATAGTTAAGAATTCAAGTTTAATTAAGGGCTAATGTAGTAATATGATACTCTGTGTGCCTTAGAAAAAAAGGAGCGTTTTTACAGGACAAAAACTAAGAATGGCCGAAAACGTTAATAACGGCTGATAAATGTGTATCAAATTTTATTACTTGATACACATTGGGAATAGTAAGTACTTGACTTGGTTCTTAAGTCAATATAAACAATACCTTGAAATTACGAACATGTTTTGCGAACAACTTCTGTAGAATTAAATTTCAACTCAAGAAAATTATAAATCACTAAACGCATTTTATCAACCAAAACCTTTGTACTGTCACCTCTTTTAATTCAAATTCAAAACTTATTGCCATTATAAGATATTTACAGTAAATTATAACTAAATCGGATAAATAAAATAATAAATACATAAAAATGGCAATCTCAGCTGTGCTACTGAATGCTAGTCACACTCAACAGCGCTGGTTTTCAGATTGGCTTAATCTCAATATCTTCTATCGTATCTTTTAAGAAAACTAAAGTCCAAAAGAAATTTTGAAAAACAATGTTTTTACAACTTAACAAAAGAAATTGACAACATTATAGTTCTCTTTCTATAGTTATAATCCTGTGTCTATCTATCTTCTTCTTTGTATATTGTATCTACAAATCATAATAAACGTGTTCAATAAATGTAAGTGTAAATAAGTACTGTACATAAAAGTATATATTTATTGTATTAGTTATTTTTAAGAAAAGCAATTTTGGTAATAAAAAAAACGTTTATTTCAATACATCATTTATTTGTTGCTTCGTGACCTGCGCATTCAGTAACAGAGATTCTAACAATTGTAAGTCTTCTCTCTAATTAAAGACGAGCATATATAGATCCTTAAAGATCCATAAATATAAAAATTAAATATTAAAAATGATTCGGGTTTTTTTTATTATTTTATAACCAATGACTGTATTGTAATTTGGATGGCAATCCACGAAACAACGAACAAATCTCCAACCCTGAATTCAGTTCAATGCGACCTCACTAGACGTCGCTACTCCACCTTGAAATATTTTTAATCTTGTTATTGCAACTGCCATAAGCGTTAAGTTCTTCTATAAAGTATCCACCATGAAACACTTCAATCAATTAAAGATTTATTGTACAGATTAAAAATACTACAAGCGAACCCTAATAGTCGATATCGATAATTAAAACTAACAGCTATTGATACAATAATCGATATGAAAATAAGAATTATTACACTGCATAATGTCGGTACAAATCTTTGGATATAATTGAATCCACAGGTTTAATATATCCTTGCATATTTATCTGTAATAGAAAATTGCTACATTTAACTAACGGAATATAAAAATAATAATATTCTTACACATAAAACCAATAATAATCATTCAGATTAAATCATTTCAGGAAATCTACACCGAATACAAGAATATTTTATTTTTTCTACTTTCCAATAATCTATCTACGTATCTAATATATATTTAGGAATTCCAATAATCAAGCGGCTAAGAATGAAATCACAAATATATTTCGCCTTGAGCAATGTGACCTTAGAAAAAAGGTGTGTATGTCTGTATGCTTGATGAGATAATAATGACGACGTATCTATCTTATATTGATTTCTTTTCTATGCCGACACTCCCGCGCACGATCTGAAATTCATTAATTAAAATAAATTCACAACTTACAATCCGTGGACACTGTAGAATCATTAGCTGTGGCGACTTCATCGGCCTAGAATAATTATTCAGGCATGAAAATTTGTTTTTCAAACCTCCTCTATCTATTTATAAATTTAAACTGTTGTTACTCACATTAAACTTGAAAGATATACATTTAGCGTACCGAACCCGTTTGCGCAGTTTGCGCTTTATATATTAGTATAGATAGAGTACAGACTAGATAACTTAGAATCTAACAAATGTAAATATAACAGTTACCAAAGATCCAGTCTACATAGAGAGATATCCCCTGGCAGCAGACCGACGGCGTCCGACGAGGTACGCAGCCAGCACCACCAGTACCAGACCTCCGAGGGCGCACCCGACGGCTATGGGCACTGCGTCGGGGATGTCACCACCGCCGCACTCGCGGGCTGAAATTTCATTACACGTTACGTTATATTACAATCACAAGTTTTAAAATAAATAAGAATATCAATTATTTAATTTAACTACATTGAAATAGAACTGTTACAGAGGTGTAGTGATATTTTTATTAAAGTTGGTCGCCTTAGTGGTATTATTTGATTGCATTCGCAAAGAAGTTTAAAAAATTTTAACTTTTGTACTTCCGCATCTATAAGAAATCATTGATTTAAATACCACTTCTTGCCGTTCAAAACGCGTAATTATCGAACACTTTAACGGTTTAAAACGCGATATAGTATTATATAGTAAAAACTTATTTGAAAATTATGTTTAACTTAAAGGGGCCTACCCTTTAATTTAAATGCGTACTACTCGCGTAAATTACTGACAGTATGTATGAGTACTCATTTTACAATTTATCTCAACGACCCGACGTCTTGATTCGGTGTCTCCAATGTCAAAGTCAAATTACCTACGTTACTTACAATTGAAAAATAAGAAAAAACACGGGCGGTTTTTAAAAACACCTATTTATTCTTACACGTAACATTCTTACACAAAATCTATTATTTTTAATTCTTAACAGAACTAACTAACTGTTAACTGTGTAACTGATTTAAACCGTTAAAGGTGTTTTATTTATGTGCACTATTCCTCGTAAGATACGGACAATTCAGAAATAATTCCAGTTTTCTATGCTGACTCTTGAATAGATGATACGATTTTGACAGGTCGTCTAGATACCGCCGTTGTAACATAACAAGATAGTTAAAATCAATTTATATTTGTCAAAACCAAAATGCTAATCGCCTGCTTATACATATTATTATAATTATAGACTTGTTTATACGGAAATAATAATCGAACACGCTATCGCGTGATAATTAAATGTTTCCATCAAGGTTATTTCAAACTTCTAACGATATAATTTTAATACAAAAAACGCCTTTTATAAGTCGGCTGAAACGTGAACACTTTCACGTGAATCTCGTGCATAAATAGAGCAAGAGAGGGCAAGAGTTTGATACCCTCGCTTTAACTTGTGGGCGGTGGTTCGTGAACTGTACGGAATTATGACATTCCTTCCATCCACTTCCATTCCACCCATCCTTACAAATTGTGACATTTTCAAGGCTAACAAGAGAATAATCAGTTTAGTAACAATTTACACCAATAATTTCGTTCTAAAGTTCCACTCGTGAATCAAGCTCAACCATATCAAGTAACTTCACTAGATATAAATGCTAGCATACTAATAAATATATGTTAATTCTATGTCAATCAGCAAACGATGAACGCACATTGTTATCAAAAACATAGTTTGATAACATACAATAATGTATACAATTAATTAGTTGTTTCTACAACTTGAACACTAATAATACACATGCTAATAAATTAGACATTTCCAAACGTTAATTAAAAAAATCAAATAAATGTGATAAAACTACTGATTTTAATTAATTTTGCCGTCCCCTGTAACCACGGCTTTTGCAAATCAAACGTCGGACCGTAGATACAATAGCTTTTTTTTTTTTTCCCCCACCCGATATATTTTTTTTTTTTTTTTTTTTTTTTTTTTTTTCCCCCCCCCCCCCTTTCTTTTCCGTTGCCTTGCCCCCGGGGGGGGGGCGGGCCCTCCCCCCCCCCCCCCCCCCCCCTCCCCCCCCCCCCCCCCCTTGCGCGCGGGGCCGGGGATATAGCGTTATAAGTGTTCTATTTAATTGTGTAATACTCGCGTAAACTATCTGTAGTGCAATACGAGATTTTTATTAAAAACACCAAATTGGCCACATAATGTTGGCAATGCTAGTTTTGTAAAAATGTGAACTAATCTTACCAGAACTGAAGAGTTCGTCTTTGGCGGTCCTAAAGGCCTCCTCCTGCAGTTGGCTAAGCGTGAGCTTGGCGACGACGCTGGTGGCCTCAGCCGTCATGTTGAGGTGCGTGGGGGGCGTGCAACGGTATGACGTGGCCAGGGGGCTGCGCCACTCCACTCCGTGCCACAATTCTACGGGCTCCTTAAGAGCTGTTGAATTAAGGAATTGTATATTATATAAGACCTTGACAACTTCCCTCTAGTGTATTAGTTAAATAAAAGAGTTGGCAGATATTATAATAAAAACGACAGTTAATAAAATCGAGAAATAGTAATAATAAAAACCAAAATATATAATTTACATAAAACATTGAACCTTAACACGCTATTAGCAATAAGTTAGCAAAATTACAACAATTACGTGTAGGGCACCACGGAACGCTGTGATGGCGGCTAAAATCTTGCACGTGTCGTAATTTTATTCAATTTATAATCGAGAGTATATATATAAAACTCACTTGCGTCGATAAAAACTTCCGGCGCGAGAGTGACGTTGATGCTCTTCAGCTCGTACCACTTGGTGGTCTCATTACTCTGAAAGACGAGCAGCATGCTGTTGGTGCTGTTCTCGTTGGCCGGCCAGCTCAGCTTGATGGACTGGGTGCCGTTGCCGCAGCTGCCGTCCACGATCATAGCGTTCTTTGGCAGATTCAATTGGAAATGGTCTGTGGTGTCTGAAATTTTGATGTCAAAGGTGATTTTTTTTTTTCAAAGACTTCCAATAAATAAAAATAAACCGTTAAAGTGTTTTATTTAAACTCTACTCGCGTTAACTACAGAGAGATCTAATGTATATTTTAAGTATTTCTTTTTTGGACCAAAAAATGCGAAATGTGTCGCAAATGTTATGTGAATTTTTGTATTCAACCGTTGGAGGTCCACAGATGGACTGGCCACCCCCAAAAACTTATTATTGTTATTATTTGTATTTTTATATTTACTTAGTATATGACTCTTGAAAAAACCTCATCAACATTGTTAATTAGAACGCAAATTGCGTTTATTTCTCAGATACACTACTATTTTCACAGATTATATTCTATTCTCTGAGCACAATAAAACAGATAAGGCGAGATTTGCATATCGCGTATTGAGCTATAAAAACTCGTGTCAACGACTGATCAGGGTTAAATGTCGCACTGTGGAAGGTCAGCTTATAACCGGAGGACCAATTCACATCGTCGGACTTGTGACATGGAGCAGACGAGAAGCTAAGCTAAATCAAACTATTTTTTCTAACTTGGCATTTTTGGTAAACAAACACACAGTTTGCGTGAGATCGTGATTTTCTCACAAACGTCACATTGATTTACACTAAAAACACTTTGGGACACTGGTTTATATATTAAACTAATAACCTACCTCAAATTAACTTAGTAAAAACCAAATTGCACGCTAAAATTAATAAAGATCAATTTACGCAAATGCTCTAAATGAAATTTCTTTAGTTTGACATATTTACAAAAGTGATGTCAGCAAAGTTAACGACAATAGGAGGTATAACTCTGACTCATGCACAATCGCTGAAAAGTGTAACAAATGTCGAGTTAAACAATAATGACATTGAAATTTAAAAAAGAAGGTAAGTTATTTTGAATACTAAATTTCGTCCATATATAATAGATATTTCTTTATCCCTGTGTCATCTGTGACATCAACTTCATTCTATAAAAGGTCCTCACTAGTTCTCTATGGTTTGAAATCGGGCAAATATTTTGGGGTCTTTTGCCAAGTTAGAAAAAATACACTATACATCCCCAGGATCCAACCTCATAAACACGAAACACTTACTGAGTCAAGGAGACAAAAAAGGTAACAGCTATTATTGTCCGATATTTTCACAAAAGTACAAAGCAATAATAGTTGGATGGTGGTGACGCAAAACGATCGAAATCTCGCTGAGAAAATCTATTGTTCTCACGTAGTTCGAAAAAGTGCAACTAGAGCGCCTTCGCTTAAGAATTGATCACGCGGCGCACTCGGCCTTGTCGACCAGTTCACGCTAACTGGAAATTATCTTCATCAAATATTTCGTGTAAATTGTAAAATAGAGACTGGGACGGGGAGTTTCTAACGCGCCCTTGTCTAGACCGTTATCTAGACATGTCATGTCTAGGTTTACAAAAGCAATCTAAACATTAAAAACGTTTAAATAAAATACTTGACAGTTTTAACTTATTTTGCTACGACCCGACGTCAACAGCCATGAATGCTCTGGGATATTACAGAATATTTGATTAAAAACGTTTGGGCTATTTGTATAAAATTAAATGGGTAAACCCTCTCTAAATGGTTAAAACGTGTATATATCAGTTACTTTTTTCTTTGTTTCCTCAACCATCCAAAACATCAAGTCGCGTTTAAAACCGTTAGAGATGTTTCATTTAAACAGTACTACTCATCTAGGCTGTAAATAATATTTGATATGAAGGATCAGGTGTAAATTTCTTATGAAAACGAGCAAATGGTTATAGAAGAAATCGGTATTATATAATGTGAACTGGAAAAGTCAAGATACCAAGAAGTCTTTGAAGAGTCGACTAATCTGTTTTAGACGATGCACGCAATATGCAGAATTTGGCTTTATTTGCAATAATATTATTTTAAATAAAGTCTTAGTTTCTCTATATTAAATAGAGTATTGTGTCCGCATTACTGTTAGTCTGGGTACGTGAGAAAGTAGCTCTGAAATTATCATTAGTCACTATTCTATCCTCGTACACTTTCCAAAGAAACGGTTGTGTGTTGAGATGAACAGACAAACAGGAGATTCACTTGACGGCAGGTGAAATACCGCAGCCATATAACATCAAAATTGCGCTGTCGACCTATAATGGCTTTGACTATACGGAAATCTACAGACTAAAACCGTAACGCGATTAACATGCTTTTTGACTTGTGGACGGTAGTTTGTGGCCCCGGACTCGAATTCAACATTCCTACCCACCATTTAACAACAAATTGATTAGAAATATTTTTGTCTTCAGTGGGGACCGAACCCCCATTTCGGTGATTATTATTAGCCTTACATTATTACCATTAGACTAACCCGTCTAAGATTCTAAGATTATCCCTAAAAGAAAAAGTTTGAAAAATAATTTATTCACGTAGGTAACTAGGTAGGTACACTTATTGAGGTGAATAATAATAATTAATGAAATGAAAAACAAATTTCCTGTAAAAACACGAACAGGCATTGCATTCGTAACTCGAACATGCTTATCAGTATGGACGTGACTCAGTAAACATGGGAGACTTATCTGACGATATTTCAATATGCACAACGGATGATGGAAATCATGCACTTAGATTAAAAAAATAATATATAACACAGGCGGGACTCGAACCTACGAGGAGGCGAAACGGCAAGAGATTTGTAGAAGGCTGAGGCTTATTAAAACAACTGTTAGGTTAGTAGTTAGTAGGTAAAGTATATTTCTCTACTTGTGACTTTACTGGAACTAGACTTCTAGGATGGGGTGTTGGCGTTTATATAACGACTTACAGATACGCGGCTGACTTTTTAAAATTAGTTTTTGCACCAATATCAATTGCTGAGCTTCTTCTTCCATTCCAAAAAAACACTTATTCACATCACCCAAGTTACAAACAAATCTTAATTTACCAGTTATAATCAATACGAGATTCGCTTAATGTGAACGTATGACTGGGATACAACATCTAAGATTCGTCGATCGGCTGTCGATCTATTTATTTAACGAACGGCACTTATTTATTCTAGATTTAATTCTTATAACAGACGGTCAGCAAAGATAAGCCGATGTCTCGACTTATGTGTTATCGGAAAACAGGAATAACGTATCAGACGAATAAATATATACATAACGAGTCTAGCAAGATCTTATCATAGCATTTGAGACGGCTTTTAGACTACTTATGAAGTGATGAAAGATTAATATGGATTTGTCGTTTATGGAAGCAAAATGTACCCATTCGTAAACATTTTTATATAAATATTGTTAATAGGATATCGGGAAAGTGGTAGGAATATCGAAATTCCATCCAGGTCACGAACCACCGTCCACTGATGAAATAGCCGTGAAGTTAAATCATGGTTCGTATCAGTCTGAGGATTTTCCGAATATCCAAAGCTAAAATAGGTCGACAGTGCATCTTGTTTGAATGAAGGTTGGAGTACCTCACCTACCATCAAGTAAACCGTAAAAGTAAATGCAAATAAATTAAAAACAGTTTCTATAAAGCCAAAAATATTTGTCAATAGGTTTTTTAAGCACTGTTTAAAATTACACATGTTCGACGTTACGGATTCTCTACAGCAGTCACAATACTTCACAGGTATTCTATAGCATCAAAGTACGCCTAATCGTTTGGAAGAAACATCGCAATTCTTTTCCATCCATTCCAAGAGTAAAGTAATTTTAACTTGAGTGTATAGATTTTTCAATATCCAACGCAAAAATAGATCGATAGCATATCCGAATTGAAAACAGTATTCCTCAAAAACGTGGCATTATTATTGGCGCAGATTGTGAATCTTTGACCTTTGAGAGGGTAAATGGATTTACTGCTTCCAAGAAACTGGAGAAACGTGCATTAAGTGAGTCATACTCTGCAGCACTGTGTTTCCGTTATTGTTAAAAATTGATAGAAAAAATAAATTGTTAAATACATTTACAACAAAAAATATACTTGACTTATTTTTAATTTACTTTAATTCGTCCACCGCTGTTTTGCAGTCGTGGTCACAGGGGAGCTGAAGATAAGGGGTGCCAGAAATAATGATGAAGTCAAATCTGCTATGTAACGCCACCCATTAATACTATTCACGTTTTAAACCATTAAGTGTTTTTTTTAAATATGTACTACTCAAATAACCTAAACTAGGGGTAGGGGTGGGAGGGGCGCCAAAAAATTTTTTTCCCCCCCCCTTTTTTTTTTTTCCCCCCTTTTTTTTTTTTTTTTTTTTTGGGGGGTTTTTTTACATCTCGAGTCTGGCGTGACAAAATCGAAAGTAACTTACATATTAAATAGGTGAGCACTGTTCATTATGTATTTATGTTAAATAGTAATTCAACGTGCGTTGACTACCTATGTTTGTTTTGAATAATATCATTTTTTCTTATCTACAATGGCTAATGTTGATAGTATCAGCATCAATGATAAAAACTTAATAAACTACCTACCCTAGATGTAGTTGAAAAGATATCATGTGTAGCTTGCGCGAGTTTAACGGTTTGAAACGCGAATTGTATTAGTAAGTGCAGCAACATATTAAAATGTTACATTAAATTCCACAGTTATATTAAAAACAGCTAATAATTCCCACAGCCAGGACTACGAACACATGCATGCATATACAACCCACTATCATTTAAACATCTACTATTTTTGAAGATATCCATCACAATATTACATATAAAAATATACATGTCATACTGTATGTCACATTTAACATAATTTTTCTTTTGACATGTATGAACAAAGAATCAATTATATGGACACTACTTCACAAACATAGAGATCGCAATTAACAATTGCCCAAATATTTTAAGTTAGAAGAAATACAAGACACAAATAAATCCCAGAAGAAAACCCACGATTTGGAGATACCTACATTGTTTTCCTCTAACTAAAATCAATCTGATCAGAAGTTGTTCAGTCACCATTGAGAATCACAGTCCTATCAATTACTCATTAAAATTACATTGTATTTCACAAGAGAATCCAATCAATCACTAAAATCTCAGTAACATGATAGCATTGGTGTCATATAACTTGAAATAACAACATGGAAACACTATCATTGTAGATACAAGTGTATATATCATTAAACAAAAATAATAAACAATAGAAAGTTGCGAATTAAGAAAAAGGCATTTTGGTTCAACAATAAAAAGTATTCACATCATTGAATACATTTTCTTTTAAATACTGTCTATAGTTTACGCGAGTAGTACATTTAATAAAACCTTACGTTTAAAAGCATATATTAGTTAAACTTATTTGAAAATGATTTTTAACTTCGCCCCGACGTTTGGATGCTTTGCATGTTTCAATTATATGAAGTTAGTATTTTGCATTAAATTGTTAAGATTTTAGTAAATGGTAAACAAAGGGGCAATAATAATAGATAATGTTTTGATGGTAGGTATTTCAGGTTTTGAAATGGAATTGTAACACTAAAGACAAGATAAAATTTAAAGTACTTACTGCTATTATCCTTTGTATAGGTGACATTCAGCTGTGCAGCAAACTGAATGAGAACGCAGGTTACATTGGTCACATTGTCCTTGAACGCCCATTTTCCTGCTTCTGGTGGCGGTAATGGCTTGGGGTCTGGGGTAGGTGCTGGAGAGGGTTTGGCGGTGGTGGTTGTTGTTGTGGTAGTTGTACTTGTGGTTGTGGTATTTTTGGGATCGGGACTTGGTGACGGCTGGGCTTCCGTGCTAGGTACGGAAGGGACGGACTCTGAAGAGGAGACTGATGATTGCGTCACTTCAGATATTCCAGCCTCAGATAATGTTGTACTAGCCGAAATAGGCAGATCTATAATCTTCGTCGGTGGCGCAGAGACATCGCCATTACCTGTAATAGCATTTGAACGTGTACGGGGAACAACGCAGCTAACAAAGAGAGTGAACAATGTTCTCGAAACTAATCGACTCACCTAAAACACATAAGCTACATATCACAGCGGCAAAAAAGCAATACCTAAATTGTGACATTTTGAATTTCAACACCAATCTCGAATTTCTCGAATACGTTGCAACTAATTAAGTAATTTATTAGCTATTTCCAATGCAATCCACTTGACTTCACAAAATGAATGAGAAAAAAGATTTTTTCATTTATCAACTGTCAACGATAGCTTTCAACGTTCATAGTGACAATTGACTTGTTATTAGTTGACAGTTGTTTTTTTTATAATATGGCGGTCAAAGAGCTAAAGTTAATAATATGACCACAGATGATAATTAAAATAGGAAACAAAAATAATGTAACTGTGTAAATGTAATGTTAAATATATACTAATTATTCAGTTAATGTATTTTAATTATTAGATATATATATTTTACAAGGTTATTTTTTCTAAACTTTAATAAAACATGTTTATTATAATTGTTTATTAGAGTTATAAGTAATTAAAGCAACAAAGTTTGATGGTAAACGGATCTTTATTGTTTTTAATTTCAAATGAATTATAAAAACAATCTTATAAATACTTATCAGTACGTAATTGAATTTTGCATTGCAGATTAGTTGTTTGCGTTGTCACTATAAGTACAATTCCTTCTTATACAATATTTACTATATACCTTACTCTATACTCAATTATAATTATATTATGTTCTTGATGACAAAGAAAAGGTACTTAAACAAAATTTTATTCCTTTAAATCCAAACAAACAACCTATGAGTCGGGTAGCAATATTTTCAGGTATTACGCGTAACTTAAATAGTTAAAGATACCTTATTGCAGAATAGTACCAAAAAACTTAAAAACAAAGAACTTACTAAACTAATTATCATTAAAATACATTATGCAGTCTTTAAATTAATACATCTGTAAATAAGGTGTATTTAAGGAAACATTAATTTAGTATAAAATACTAAATATTGCATTTAGTGCTAGATGTAGATCTGATTACACAAACACTCTTAAGAAATACGTTTAGAAGAAACATTAGCCAGGTTTAATTATTACTTTAAACATATTTTCTTACTGACAATATTATTCAAAAGCCTTAAGTGAAATTACTTAAATTCTCCCAAACTTCTTTTCCAATAGTTGTACATTTATTTTTTTATTCTTTATATATTTGAACAATGAAGCAGAAATAAGAGATTTTTTACGCCTACATTCCATCAGTAGCGGAAACTTACAAAGGCATAATTTAAAAACAATAAATTGCGTTTAATTGTTGAATTATTAAAAGAAGCATATATTTTAACGCATTCACTGAATGTATAGTTCAAAGCGCGCGTGCCCAACACGACTTGAACTTCGGTAAATGATGTCTCGAGTCCAAATGCGGCATTCCACGTTGATCACGACACCGCCTGCGATATAAAATATAATATGATCATATATTATATTATTTATAAACACGTTTACTATTTAGTTTTCTAGTGTACCAAAAGTCTCCAAACCGTAGCATTTCAAAATGGCCGCCATGACGTTATACAATTATAATTTGTTCTTTAGTTAATTCTAGCCACCCGGCCCGGCTTCGCTCAGATGCAATAGTGATACTAAATACACTACAGAAAAACTGTGTGATTTAACCGTACATGATAAGAGGAAGTGTACAGAAAAAGTGATGCATTACGAGTGTTATATGTTTAATTTTTGGCGGCCAATCCGCTTTACCGATTCCGATAAAATTTATACACAGTGGTAAATATTAATAATTTAATAGTCTTGTATGATTCCTGGATCGGAAAATTTCATAAGATATAAGCCCATGTTAAAACTGAACCATACCAATTAACAATAACCATGAAAGCTCAGCTCAAACATTCGTGCTTTTTATGTCTGTATGTTAACTTACGGCGTGGATTCTCAAAGAACACAGCCACTATCGGTCCGTGTATCGGATCGGGCAGACTTCTGGCCGAATAAGGAATGCGATCAGCTGTCGCCAGACGGTTGGTGGGGAAGCCCGGTGGTAGGTTCGCTGGGATGTACTGGATGGGACCAACGTTCTCTTCATCCGAATTGAACTCTCCGTTACACGAGACCCAGATGTAGTCGCCATAATGGTGGGCTGGACGTTGTTGCTAAAATTACAATCTTATTTAAGGAGATACTTTTGGTACGTAGGTTATGGCAAAACAGTAATTGGGGCGTCCAAACTGATAATCTATTAATATAAAGTCTATTCAAAGGTGGAGGTGCCAGTCTGCACTGTAACACATTCCGTAACGGAGCTCTCATGTCTACCTCGAGACAAAGTTTCGTGTGACTTACATTGCGGTCTTTTACAGAAACAATTTTATTGGTTCAAAATGCAAACTTAACATTCACACGTTTTATTCTTAAAAATTAATTTAATTTTAAAAAATCTGTGAAAACGCTAGTGATATATAATTAGTATATTCTTTTCGATTAACTACTCTTTTTTATACATGAAAACGTAATCAAACCAATATTTAAACGATTTTTTATTTGGTATAATGTCTTATTAACTCACCATAAACTGTTTGATATTATTTGGCATTTCTGGAGGAATTTCCATTGGCTTTGACACGTTGTATGGCTCAGGTACCCAGTAGTGGATCTGGTATGGTAAATAATTATATTATTGATGTACACCATCTACGAGAACAATAATATTGTTTAAATTGTCCATAATGCCCTACTTACGTGGTTCAATCTCAAAAAGATACAAGGCTTCCCCGCTGCGTAGCCATAGAAGTTATCGGCGTTACACGGTGCCCACATGTTGAGGGCTCGCTCGCAGCTTGGTACCGGAAGACGTTGGTCGTGCCGATGGATGGAGCAGGGGGCGCGAGGTGGTTCTTCAGGGACCGTGGTCTCGTAGTCTAGAAGGAAAAGTCTTTTTTCAAACGAAGTCCTCTACCAAATTTATCTCATAACACCTGCACAACAAAATCTGGAAAATGTTAGGTATATATCTAGGATTTTTTAGATGGTATTTACGGACATTCGGATGGGTTCCAAGCATAGACTTTGCTATTCCGGCAATATGGGCTAAGCGATAGCTGGCCAAGTGACTTGCTTAATCTTAAACTGTATTATTAATTAACCTTAACTAACTTAACTACTTTTCTCATAGCTCTCACTATATTTGAGACTAAGTGTAAAATGTTTTGTTTTTAACTTGGTACTAAGAATAGTGATTTGTGACGGTGTCCTTACTAACAGAGAGAACCCATAAATATATTTTCTTTTAGAACTGAAAGTTTTGGGTTAGTTTACATATTGTGGCTTTTATTTAGTAATAAAGAAACTGAAGCTCAGATTGGATTATTGATCATAAGAACTACGAGTATTGTTGGTCGGAATAAAATAAATAAATTTGGGGGGTAGTAAATTTTTTTCGATACGACGGCCGAACGAAGTTAGCGCGCGCTGTCAAACGCTGTTGAGTACCGTTCGTGTGAGATGTTTAATTTTGTGTATATTTGCCAATTAAGTATATAAAAGATTTCACGCCCGCGTGTTCGAATAACTTTTGGCTTTGCTTAAATAGTTCCGCGAGTCCATTGCGTTTTTATAATTAATTTATATCCGTTAAATCAATGTGCCTATTACGCGTGTGATGGAATTTTCTAGACGACCCCTCTTTCTTTATATTTAAATATAATTACATTCCTTTTTATATGGGCAGACTCATACGCCACAATAATAGTGCACATAATTCAGGACTACTACTGGACCGGAGGTAAGTACTTAGGATAGTAAACTTATTAAGAGTGTGTATTTTTAGACGTTATTTGTCTAGAGTTATTTTTGTTTTAGTTAAGTAACTTTATTAATTGTAATTTTTTTAAATATAATCTTAGACGCTATACTATTCAAACTATACTTGGACGTCTTCATTACGCCCACTTCCTTAACAATCGTTCACATCCGTTAACATACCACACCTATGTTTCTACTATTGGTATTACGTAGCACTTCGTAGACGCCCCGTAGCAAGAGTCGTTTAGCTAGATGACGTAGCGCAAATCGCCGAAATTTGGGCGCTACAAGGGCGCTACGAATATATCAACAATATTATTTTAAAAAATGGAACGGAATATAGGAATTTAAATATTTATACACTTAAAATTTATAAATGTTAGTAAGTAAGTAGAATTAAATGCGATTATGCTATCTCCTGTGAATCTATAGAGTGTCAAATTTTTAGTTGAACATAATACTTACCGCGTAAGAAGTCATTGATGCGTTTGTACCAAATATGCCAACTTCCAGGGTCACTTGCTCTAAAGTGGATAAGTGGTTCATATCTGTTGTAGTCTTCTGATCGTGGCCACACTTCCAATTCTAAACATTACATTTAAAAGATATAAAAAAAATAATGGTACAAACGGGTGTCAAATACCATTTGTAACAATTGCCAAACCATATTTAATCACTGAGCTACTGTGCGTATATCGTTTCAATCTCTTAACCCGTATTTGATTCTTATCCTCCTTTAATTTTAACAGTTATCGCTTATAAAATCCTATGAAAAATAATCGATTTTTCTAGCTGGTACTGACCCCTTGACATTGACAAATGTATATAAAACCTTTTGAAAAAATACCGGAATAGTACGTACCGACATATCTGTATGGCAGGAAAACTGCTAGCAACACTCCAAGTATTATGCCTGCAGATTAATTTAATTATTGGTTATTCACCCGTTACTATGAATAAAATGTATCTGCATTAACTGATACAAGAATTAGTACAATTACGTGCATACCTTATCTTTGTAAAACAGTTTTATTAAAGTTGAATAGACAAAAACCTGTATAATCAAAAAGAAACAGTTTTTTCATCAAAAAGATGCTACATCTTTAGGACCTGTAGATAAATTAACTATTCAAGAACAATTAAGAATTTAAATTTTAAAAAATCGATGAAAACTTAAAACATTGCTTATCTAAGCAACTATGCAAAGTTTTAGCAAAACGGATTGCGCTAACAACTCACCAAGTATGAGAACAACAGTGACCACAGCAGCTATAATTTTGATGGTACGTTTGTCCATGGCCATTTTGCGAGTTCTTGTCTCGTCAAGCGTCAGGAATAAACTGTTCTCGGGAACAGTAGTAGTCCCCGCTGTAGGTCACAAGAAGTGTACGACGTACATTGATGGCTCAGAAAATGTATATACCAACAATGACACATTATAATGTCAAATAAATTACAAAATAGTAGTTATTTAAAAATCCGCCCAGGTGACGAATCACCGACCACATATATAAAAGCCGTGAAGTTTAGTTACGCTTCGGTGTCTATTGATTTCCGAATATACAATGCATAAATTGGTCGATTGCACATCTTATTAACGCCTACGTTTGACATGTAGTTCTTTTTCCTACCAAAATTTATTTTACATTAAATAATTATCGTAAACACGTTAACATTTATCTATATCTATACTAATATATAAAGCTGAAGAGTTTGTTTGTTTGAACGCGCTAATCTCAGGAACTACGAGTTCGATTTGAAAAATTTTATCTTTTTGTGTTGGTTAGAGCATTTAACGAGGAAGGTTATAGGCTATAAAACATCGCGATGTGACTAATAGAAGCAAAGATACAGCGGGAAATGTGAACAAAACGGGGGAAATTTTTCATCTCTGTGGGTTTCAGATGCGTACGCTGCAAAAACGATTCACGATACCTAAAAATGTGTTTGAAAGAATGATTCCTCTTTCATTTGAAAAAAAACACGACGCTATGACTGTCTATCTTTTAAGATTAACTTGCAAAAATGACGGGAAGGGACGCAATCGACGTCGTGACTAACAGCTTAAGTTTATAAAGATGACAGGATTTGCAAAAACTAATTTGAATGCCCAAAATAACGATTCTCGTGGACGATGTCGCTGGAACAGCAGGTATTAAATAAAAAATGGTATCTCTTGGTTTGTACACGTAATGCATGTGTCTCAGTACTTCCATTAGGGTTAGTTGTTTGTTAATAATGAATTTAAACTTTATTCTTCGTTATTATCACTTATTACTATTTTATTATATTAACTTAAAAACATTAAATGACTTTACTTTTGCCGTATCGTATTTTTATAAAAAGTAAAACTATCCAAGATATATAAAACTATTAAATTGAATAAGACACTCCAAGTTGTTTCTGCGGAACTAATATATGTAAAAAATATTTAGATGTAAATAGAAGTAATGATTCTCATAAACCAGCAATGTACAGCGTCTTAGGGTGAGCAGAGCTATCCCATAGTCTATACAGCAGACTGCCGGCGCCACGAAAAGGAGTTTTGGCGCCAACGGACCTTTGCCGAATGGCAATTTCGCACTTTATAGGTCACTCGGATTTCTGTGTCAATCTCCTAAAACTTTTCATTAACGCTCAGTTTTAAGATACTATTTATAATCGATTTGAAATTTGACAAAAAAATTCGCGACACGGACGGTACTTGAACCGGCAGTCACGCTGCTGTACCAATTGAGCTACCGTCTCTGACACGTCATTGTCAAAGTTTTTCAACCGATTAATACATGCACTTCTCGCAATGTAACCTTAATAATTGATCGATTAATTTCATTGAATTAAAACCATAGATAGCTACAAAGGTCTTTCAAAAGATATATTATGTATATATGTATCCTAACGTTCACTCTACTGAAACATAAAAAGCCAACTTACATATGATTAAACTGTAAATATTATTATAAGAAAAATTATCAATTATTCCTACAAACAGACCTTTTCGTAAATTCTAACCCGAAAACAATGGACCTAATCGTACTTGCGACTGCAGATTACGAGAAGACCAAGAATCTACAACCGTCTGTGGTTGAGACGACTAGTACAAACTAAAATAAAACCCTTTAACGGTGTAAAACTTATTTTTATTTTGGTAATATGAATTAAAGATAAGTTAACTAATATGTGATTAGTTTTAAACAGTTATACGTATGCCATTAAAAGTATACGTATTGAAGAAAATAATAAATCCGAAAATCTTCACCTTTTAAGATCCTACCTACAAGTCTCCTCCCACATAGGGGAAGGAATAAAAAATAAGTTAACTTATATATTTCGTGTCATAAACCGTTAAAAGTATTTTGATATTTCTTTTTATCTTTAAAAGTAATTAACTAGAAATTGCACTGATGCATTTTTAGAGGCTGTTAAACAAGAGGTTCTATGTTAAATATCGAGGAAACATAATATATTTCAATCACACTTAACAGAGCAAACTCCCTCCTTAAAAATTCTAGATACTAAGCGTTGTTCTCTGTATAGTAGAATAATTCTTTGTTCTAGGATTATATTATTTATGCACAAGTAAGTATCATTAATAGGTAATTGTCCGGATGTAAATGTATTAGTCGGATGTAGGATATAGGGCAGTGGGAGACGACAGCGCGGCGCCTAGGGGTTAACACCCTAAACAACATCCCTAAGGTATGTGCTACACTTATCGCTATAGATAGACGCGTGGTTCTGTACCCATCGGTTAGCAACGGGACCCTATTTTTATCGATCAGTAAGTTAATTATTATTAAGGCTTCGCTGTTTGTCTGCCAAAGTCAAAGTCAAAGTCAAAAATCTTTTTTTCATGTAGGTAACCTTGTCCCCCTTTGAACGCCCCAAAATTTTTTTAAAATTTCCCTTTTTTTTTTCCCCCCCTTCCCCCAACCGGGGGGGGGGAACGGGGGGAAGGGCCGCCCAAAACCCCCCCCCCCCCCCCCCCCCCCCCCCCCCTTTTTTTTTTTTTTTTTTTTTTTTTTTTTCCCCCCCTTTTTTTTTTTTTTGGGGGGGGCCCCCCCCCCCCCCCCCCCCTTTTTTTTTTTTTTTTTTTTTTTTTTTTTTTTTTTTTTTTTTTTTTTTTTTTTTTTTTTTTTTTTTTTTCTTTTTTTTTTTGGGGGTTGCCCCCCCGGGGGGGTTTTTTTTTTTTTTTTTTTTCTTTTTCCCTTCCCCCCCCCCCCCCCTTTTTTTTTTTTTTTGGGTTTTTTTTTTTTTTTTTTTTTTTTTTTTTTTTTTTTTGTTGTTGGGGGGCTGTTTTTTTTTTTTTTTTTTTTTTTTTTTTTTCCTTTTCCTCTTTTTTTTTTTTTTTTTTTTTTTTCCCCCCCTGTTTTTTTTTTTTTTTTTTTTTTTTTTTTCCCCCCCCCCCGGGGGGGGGGCCCCCCCCCCCCCCCCCCCCCCCCCCCCTCCCCCCCCCTTTGTTTTTTTTTGGGGGGGGGGCCCCCCCCCCCCCCCCCCCCCCCCCCCCCCCCCCCCCGGGGGTGTGGTGGGGGGGCGGGGCGGCCCTTTTTTTTTTTTCCCCGCGGGCTCTCCTTTCTCCCCCCCCCGCGGGGGGGGCTTTTTTTTTTTTTTTTTTTTTTTTGTTTTTTCCCCCCCGGCCCCCCCCCCCCCCCCCCCCCCCCCCCCCCCCCCCCCCCCCCCCCCCCCCCCCCCCCCCCCCCTTTTTTTTTTTTTTTTTTTTTTTTTTTTTTTTTTTTTTTTTTTTTTTTTTTCTTTTTTTTTTTTTTTTTTTTTTTTTTTTTTTTTTTTTTTTTTTTTTTTTTCTTCCCCCCCCCTTTTTTTTCCTTTTTTTTTTTCTCCTTTTTTTTTTTTTTTTTTTTTTTTTTTTTTTTTTTTTTTTTTTTTTTCCCCCCCCCCTTTCTTTTTTTTTTTTTTTTTTTTTTTTCTTCCCTTTTTTTTTTTTTTTTTTTGCAATAGCTACAGTTTGAAAAAAGCAATTTATTGATTTAAAACGTGGATTCTATTAGTATTACAATATACGTTAGCTACAGCCCTACCCTTCGCAGCTGTGGTCACGGGGGGACTCAAGATGGGGGGTGTAACTAATGTCAACGTCGGGTCGTAGATAAAGAAATAAAAAATAAGTTTAATTAAACATTTTGTGTTTTAAACAGATAAGAGTGTTTTATTTAAATGTATACTAGTCGCGTAAACTACAGACAATACATAACATTATAGATTCCCTTTCGGGTTCAGTAGCACTTGGCAAGGAGGACCGGCGACGCGCTGTCGCGTGGGTTCACCCCAACGCAGCCTCCCCGTCGGTTTCAATCACAAACGTGGACTGTGCTTACGGCATATCTGTATTTATATTTTTACTTTTATTTAGAATTTGATATAAAAACTACAATACTATTAGTAGGATATAAGCGATCCTACTAATACTTTCGAATTCGATAACTTAAATTGTTATCGTAGCTTGTAAGCGTAGCACGCCCTGAAATAATGCAATGGTCGATTCCCCGAAAAGGAGAAGTTTTAATATGTTACTGTATTTAAACACTTTAACGGTTTAAAACGCGATATATTAGTTAAACTTATTTGAAAATGATTTTTAACTTCGGCCCGACGTTTCGGATGCTTGGCAGCAGCCGTGGTCACGGGGAGACACTGTAGGCAGATTTTCTAACCGAAAAATCTTGCCTTTATAAATTACCACCTACCGCTTCTTTCTTGCTTTTCTTTGGCATTATTTTTGTTAGGCGCGAGATAACGTCTGAATATATTGAAAAAGTATAGATAGAAATGTGGGATCTTCGTGGTAAAGGAATTGTCTGCTTTTTATAATCTGTTATAATGTTAAACTGCTTAAATTAGAAATCTATTTAGTTTGAAAAAAGTACTGCGGGCAAGACTTGAACCGGCAACCACAGCGTTCCGTTACTCAATTAGTTAGGCATCAGGCTACTCTTAGCGTAAATTTGTTTCAATATAAATAGTTTTTTAACGGTTAAGTATTTGGTTTAATTAATGTAACTGCGGTCGTTTTAATTTAATTATTAAAAAATAACGATAACGTGTACTACTAACTGTCATTATCTCTTAATAAAGATAGTCCTATTAGGACGATGTTGATAAACACGAAGCTGTAATTAATGGCTATTTCTGCTCGCTCCAACGAGAAGGCAAGCAGGGATTTAGCTAAGAATCAAAATAATTTGTACTGTTCACGTAAAATTATCACTAACTCTTTCCTACCATTTAGTAAGTATTTCTTACCATCTAGGTTTAGATTTTTTGATTTTAGCTGGCCGGCGTGCGTTCTATTTTTCTTAAATACAACAACAAAAGTACAGTCAGACAAAGAAGTACTGTCTGTTGTCTGGGATTTTTATTTAAGGCTACAAGGCTCGATTCTTCAGGACTTATGTTATTGTAAGCACTTAAGACGCTGGGCTCAAATTTAGCTATACGTAGAACACAGTCCTTCCATCAATTTACATACAAAAGCTCAAGTCATCAGGTTTTAGCGTTCAAGCTTAAATTTGTAATTTATAAAGCCTTTTACCATCTATGGTTATTTATTTTCTGTTTGCTTTGCCTTTTATATAAGTATAGTTGATTATTAATATGGAAAAATGGGCGAATAAATAAAACACACAAAAAAGCTAAATTGGAACCAACTATTGCATATTTATTGACTCATCGTCCAGAAAACATTTATTATTAAACATTTATTTAATTATTTAAAACTTTAAGCGTGTAAACAGAACTGTGTTGCCATGTGGCTATTCTAAAACGAATATAAATTAATTGCCGACTAGGTGGCTATTGCTAGATGTGCCGGCAGCCGGCGCACGGCGAGACCACGGCAGCCTCGGCCAACTGTTTTCGGACCCCGGACGGACCAAGAAATAAAAACTCTAATCATTGTACCAACAGAAGATTGAGCAAGTCAGAAACCGCGCAATAATATAGACAAAACGCACCAATAATCTTTGATCCAATTTGCTGTCGACTCACTTGAGAATATAGACAAGAACAACAGACAAGAAAAACATCCATCTTTTAGATTTACTCAAACTAACTACCACATGTTGTCTGCCTTAAAAGTAACGCTACTAACAACTAAGATGTTAAACATTCTAAACATCTGCCTTCGCTGTTGACTAACTCCTGTATATGTTAGAAGGACAAGATGTTGCCGCCTTCTAGAAACATCCTAAACAGTTCCAACGTATCCATGAAATCTACTGAAAGCCACACGTTGACATTGAATTAGCGTTCAACAAAACGTCCGGGGCTTAAACAGAAACTTAACCAATCGGCGTTCTAACGGCAGCCAACCATTTAACCAATCACATTCTCCATACTGGCAGTGAGGTGGAGTGGGACGCTGGACGTTGACTAGAGTTGGCGATGTGATTGGCCACCGAGGAGTGGGGGCTTAGGAGCGGTCCACCATCAGCTCGAAGTGGACGGAGCCCCGCCGCTCGTATCTGTCGTATTGGATGTTCTTCGCCCACGCTTTGCATTCGATGTTGATGAGCACACCGGCTGGAGACGAGAACAATTTTTAGACATGAATTAGCTGCTAGTATTGAAAATATTTTTCATCTTGTGGTGAAACAATATTTACAAAATATTGTTTCACGCACCACAAGGTATTATATTATAAGAAGATATTATAATATAACACTTTAACGGTTTAAAACGCGAAATATATAGCTAAACTTATTTACAACTTATTTTGACTAGTGCGGGAGAGGTTCCTCTTGCTAACGGCTGCTGCAAAGCATTCGAAACGTCGAGCCGTAGTTGAAATGATTTGTAAATATGTTTAAGTAAAGTAAAATATTTCGTGTTTTGAATCGTTAAAGCGTTTGATTTAAATTTAAACTCACGTAAACTACAGACAGAATTTAATATTTCGCGTTACACTAGTTTCAACTGATCCATTTGATTAGATCCATTTAAATTATAAAATATGTATGAACTATTTCTTACTTCTTGGCTTCTCGAAGAGCACAGCCACCAGCGGACTCAAATAGCCCTCCTTGTTGGTGAAGGGGTAGTAGAAGTTGGGGAAGCCCCGGCGAGGAATGTACTGGATGGGGCCAATGTTCTCCACGTCCGCTGGGTTCTCACCTTCGCACGATACCCACACTGTGTTGGCTTCGGGTTTACCGGACTGACAAAAATAATATAATAAGTATTCGATCGTAGTAAATAGTGATTTGTTTTTTTTGACATATCCCGGCCAGATAACATATATACAAAAAAAAACTTAAAATAAATAAATTTTAATTTACGATTTTTCCATTTGTGAACTGCGGTTCGCGATGCGTGATTTGAAATTCCAACCATCTATTTAAAATCAAGTCTTTCAAAACGGATTATAGAAAAATTAAAATTTACAATAGAACGCACGACTTCAAACTTTGCACCGAATGAACTTAGCAAATTAGTTGGTTTTTCAACCTTTCAGTGATTTCGTTTTTCCAATACACGATGCAAGGAAATAGTAAACAATAAAATAAAAGCTAGAACTAGAAATCGAGCTATATAATAGCACGTACAACGAGCTTAATGTGCTGCTTCAGATCCTCAGGCATGTTGTCTGGTAAGCCTTCTGTGTTGTTGTACGGCATTGGGGTCCAATTGAATATCTGAAATGCAACATATTTATGTGTCAAAGAGATAAGGCTTTGTAAGTTTTGGTTTAAAAGAATAACACTTTTTTAACACGTTAACAGTCTTCCACTTTTGACTTTGGTTAGTTAGGTGCTTATTTTGAAAGAGTAACAAATATATTAAATTCTATTCTCGTATGTTATTATATATTGCTATTTTTAATTATTTTATTTTTCGCTTTAAAATGAGTCGAATACAAAATCTTAAGTAACTTCGTATATTGATCGCGAAAAGATAATTTTAATAACCCGCTTTTAACAGTTTAAAACGGGATATATTTATGTTAATATGTGTAGCTCTGGTGAACTCCTTAAAACATCCTGTAAGTATTATATTCTTTTTCTATTATGTGTCTCACAATAATACTTGTTTTTTAGTGAAATATTTATTCAATGATTATTTTTTTGTTACACGTTCTACTTCACCTTATTAAGTTTCAGGAAGACGCAAGGGCCACCCTCCTCGAAGTTGTACTGCTTGGAAGATGTACACGGGTTGAAGTCATCGACTGGCACGTCGCAGACCTGGTGTTCTCCCACGGGTCCACTGGTGGGGCTGCAAGGGACACGGTTTTCTGCGCCTGAGGCTTCACCGCTGCCACTTCCCTTCTTACGGTAGTCTGGGAAGGTGTAAATGAGCATGCAAAATAATGCAATAGCTTGAAATACATTCCGAAGTGAACAGTTGTTACTTTCTTAAATGATAAAGAATAAAAACAAATTCTCTATTTTTTGTTTCGTTTACCTTCAAGGAACTCGTCGATGACCTGGGCCCATCGGAGGACCGAGCCTTTATCGTTGGCTTTGTAGTAGATAAGGGTACTTTCGACGGTGGCTGAGTCAGGCATTGGTCGGAAGCCAAGACCTGGATATGAGAAATTGTGTTATTTCAAAAAAGACGGTAGTGTACCTATTTATGAAATACAATTTTTCAATAGAAGCCATATATGTTGCTTGTTATTTAGGTCAGGTCTACTTTTGTTCATTAGCATTCGTGTACCGGTTCATTTTCTTAATATTTTTACTAAATAACGTAATAATAGGGTGCTATATCTTAAGCGATATTTTGTTAGCCTCTTAAAAATGTGCTGGTGGATAATATATTTACCTGGATTACTTCCAATCAGTGAGCTGTCCATTTGCCACTTGGGCATCTTAGCGTCCAGGGTCTGGTAGAAGATGGCGAGCATACCCGCGAAGAATCCGACCAGCACCGCGTAGAAAATCACGTAGAACAGTAAGATTTTCGCTGGAAATATACAATTTGAAACTGAATGTTTTTATATATATATATATATGACAAAAATCACTTGCCTCGTTAGAAAACGCAGTGAATATATACATTTATTTTTCTAATTAAATATATATAAGTGTATTATTTAAATCAATTTTCGTTTCGTTACTTCCAAAATGAGTCTAATCAATTTAAAAAGTTACCGATATTGTAATTACAGGTCGCTCTGCGTTAGAATATTTTTTTAAAATATCTATCTAAAAGTATCTCTTAAATACAGAAATACATCCCAAGAAACAGAATACTTGCTATTAGACTATTAACGCAGCTAAACGCTTGCTCCATATCGGTAGATTGAGAACGAATATGCGTGGTCAGTAATTGCTCGTGACGTTATTCTGTTTAATTGTCAAACGAACGTTGACCGGCCCATATTGCTAGTTTATTTCGCTCCAATATAGGTTAAAGAAGTTTTGATCCAGACTGCGGTTCGATGATTGTGCAATGTAGATCTAGGGCGCCTGTGTCAAGCAAAAATAATGTAAGTGGGAGATTTAACAACTAAAATATTACAATATATATGATAAATGTAAAGAGTCCAAAACGAATGTGATTATTGACTTTTACTCATTGTTTTTAGTCTTATAAATTGTAATAAAATAATGTTTTATACAATAATAAGTAATAACGGTAAATGGAGCTAAGATCTTTTATTTTAACAGAGGTTTTTAAATGAAGGAGACAAGCGGTAATGCGTATTATGAGTACATTTTCTATACGATAATGAAGCGAGGACGGATTATTTATGTCAGTTTCATAATAATTAGTGTCACTCATTAGAGGTGTCTCGCTAGATGGCGCTGTGCTAATTAAACCCTAATGACGTGCAAAGTGACTCGTGTCCCCATGTGGGTTTTTTATATAGCGTTTTTATCTTAATCTGATAAAAAGCTATATTTTGTTCAATATATACTGTATATTAACCGGTCAAATTTCCGTGGTAGTTTTGCAACGCCGAGAAAATAGAAAACGTTTCTTTCTTCTCTGATAATATCTGAGTTCTATTGAAAATAATATGTAGAGCTTGTTAATACTTCTAGCAGCAATAAGTACAACAAAACCTAGTATTTCAGGTCACCCAGGTCATGGAGTGTTCAGCGCATGCGTAAATCACGTGATGGAGTGCTGCATTATAGGAAAGCCAATAAATTGTGGCCCCATTTGCAATGCGACTGTGCTTCTAAATGATGATTGTTCTAGAAGCTTGACATGTATAATAACAAATTTAAAAAAAGTATCGCGGGTCAGTGGTTTTTTGTTACATTTTTACAATAAAATTAATATAGGTTTTTTAGCATCTAAGCGAATAGTTGGGAAAATAGAGAAGAATTATCGTTATCAGAATTTCCTTTTGGGCAAGATAAGGGCAAGACCAGTAGCCAGCTGTCCTTACCAGATTAAGATCGGCTGATTGAACTTTTTAATCTCAATAGATCTTCTAATTAACGTTCCTTGTCCAATTTCAAATTCTAAAATGCGTGTAAACTCACAGGATTCTATTACCTATATAATTAATATTTATTCATCTTTTCCTTTTTTTAACGAATAACATGTACCGCCGAGCAAAATTTCACATTTCGCTTATTTATGATTAATGACGTCTCTTGTATTTGTAATTTAAATAGATATCACGTGATAATGATAAATTCGTGCAGTGTGTGTGTGCGACGGCGCACCTGTTTCTGTATCTATGAGTGTAATGCATTGGATATTCAATAACAGAAAATAAATGTAGGGAGAAATATTTTCCAAATAGTAATATTACTTAAATTAGACAATTATATTTACTTCTAAGATGAAACTCAAAATTGACAGATCGAGATTGAAAAATTTATTTAGATTAAAAAATAATACGACACGGGCACGACTCGCACCGGCATCCACATCGTTCCGTGCTGCTGCTCTAACCGACACGATAGATCTCAATTAGGAAGAGCAGCACGGAACGTTGTGGATGCCAGTTCGACTCCCGTCTGTGTCGAAAACTTCTAATTTATTTTAATGCGAAAATAATCAAGTCCCTTCACTCTAAAGCTTTAGGGTATGATGGCGTTTCCCTGGATATGCTCTTGTTAACTCTACCTTACACTCTGGACGTCCTTACGGCTATAGTTAATAGTCAATTGAAGCATACGTACCCTATAACGTGGAAAACCGCTATAGTGAAGCCATTAGCAAAACATGGTAATCCTGAGGCGATAAGCGATCTTCGTCCCATTAGCATTTTGCCATGTATGTCAAAATTGAGAAAGTAATTGTAACAATGAATATTTAGAAAAAAATACATCCTTCCCGGTAATCAATCTGGTTTTCGCAAGTCTCATAGTACGTCGACATTGCTCATTGATGTAGTTGATGATGCATTACAGGCTCAAGATAGAGGTGAAGCTACCTTTGGTGTACTTGACTTTTCGAGGGCTTTGAAACAATAATTTGACCTTATGCTTGCTAAAATGGCTTTCTACGGCTTTGAAGCTGAAACGGTCGCATGGTTTGAAACTACCTAAGGGGACGAAACAAACGTGGACAACAATACAGTAAATGGTGAGGCTATTCGGTCTCGACCGAGGACCTATTAAGTGGAGTTCCACAAGGATCAGTTTTAGGACCAATTTTGTTTAATTTGTATAGCGCAGACGTTGTCAATTCCATTAAATTTGCCAAATATCAATATATGCCGATATATCCAATATATTTACCTTTTGATCCTTTGAACACTCAAATACGGTTGGCAAACTAAATTTAGATTTACAAAATATAGCTCAATGGGCTTCTTGCAACTCCCTCAATTTGAATCCGGCTAAAACCAAATTTATGATTCTTGGTACTGACAAACAAGTAGCTGATGTTAAAACACGTGCACCTAAATAAGCGTCCTTGGAGAGGAATTGAATTGTTTCCCAACACGGAATTGGGTATAGTTTTGACTCAGACTTCGCTTCAACACATATTGAAAATGTGGTAAGGAACTGTCTTATCGGCTAAAAGTACTTACCGGTCCCGCTAAAAACAGGAGCTTCGCACAAGCTGTGCAAACTTATTCTTTCGAAACTAAATTATGGCGACGTAGTTTTCGGGCCGCGTCTTTTAGCACGGACTGAACGAGTTGTGCAGAGGGTACAAACCGTGTGCTCGATATTGTTTTAATATAGCCCCTCGCACTCATGTTACACCCTATATTAAAGATCCCAAATACGTTGCAAAATTGCACTAGCTACTACATTGGAGTGATAAAAAATGCTAAACTAATTATCTTTTTAAAAAATTAGAGTGGTGTCGTGGTGTCTTCCAAACAAGGCTCCTCAATCAGGAGGGTTGAGAATTCCTAATATAATTCGGCCGCCTTAGAGGGTCGTTCAGTTACTCACGACAAAATGCTGGAATAATATTCCACCGCCAGCCCATAATTATAATAGTTTATTTGGCTTCAAAAAATTCTACAAAGCATTTTTATTAAACTATCAGAACACTTTGCCGCTGGGGCAAAATTTCTCCCTCCTATTAGCCAATTTCTAATTTCTATTTTCTTATTGTTCCTAATGTTTACCACTAAAGTACTGTTATATAGTATCGAATGGTTGTATGTGGCTGTCTAACAGACAAACGGTAGGGTTTTGCTGAAAATCAGTGTTGTAGCATAATAACCGTGCACAACTATGCTGATAAGACCCTTTTGGCATCATTTTAAACCAAATTTAATTTAATCTTGTCGTAGTATTATTGTTTTACTTATTATTGTTATTATTGTAATTACATTTATTTTTATTACGTCTAAAATTGTACAAATAATGCTAAATAAAAATATTATTATAATTATTATTATTAATGCACTCATGAGAAAATATAAAAGTTAATATAATATAAAGGTCTAATCCGTTAGTCCATCGAGGTCAAATTCTAGCTCATACCAAAAATTTTATACGTGTTTAACGTTTTACAATTGAACCACAAAGATGGTCTTGCCTCAAGTTTCCTATTTTTACATTCCCCTAAGTCACTGATAAATCTGATAAGGATTATATGTCAGAAGACTCGTGGCTGCGCAGACCGTGATGCGCGAAAGCCCTATCGATCCAAGGACGTCTATTTTGCTCGGCGGTACATTCTATAATTATCAAGGGCTTACAGGTCTAGTGGTTGCAGTATGAATAATTTAAGTATTCAAAAATTATAGATTAGTCTCCAATTTTCTACTACCATTAGCCAAAAAGTAGTTGTAGTCGTGTGGGCTTCGAGGCACTGTTCAAAGAGGGGAAATGGTCGCTTATTTCAGTTTTTCCTCTATGGGTCTTCTAGTCAAGGGTATTGTTTGTTTTCTGGGGAATTTCCCATTTAATAGGTAGCCTTAGAGTAAATAACAATTCGTCGCCAATCAATTTTTTTAGGTCTTATAAAGACGTGAACGTATAGGCCTTATTTCTATATAAACTGTCAGAGCTCATACAAAATATCTTCATATTTGTCCGCAAATAACTGAAATATTAAACCTAGGTCGCAAATCTTAATTGACTTGTATGGGCTATTAACAGAGTCATAATGCATTTCAAATTATAATAACTAACAATAAACGAAGCTATTGATGACCTTGCAGATTATTTAAATGCATTGCTAACACGTGCTATAGTGAAGAAAATGTACATAAGTTGTAAAATGTAATGTATTTATTCTTAACAATTATTTTTTTACATTTTATACTACTTATTCTCTACTCTACAGACATTAGTCAGTAGATTAGTAAATGATATATTTTTGCTATTTAGTGTATTTGGGACGTCCGTACATGACACGACATCTTATAAAAAAAATATTAAAATATGACACTTAAGACCAACAACCCACCCTCCGTATGTATTTTAACTGTAAGATAAGTAATATAATTTTAAACCGTTAATTTTTTTTTAAATACTAGGTACTCGCATAAATTACAGACAATAGAAAGAAGTAATTTAATTTTAGCTAGCCTTAGATCTAAGAATGTAGTTCTTCCTTCACTCCTACTTTTAGCTATGCATATTTTGGTTTAATAAATATATCGATAAAAAATAAAACACTTTAACTATTCAAAACGCGATATATATTAGTTAGTAGAAAATTATTTTTAACTACAGCCCGACGTTTCGGATGCTTTGCAGTAGCAGTGTGTTGTGGCTGCTTTTTTAAAAATAGGCTTCAATAGACGTATAATACAAGATTCTAAGTACGAAGATATATGAGGCCGCTAGGGACAGAGTAGCATAACTGCAATTTTATGACGTGACTTGTTCTATAGTCTAAAAATGTTAATCTATAATTCTTACACAAATAATTATTTAAATTATTGAAAGTCATGTTTTTTGTTATTAGGCCACTCTGCCTCTAGCAGCTGCATATTAGTTTCCTAGTTCATGGACGTGTATTACGACTTGGATCAGCCTGCCCCTGAATTTGTGCACGTAGGTAACGTCACAAATTTTAGAGTTATTAATAGTGCTAGGTCAGTGACCAAACAGTTTCACATTTAATCAAGATCATGGTTATTGTATTAAAAAGTCTTACTGTAACTAGCGGACCGTTAAGGCTTCATGAATTGACAGGTGAGATTTCTTCTTTGTCTCGCTATCTATTGGTGAAGGGATGAATTTCCAGGAATTTAGTTTATGTGTGAAGTACCATCCCTTTTCTAATGTTTCTCAAAAAATTGCGCATTTTAATATATTTCTATTTAAATGAATATTTTAAGTTATATATTATCATTCATAAATAAAATGAATCATGACAATAGTCAATTTAATTTAAACGATTATTATTTTCGAGTGTTTTAAGATAAGAATTTCAATATATTGATTAACACTGTCTGTAGGTTACGAGAATACACATTTAAATAAAACATTTTAAAACGCGAAATGTATAAAATGGCGTGAGCACGACTGCTGAATAGCATCCGAAACGTCGGGTCGGAGTTGATAATAATTTAACTAATACATTTTACATTTTTTCTTTAGATATATTAAGATTTTGTTCAAGCCATGCCTTTAAAAAGATATATAATATAATAAAAAACACATAGTACTCAGTAGAGCGTGGTCGGATAATAACCATACACAGGTTTCTAAGACGAACGCAAATCCGTTGGTTTGTATAAGGTATCTGTTTCTAGTGCGTTTTACAAGACATACAGGGAAATTATCTTTGAAAAACTTAAAATAGACAAGTGCGTTTAATTCACTGATTTCGTTTAGCACGTGCTTATTAATATTATGTAGGACCTTATGAAGACCTTGCTCGTGCGAAACCGACTCTTAAAGCACAAAAATATGTCTGTCTACGCCCCAAATAGTGAAGGTAGTAAATATCCTGTATGTTTTCGGCATAGTAGTGTACGCCCATTTCACATACACCTGAATATTTTATTACGAAATTTTTATTATTGTTATCTCACTCTAACTTCCGGTTGCAATGCGTTTGCGCAATACGCTAATACTAATATAACGTATATCAGATGTGTATTTCCGTTTGTACCTTAATCTGACTATGGTTAAACAGTTGAATGAAATGAGCAAAAATACGATTTTTTAATTTTAAAATTGCATATTTTGATTCCGATCTTCCGTGTCTATCGATCTATATATATTAACTTTTTTTAAACTTCAAAAAAGGAAAAAGTACGTTTTTCAATAAACTGAATTTCCTGAAAGATTTTCCTCGAGTTTCAAGACGGATTTTCTTACGTAACGATATTAAGTGAACAAGAATATTAGAGGTATAATGTGAAGAGTAAAAAACCCACCCAGCAACCAATTAGCCAAACCAATTAATCGATTTTCCCTCCAAAACCGTTCCATGCAAAACGACTCACCCCAGCTGGACCCAGTGCGGCCGAGGACCTGGCCCGTCTCCGAGTTGTACAGGAAGATCCTGAAGGACTCCCATCCTCCAAGGTCTGGTGGTGGTGCATAATACTGTTCAGTTACTTTAGTCTTGTCTGCCATGGTCGAACGCTGAGCCGGACTGCGGTACTGAATCGATTGTGATCGCTGTACCCTCCCGTCCCGCGCCCCTCCCCCTCAGAAACCCTCTGAACCCCTCTGCAACCCTCCAGCCCTCTTACGTAACGATTGCGTAACGCTGCGCGCGCAGAAATCGGAGAAAATCCCGCCTTTGCGCGACTGCTACCTTTGGGCGTGAAGGTGGTAAGGTCAAATCATTCTGGTCTGTAAATTATCGAAATGCAGGGGATAGACACATTTGTGCGTCTGTATCGGTGATATAGGCGTAGGGTACTTCCAGTCTTTAAAAACGATGTATTTATTTAGTTTTGTTTTTCGGTAAAACAATAAATCGAACTAGGTGTACAATCAATATCGTTTAGTAGTTACAGTTAGACTCTAATCTATGGAATAATAAACTTGCTACTTAATACCAAATCATTGTCTATATGCCTTTCATTGTAAATGATTGTAAGCAGTAATGCGTAAAATCACCCCTTTTTATTACTTTATTAGCTAGCAATATTAAAAGGGCGTGAAACGATAAAGGGGTCGACATTAGTGTTCGTTGAAATAAGCTAATCTTTTTCAATTCGCTTCATACCAAATACGATATAAATATTGGGACTATATATTTTTTTTACATTTATCACACAAGTTCATAAGGCATATCCTGTTTAGGAATTGAATCTAACTTTTTAATAACATCAAAAAAAGACAAGTACTAGAATAAATAACTCATTTATTTTTAAAATACAATCTGCAGATAATATTGTCCATACCCTTTAATTACTATAGATGATAACATTGGGTGCAGTATATTACAGCTTTATTTAGTTTAAAACACAGATAATAGTCAATATAAAAACCAGTGCAACGCTGAACAATGATAAAAATAAACGCCTGACATATTTTACTGAGCTCTATTTACTGCAGTGCATTGATCTATTTTATTTCAAAAGGCGCATAATCTCGGTACCAACTCCATGTAGTTAAGATTTTCGTCAACTTAAATGGAATACGTACATAAAGAAAATTAGATCATCCTGGATTGCATAATGTCGGACGCTTTTTCCACCTTGTCTGGTGTGGGCGTGTCGCTTAGAGCATCAGCTTGCGGTTTAGTCCAAGCCTGGCAAACGCAGGTTGGACCTGGTCCTGCTTGTCCATTGGAAACCATGAAACCTTGGCCATTGATTTGACCATCGCTGCCGCTACCTTGAAACTGTCCAGTTGACTGATATTGTCCAGAACCACCTTGGTATTGTCCACTGCCTTGATACTGATTACCTTGGTAATTACCGGAGCCTTGATACTGTCCAGCACTAGTTTGATACTGTCCTGTCCCCTGGTTAACTCCTTGACTAGGTTGAGTCGTGAAATATTGTCCAGATCCCTGGTTCCCGTTCTGGTTTGGGGTGTTTTGGTACACGATCTGGTATTGCTGACCTTGCCCTTGGCCATTAAACCCTTGGTAGTTACCGTTCTGGGGGAAGTTCTGGTTGAAACCGTTTTGATAAGTGTATTGGTTCTGCGAATTGAACTGCCCTTGGTACTGCGTTTGAGAGTTGAACCCGTTTTGGAAATTTCCGTTCTGGTAATTGCTTTGCGCGTTCCACTGTTGTGGGTATTGTTGGTAATTGGGGTATTGAGTATTTTGAGTCGGTTTATTCTTGTGACTCTGAACGATGTCTATGACGCCGTTGATAAACTTTTCGGGTTTCAAAAGTACGCCTGTTCGTACGTCCTTAGTTGTCGTTGTTGATATAACATTGTGACGAATTGAAGCTAGAATCTGGAACGAAATTTCCTTTTAGCACACATATTAAAAATTCGACTCTAAAGCGATCATTTCTTGCAATTAATGTTTTTTTTTTCTGTCATATCACAATTTAAAACGCGAAATATATTAGTCAAACGTTATTACAAATTATTTTTAACCACAGCCAGACATTTATATATTAAATAAGTTAAAAGAAACTTTGCCACAGACAGTACTCGAATGGCTATCCTTTTCATTGCTTTGCTAATCGGATGACGATAAGCTTCTATCGTAGTACGTCGAGTGTAGCCGTTTATTGAATCCTTAAATACCTGTTTGTAACCTTATTCAAGCATTTTATGTTCTTCAGTGGTGGTACATATAAAGAAAACCAAATCCATATTATATAACCAAATTCATGAAATAAATAAACTATCAATATTTGACAATCCCTTCTGTACCTTCAATGGTACAGCCTAATGTTATAATAATTAATATAAGTGACATACTTACAATAAGATAAATTGCGTACTTCACCTCCATAATGCTGGACTGCAAGTTCCTTCCGTAATTGTCGAAAAAAGCCAAGGACACCGTCTTATATTGCATTCAGCGGGATAGACTTTTCCCCACTCTGTCTTCACCTTAGGGCTGCCAAGCTTATGAAAGTTGACGAAATGTTTAATAATGGGAGTTGGTTATTTTACTTTTTTAGGGGAGAAAAAGGTTAATGATGTTATTCAAATGCCGCTATAGTTCCTGAGGTGCCTGACGTGGGTTCTAGTCCCGCCTGGATTTTTTTTAAATCTGCAGTAGTTTAACAACCTGTGAGGTTATGAAATATCTTTCAGTAGAAAATTATCAAGATTTACATTGAATACTTTCTTGAATAATGGCGGGTAAAAGCAAACTTATCCAATAAATAAGAAAATAACAATCTTGTAAGCTATCTATAATTGTATAAAAATATAATTTTACATTACTTAAAGCCATTTAGTTTATGTTAATAAACATTGTATAATTTCTTTAAGTTTTTAACCATTTCAAAACCAAAAAAATTAATGGTAGTTTAATATATTTTTATGGAAACAGCTCAATAAAAAGCGCAATATATATATGACACGAATTAATGATGTAGAATCACAAGAAAATAATTAAATTTCTCTCGCAGACATTTTTCAAGTAGACAGGGGAGACATAAATAAATAAAGTGGAATATAAAAATATCTTGTTCATCCCTTAAAGTACGTGTAATTCTGAATTTGTGAGTGATGTTCCCATGTGATCGAAGAGGCGGTGCGCGAAATATCTCACCCTGTGGCCTATAGTCCCGCTATACGAAATAGTGCTGTACTCCGATCGTATCGATTGTCGATAAAGTCACTATAGTATAAAACAGAGTAGCTTTTTCTGTCTCTATGTACGCTGAAATCTTTAAAACCATGCAACCGATTTTGATGTAGTTTTATAATAGATACAGTGATTCTAAAGGAAGGTTTTTATATAATAATAATAACATTATAACACTTTATTACAAACACATAAAATACAAATATAGTAATACTACATTTATTATTTAAAGGGTTAGTGCAAAGGCGGACTTATCACCAAAGACGATTTCTTTCAGGCAACCATTGTATAAAGAAAAGGAAAACAAAATAACAATAAATAAATAAAAGCCAACGAGAATGAGAGAGAAAATGCAATAAGTTGTAAATTACAATGATATCAAATACTAACACAAAAAAAACTATAGACAGTATAAAACAAAAAACGCTAACACACTAAACAGTAAAAACTTAAGATTCTAAATTTACGGATCTTCAAAGATGCAACTTTAAAATAATTTATATGAAGTTAATAAAAATTCACGATGAACATACTTTGAAGAAAATGTTGTTTGACTTTGGCTTTGAAGGAGTTAAGACTTTGTGAGAGATAATCGTATATACAACGTTCACAGTTTCATGTATTTTATATCAACTCCTATGCTTGCGAAGTCGAGCGGTACTAGTGTTAAATTAAAAAAGTAGTGTTTTGATCAAATATTTTATTTTGTTTATCAGACTATCAAACTTAATTGAAGGAAAATATGTAAATACAAATAAGACAAAAAGTACTTATGACACGAACCGAAGCGTTTACACTCTTATAAAAATAAAACAAACACTGTTTGTTTATTTTTTAATGTAAATATTCAATACTAGATCTTGCGACTAATATCAAGAAATACTATCTACGTCAACTCGTATGTATTTAACTGAATCTAGTTAATCTATTTCACTAATTGTATTCAAAAACATAAATATATTTCATAAAAGTATGTAAACGCTTATTAGTACTGCCGTACCTACTTATTATGAATTTATCGATATCAATATTATCGATTACATCCCTCCAAAACCGCACAGCTGATTGACGCCCGACCGAAACGCTAGCGTACAAACTTCTTTTTTCGTTTTGTTTCAATAAAATGAAGTCGGATCATTGTCGAATGAGGATTTATTACTTTAGCCCCGTTCCGTTTCGCGGAAGGTGCAGATTTGTTCGTTCATTTGTAATTTGATTTTAAGATTACCGTGCGTCTTGTAATGACTTTGGGGATAAGTAAATTATAAATGCGAACATCTGGCCAGTTTTGGTGCGGAGGCTTTTTAACCTTTCAAAATGTATTTAATGGACTTTTAGAAATGAGATTCCCTACTAAAACCATTGAATACAAAGATAAAAATGGTTTTACTTAGGAATTTTATTCCTAATTTTATTAGATTTCTTGTCTGTGATATTCCATAAAGCGTTAGAAGACAAACTTTGTACCAGAGGTCTTCCTAGACCTCAGCAATTGCAGACTCACGGGATGCGTCGAGGTAAAGCTAATTAAATGACATCTAAAGTTATTAGCGGGAGGTGAGATTGCTCGGTTACTTCTCTCGGAGGTCAGGGACGGTGTAATGCAACATTGAGTCAAATTAAAGGTAAGCAGAAAAAAAAATGGAAAAATAACCTTTACGATGTTATGATAACAGTTTTTAGTATATCATGTAGTTACTGAGTAGTCTCTATAGTGTTCTTTAAATAAACCCTTAGGGTTTGTCTTAATTTTAAGTAATTAATTCGAGTTAATATAGTTTAAAATGTTAAATAGTAAATTCAATTTCAAATGTTATATATTAAATATTCAACAACTACCTAATTTAAATAAAGTTTCATTATTGCACACAACCGTCCCATTATCCTGTGCCGGTTGACAAGTGCGCGGGCGCATTCATTGCGCGCACAGTGCTCTGCCCATCTCCTTGGACCCTAACATGTAAGTACACGTTGAAATCACATATGTCTATTTGTAATATCAAACTGAACCTTATAAAATTGAGTGCAACTTTATTCATTATTTCTTTCTAGAACAAACTTACCATATTTTGGTCACGCCATAAATTGATTCGATGGGTTCCATAAATTTTTACTATGGCTGAAATCGTAAATTGAAGAAAAAGGATAATGACATTGGATAAACCTAGTATTTTCTTTAGCTAAATGGATTTTTTTCTGCTTTAGCTATAATCTGTTCTTTTTTATGACAGAGGAGCATAGGGTACTAATTGATGGTAGTTGAAATAACCCAGCCATGTAACGTCTAAAGATGATACGCTGTCGACTTATATTTGTTTTGGACATATGGAAATCCACAGACTGAAATCGAAACCCGATCAAGCTAAGAGGTTGACCCGACGGAATTTCGACTTCTTTATCACCCATTTGATTTCCAAATTTCCAGACGAAGCCTAACATGTTTTATAAAAAATATATTGATTAGAGAATCGTTAGACCCGTTCCTTACATTGCGACTAACGAGCCCCTCAAATCAATCCGTATTTATTTATCATATATTTTTACAGAACATCAAACAAAATGACGGTTAAGAAGCGACCATCCGATCTATCGAGCCTTGAAAGGTTCAACCTTTACTATCGAGAGAAGGAATCACCTCTCACTAGCAGCCAGAAGATCAAGCGCTTCATCTGGAACCCGAAGTCTAGGCAGTTCTGTGGAAGAACTGGTGCGAGCTGGTGTGAGTATACATTCATGTTATTAGTTATTACACATAACTAATCTTAATTATATGTTATGTAAGGATATTGATAAAATAAACACTTTAAACCGGTTTAAAACTCTAAAAATATTATTTAACTTGGAAACGTGGACAAGGGGGACACCGTGACCACAGCTGATGCAAAGCGTCCGAAACGTTGGGCCGTAAATAAAATAATTTTGAAATAAGTTTAACTGATATATTTCGCGTTTTCAACGGTTAGTAATAGTTTTATTTAATTGCGTGTATGTATATGTAGCTATGCTTCTTAATAATTAATTCAATTATGGAACTTGCACCATAATAAAAATAAGTAGTTCAGGGTTTTGTGCTATGTACCACTGAAAGAAATCTTTAAACACATACCTATTCCTAGATTCGAATTCGAGACCTCACACTTAACGCAATACATTTAACCATTGAGCCATAAAAGATATGAATCTGGTTTCCCCGAAATAAAATTATATGCTTATAAAATCTACGCTAAGACTTTTCAAAGATTTTTATTTGGTCACGAGAAATTTGAAGTCAAGGTCCTCGAAGATGCCCCGCCGGAAACGACGCCGGCGCAGAATTGAACTCATTGCTACATCCTGCTCGTCCCGACACTAGTTGTGGCTAGTAATGGCCAGTGTCATACCACAGAATACTACATTAACGCAATACCACATTTTGGCTGCTTATCACAAAGGAAAATTAAAACTACATCGAACATTTGTACGATCTTTTTTATTATAGTTTTTATCGTACAACAATACGGTTAAGATCGTATAGCACCTGTAGCCGTTGCTATATGTTTTTTGCAAACCTTTCTTATGTAAAATAATTTTTAATAGATTAACGTTCTACTTAGATCGTAAAAGCACAATAAAATCACTTCGATAATAAGATATAATGATAATTTTTGCTTTGTTCGAAAAATCGTCTAAATTGTAATCCTTAAATAATATTGAAAAAGAAAATAATATTTTAATAATTGATTATTGTATTTATGTGTCTGTAGTTTACTAAACTACAGACACATACACATTTAAATAAAACACTTTTAATGGTTTTCAACGCGAAATAATAGTTAATTAAAAAAAATGAGAAGTGACTACAATAATTGACTACTAGGCGTGTTTTATATAATAAGCTACTGATTTTCGACTGAAACACAAGTAGTTTTGCGAAATGACTGCGAACTCTGCATCGGCTTTATTACAAATATACACGGAACTTCAAATATTAATGTTCTCAATAATTGGTGTTTCAGGCATGATAATATTATGTTCTTTGTTGGCAGCCAAAATAGCATTATTCTACTTCACCTTTTACGCGGCGCTGGCTCTTCTAGTAGCGATATGCATGTGGACCTTCCTCCAAATGCTGGACGCCCGTCAGCCCCGGTGGCAGCTAGACAGTTCCATTATCGGGACGAACCCAGGTCTCGGCTTCAGACCGACACCGCCAGAGGTCGCCAGTAGTGTCGTCTGGTATCGAGGAAACGATCCGGGCAGCTATCAGTTGTGGGTCAAGGAGTTGTCCACTTTTTTGAAAGGTACTTTTAAATTTTATATAGCCGTTAATTTCCCTTGGATAACAAGGTCTTTAATATATTCTGATGTTTAAAACTAATTCATAACGAGGTATTATTTCAGAAGTACGCCATGTCTATCTCAAACTAACATATTATATTAAAAGTAGACATGTTTAATAATGCTTCCTTCAGTGCCTCTATACCAATTATTCGATGGAGTATTTTTTCTATCTCGGCAAAAAACCACAACAAATATGGCAGATTTCAAGCTATAGAGAACTAGGGAAGACCGTTTATAGAGTGAAATCGTTACCACGGATGGCTACACGACATCAATATTCAAAATCACTTTTATGACGAACTTTTTCAACGTAACGTCACGCACATCATGATTTGAAAAAATACACTATGCATCGTTACGCCATCTCTATCTAACGGTAAACCCTTCGTTGCAGCTTACAAACGTGACGGCAAAAAAACGAGTGCCGGTCAAAATATCCACAATTGTGACTTTAAACTACCGCCACCTGCCGGCAAAGTCTGCGACGTAGATATCAGCGCATGGGGTCCTTGCGTTGAGGAGAATAACTTCGCATACCACAAGTCAACACCGTGCGTCTTTCTAAAGCTGAACAAAATCTTCGCATGGAAGCCGGCCTTCTATAACAGCTCGGACAGCTTGCCCGAAGCGATGCCAGACGATCTCAAGGACCACATCAAAAATATGACTGCGTACGATAAAAATTATGTAAGGTTCTTCAGATGAAACATTTGTTATAGATAGGCCAGAACGTGAAACGCTCGCGCCATCTCGTTAATTTCGTCGTAGCAGATTGCAATGCAAATAGCTGTATGTAGTGATTGCACTTAGCCATTAGGGACACCCTCTTTCTATAGGCATCTTGCAGCAGCAGTCTCCCCGTGAATGCTGCTGCTAAGCATCCGAAACGTCGGATGTATGTATGCATCTTTCGATAGTTATAAACAATACTCAACTATGTCAGGGGGATAGTGGCGAAAAAGTCCAGACTTTGTCTCAATTACCTTTGAATTCAATTCAATTTAATTTTTTGTTTATTTACGAAACAGACCTATTTAGACTTCCAAACTATGGTAGACAAATGATAAAGCATGTATTTAATAGCTATTTTGAAACATAGTGACGATTTCATATAAAGAATATTTTTTATTTTTCAGTTAAACATGGTGTGGGTGTCATGCCAAGGCGAAAATCCAGCTGACCGGGAGAACATTGGGCCAATCCAATACTTGCCTTACAGGGGATTTCCGGGATATTATTTCCCATACACGAACCAGGAAGGTTATCTGAGCCCATTAGTTGCAGTGCACTTGCAGAGACCAAAGAGTACGTAAAGAATTTGTTTTTTTTTTTTCTCAAAAAAAGTCTCGAAAAAATATTAAATTTTTAGGAACATGTTGGATCAGGTGGGGATCGAACCTAAGGCCCCTTGATTAACCATCATTTGCTACTTATGTTATAATAACTTAACATTTCCGTCTATGTCTATTAACATATAAATTTGTTTCTGCCTCTTTTCAGCCGGAATGCTCATAAACATAGAATGCAGAGCTTGGGCCCACAACATCATGTACGACCGCGGGGAAGGCATGGGCTCAGTGCATATAGAGATTATGGTCGAATAAAACCGACGCGTCGAGTGAATTTAGTTTAGGCACATGATGTTATTTTCCGAGTAAATTATTGAATGAATGTTGTCTATGGTACTTTATCATCCAGGAAAAGTCGACCACCGACTGTAAGACCCTGAAAGATAAAAAAATTATGAATTTAAATACTGTTTGTAGTTTACGCGAGTAGTACACATTTAAATAAAACACTATATCGGTTTAAAACGTGAAATATATCAGTTAAACTTATTTACAAATTATTTTAACTACGGCGCGACGTTTCGGATGCTTTGCAGAAGCCCTACGAATTGGAGACGGGGAACGTCAGGTTAAAATACATTTTAAATAAGTTAAACGCTTTAAAGCATTTAAAGTTTCGCGTTTTAAAGCATTACAGTGTTTTATTTTGATAAATCTGAATTTGAAATCGATTATAAATTTAATAAAATTACGCCGATTATAAATTGAACAAAAAAAATAGAGAAAAAGATTTCTAATTATATAGTACCATCATTAACGTGTAAAAAATATTAAAGATTTCCAACGAGTTTAATCTATAAAAAATAAAACCATTTTTTGTCTCCAACAGGGCCTCAATCCACTGCCTGCTGACTTTACCAATTTCTAGTTCCCTATACAACAGACATAGATGTATTTTAACTTTTAGATCCGGACAGAATAAAAGAACAATAAAAATAATAACCAGTTTTGCGGGTAGTTTGAATTCTATTGTTTGTTAGATGCGTGTAAATATTGCAAGTATGTATATGTATTCGATGCTTCGCGAGTTAAGTGCATTTGAAAGATTAATTAGTTAAACAAACGCTACTAAAACTAAACGCAAGATTGTACCTGTTTCCACCAAACTTTTCAATACACGGCCACTGAAGGTATGTACCTAGACTATAAATCTTTGCAAGTCGTATGTTTTATTCATAATACTTGTTTGCCATATTACATTTATTATATTGTAATATTAAATACAAATTTTGTTTTTGATGTTACATGGCTAGAATATTTCACCTGTCAACTAGTAAATGCCAGGCTTGTAGCTAAGACATATTATTTTTAATTAATTTTGCTAATATAAATGAAACGCATACAACATTAAAATTCTATATATTAAGTACAAGGTATAAAGTAACTTGTGTAATTTCTAAACACCAAACAGATTAAGAGACGATATAAGGCACTATTAAGAACTACTCGCTTATTGTGCTTTACATTCAATACAACTTTCATTTGGTTACGACTGATAGCATTTGCAAAGATAACTAATAAATAAGACAAGTAAAATTAGACGGCATTGATATGACAAAGATGGTTTTGAACTGGTACGGAGTTTAATCCACTGTTTGAATAAAACACTTTAACGGTTTAAAACGCGATATATATTAGTTAAACTTATTTAAACATTATTTCAACTACGGCCCAACGTTTTGCAGCAGCCGTGGTCAGCAAACGCCGGGCCGTAGTTAACGTAATTTTCAAATAATTTTAACTAATATATATCGCGTTTTAAACCGTTAAAGTGTTTTTATGTGTGTACTACTCGCGTAAACTACTGACAGTGATTATTCCATTGTTTATAACGTATTTTGAATTACTTATTATCATTTTTTTTTCTCTTTTTAAATAATTCTAATACTGTAAAGTGTAAAGCTGACATGTAGCGTGCTTCATAAATCTTCAGTCGATCATGATTTCCAGATGAGTGGAGCCGAGCCTCTCCTTCAAGCTCTCCGTGAATACGATATTACGAGCCCAAGCACGACAGCGAATGTTAATTATCTGGCTGTCTGTAAAATACCAATGAAATCATAATATCAATACACCAGCTGTGTCAGCGACTTCGTCCGCGTAGAATAGTTATTTTGCACATCCAAAATGGATTTACCTTAAGATGAAGAGGAGTTCTTTATAAATTTAAGCCGTTATCCACTACGTCAGTCGCGTCCCGTCGTTGATAAAGGACATTTAAAGAGAAATCATTCTGTCTACATTACCGCGACGCATCGGCAACCCAAAGTGAATCATTTTTTTCTACACCTTCCCCTTTAAATAAAACACTTCAACGGTTTAAAACGCGATATATTAGTTAAACTTATTTGGAAATGATTTTTAACTTCGGCCCGACGTTTCGGATGCTTTTAAGCAGTCGTGGTCACGGGGAGACCCGTTAAAAATCATTTCCAAATAAGTTTAACTAATATATCGCGTGGTTTAAACCGTTGAAGGTGTTTGATTTAAATGTGCACTTTCCCTTTGTTTCTTCCTTCATATTAGTCACATAGCATTTTTTTCAATTAAATTCGAACTAGTCGTTCCTAAGATGGCGCAATCAAACAAACAAACAAACTCTTCAGAATTTTTTTTATCATTTTATGTGATGCTACAAATAATAATTTCATTGCATTAAGGGCAAAGCAAAACGTAGTTTAGAATAATTCGATAATAATTTGTTAATCGAGTGTGCCGGTTCGAGTCATTTATTTAAGAAATTTTAGTCTCAGATGTACATTTCAATTTTACAAGTACTATACGCGTCAAAACCAAATCGAAATTCCAGAATGTCAAAATGAATATGTACTTACGTATAGGATTCATCAACTGCACAGCAACCAAAGGACTGAGGTACCCTGGAGTGTTGTTATAAGGGAAGTAGACTTCAGGTAGACCAGGGTGGGGCCAATATTTTAATGGCCCCAGTGCTTCTGTGTCAGCTGGTCTTTCACCCTTGCACGACAGCCATACCTGACGTCTCTGAAGGTTTAAATATTTATCAAAATGGTGGAAGTTGTTAGTTGACTGACCGGCGAATAATAGGTACATTTTGACCCATTTTTTTATTTGGAAATCAAAGTAAGTAAAATAAATGATAGTGTTATAAGAACTGAACTCTGAACAAAAAAAATATTTTGCTCATGTCGTTAAAGCACATGATGGCATTGAAAACATTCTACAAAGATATGTAAGACACGGTAACTCAATCGGTTAGACCAACACCGCGGAACACTGTGGTACCACTCCAAGTCCCGCCCGTGTCGCATTTTTTAAAACCTAAAATCAATTTTAGAACTGCCTATTTAATGTAAAACTGTGTAATGTATTTGTATCTTACCTCTTGCGGCGATGTAGTAGAATTGAAGTATTTTAAAATGTCAGGGGGCATGTCGGGCGGTAAATCCCCTGGGTCATCGTAGAAAACAGGTTGCCAGTCGTAAATCTACAATAAAAATGATTTCCTACTTTTTATGACAGAAGAACATCGAAAGTTGAAAGTCTTGATAAAAGGAATAATACCCCAGTAATCTAATATTGAAACAAGATCGTCTGTCTGCTTACTTTGGACGTTTAATGGGAACGTTCACTGAAATTTTGTGCTCAAATGTTATATATATAGATCTTGCTTGCAGTTCCGCCTACAAAATGCAAGCTTGGTGTAAATAACCAAAATCAATTTACAAACCTTATTAAGTTTTATAATGAGACAAGGTTTTCCTTCTTCGTATCCGTAACCGCTTTCGCCGCACGGCCCCAGTAGGGAAGTGTCGAAGAGGCAAACCTCGCCAGCCTTTGGTCTATTTTCTTTACAATCTATCTGGTTCACTCCTTTGTTGATAAGGAGAGATTTATTCTTGTAGGCTGGAAGCATAAAACGTCAATCTTCCAAACATTTCATCTTGATAACCTGAGCTAGATTTTCCCACCAAGTCTTCTCCTTTGGTTGCTCAATCAGATTGGAATACAATAAATATTTAAAAACATTAATATTTTTTTGCACATTCGTCGTGGATTATTGAATAGAATTATATAAATTAAATATCTATTCAGATTTAAAAAAAGAATACCAAAAAAGCCGGGATCTGAACCGGTATATCCACAGGGTTCCATAGTGTTGCTCTTAGCAACGTACACTTGCAAAGTATTTTTTGCGAGCTCTTTCCTAGTTATCTCAATTGGTTAGATGGTAATTTCGTATTCAATATAAATAGATTTTAAAAGTCAAAAATCATAGGTTTATACATGTAGGTAACTATGTACACTTATGAACTTCACAAAACTAAAGACTATCTCTAACTTTACATTTCTTAATACTCATTTAAAAACTATTTTATTTCTCTCTGTTCCTAAGTTACTAAAACCTAAATTGGTTAACTTACGCGCTAGAAATCCGTCAAGATTTTCAATATATTTCTGGTATGACGTTTCATTGTCCATTTTGTACCAGATCAGAGCACCTTCTTCGAACACTATCGGTCTGTGGCCCATTCCAGGGTTGTTTCCTGGAATAAAATTCATGAACAATTCTTAATAACGTACTACCCTCCATTAGAATTATAGCATCTTCTACGAAGCTAAATTAAAATAAAGTGATGTCCGAACCATTTGTTCACAATTAAATATGTACAACAATTTTTTCAATTCAAACCAATTAAGTGCCTAAGTTCAGCGCGTTTCCTATAAAGAAATACGCACGTACAACATGAGGTCACTAATTTCGGTTACCATTACTAAATTAGTGACGGTAGTCAATAAGTCCTGCCAACCCGCTCCAGAGCAGCGTGTGTCTAGTTTTTTAAAATTTCTCTCAAAAAATAATACAACTTACCAATGATAGACTCTGCCAACGTGAAGTAAGGCACATGTTCGTCCACCGAGGCCAGAAGTCCACACATACAGATGGAGAAGAAGATCACGATACAGATATACATCACCAGGTAGATGAGTCCTATCACACCTGTAATAAATGGGGGTGGGAAACCCACAACAATAATCTTGCTTAGATTCTTTACCCCAGTGATGAGTACATGCCTCTCTGGCACGGTTGAACTTAAGGAAAAATACTTTTTTTTCTCTGTCGTATGTGGTGATATTCATTTAATATAACTACGGCCCGACGATTCGAAGGCTTACAACAGCTGTGGTCACGGGGCGACTATAAAATAAAAATAAGTGAGCTAATATCGCGTTTTAAACCGCTAAAGGTTATATATTAATGTATAGTACTCCCGTGAACTACAGTAAATACTTAAGGTCATGTATTTTAAAACTGTAATGTGATATTGACCACTAGGTATATATATTTTATTTTACTTTAACCACAATTAAATTTGATGCCTGGATACTTCTTATACAAATATAATTACTTCTAAACATTTTACGAAAAGTATCGATCACATTTAACGGTTTAAACACGAAACATTGGTCGATTTATTTAATTGAGAGCCGACGGTTACTATGCTTGTACTAGCTTTAACAAAAACGTACAGCCGTAATTAAAGAAACACGGTGACTGATATATTTCACGTTTTAAACTGTTAAAAGTGTTTTAGTATATATTACGTTTCCGATTAGGTTCTCTCAGTTACAAATTTCTATATTATAAGTTTTAAATTTAGTTACAGATTCTAATATCGAACTCATATTGCGCAAGTTTGTCTTGACTTAGATATGTCTTAGAAAAATTATCAATGATACATTTTTACTCATTTTATTCGCATACATATAGAAGGGTGTGTATTTTGTTTTCGTGAAATTCAGCATTCGATTAAATTCGTTCTTCTCTTCTGAAGATCTTTCGATTCCCATAATACACACACATAAGTGTATATCATGTTGCAAGTTATACATTTGCAAATATTAAATATACAGTACTAAAGTTTCTAAAAATAGTCAAAGTCGTACGAATCGGATGTGGTCGAAATAGTTCAGGGACTGTTTACATAAACGTAAATCGTATCAAATTGCGACCTTATACATACTATATACTAGCTTGGCCCGCGACTTCGTCCGTGTGGAATAGTTATTTTGAACACCAACATTTATTTTTGCAAATAAACACCTCAGCCTTATAAAGTAGTAGTAGTGTCAGCGACTTTGATCGTCGTTCTTGCGAGTAAATCTTAAAGGATATACATATACTGTCGCTGACAGTTTTTTCAATTAAAATATTCTAATATTTAGCAAGACGAACTTAAGATGAATTCCTCGTTTTATTTCACTCTATTTCTTCCTATATAGATGTTATTTCCTAAACCATCTTCGATAAATTTTCCGCCATACAAAAATATTTTGTCAATCAAAAAGTTCTGGTTACTGTTCAGCTTTATAATATTAGTATAAATTGCTTTTTTACACACACAAACAGAAGAGACTAGTAGAAGTATTTTTAAGAGACAAGTATTTTTTCCTTTAATCGATTTTCTTCCAACTTAAAGTCCCACTCACCGGGCACAAATCTTGTCCTTCAAGAAAAGATGGTTTAAAGGGGTGGTGTCCCGTGCGTCTCGTCGTACATACATCATATTCTTAAAATGGTTCCGTACCAATCGTTCCTCTAATAAAAGGTAGTTATTTAAAGGAATGTACAAAAGACAGTCGCACATTTTAGAATAGATAAGTACTGTTAGTAGTGTGTTATTATCAAGATACGAATCTACACAAATTGTTTCAACTAGGTAATTTAGGCTCTCTACACGTTTGGCGATTATTAATTTAGTTAGCAATGTGTGGCTTAAATACTGCCTATAGTTTACGTGAGTAGTACACATTTAAATAAAAAACTTTAACGGTTTAAAACGCGATATATTAGTTAAACTGATTTGAAAATTATTTTTGAGAGTGGTGACGGCTGCTGCAAAGCATCCGAAACGTCGGGCCGAAGTTAAAAATCATTTTCAAATCAGTTTAACTATTATATCGCGTTTTAAACCGTTAAAGTGTTTTATTTAAAAAATGTGTGGCTTATAATCAACGTGGTATTGGGGTCGATCCCCACCAGATTCAAAAATGTTTCTAATCAATTTAAAATTTTTCTTAAACAGCTTGTAATAAATGGGTGATAGGAATATCGAAATTCCGTCCGGGTTACCTGTTGGAGCCATTAAGAGGTGGCTTTTGCGTGACCGATTGGTCAGGCGCATAATAATAGATAACCACCGTTCACTGATGAAAGAGCCGTAAAGTTTAATTGCGCTTCGGTCTGATTTTCCTAATATATAAAATCAAAATAGTTCATCAGCGCGTTTGTTCAGATGCTTTATGGCTATTTTACCTACCATTGAGTGAACTGTGCTGGTCTATCCTCCTCTTACGTAAAAACAATAGCATATACACCTTTGCGAGCGTGCTGTGGAAATGTATTTATTCACTTTTTGTTAGCAATATTTAAAGTTAAATAACTAGAATTGTATTAAGTTTGAGAGGTTTTCGAAGGCTATCAATGTTTTTTTATATAAAATGAACGTCCACAAACATTCCGTCGCCGCCTCGCGTGTACTCTACCTAAAATAGGTTCGTAATGTAACAGTGACGCACGAAGCCCCTCCTATGGGGTGGTTTCTCGTTATTACACATCACACTTGACATATTTACTTGCCACATGTTGACAATATTAAAAGAATATAGCCTCTGCTCGGTTTATTACGAAGATTAAATATTTAAATAAAACACTTATTATGCTTTAAACGCGAATAAAACATTTTTAAATAAGCCACTTTCAACGGTCAAAAACGCGAAATGTATTAATTAACTTTATCTGTTGTATAGTCGAATACGTTGAAATAAAACAATTTTAACCGTTTTAACATGAAATATTTTAGTTAACTTTATCTGCAGTCTGCTAATAGCGATGAAAGGCCAAGAAAGGACAGTGTGGAGAGTGGGTTTGAACACAAGCCACTACTCTACGTATTTTACCCTTTTTGATCAGAATCAATCAGACTCCTCTAGTCTGGGCGACCGGTACTTTTGCTTTTAATTAGTGGTAGAAATTTTTTAAAGTCCGTCCGGGACACGAACCAACGTCCACAATGGAAAAAGCCGTGAAGTTTAATAGCATTTCGGTGTCACTCTGTGGATTTCCGAATATATAAAGCCAAAATAGGTTAAGAGCGCATTTTGTTTCGATGTTATGTAGCTGGGATATTTCATCTACCAACAAGTGAGGCTTATACTTGTCTATCATGAAAAAAACTATTCTACCTGGATTCGAACCTACGACCTTTCATGCTTAGGTAACCTCAACATACGACAATAAGAAGGCGGTTGAAAAGTGGTTATTTTAATATATTTATACGCAAAAGTTAGCGTAAGTAGGGTGTTGGTAGTCGGCTCACGGTAATCTGAGTTATTGCTTCGAAAATAGCTGCTGAAAGCGTGATTCAACTGAACGTAAAATATGAATGCATTACTTTAGATTCAACCTCGATACTTCGTGGTTTATAAAGATTTTATTTCACATGAGTGAGGATGGATCAAAGTAGTTTTTATTACGGTTTACCAAAGCTTGGAAAATACGCTGTGTACTGTCAATAGTTTACGTGAGTATTACACATTTAAACAAAACTTTTTAACGGTTTAAAACTCGATATATATTGGTTAGTCTTATTTTTAACTTCCGCCCGACATTTCGGATGCTTTGCAGCAGCCGTGGTCTCCCCGTGATCGTTAAAGTGTTTTATTTAAATATGTACTACTCTGTTCTCGTTCTGTATACGAACCACTGCATTATAAATTAATGTATTGTTTTATCAATACATCGTTTATCCTATGTATAATTATTATTCATGACATTAATAAATTAAATTGTTAACTCAATAAATAATTAAAAAGTTTTACCGTAACAAAAATTAACTTACTACCGGTTCGAAAACTGTATAATTATTAGTTATTATTGCATAACCAACCAATTTTCAAAGTTGGTCAAGATATGTATTTATTCAATCTAAATAGATTTTTAATTTATTACTTACTATCACAAAACTTTTTGCGATCAAAAAGTATTTCCTTTCTTTTTTTTCATTAACTAAACGATAGTTATTATAACTATACGCTTGATTTTAGGGTGACATAAAAGGTCTACAAGGCACAATATGATAAACCGCCATTCATAAAATTGGTAAAAATGGTACAATAATCAGACAGAGTTTTTTCTATTTTATTTGACGAAAACTGATGTGTGTTTGACAATTACTTATTTCGAAACTGTTCGTGTCTTTTCGTTTCAATGACTTTTATCTGAAAAGAACAATCCAAGAATTGCACAGTCAGATCCTTTTACATACTCGTATTTGAACTCTCCCGAACGTAGTTAAAAAATTAAGAATTCAACATGATATAAGAATTTAAAATAACGGCGCTCTCACCCCATCTCTTCGGCGTCCTGCCCAGAAACTTTCGCTCCTCAGGATCCCAAATCGCATACTGGATCTTCTGGAGGAAGGGTCTCTGCGGGGGTCGTCTGCAGTAGTTCACCACGCCATTCGTTTGTTCCACGCCCATCTTGCTTCATCCACAGAGTTCTACTGAACAAGAACTAGCGGCATAGATCGTGAAGCGATCTTTTCACAATGAAAACGGGACGTTTCTACTCGTAGGCGCCTCACAGAGGTTCCGCTTTGCGGTCGCTTTATGTAAACTAATTCGTGATTAACTATTGTAGTGAAAATAAAAGTAAACTAGTAATTTTATATATATATATATATATATGTAACACATTATATATAATCAAAAAAAAAGAAGCTTATTCATTACTTCATACGTGTGGATGTTATTTTTTATGTATATATAACAAATATTAAGAGTGTTTACAATTTTGTAGATACCTTACATTTTAATACTTGACAAATTCCGACTTTTTATCATACTTATATTATACTAGCTGTGACAGCAACTTCGTCCGCGTTATATTCTTATTTTGGGTTGAGTCCCGTTGTTCTTGAAAGTTAATCTTAAAAGTAAGATATATACTGTCTCGGATATTTTTTTAGATCCTTTAAGAAGAAATCATTCTTTCGTAATTTTTTTTTTGGTTATCGCCTATATAAGCGCGTTCAAACAAACAAACAATATTTTCAGCTTTATAGTATTAGCTTTGTATATTAATACGAATTTGCAACACTACAACATTTGACGGAAAACGTAAAACAAGATTTTTTATTGATAACTTCTTAGTATCAAGATAACCACATAATTGTACGTATCTCCTTTGCTTAGTCTTTGACGCCCAGATCCGCCCAAATCTGCCACCAACCGCCCGCCCAGCCCTGACCAATTAGTTCTCGATACTATTAGCTAAGTGACGGAGGCAGTGTTGTTTGAACTAGTTAATGGAAGGAAGAGTAATTCAATTACATCGCAACACTTAATATATGGAGCTTTGTCTAGTACTGAGGCCTAAGAAAATTAAAACTGAATTAATTTGAGAGTGATGTTCGATCCCCATCATGCACCACGGAAAAACTATAGTATATCTTTCTCATAACTCCTAGTCCCAGCTGTGGGAATTATAAGTAACACTGTATTCTGTCTATAATTTACGCGAGTAGTACACATAAAAAAAAAACACTTTAACGGTTTAAAACGCGATTAAATAGTTAGTTAACTAATGTATCGCGTTTTAAACCGTTAATGCGATTTTTTGCTTCATAGCGTGACAGTATAAAAGAGGCTACCATATCTGTGTGTCCTTTATTATTTTTATAGTAGTGTACCTGTCTTAGGGCTTTGTCATGTATAGAACAACATGTATATTCGTCAAGTGTTTTTTTTCTTTATTTAGAAAATAATGGCACGAGGACGTGCGTAATAAAAAGAATAAAAGGGTCGTAGGAGTAATAATAGCAAAGTGATCCCCAAGGGGTTCAACAAGTTCCATTAAATTTATAAAGTTTCCGAAACACATTGGACATCGTGTGGGATGCGAACAACCGTCGACAGTTGAAAATGCCGTGAAGCTTAATCGCGTTTTAGTTTAAGTCTATTAATATTAAAAGTTGAGGTGTTTTTTTAAACTCCTTCCATAAAGTCACGCTTCCCAGTCCTCCTCTACAATAAAAAAACAACGCAATTAATTACGATTTATTAAGAATAAAATAATAATTAATATTTTCGTATGGCAAACAAAACCAAAATTAATACCTAAGAAATTTTGTACTTACACCAGGTAATTTAGAAAAATAATGAATCCTAGTATCATTACTAAATTCTTATAACACTATAAAAACGGTGTTTAATATCTAATTTGGGAGAATTAAATTTGCTAACTAATTGAAATATTTAAATTGTGTATGAATTTTATATACTTACGTGCCTACAAGTTAATCACAAGCTATAACATAAAATTATTAAGCTATAATTTTTTTAGGCTTGCGCAGCTATTTTGGTAAAGCTGTTGGGGTTTACGAGCTATTAAATGGTCGTTATTAAGAAATGTAATTGTTTCTACACAAATTAGAGAAATAACGAACGAACAGCTCGAAATTCCAACTAGCTTTTATCATTTTAACTAAGTACCTACATAAAGATTGTATATACAATAATAATTTTATTAGGAATATTTGAGATTCTAATATTGATAGATTTACAAATCCATAAAATCACATTTTATCGTACTAAGTTGTAGGATGCCTTTACAATAAAATCTTATAACCGAACGCAAAATTTAATAGTACCTAAATCATTTTATTCTTAAAATAAATTAAAACTTTAAAATGCTTTTTCAGCTTGATTTAAACTTTACTAAGGGAAGAATTTCAAAACCGAAGAAGCTTTAAACTATATTGTTTACTAATATAGATTGACTTTTAAGATATAGGCCATAAGTACACATAAGTACTACGTTTAAAGTTTTATTCATCATATTTTTGACATTATGTAGTCTAATATATCACGACTAATTATAGTATTCCTAATTTATATATAGGCTGAAAGTTTTTAACAAATGAAAATATGGAGTCAAAGGAAAAATTTAAGGATTTTTTTATACATATAGTACAACACATATTTCACAATATTATATAGTTATTGATGCATATTTTAAAATCACTTATAACTAAGTTCTCATGCAAATGGTTGAAATAATTTATTTGTTTTCAGCGCCACCTGTGCTTGTACTATTGAGGCTTGTGTCGTTTTCCACGTAAATACTTAGTCTTGTGTACCCTGAAGGTTCTTTGAGGCTTTTGTTGTATATTATATTGTTCGCCCACGCTCTACAACGTATTGTGGTTGGGGTGTTGGCTGTAATACAATATGCATAATGTCTGTATCACAATTAAATAAAATGCCTGTAGAACTTAATAATATAAAAATGCCTCCAAATTATTTTACATCTGCTATCTATATATACCTAAATAATACCGAACACGTAGATCTAGTCAGTGCACTCGACTAGAGATTAGAAAGTCCCAGTTCACCCCCATGCCTCAAAGATCATGTTACGCCATCAGTCGCGGTTATTAGCACTAATTTCGCCAAAAAATATTAAAATTTAATTTTGTGGAGCAGTTTTTGCTAACGCCGCAGTAAAGCAGCCGGGTAAGAGGTGAATGGCAGTAGGATATAAAATTGAAACGAATATGACCCAATAATGTGTCCTATCATGAAAATACCCACCTATCGGAGTTACTTTGACAGCAACCAAAGGACTCAAATAAGCGTCCTGGTTTAGGAACGGGTAGAATCGCCCCGGGAGACCTCGGCCCCACGGATACTCTATACTCGTAGCATTTGACACTTCATCTGCGCATGAGATCCAGATTTGTTCGTGCTGGAAAACACGATCATTTATATTAAACCATAATATAACTTCAACCGTTTTAAACCGTTCAACGTGTTTATTTAACAATAATCCATAAAACAGTCGGGATTTCGCCCATAGTTATCTAATTACATATTTATTTTTTATATTCACACATGAGTCTCAGAAATGTAATAGAACAAGAAGTTAACTAATCAAACTTAATCTTAAGCTAATAACAAACTAGATTAATTTAATCTTACAATCTTGTTTAGTCTAGGGAAAGATTAATATAATATTTAAATAAAACATTTTTAACGATTTTAAATACAAAATATAACAGTTAATTTATTTTAACGATACGAACGTTTTTGATGCTCTGCAGCAGCCGTGGTCACGGGGACGAAACAGGAAATAAATTAATGAATATATCTTTAGAAATGTTTTATCTAAACGTGTACTTTTAGCGTGAACTACAGACAATACTGAAATATTATTAGATTTATTAAGAAATAATTAATACCTCAAGTGATGGCAATGTAGCTATGTGTTCTCTTAAATCACTTGGCATATCTGAAGGCAAGCTATTGACGTCGTGGTATTCTGGTTTCCAGCCATAAATCTGAAAGCAGAAGATGCAATGCGCTAAAGTATTTTAGAGGTTAAAATAGATTGCTCAGACGGATCTCGAAGCTCTGAATGTTAATTAAAAATATATCTCTATAAGATATATGATATAAAAGTTTTGTTAGTGATATTATTTATAACTCAAAAACAGGTAAACCGACTTGGCTGAAAATTGGCAGAGAAGTAGAATTAGTTAGATCTATCTTATGGTGAATACAAGTAAGAATGAAATGTGGTGAATGAAAATATATATTTGTTTTTATATCCTTTAATGTCCTGATTTCATTGATAAAACGTAAAAAAACGTACAAACAACGACAATCGAAAGACACTCAATGACACATACAAAGTTGCGAGCAATAGTTAGTCGATTAACAATTATATTTGGAATCTTCCCTTTTTTTCACATGCATTTTTCAACAGCACAGAACACTGAGGGTTATAAATCCCGCCCGTGTCGTCAAATTGTTTCAATCAAAAGAGATTATTTTTTAACAATTACTTATTTACTGTGATTTTTTATATTTTAGGCATATGTAGCAGTTTGATAAAATTGAAATATATTTATTACCTTATTCAGTTTAATGAAGAAGCAAGGTGAATTTGGATAGCCGAAATTATCATCCACTGTGCATTCTTCCTTCGACGAGTACCAGGAATCGGAGTTGTAATCTGAAAATCAAAAACACGAAATTAAATACATACATGATACACTAGACAAAACGTTTATGAGTATTGAAGGAAAGACAGACAAACAAGGTTCTGTGAATTAAAAAAAATAAGTATAGAATTTCTATAAAGATTTTATGTACACCCTAAATCCCCCATAGTTTATGGAGTCGAAGAAAACTAATACACGACACTATTTTCCTATTAATTTTTTTCTAAAACTTGGTCGTCTGAAAAATCTAATTAGAGGGAAGGTAGGATTATATAAATTTCGTCCTGGTCACCATCGCATTAGCGTAGGTAGATGGAAAGGTCGTGTCAAAATAACAAAATACAGCCAAATACGACAGCGTATTTTGTTTATATAAGTCTTTGTTAACATTCTGTCAAGTCCTCTTCTGTGGTCCACCACAAGCTTCTATCCTCCTCTGCCATAAAAAAACGTTTGTGGCAAACATTTAAAACTTTGGAAATAATTCAGTCAAGTTAACATTCGGTTCTATGCTTGTAGCTAAATGAACTTTAATATAAAACCTATAATCCGAGTCAACAGATCATAAAACTTACCATTTAAGAAATCCTTTAGCTCGTCCACATAAATATCAAAACTGCTGGAATTCGTGTTGTCCAAGAGGAAACTGCCGTCCACGGCTGGTCTGAACGCTACGCCTGGGTTTGCACCTGAAAAAGTCCTTCAACTTTAAATCAATTACTAAAGCAGTATAAAGTATACACTTTCTTCTAGTTTAAGACACTTATATACCATATTCAACTTTTAAATAAAACACTTTTTAACGCGAAACTGATCTACAATTTATTTAACTACAGCCAGACGTTTTGGATGCTTTGCAGCACCCGTAGTCATGGGGTGGCCGAAGATCGAGGGTGCCCCTAATGCCAAAGTCAATAAATCTACGCTAGCACCATCAGTGTCCTTCTTATTAGTGTTTGATAAACTCTCGATTCTCTAAATGCCGTTTGGATGTATTGTTTTTTAAATACTGTCAATAAGTTTACCGAGTAGTACACATTTAAATAAAACACTTTATGACGGTTTGCAGCAGCCGAGGCGTGACCACGGCTGCTGCAAACCATCAAAAACGTCGGCGCCGAAGTTAAAAATAATTTTCAAATAAGTTTAAACAATATATCGCGTTTTAAACCGTTAAAGTGTTTTATTTAAATGTATTGTTTTATTAATAGGTGTTAATAAACTTACCAATTAACGATCTATCCAAGATATATGTAGGCTTCCTGTCATCCAGGGTAACGAAGAGAACCCCCATGCAACCAGCGAAAAGGGCTGCCAGCACCGCATAGAACACGAGGTAGAAAATCAGCACGATTCCTGAAATTGATTAGAAAGACTTTACATCTGTGGACTGTTGACCCGGACGGAATTTCGATAACTACCACCCATTATTACTAAATAACGATATTTCTAGACGACATCTATCATGTTACATACATTGAAATTGGTTATAAACATGTTGGACACGTTAGGATCGAACCAACACCCTAACGCAGTCAACCAGCCCTTCGCCAGACCCAACATTTCAATGCCAACCACAAGACCAACAAAGCGTAAAATATTCAAGATACTTTAATCTTAATTTATAATAGGTGAAGTATTTTTTGTAGTTTACCCAAATATTACACATTTAAATAAAACACTTATATTTAACGGTTTAAAACGCGATATATATTAGTTAGCTTATATTGAGTACGGCTGAACGTTTTGTCAAATGAATTTAAAAAAAGTTAGCTCGGTTGTTTGTCGCGTTTTAAACCATTCAAAGTTTTATTTAACGATAGCATTTTTGTGAATATAAAGATAAACTATATATAATGAATTAATTATTAATAAAATATTACATATTTTAAAGGACTTGTTCAATACTCAAAACCTACGTTAGTAATTAATTTTATATAGTCTAAAGTAATTGTATGTAAATATTTAGTTGTTTATCAGAATTCGTCTGTAATTTACGCGGGTAGTACACTTTTAAATATAACACGTTTATCGGTTTTCACCGCGAAAAGTATTTGTTTGATATTAAAAGTACTAATTTAAAATTTTTTAAGTAGGTCCCGACGTTTCATACGATGGTCTTGTAGTGACCAAGGCTGCTGCAATGCATCTTACGTCGGGCCGTAGTTAAGATCCTTCTGTACCGCTATTAATAATAAAAAAAAAAAAATAAGGCCTCATTTTCTTTAAACACTTAACATTACCCCATTGAACGATTTTCCTAAAATTTTAGTTTATTACGTATTAAAAAGCATTAAATTTTCTGAAAATTAGGTCGATTCTATTTATTTACAGCGGACGGGTGTTACGTCCGCGTGCTATTTCGGTCCGGTACATTCTCGTTACGTCATTAATACTCCGAACTGTCAAGCAGATCGCCATAATCCCACTGATTTCAAATTAATCATGGGATTTCAAAAATATAAAATGCACCTGAGCTTTGAGGATCTTTTAACCAACTCGTTGGTCCATGAGCAGGAATGAAGAGCTAATAATTAAATTGGTGATAGGAATATCGAGTTTCCAACCGGGTCATGAAAAACTTTTCACTAGCTGGAAAAGCCATCTGTTCTTCTCCGTCAAAAAAATGGGTTCTTTTATCTTAATCTTAAATAAATAAATAAATCTTATCGAATTATCGGTATAAAACAATGCATCGTGGTCATTTCGAAATGCAATTGCCTAACCCTCGTGTAAAGCTATGAGTTGGAGTTCTTGGTAGTATTAAAGTTTAATTATAACCCTACCTTACCATTCATAACACCACAATGAATGTCCTTGAAAAAGCATGGGAGTGGTTCAATATTGGGGACCATTCATATGGTAATCTGGTACTCAATGGGCATTCTTTGTCAGGGTCAGACGACAGACAAGGGGCGAGGGACAAAGCCGTTATATAAAGACCTAAGTGGACGAGAAACGTGTTCATGACAACTGTTTGAAAGACAGACAAAGTTACGAGGAAAGAGATGAATGGATTTTGATAAGAGTGTGTAGTCAGGGAAACAATATGTAATGTTCATGATGAGAAAATCGCATTGAAATTTGTTAGTTAGATATAAATAATAAACAAAATAAAAACGTACTGGTTAATTACTATATACTGTCTATAGTTTACGCGAGTAGTACACATTTAAATAGAACACTTTAACGGTAAAAACGATATATTAGTTAAACTTATTGGAAAATAATTTTTAACTTCGGCCCGACGTTTCGGATGCTTTGCAGCAGACGTGGTCACGGGGACCACAACAATATTTACACAAATAACAAAGAATATAAAAAACGTTTTTTTTTAAACTATTTTAGTAGATTAATTTTTTTATGTGTAGAAAATGTTGGTCTTAACTTTTAACCTTAAAAATTAGTTGTTTACAAACTTTTTATTAATTGCGATTTCCTTATCAACTCTCTATGAGTTCAATAATTTTATTATCAGGCATTGGAAGGAATTTTTATAAACATCGATAATTTAATTGACGAAGGCTATTTGTAGTAGTTAATTGTTTACCAGAACCCGACACGACAAACCCACAATGTGATATGAAATGCAAATGAAATGTAATATTAAAATAACATTATACATCCATGTAGGACAATATTATATCTACTTATGTACTGTAGTTATTACGAGAGCACACATAAAAATAATAATTGCAATAATAATACGTAAAACGGGTATAGGAGCGGAATATTAAATGTTCTCTAAAAAGTGTGTGTGTGACAACTGTTATAACAGATACTTAGAACTAAAAAGGGTGCAACCCAAAATTGAAACATACATCCGTTGTGAATAATTTGCCTTAAACATAGAATTTTCTCGCCCCGGATGAAAATTTAGGCATCAGAGAGATAGTGGAATATCCGCTCGCAACAAATATCTAACAGCTGAATCTTGGTGTCCAAATAAGTTTACATCTTTTGTTTTTAATATATCACGTTTCTCAGACCGTTAAAGTTTTTTTCCTAGATACGTGCTGTGACGAAAACGATCGCTACTCGTTTTAATTTTACTGGAATTATCTCAATAATTATCCGCACAATGGTCACTAATAAATAAACAGCTCAATTTTAAATAAAACCTTTAACTGTTTAAAATGCGATTTTTTTGTAGCTGCTGTATATAGCATCTGAAATTGAAGAGACCTAACAACATGGCTTAAATAGCTAGTTCGCGTTTCAAACTGTTACTACACGTTTCACTTAATTCATACCGCTCGCGTGAATTACAGACAAGTTTTTAATTTTATCTTGCATTCATAACCTTGCAGTAGAAATATGGAGAGCAATTATCTTCGTGCAAAGACACAAAGATAATTCTCAAATACGATAATGCCGTATGTAAATATGCACAAATTGAATCCGTGAGCTAAGCAAGCGATTGTTTAACAGTGCACCGTTACTAACTACTTAGTTAAACCTAATACGACCATAGTATAGACTATATAAGATGTTTTTTTTTTGCTTGAGGAGAACAGACAAGCTTGGGGTACACTTGATGGAAAGGAAACTTCCCCAGTTATTAAAACATCTTGACAAAAGCGCTAATTTGCTTTGTATATCGGAAATCTACGCCTACACCCATACGCGATCTCCTTTTCACCTTTGTGCGGTAGTTCGTTGTCCGGACGGAATAATTGAAATTAGGCTGCCACCATTTAAAATTCAGATTTTCAGATAAAGTCCAAAATGTAATTTAAAAATCGAATATAAATTGAAAAAATTTTCGACTCGGGCAGGACTTGAACCGGCATCGTCAGCGTTCCGAGCAACAGCACAACGAGCGTTCAAGTCCTGCCCGAGTCGAGAATTTTTTCAATTTATTTTCGATTTTTAAATTATATAGTGCCTTCATGTGCAATAACATGTGAAAAATATTAATGTTTTCAAAGTCCAAAATGTTTCAAAAGTATAAATTGATCATTAGATCTGTTAGTGGTATATTGAAAATACCTTAGTCTTTAAATAGTGGCTTGCTTATCTATTTATTTAGTTGTAACATTTCAACGGTTCGTGGGTTCGACTCTCGATATATAGCAAATTCATAAGACGAAAACGAAATAAGATTTAATCGAACCGTTGGATCTTTGTTAAAAATCAATTAACAAGTAAATTTCTCGTTTTTTAACCGATGAAAATATTTTTTTCAAATCCGACTTGTGTAGTTGTTTTGAACAATAATATTTAAAGCACGCAGTGAATTATATTACCAATATATTAGTAAAATTGGCAGTGACGTGTATTTTTATTGCTGTTGGCGAAGATGTAATAATAAGGACTCCTACATTTATCTCTTCAGTTTATCGACCAACTGAAGCTACCGACGTGCGTTTTAAATTATAATAATTTTAAGCAAAATTGGATATCAATAATTCATCCATAATTAATTGCAACAAAATGCACATATATTTTAAATGGTCGTTTTAATTGATGTTAGGGATGTTTGTTTTAACTCAGGAACTACTGATCCCAATAAAAAAAATCTGTTGATTACCCCTTTTAACGAGTAAGGCTTATAAAACATCTGGTTACGACCGACCGACGAGATATAAAAAAGGGGAAATCTAGAAAAAAAGGGAAACATTTTCTTTGTGTATTCCGTTGCGTGCTCTACAAGAACCGTTCAAGGAACAAATTACACTTCCGAAATTAACCTTCTCCATTTACCTACCCGCTAACTAAAGAATCTATAGCAATAAAAATAACTATTTTGTGTGAACACGCCAGACTCAAAATCTGTTGTAAAAAATATTTAATTACTTCTTTGAACAAACAATGAAAAATATTACCCTAAACGAACAGAAATGGTTTCCGTTGAGACCTGTCGCGTGCGCAACTTTTATTGCTATTTCTTCGAGAATTACATTGTTTCTTGTTCATTCATAGTAAATCGCGGTTATACCGCTAACCATATACCTATCATAGACAATGTTGCAGATATATAAATTTAATATGTTGTTATTTTGATGGTTTAATACGTGAAACATATTTTTTAACTGATTTTGAACTACGGCCCGACGGTTCGCATACTTTGCAATAACCGTGATCACGGCTGTGTGTTTATTTGATGTAAACTACTTATTTGAATGTATAAAATGTGTCTAAAAAATAAATAAAACGCAACTACAAAAACTTACGGATATATAATTTATTTTTAAATTTATTAATTCTTCTATAATTCTATTTATTTATTCACATACATACATGTATCCTTAACAATAAAAATCCAAATCGACGTAGACAGTAGTCAAAACTACTAGCATTATCCCAGAACCATTAACCGTAATCTATCAAAACAGGTACTCACCCCATCGTTTCGGCGTTCGCCCTAAAAAGCTCTTGTCTTCAGGATTATAAATCGCCTTACACATCCTCTGCCACAAGGGCCCAGAAGTAGGGGGGGCCCGAGCCCAATCCGAAGTGTCAACACCGTTGGATTTACCCGCCATATTTAACACCTAATTATACGTCTAATCACGTCAAGGGATCGCTTGCGACTGCGCGGTGCGCCCTACGGTATGCGCATACGCACGTGTTTGGAATCGCATGACATATGCGAGCGATCGATGTACACACAGCACATTTCTTCGGTCCACATATCGTTTAGTTTATAAATAAAGCTTTCAACTGACTCGCTAAAGGGCTCATGTTTATGAACGATGTTTTAGAACGGTGTAAACATCGGTTTTATCTTTTGTTAGAACGGTAAACATATTACATAAGGTAACTATTTTTTCTTCGAAACACTGCCCGCTGGACTTTTATAACTAACTAGAAGGCCATGAAGTATTTTAAAATATTCCGCAACCAAAAATAAAAACTAATAAGGTTTATTAACGTATTTTCGTTTCATTTTGTAGAAATCTAAGTCCAATTAAAAGCAATGGCTTCCTTTTTGTAAAAAAATGTTCACAACTTATTGATGATGATTTGATCATTAATAGTTGAATATGAATGTCGAAAAAAATTCTATGTGGTATAAGGCTAGTACAACTTTTGTATTTTCTAACAAGTAACTATCGATGCCTAAACAAATTGTGAGGTCCAAAGAAATCCGAATAAAGAAATGTAATATAATACCGTTTGGGTAGGGCCCATCTATCTGTCAATAAAACAGACACAAATATGTGTCTGCTCCTCATAGAAAGGGATTTCACAAACACTTAGCAGCTAGAAATGAAACAATACATATACAAATAAATGTATTATCAAAATAGATACACAATGGACGGTTAAAATTACATTTAGCTAAGTACGAGCGATATTACATACATAATTATCGTACCTTGTGAATACATGGAGAACATAGGCAAACAATCCATTCTTGGTTGTAAATTTAAGAGTCAAGTACGGCTGCAGAACCGTTTGGAACTCTTTCCACCTATAGTAGCATGATAAGCCCGTTGGGATCTTTGACTATAACCAAGGTTTTTCAACAAAATGGATCCCATACACAAATACTGGCAAGGAAAATTGGATGTCCCATTTCCAGCACAGAAGTAAAGAGATATAAAAGAAACAATCCGAATGGGCGAATTTAAAAGTAAGTTTCTCTGTAAGTATATACGCGTTATATAAGGACGGTGGGATTACTAACAATAAAAAAATCATACCATATATACATACATCGATTTAAAAAATAGGCACTTTATTTGGACGGTCTCAAATAAGATTCGATTATTCTAATTAATCACTACCTTATGCTTAAGTTTTTGTCATATTATGTCACAAATAAAAAAAACATGTTTAACATCTGCAACACCCTGTATATTAGAATTGATATATAAACCCAATATACACACCAACATCATTTAGTATATTTAGTAAAACATGTTTGCGGTATAAATAAACTTAAAAATATACCTGCAAGGTAAAGTGAAGTCAAAAAATATAAAAACGGGAGATTCCGAAAATGTCATGTTTCTTGATAATTAAACGCTCTACTACTGATATAGTCCGAACTAAACTTGTACAAGTAGACTACTTAAAATATTTTTAGGACCTCACGAATTCAACGAATCCTTAATAAACATTTTAGGCCGATGTTTATATATTAGTCCACCTAAATGAATAAAGAAATGCACATAAAAATAGTTCTAGTCTACTGACTTCCCACCCATTAATGTTGATGCTAAGATTCTAACTAGCGCCTCAAGCGTCAAAAGCGTGAAGCTCAATTTGAAGCTCAATGGAGCCGACACTTTTACAGTTTCTATACAAAGTGCGCCATGGAGATATTTATTCATTAAGTGCAAATAAGATTTGTGTTTTCTCCAATTTATTTTAATTTTTGAGCTAAAAGTACCCCTCTAACAGACGATACAACTACTATACTATACTAGGAAACAATTTATGTCCTTTAGAGTCTGGAAAATAAAAAAAAACTTTTTATGTGTCAAGAAACACGCTGTATCCTGAAAGCTGTCTCTTCCTTAATATATGTCTTATGGAAACAAATGAAAACTTAATCCTGAATCTCCTTAAATGCTCCATTGAGGAACGCACAACATTGTGTTTTTCTGCTTTTATTAAGCATAAGCATTTAATATATAATGATGATCTGTCATATTATGTTTATACTTATCTTCAAGTTATATCTAAAGGAGTGTCATTCTTAGACAGCTTCTCAATTACGCCGCTAGAGGCGCGCAAGTAATACTTTGCTTTGCCAATAGTGTGGTAGTTCAAGGACTAAATGCAAATTGCAACTAAACACTAAGGAATATATAAAAATAGGAATGTACTCATTTGGTCTTATAGTGTACTGAAACATTGCTTTGTCATAGATAATGGCAGGTTATTCAATCATCAGCTCAAAATGGACGACACCGAGTTTCTCTCTTCTATCGTATTTTATGTTTTGAGCCCACGCACGGCACTCGATGTTGATTACTATCCCAGCTGAAATAAAAAATATATGATGTGAAATTGATCAGGTCAGCATAATTCTAGTCCCAAGCGTGGGAATGTCAAAAGTTGATAATGAAACAACTACCTACCTTTAGGGCTTTGTAAATGCACGGCGACCAAGGGACTCAGGTACCCCTCAGCATTGTTATACGGATAATAGTACCCTGGGAAGCCAGGGTGCGGAAGGTATCTTACTGGCCCTATATTCTCTTTATCTGTTGGAGTCTCGCCCTCACAGGACACCCAGATCATGTTCGCCTAGAATTGAAAAAATGATATTTAAATGCCAATTTATCGTAATAGTATTAATAGCAAGTGGTAGCAGAAGTAGTACATAGTAGTCTTATAGTCAAAATGTCAAGCTTTAATACAGTCACTCATGAGCTTCAAACAGTTAAAAACAAATGACTAAATTTACATTTGTACCAGTTTTCAAATCAAAAGCGTAGTAAATAGAAGTAGTAGTATGTAATAGATAGTGATAGTAGTCTCCAATTTATTCATTTGCTAGCTGAGTCAGCGACTTTCTTAGTTTTGTTTTTGTAACCTACTTTAACTCTATCAATTTGAGCTGTTACACACCACGACGTCGTTCTTGCAAGTTAATCCTAAAAGATAGACATAATATAGTGTCGCATTTTTGCGCCGTACGCAATGGAACACCACAAGGATGAATAATTTTTTTTCGACATTTCCAGCTCTTTCTTCGCTTGTATTAGTCACAGCGCTATGTTTTATAGCCTTCCTCAATAAATGCGCTAACACAAAAATATTTTTTCAATTCGAACCAGTAGTTCCGGACATTAACACATTCGAACAAACACTCTTCAGCTTTATAAATATAAGCTGCTCATACATATAAGGTACAAGAAAGAATGTAAAAGAACCTTGGCGAAAAAAAGGGTGACGGGGAGTTTTTTTCCCGTTTTTCGTTCTAGCCTTGAGATGGAGTGAGATTTTTTTTTTAATTTTGTTTTTGATTTGATTTGACAAACAAAACAAAAACTTAAAACTACAAAAGTAATGGTAAGTCGAAAGTAAAAGTTTTAAAATACCTGGTCCCGGTTTTTTGCTGTAATATTCCTAATGTTATCTTTAAGTTCTATAGGCATGTCAGCAGGTAAATGGTTCGTGTCATTATAGAACTCAGGACGCCACCCATATATCCTGAAATCATGTTTGTTTATTTAAGATAATTGCTTAAACTAGAGAGAGGTGGTTCGCATGACATTTTTATTGCTCTTACTCACCTATTGAGTTTTAAGAAAATACAAGGCGACGATTTGTGAAAGGAAAAGTGATTTTCCTCAATGCATGGCTCAAAGCCCTTAATATCAACATCACAGACTTTTCCTGGGGGTGGGGAATTTCTAAAGTTGCAATTGAATATATTCTGCCCGGCACCAGCGGTTTGACCTTTTTGCTTATAGACTGAAATAAACAAATTCAAATTCCTTAAACTAGTTTAATTTTAATTTTACATGACTCTTAATGTCTAATATTCAAAAGCTACTTTCTAAATGAAAATAGACTTAATTGTTTATTGTAATCATTTAATAATATTTTAGATCATAATGGAATCTGAAACATATTATAAACTACTCATATGCTTAAAAGTATAGAAATTATAGTGGAAGGAAACAATTATATATTAAATCAGTATCCATGTACAAAGTGATTAGCAGTGACCTACAAAGGGGCTTAGACCTACTTTATTTTAATGCCAATTAGCTCAATTATGAACTATCTCTATCGATACAAAGTAAGCTTATACTTTTAATTTATAACTAAATGAACTTTAATGAGATCATTCTATTGCTCTAGTTGTAGTAGTAATTGTGGAAGTGGTACATTGATAAGATGCCATTGATTAAACGCGTTGCCTAGAATTTCTATAAAGGGGTTTTTATCTCGGGAATTCAATTAATCATTTTGTCTCTGACTGTCTGATTGTCAATTATTAGACTTTAAGAAAATCAATCAGCCAATATGATACAGAAATGTATTTGTCCTTTGCCCCGCAGGAGATGAATGGAAATGCATTATACTGGAAGCAATTAACTTTTACGACTGCATTGATTGTTTTAATATACAAAGCTTATAGCTTATATGTATATTATATCCTAAATTCTATGTATACTGCTGAATTGTTTCAGAAACACATAAAACATTATTTATCTAATATTTATCTGGTATTAAAAACCATATTCAAATCAGTAAACCAGTTCATAAATAAATGTAAACATTAAATATACCTGACAGAAATTCTTTAAGCTGATCTTCCCAATACTTGTAGCTCTCATAACTCGTTCCTTTGTACCAAATGAGGGTGCTCCTCACATCTTCTGGAAGTGGACGAAATCCTAGACCAGGAGAGGTGCCAATTAAGCTGCCTTCTTGTTGAAGGCGTGGCACACGAGGATTAATAAATTGTTGCAGGAATGTCGCCATACATATAGAGAATAGAGCCACCAGGGCAGACAAAAATATTACATAGAATAAAATTAGTTTACCTGTAAAGAAAACATGACTTGAATTTTTATTGTTATGATTCAAGATAATAGAAGTGTGTGACCTCGGCTGCTGCAAAGCATCCGAAACGTCAGGCCGTATTTAAAAATAATTTTCAACCAAGTTTAAAATATATGGAGTTTTAAACCATTCAAGTTTTTTATTTAAATATCTTTCTTGAGTATTTGTAATAAATCCAATACAAAAAAGTATCAGTTCCTCAATAAACAACTTAAATTATCTTATATATTGTATAAAAGTACCCAGATCTAAGCTATTTATCAGAACAAATGCCTCTAATATAGATTTAGGGATTAGAACATAGCCACACTTTATGGCTTCACAGATTACATATTAACCCCCAGTGCCAGCACGCAATTTAACTTCTATATAATTAATATCTATATAGGGCTTCTTAGTTCTCTTAAAGTATAAATAATTTATAGTTTGTAAAAAATTATACCCTCAAACATTCTCACTGAGTTAAAAATAAAATCTAGTACTACTTATTTTTATTAGGGCATAACCAGGGCCTAATTCTGCTAATAAAAGTAGAAAAGAAAAATTTATAATAATATTCATATTCTTATTACTAAGTAATGAAACACTATTTAATAAACAGTTTAGTAGGTTTGATAAAATAAGTGTACAATATGAATAAAGAGTCAGTTAAGTTAAAATAATAGCAATTTGGTTTAAATTTTAATAGAATCAAATTTATTTCATAAATATGTTTCGTTAACTGACTTCAAAAAAGGTAATTCTTAATACAATTCGTAGATACCCTTTTCTGTTTTAAACCTATCTGGTAATAAAACGTTTAGATGTTTGCTTGACCACGAAAAGTTTACGCTTGACGCCACGCCCAAAATAACTTATGGATGCAATGAACCCTAACTAATTTCACTATCGAATACACTTTTAAATAAAAACACTAACCCCATCTTTCAGCAGTCCTTCCACAAATAGCCCCGGTATCTCCATTATACATAAAATGCGAAAAAGTTTCCCTTCCCGGTTTTCTTGATGGCTTTGTTTCTATTTCGAATTCTTCCAACTTAGGATTTCGAATCATTTTATTTGTTGCTTTGTTTTTATAGGTATTTAAAACAAACCATAAAAGTAAACAACACTATTGGTACATTCACAAAACCGCCAGACATGTAATTCATAAAATTTACGAATTCATTTAAAATGCACTAGCCGACGGGGGAACAAAAGACGTTTACAATTTACAAAATACAATTATATATTATTAATTATACTCCTACATAGGCATTTGGCATTTCACAACAGTCACAAATCGAGTAAAGTCAACGTCATTTTTTAACGAATCTTGTGCGTCATGTGTCAGAACCAAAAAGCAGAAAGGTTATCATCATATATAGATAATCACAATTCTGCAGAACACCATTTAATCGTTTAATATAGTCTTGTATTAAGACTTAAGTATATAACTGTAAGTTGTACTCAGAGGGAGGTGATTATGAATGATAGGCATAATCGATTGGTAATCGATTATGGGAATAGTAACTAATTTGTTTTCATAATCGAATGATGTTACTAATCGTGCACTCCTTGACATTCGTTGTTTAAACAATATTAGACACTTTTATATACTGGTGTAGTTTGTTTTGTTTACTTTACGTAAGGATTTATCATATTAAAAAGTAAGTTGACGACCTCTTTTTTAATTTCCAATTATTATCCTTCTCTATTGTAACTACTAACATTTCATTCGAATGATTTATTAGTATAATATATCATAATCGTCCAGTAAACATTAGTAACTACTAACTACTATAATCGAGATATGTCGAGACATTTTCATAATCGATTGATTTCGTTAGTATATACTATATCTCATAATCGCCCGCCTCTAGACTTGTACTACATTTCAATAACATTATGTATTCGAAGTACTATATTATTATTTAATAATATGTACAATAATATTGTAGTTTGTTAATCGAATAACAACAGTCATCGTGAAGAACATAGTAGACCGACCGTATTTTTATTTAAAAGATATTAAAACAAGATGTCTTTTCCTAAAGTTTTACTTACTGTAGGATTTATATCACTATTCCATTCGGCATTTTCGGCAGCCCAGCGTAAGCTCTATGTTGAATATTTAAAAGTTAGAGTATTAAAATAAAGTAATACTAACATGTCAAATGCCTTTTTTTCTAAAATCTTTCAGATCGCTCATATCTACGAATAACCTCGCAGGAGTTTACGACATTACCTCTCGATGTAAGTAGAAATATTTTCTAGTATTGCTGTTCTATTATCTTCTAACTTTACGTGCTTCTCTGGTCTTGACTTCTCAACTCTAACTGAACTCAACACATTACCTTAAGAGTCTTAAAAAAACAATCATTGTCAAAAAAAAATTGTATTAATGTATATAAATATGTCCAGTGAACACTGTAACGTAATTTCAGATTGTAATTCAAGCAGTTGGAAGCCTCTTTGCAGTCATGTGGGGAGTGATGTGCATCGCTGGCAACTTGAGGGAAATACAAGCTGCGGCAGAGTTAAATAATATTGCCTGGGAGACCCAAATGAATGTTCCGTCATTCTACATGTTTAATCATAGGCTAAGAGCTATGGAGTCTAGCTACATACCAACATCCGGAAAAGGAGATTTAGAAAACTTAGAATAGATATAGAAGATATTAATGTTTACAAATCTACTGTTCATCATCATTTTATAAAGCAAAACTTCCACCATTTAACAGGCAATTAGGTGAATTTGTAAAGTTTTAGTATAGTCTATTCACCTTCTGTCATTGTCCCCAATAATAATTAGATACATAAAGATCTAGTAACTTAAAAACAGCTTTTCCTGTTTTCACTTTCTGTAAATTTTTTTCATGTTTTGTTTTCGTACATTCTGAATGTAAATTTAACATACTTTCCTATTTAAAAGTTTATGTACAATGTGATGTCCAATAAATGAAATATGGGCAAATACATACATATGGTCTCTGTCTGTACATGTAAGAGAATACTTAGGTTGATTTAAATATACATTTATTGTACATTATTTTATCTGGTTGTAGTGTATCTATGGCTTTTAATAACTAAGTCTTGGGTGATAGTTATAGAAATAATATATACATTTTCTTCTACATAAATTACAGTTTGTTTTTTTGTCAACATTTCTTTTCATGAATTTCATAAACTTCATGATTGGTGTTATTCAAACTATGTGCCAAGTGCATTATTCAATATAATTAATTTTATTGGTATATTTCTTTTTAATCGAAAATAAATTGAAAAAAATTTCAACTCTGGCAGGACTTGAACCGGCATCGTCAGCATTCTGTGCAGTTGCTCTCAATTGGCAGAGCAATTCATTTTCGATTTTTAAACTATATACTTAGTGCCTTCATGTGCAAAAACATATAAAAAATAATAAAGTTTTCAAATGATATTCTAATTAATACACTGTTATGGTCTGACAGGTGTTGATACAGCCAATTATTACATTGTTTTATTTAATATTTTTTAGCTTTCAATAGATATTATAGAAGAAAGGGTGAAAGAAAAAAAAAACCATAAATCTTAAATCCTATTTAATAATAATTGGTACAAATAGAATATAGACAACCCTTAGAACATAACATTGTGTTCTCAATATTTCAAACAATATTCAGTGTTAATGTTTTGTTGAAGGCTATACACGGTCAAGAATGTCATTGTCACCTCACTTACACTATCTTCCTCCACGTCCACCTCTGAAACCACCTCCCCTACCTCCAAAACCTCCTCCGCCACGGCCACCACCTCCTCTATTAAATCCTCCACCTCCTCTGTTAAACCCTCCCCCTCCTCCACGATTGAAACCACCTCCTCTGCCCCCGCCGCCTCCGCGACCGAAACCGCCGCCACCTCCCCGACCAAATCCGCCTCCGCCGCCACCTCGGCCTCCTCTACCACCACGACCTCCTCCCCGCTTGGCACCAGGCGGTTGTGGTAGGAACCGCTTCAGTGGCAACAATTTTGCAGGGTCAATAAAAAACTGCTGGCCCTCCTTAAAGCTCTTGGCTTTTATGTTTTCTCCTAACTTTACAGACACATAGTAATCTCGCAGGTTACCGAATATCTCGTCTATTTTACCTATCTGCTCCTTGTTTTCGAGAAAAATCGGGGCGTTGAAGTACGGAACGTCCTCAATGTCCACTTTGCACACCAAATCATCTTGTACTGTCCACCCGTAATGACCCAAAGGGATGACTGATTCAGGTGGTCCCGCATCCTGGTACCTGTTGCCGCCGCCGAAACCGCCTCCGCGACCGCGAAATCCGCCACCGCCTCGGCCTCCACCACCGCCGCGACCTCCAAAGCCTCTTCCACCTCCACCGCCTCTACCACGAAAAGACATTATTGTTATCCGAAAATGTTGGCGTATAACCTCACTTTGTGTTGTTTTCGGCACGCTTTTTTGACAATAGTTAGCCAGTCGTCACTTAGGTATAAACTCTTCAAATGTTGTCAATGTCAAGTTTTTTTTTTTACTTCAAGAATTCAGTATAGTTTGTATGAACTGTGGTAACATTTACTGTTAAAATGACATTGATCAGTTTTTAATTTATCAAGTTACAGTTTAAACGGCCTGTTTTTACTCTCGTATAGCTGGCATATATAATTTGAGCCTGATTTTACAATTTTAAATCCTACCTTCAAGTATTACGTAGATATTAAATGAATTAACTTATATATAAGTGCACATAATACATATCGGACTACAGCCAGATATGAATATGACAGATACTTTAGAAATAGAAAATAATTGTCTCCGTGAAAAAAACAATGAATTGGCTCAAGAAATTCAGCACTGGAAAATGGCTGCGGCTGATAAGGATAGCGAGAGATTGAGCCTTTTAAAAAAAATCAGTCAGCTAAAGCTACAACTCAGCGTAAGTCACGATTCACAATTTCAAACGGCTTAAGAGCCTCGGCTCTCAATTCTTACTATCGGCCAATTTTCACTAAGCAATATAGATAGAAAAATAGGCTTTTCAATCCCTTTACTGCAAACTTAAGCATTACTTGAACACTTGGCATAGTTTAAGTATTCATTCTATTTACTGGTTGCTTTTATAGATGTTAAGAAATAGAGGTGATAGTCGTGCTCAACAACTTGAATCAGCTATACAGTTGTCAGCTGAGTCTGTTCTGTCACATTTAGTACAGAGTTCCAATGAGGTAGCCCACATTATAGAAGTAATGAAAGGATATATGCAAGATCGACGGGAAATTGACAGTTCCAGCCCACAATGGACCATCAATAGTAGAAGTTCTGATAAAGTTCACAAGGTGTTGCCGACGTTAATGGGTGGAAGGTCTATACAGCCAGTTGTGTCTTTGAGTCGGACTTTACCAAACAGTAATGGTAAGCATCAATATACATTTTGTACATAAGGGGATTGTCACAAGTTTCAGGCTGTCGGAAAACTCAGGCCCTTCAAAATTCAGGTTGTGATTTTTAAGTAATAATTTCAAGGTGACCTCATTTATTAATTAATTCCATCATTTACAATCAAATTCTTTCTATGTTTTAATTTCATAAGTTGCAATATTCTTAGTATACATATTTATATTTCTAGCAAAACTACATGATAAGGAAAAAGTATCTTTCATAAATAGGAAAATAATTAAAGATATTTAGGTTTTAAGCATGTGTTTACAGTATTCACCCCTGTTATTTATTAGATTCTTACAAATACAATGACACTCTTTTAACTGAATAATGATTTTTATTTGTTAATTAATAAACTTTTCAATACACCGATAGCTCTCACATTAACCTGTATGTTTCAAGGAGGAGAAACTCATTCATCGGAAATGCCACTCCCTATGAGAGCTTTACAAGGTACAATTTAAGGTTTGATAAAAACCTTATATGTTTGGGTCAATATTTATTTGACAGAACTACAACCATAATCACTATATATATACCAATTCCAATTTTCAGAACTATACATACCACTAACAAGGATAGATGCGGCGGAAACTTCACAGAATAGTTACAATTTAGATGACAGCCACAGCACAGACAATTTGGACTTAAATGGTAAAAATCTGAATGAATATAATTTAGTCAAGTTTATAATTCTATAATTTATGTTTGTAGGTAGGTAACTTAGAAGGTAGTTTGTTTACCTAGGATAACTATAGAATACAAAACAGCTTGCACTCATTATAGTGGGAACTAACGTAATGATATTAATTTACGGCTGCTTATCAAGATTGGGTTGCCTGTATGCCCACCAGGACTAACATGGTTTTTTAATTTACTTATAACTCATACATAGCTCTGTACATGAAATATGTGGTTGAGATCCAACCTCAGTGTAAGCCTTGAAGTGTAAATCTTAATTTTGTGTTGAGTTTGTCAGTTTCCAAATGTCAAAGTCAAAAATAATCTCCCAACACAACTTCAGGTGTTATTTGGCTGGAGTACACACCTATCTTTCATTAAATGGAACCCATCCTGTCTTCAGGTCTAAAATGTATATAACACAGAAGGGAAGGTTGATTCTTCCGGTCCTTAATTACTATACAGAATGTTGACTTTTTTATCTTTGTCTTTACTTTGTTTTTTTTACAGATGAATCTACGGCGCCAGAAGAAGAAATGAACGACACCGTATCAGAAAATCAGGAGACGTAAGTGTTATGATTTGAGATCCACTTAACATTGATATTGTCAAAGGGTTAATTTATAATAAAACTAAATAAATATCATTTTTTTCTTTACAGTAGAAATTTGGGTGTTGTTAAAGAGGAAGACGAAGAGACACAATGTTCATCACGAAGGTAAAACTATTTTCAAGTTATACAACTGTCAATAACTTTAATTTAAGCTCACAATAATAAATACTGTGCATCAATTTTAAAATCTATGGTGATTGGAATACATAAAAAAGTAAGTTTTGATTATCTAAAACTGTAAAAATGACCAGTAGTTTAGAACAGTTTTAGCGAGTTTCGGGTACCAGGGACTGTTGCGTATAACAGTTCGAAAAAGTATACGTGAATGTAGATAGTTATAAGATAAATGATGAAGAGAAATGTTTAAGAGGGAGGCGAAGTAACCAAACCCAATGAGTGCTGTAGTGCAACTGATTTATTTCCTATCAAAATTGTTTTAATATAATTTACAAGAAAGTGGAAAATAGGACGCTTACTAAGCTAACCTTGTAAATTTGCTTTTAATATAAACATTGAAGTGAGCACGACACTGACATAGATTTATATTTAAAATAATATTATAATAAAAATACAGTAAATTTGTACGGGCGTTTGTCCGTACAAACGCCCTTAGGCTTGAAAAAAAAGATGTCACTTCGCACCAAGCCCTTTTCCTGCTCACATTTAAAATTTAATCTAAATTGTGCATACAACAATTCTTATTTACTTTGTTTTTGCTGTAAACTGTCGCCGATAGTTTACAGCAAATTTGAAGCAAGCTTCATAATACCATTATATTTCAGTAGTCGAGACGAGAACCCATTGGAGGGGCCAAGCTGGTTACTTGACGCGTCTCCTTCTAGAAGTAACGTATGTCTAAAATTTGTTATGAAAATACATAGATTAAACTATGTAATAGAATTTCTGTAAAATAATAATCATAAAGATTGAATAACTGCCATTATTGTAAGCTTTCAATATCGCTATGCTATATAGCACAGAGTAAAATGGTATTGCTTTACAGGACAATATAGGCCGATCACCGCGCGCGTTCACGCCAACGGTACGACGTAAGAACATCCGCCCTCGTCCCGAGCCACCTTGCTCGCCTGTTCTCATACCAACCTTTATGAAAAAAAAGTACGTACATTAAAATATTGGAGTTACATTATATAGGTAAACCGCCTCTAGGTCCTAAGGTAGAAACTCTGTTTTTTTCTGTTGATAAACAACACAAATGAGAAAGTTGATCAACTATTTTCCACTTAATAAAAGTTTGAAACTGGTTACTATATAACATTTAAATGAAACTTTAACGGTTTAAAACGTTAGATATATATTAGTTAAACTTATTTGAAAATTATTCCTGACTACGATCTCCTCGTGACCACGACTACTCCAAAGCATCCGAAACATCGGGCCGAAGTTGAAAATAATTTCAGAATAAACTAATATATTTCGCGTTTTACCCGTTAACCGTTAAAGTGTTTTATTTAAATATGTACTGCTCGCGTAAACTATAAATAGTAATTAGTTACTAACATTCTTTCATTGGGCTTTGTCGGGTTCGTTGGTGGTAATGCTAGTAACGTATAGCTAATAATCAATGAGTCGTGGGTTGGAACCTCATCGGTCCAACGTTGTTCCTTCCGGGTCACAAACCACCGTCCACATAGGGAAACGTCGTCAAATTTAATCGCGTTTCGGTTCCAGTCTGTGGACATCCGTATATACAAAGCCAGAATAGGTCAACAACACATCTTGTATTTCACCTACCATCAAGTAAACCACATGCTCGTCCTTCCTCCACTATCAACAATCTAATAATAAAAAAAGAACTAGCCAACATAAAATCATTTCCAGCAAAGAAAACGGCCCCGTCTTAAAAGTGCTCGTCGCAAAGATGAAGTTAAAATACGAAGACAATAACTCTGACGTGTTGTCTTTGAGAAAACGGTCGATGGAAGACAAAGTCACAATTAAGCCTCGGGACAGTCCGCAGTCCGGGGGTGATGCTGTCCCGGCCAACTCGAAGGACTCGAGACTACCGGAGTCTCATAATATTCCACAGGATCCGTCCCAGGAATATCGCCTTTATAGGAACGATTCGCACGAACCAAAGAGACGGAAGCCCCCGGGTCCGCCTGCTATGTATTGTGTACCCATAGAAACGCCAAATGGCGGGACTGCGGACGAAATTAAATTCGACGCGCCAAGCCCGAATGGCGCTACGGGTAGAAGTTTTATTGTACAGTAAGTCAACACTTTACTTTGTTTAAACAACGCAGGTCGTAAGTTCGGCACGAAGATCCACATATTTTTTTAACCCAGAACACCTCTGCAAGGAGGAAATGGGTAAAATGGTCAGCCGATGATGTGGACTGATCACCCGGCTCTCTATGGGTGTCCCCGATAGAAAATAATAAATAATAATAAGATCCGCTTTAGTTGTTTTTAAAAATCAAGCTGATTTAGCAAACATAATTCATATTATACCCTCATGGGTAGTTTTCATATAACTTATAACACATACTTTTCCGTGTCCGTTACACCGTTACGGTTTTTCTCCAAGGTGTCTGACGAGGCTAATATTGCTCTTTTGCTGCAGAGATACCGCCCAGCCGGGGACCAGCGGCTTGAACCGTTTCGCTGTGTCCAGCCGCGACAGTCAAGCCAGGCGCCCCTCCCACCATAGCCACAGCGACACAGTGAGCGACACCGACAGTGAAATCCCCGAAACCAGGTCGAGGAGGCCAAGGAAGAACGTCGTGTATAAGGAGAAGCCGCTCAATAGGTAAGTGAAAGATAAAAATCGTTTAAAATCCGCCGTTGCACCTAGCTCTATTTTTTCAAGGTAGTCCTTTGGTAGCTGAACTTAGAAAGTCATAGTCTATAATTGCTGAAAGTACTACTCGTAGTAAGAAATCAGGTTTGTGATGATAGCAGACCAAATAAATCGAGGGGACAAACAAAATCTTAGAGCTAATGCGTTTAAATACTGTCTATAGTTTACGCGAGTAGTACACATTTAAATAAAGCACTTTAACGGTTTAAAACGCGATATATTTGAAAAGTTAAACTTATTTGAAAATGATTTTTAACTTCGGCCCGACGTTTCGGATGCTTTGCAGCAGCCGTGGTCACGGGGAGACGTACAGTTCGATATGTAGTATGACTTGAATTATTTATATTTCTTAAAATAAAATGTTTATCTACAAGAGCACAGTGCCGGAAATTGGTAACAAAATTCTTACACAAATTATAGTATACGTATGCGTTTTTATTTTCCTTTATGAAAATTATGTTTTTTGTTATTAGGCCACTCTGCATTTAGTTTATTAACTTAGACATTTGTCGAATAGTAATTTGAGCTACTACAAATAATTACGTAAACTACTGCCGTTTGTCTGTAACTATGTTTTTCTTCAAGATGTTTTGTCTCGCTCGCACATTAAAGTAAGTTTTATTGATTTCAGGAAAATGCGCAGATGATGGTCGCACACTCTTCACCCACCATAGACTGCATTCTAATTTAATTGTTATCAAGTTATTTATATTTAGTCAGCGGATGAATGTTGTCTCTTTCTTATTATACTTATCTGAGAGGGACGTTCATAGGTCGCTGGAATAAATGCGTCTCGTTGTAATATATGTAGTGGGATATCAAGAGGTAGGTGACTTTTAGATTATTTTGATGAAACAATAAAAAGTGGTTAGGTTCAGTTGTCATGAATTGCCCCAGAGGTGAATATGAATAAGAAGGCTGGTTATTTCAGAACGGAGTTATAAGATTCAAGTACCGCCCGTGTCTTCTGATTCTGAGTGAAACATTTAAAATAAAATCGATGATTTCGGCAGACACTTAAAATGTATAATAATCCTATTATAAGGGCTCTTTAAGATAACCAAGACTTATTCTAATGAAGCTAATAGATACAAATAAAACGAACCCCCTTGCGCGATATCGCTTTTATAAAAGTTACACGATTAATTTATAAAAATCAAATTTTCTCACTCGGACCTTTCTCTAGAAGGGTACAGAGCAGCATGGAGGAGATTCTTAAAATAGGGTTATGTACTAGTGCTGTATATGATAGAGTATATTTCGTAGAAAGTGCCTTCACCTGAGTTCTGTATTTTAGTCTCAAGCTCACCAGTCACTGAATAAGAAAGACAGACTGAAAATAGTTTTATAATACATATTTCTTTGTTAAAATTGTAATTGCGCCGTTATATAGAACGATAATAAATTAATGATGTATCAATTATTAATATTGTATTTTTTAAGCAAAACCAAAACTAAACAGTAAAAAATGTTTTAAAAAGTGTTATATGCCTGGCATCACTTAACGAAAAGTTGTTTTGAAAACTACCTTCAGTTTTCTGAGATTATTGAAAGGCAGTATTTAATTTGACTGACTGAGATTATCTTGCCATAAATACTGTTACAAAGGAAAATATTTTTTTCTAATGCACATAACTTTTATTATTTTTACGGGGATTACTTTAAAACCCAAATATATAGCAAATTAAAATATGTAAAACTTATTCAAAATGATCTTCATTGTCGGCAATACAGTCCTTTGAACGTTGGGGCCAATTATCAATAGCAGCACGCACTCATGCCGACCGAGACTGCGTAGACCGAGCTTTATGACCTGGCGCCGAGTCTTGGTGGAATGATTATTATTGGATATTAAACATGATGCTGTTAAGGGGCTTCACTACCTTCTCATGACTCATGATGGTACCTTGATACACTTGTGCAGATGTTTTGATACCTTTTTCACAAATTTATGGCTCAGTCACTCCTTCATAGCTTACACCCCACTAAACCATCACTGAAGCCGGATAGCGCCCACGTTCAACTCCGTCTACTGATTGAGCTTCCTAAGGCCTCTTTTCCATTACACGGTTGTTCAAACGTACGGTGTGTAAGCCGATGGAAAGTAAACCTATCGGACATCTCCGGATAAAGGAAACTTTTATTTGTGTCGAGATGCGACTGAGTATTGCTTAAAATATCAATAAAACACAGGTCAGGTGCAAAAATATAATGAATAGTAAACATGCATTTCAAATCAGAGTTCTCGGTCGTCAATCTATATTGAAATTATTTTAGTCTCGAACACGCGGTCTCCAAGAGCACAGAAGCCTGACCATTGCACCAGCTCTGCCCCCCCCGCCCCCCGAAAGTACGACGGTAAATAGAAACGCTGGCGAATTGTGGATCCATATTAATTTGCGAGTAATTAGTGTCCTTCACCGTTACCCTCACCGCAAGCGGGAAGAAACCATGATTGCAGGGTGGCTGAAACGACCGTTTTAACGTATCTATTTATTTATTGCACACAGACATTTTACAACTGCAGAGTGCACCGGGCGGCCTTATCGCCATAAGCGATTTCTTCCAGGCCACCCTTACCCACCAGTGCGAAACTTACTTTATAAACTGTAAAATATTATAAAACAATAATGACCCAGCAAATAAAAAATTACCGAATGACAAAAGGAAATTCAATCTTGAGTGAAGTCTAGGAAGGGGCTAGACGTACTAAGTTAGGTAGAGAGTTAGATCGATAACGCTTTGCCAGAAAAGTTCGTTGTATAGCTGGGACTATAAAAGGTAACACGATTAACAAAAAAATAATATAAACTCACCGTTTTTACGTATCCTGTACATTGTCCCGAGTTTATAACATACCTTTCCGCCGAAGTAAACCCTGCGATAAAGAAGCATTCAGTAAATAAATAAATAAATATTATTTGAAAACTTTGTAATTTTATCTTCCACGATTTCTTAAGTTGCATAAGACATTGAACCTTAATACGCACGTGGTAATGTTGAAATTACACTGCGCGAAAGGTGCATGTATCGATAAGTTGAAAAAATTAGACGATTAGGTGTAGGACTCGGTAACTCAATTGGTAGAGCAACAGCACGGAACGCTGACGATGCCGGTTCAAATCCTGCCCGAATCAAAAATTTTTAGATTTCTACAAAAAATGTTTATTTCGATTGAATTTAAATTAATATTGTTGCGTATACGATTGTCTCGTGTATGGCACAGTCACGCGGCCGGCCCATACGTGAGTGAGTGCAGGACACGTAGAAAATGGTTAATACGCGAATTCAACAGAAACAAATATAAATGGTCATTACACGGCTTCTCTATTGGCCCCACGTACAGGGAAGACTCGACGAGATCCGATTCGGCCGTCGACGAAGACAAGGCGATGGCCGTCACGGCAACCCACAACAGAAACATGACTATCGTTGAATTGGCGAAACGGACGAGAGTTGCGAGCTATATACCTTTCGATAGAGATCGATTTGCCCTAATCACCTGCGACGGGATTCGACGCTTCGTAACATCGATTCGACACCTCATTCACAATTATTGCAATCGCCGAACAAGTTTCCAAACAATATGTTAACAATAAGCGGCTAATTAAATGCCTGCAGCCGATCCGTCTCCCGTTGATAAGCCTCTACTCAACGTTTCAGTTCACACTGAGTACACGCTAACAGCACATCCGTCGCTCGATGGTTCACTTCGAATATTATATTACATGGTAAACTCTTTAAGCGATTAACATAATGAAAGTATTTATTTCATACACATTTAGCTGGTTAACACTACCAGCGCCCTGGGCGAGATTGCACGGCGTTCTCCAACTACAATTCACACCCATGTGAAAAAAGGGAAAAGGGAAGCATATAATGACATAACCATTCATTAATAGAAATCATCTTCTCAATAAACAAATGGTAATTTTTTTATTCACAAACTTAGCAACTTCGTCAATTGAAAATGAAATCGCTGAGAGACAGGTTGTTTCACCAATCGGCTGTATTAATTCATTGAATGTCTTTTCCACAGTAGTGGTCTGAAACGTCATAGCTCCTCCAAACGTCGCAAGTGCTCCTGCGTGACTAGATCAAATTTGGCAAGTAGTTGTACTAAGCCTAAGAACTTTCCGTTATTTTGCGTATATAATTTGTCGGAAGAATCTTTGAACGCCATATTGTTTTCGGCTAAATCAATTTTCTATCATTGCTCTGTCTGTCTGTCCGGCTTTAACGCCGAAACTCCTGAACCGATTAATTTGAAATTTAATACACAGATATTCTAGAGCCCGAGAAAAGAACATAGGCTACTTTTTGTAGCGGTTGAATCGTTCAACCCTAACACCGCTACTGGGTATCGACAGTCATAAAAGTAAGGCACACGTCCAGGCGATAGATCTTCATGTCACAAAAAACCAGTCGGGTCACACTGGGATCAAAGTGTGAAGAAGGGCAGGAAAATAAAAAGAGTAATAAATACGTATTCTAATAATTAAACTAAATGCTCTTGCTGAGGGGCAACAAACATTTTTAGTAATTGATTTACGAAACAGGTTGGCACTATTTTGAAAGGCTACATATATAGAAAGAATACAAAATGTAACTTAGAAAATAGTAATTTCCTGTAGCCAAAGTAAGATTAGAGAATGATGAGATTCCAAAGGCTTGGAATGGGGCGAAGACATTTCTCCGTTTGTTGTGTTTTCTGTATTCGAACCCACGACGTTTCAGTAGCTGGTCTATAGAATATTAGCGAACTGTGGTATCGTTTAAAGAAAACTATACTTTCATATTAAATATATTTCATTTAAAATACTTACAGCTATAACAGATTCGATAAAATTTTCCACAATATGGGAAATGCAATGTTGGTGTTTTAGTTTATTTCATTGCTTATTTTGCTCCAAACTTTTAGCTTATATTTGATAGCTTTTCAGCCTATTTAACAGCTGTATAAAAAATCATATACCACCGTCAACAAAGTATAAAATAAAATATGTCATAAGCCCTCAATAATGTGGGCATTTTATATGTACTTGTTTCCAATCTGGCTTCAAGCAATGGAATAAAATTTTAAAATATTATTTCTTGTCACATCGCAAAACATGAAAAAAAACAATGTGTGGTTTTTAAGGCAATTCTAACCTAAATGTAACCAGTATTTTGTGTAACTTTAAGTCACCATATTTTTTGCAGTTGTGTCGCCATCTGCCGTTCAAAAGAAACAACTTTATAACCTAATATTAAAACATTTCGATTTGTTATTCTAACTACATTTTCTAACGCTACTGAATATATGACTTGTATAATTTAAAATTGATAATTAATAACAATTATTTCTTAACGGAGTTGAGTAATTACAGCGCTCTATACATCTCGGTTTAATCTATGGAATATTCCGAAATCAATAGATTTAAAAAATATGCAATTATCAAATGTATGTATGGACAGTAAGGATTAAAAACTTAAAATCGATAATCAGTATCAGTGGTAGGCCTATCTGGCGGTGCCGGCGCCGGCGCTGACTCCGATGGATTTAGCGTCACTGTCGCTGTTTGTTCTGTTGTTACCTGTAAATTGAACAAATTCGTTTAAACATAATTTTGATACAAGTACATGGATTTACCTATATCGGTGTAAAATAGTAAACAACGTGCAGTCGTTTACTTTATCAATTAGTTTGCAATGAGAATTTTTAACTTAGAAGTTAAAAATCATTTTCAAATAAGTTTAACTAATACTATCGCGTTTTAAACCGTTAAAGTGTTTTATTATATTTAATATATTATTAAAATTCTTAACCTAAATAGTCCGCCAATTAAAATTATAACAGATACTAAAAACATAAAGATTAAAATAGAATAAATTATCATAAAGTTTAAAGGGGCTTAAATGCTTTGCAGTAATAAAGTAAGCTTTTAGTTTAAATGTGTACTACTAGCGTAAGCACACAATTCTAATTGAGATATTGTTCAAGAACAGGAAGCTTTGGATATAACACAGTGAAATTGAGATAACCTGACGGCCTCCGAGAATAGGGAACCCAACCGTTCGGTTCGGTGCAGCACGGATTGAGTAAACAGTTCCACCTTGGCGTTATCTTATAACTGACCTCAACTTGCGAAGTGTTTGGTTCCTTGTGCTTCGCGTGTTTCTTCTCGACGTGTCCGAAGCAGTGCTCGCATTCGTCGTCGCTGTCTTCGGAATCGGATTCGCCGAAGCGGCGCGGCTTCTCGTATATGCAACAGCCTACATTGAAAAAAATAATTTCTATAAGAATAACCCGTTCCTTGTTTAATAAATTGAAATAGAAAAAAAGGCGATATGCGTTTTTTGGTTGGGAGACAGTTCGTTAAAATTTTTGTCACGTGTATTTTTGTATTGCACATGATGGAAAATCGATTATACATTTAAAAAAAATTACGACTCCGGCAGGACTGGAACCGGCACCCACAGCGTTCCCTGCTATGGATATAGTTCGTTCAATGTTATCAGAAGTCGCGCGTCCAGGAGCGTTTTCATTCGATTATAATACCGTTTATCTATGTTTTAACTTATCAAGAAAATCTCAAACTTTTGTTGCTTTCATAAAAAGTAATAACAAAGATATAATGTAGAGATTAGCATTCTACATTTTGTGTCTGCTATCGAGTTTTCAAATGAGACAATAATCTCGCCAATCCAAAAAACTCCATTTCATACAAATCTTATTAGAGTTAACTCGGAGCGAGCTGATTGAATCTTCTCAGATGCCATGTTACCTGGTAATGGCGAGACGATCTTGAAAACCAATTAAAGACATGAAGAATACCTATTGAATTGAATAAGTGAACATGGGGTTTCCTTGATGGTAGGTGTCTTGTTTATCCTACTGTATCGTAAAAAATAAAATTGTCATTACGCACTACACACTGATAGAGGTTAAGCTATATATATTTACTAACATTTTGACTTCTTCTTGTTCATATGCTCATTGTCTACCGTGTCTTCAGTCCAGACGACCTTTTTCTGTTGCTGCTTCTTAGTCGGGCGTAGAGTGATCACCGCCACGCGTTCAACTGGCTCCTGAAAGCATTGCAATTTGTAAAATCACTTTGAGGGTAGTATGAGTTTAATTTTTAACTTAACTAAAAGGGTTAAGTTAAAAATTCAAGGTTCAAGGGACATTCTCTCCTACAAAAATCGTTATAGATTATAGGAAATTTATACAAACTAACTAAGGTTTTCTAGTATTCTTTACACCCAAAATAGCTAGAATATTGTTTAGTATTCGGATATAATTAGCGTTATCTTGTGGTTCTGTAATTTTTATAGATTTTTAAATAACGTACATAAAAAATATGGGAATCAAATTTTCTAAACAAGAATCTTTCTTCTGTAGCAATTACTAAGCTAAATAATTGGAAAGAAATGAATTTCATGTCTGGTGTGTGTTATTTTATAAGAAAAATATTTCCTCTATCAATAGAATGCATGTTTAATATTTATGCTACTTGTTGTAAAATGGCATTGCATAGTCCTAAGAACTCACCAAGATTTTACTTAAATTAATTCTGGCCAATGCACTGCAGAGAACAAAGTTTCATTGCACTGTATGCATATGTATGTTAATGAAGTTGAACGCCTATTTGAGGCCGGCAGTTTTATGATTAAACTTATTTATTCTTTAATAGTCCTAAAGTGTTAATCTACAAGAACATAGGACTGATATTGTTAACATGATTCTTACACAAATAATTTTGCCTCATTATTGAAAATCATGATTTTATAATTAAGCCACTTTGTCTGGAGCCTCTGCCTCATTTATAATTTTTTTTATTACTGTCGAATGTATCAGACAAGGTTTACTGGATGTAAGGCAAATAACATTAAAATAAAATCTATACTGAGAAAGGGAATTCCAGAATATACGATACAAATAATATTTCGAAATACTGATATCAACTTATATCTTACAAGATTAAATATCTGATGAGAAAATAAACAGTACTCTCTTTAGTAACATTTATTTCTAAAACAACAAACAATGCGAATGATAGTGAAAAATGATAATACTTATCAATATAAATGAGGACGTAAGGTAACATTTGATGTGCTTAAACCAACATATAAGAGGGTATTTCATAATAATACATTTTTAATATACATTCTCAGAGTACTAATGACAAGTACAAAGTATACATAGACACCTATATAAATACAAATATTAAAAGAGTAAAAAATAAATACTTGTCTAACAAACATCACCATTCATTAATGATATAAGTTTTAAATAATACTGTTCCAGTTTGCTATTATTTAACAGCTTTATTTCCTATCAGTCCTTCAATTTTTGCCTCATGATATCCGAGGAAATTCCCTAGAATGTCTTTAGTGTGCTGTCCAAGTATAGGCGGAGGTAAACATACATCATTGACCCCCTCTGAGTAAACAGTCGGTGGACCAACCATTTTGATCTTCCCCGCCTCCGGATGTTCTAATTCCTTCACTAGCCGAATCTCCCTGACATGTTTATCCTCGAATACATCCTTCATGGTGTTAACTGGTCCATTAGGAAACGACGCATTCCTAAACAATTCAGACCATTCCCTTTTCGATTTTGTTTTGATAATTTCGCTTATAATTTGAACAATTTCTTCGCGATGTTGCACGCGAGCCGAATTGTCTTTAAACCTCTCGTCATCAATTAAATCTTGCCGTTTAATAATTCTACATAAATCAGCAAATTGCGCATTTGATCCTGCCCCAATAACAATTTCTCCGTCACTAGTTTGAAAGGCTTGATATGGCACTAGATTTGCATGCGCTGTACCCCAACGTTGGCCCTCTATACCGCAATTTAAATAATTATTTGCAACATTAATCATACTAGATATTTGTGTGGATAACAGGTTACAATCAATTTTTTGTCCTTTCCCTGTGTTTTTCCTATAGTACAAAGCTGTCATAATAGCACCAAATGCGTGTAAGCCTGTTGTCACGTCAGTGATGGCTACACCGACTTTAGCTGGTCTTCCATTCTTTTCACCAGTACAGTTTAACAGGCCACCCATTGCAGCAGCAATAACATCATAACTGTAAAATAAAAACATCATTAGCTATAGAAGTTTTTAATAATACAAAATTTAATAAGAAAATATACCCAGGTTTCATCGCATATGGTCCAGTTGAACCAAAACCGGTGACAGCACAATATATTAGTTTTGGATTCACAGTGCTTAGCTTCTTATATCCAACATCTAGTTTATCTAGCTTTCCCGGTAGAAAGTTTTCAACCAGGACATCACACTTCCTAGCTAGGTCATAAATAATTTGTTTACCTGAAAAAAATTTAGTCATGCAAATAATAAGTTTTAACTTCAGTATAGTAGGGCCAATTAGCACAGATATAACAACTATTTAAATATTGTCTTACCTTGTGTAGTCTTTAAATCAATGCAAATACTCTTTTTGCCTCTGTTCACAGATAAAAAATAGTATGAATCATTCCCTTTCGTAAATGGTGGACCCCACTTTCTAGCTTCGTCTCCATCGAAACTTTCCACTTTTATTACATTTGCACCAAGGTCTCCCAACATCATTGTACAGAAAGGACCAGCTATTATTCTAGATAAATCTAACACATTTACATCGCTGAGCAAGCCCGCATTCGTTGAATTTGGATTTTTATTTATTAGAAACAAGGATGTACGCCGAAACAATGGTTTTATGGAATAAAACGTTAATCTTTCTAAAGAGCCCATTTTTTACGATTTGTGAGAGTAACCGACTGATGCGTGCAGTAATTTGATAGCCACTAGTATCGTAATCTAAGCTCCTGTTTAACTATGTATTTGCCAGTCAAATACGTTAGATAAGTGTACTTACCTCTTGAAGTTGTGGTGGGACCGTCGTCACCGCTGTACTTGTTGTCGCCATTTCTTCAGCGCGCAAAGTTCGCGGAGGTTCTGCCATTAATATACACAGATATTTTCACATTATAAAATACTGGAAGCTGAAATATTTATGACAATGCGAGTTCGTTATCGTAGATATTTAGTGGCGATTGGAATTTTCTATTTTTCTAATCTCAAGTCTGTCAAACTCAAATTACGAAACATTATGTTAAATGTCATAAAAGTCGTCAGGTGGTCTTTGACACTGAAAACATAGAGAAAATGCACAGATAATACACACACCGTCTCTAATGTTGTCGATAGGCATTAATGAAATGTATAAATAATTATAACAATTTTCTCTACCCTCATTCTTTAATACAGAGTAAAACAATCAATTAGTTAAACACTATAATTATGATTTTAGAATGATTTATAAATAATTAGCGGACCGCATTTAATTCATCTTTAGTGATTCTGTTAGAAGTATGATGTGTGAATAATGACAATATTCACACATACTTCAATATATAGAACTGTGTATAATTATTACACTTACATAAATAATTATTACGTCCATCTATATTGTATACCCAAGTTTCGAAAAGGCCCATCTGAAAAAATTCCCAACATAATTCATAAATGTGAAATAGAGTGCATGGCGACAGCTTTAAGATAATTTCGTAACTGCCCCGGGTAAGCCATAAAATAGCGTTAGACGACGCAAAGTGTAAATAAAGATTATTTAAAATCGCTATCGAAGTGAGCGAAAGCTAAAATATGAAATGCGCTGTTTCCACGCACACTTGAAATTTCGCTCCGCGCCACTGACGCATATTAAACAAAAATATAAATAATACAAAGTTATTGGCCAGCAGGAATTCATTGGATTTATTCCAGAAGTCCATTGCTACGGGAAGTCTATTTTTATATTGGACAATTTCCAATATAAAAATAGGGTAAAAATTTTTTCCAAATCATTGGGACAATACTTTTAGCCTTGCAATATTTGAAGCACAAATTAATTATTTTTTGTTGATCAAAGAATCGCTCGTTACATTATATATTTCATAATATCTAATTGACTGTCTGTTAGTCCCAGGTAATAGGCAGTAAGATTTTAATTTTACCTCAAAATAAAAACAACTGTGTATCTAATTTTACATTAGTTTTCTTCGATTGATAAATAATGCTCTTAATTTCAACTTATTAATGTATCCAATCGGGTCATAAGTATCCTCGTGCTTAGGACCGGATTTTAAGAACTTTGTCCCACCAAAAGTTTCTGTAGTGTTGGTCTATAACAACTACATACAAAAAAGTAATGGTTTAAGCCGGAACCGACGCATCAAAGTGGTCTCCGAGGAACATGATGATGTCACTTCCAAACTCCGGGCTGCTACAATTCTTAGAATAATTCCGAATAGATTATTAAAATGTCAACGCAGAGTTCGAAACCGGGACTTTGTAACATGGGGTTGAGTGCATATACCACTGAACCAGCGAAGCAGTTAGAGAGTATTAATTTCAAACATAATTTACAAATTCATAAAAAAACTGTCTGTAGCTTACGCGAGTAGTACACATTTAAAACACTAACGGTTTCAAATAAGTTTAATTAATATATAGCGTATTAAACCGTTAAAGTGTTCTAGAAATTCTTTCTGATATGACAGTGATGCGATTTGCAGCACTTTGATGCTATTATTATTTTATGACGACAATAAAAACATGCTTATAGTTTACGATCTAGCTATTTTGTAGTTTGCAATAAAACTAGTGATAGCTTAACGAAACGGTTCAATGCAATAATTATTTTTATGCAGAGGTGGAGATACAAACTTTGATTTAGCGATGAAAGGGGAAACATCTCATCCATGAACCTAACAATCTTTGGACATTCGAAAATCCACAAACTGTATCGCGATTACTTTACGGCTTTTTCATCTGCGGACGGAACAAATTTCGATATTCGTTCCATGCAATATATATCCAAGGGTATTTATTCAAAGCTGTTTTCAGAAAATGTTATTTTTTTTTGTAACATGTTCAACCTATTATATATTAGTACCAATAGACTAATAGGCACGGCAAATTTACTAATGAATTTAATATATTGTTTAATATTAGCATTAGGTGATGTATTTTCTTCGAATTGTACGCATTAAATATAGTTTAATATAGTCTTGAACTCTCTTATCTATAAAAGAAGAGATTCGCGAATAGTATTGAGATACATATCTCGAATCTAGATATCTATTAACACATGAGGAATACCCGGTATATCCTGCTACCGATTATAATCAAAGCCACAACTTGACGTTGGACCTACATTGCGATTAAGCATGTATTGTTAGACACTTGAATAACAAAAAGAATTCGAAGTTTTTGACCATTTCCTGTACTAAAAAAGACTGTGACGCACGAATCAAATGCTATTTTTGACGAAAAACAAGTTCAGTTTGTAAGAATTTGGCAAAAATACCGACCGAGGCATGTTGAGGTGATATTAATCTTCTTCACCGATAGATGCCAAAAGGTAAACGTACTTTGGGAACGAAATGTTTTGAGTAGCGTTTTTTGTTTGTAGCTGGCTTGAAATTGATTCAATACAATTTGTATGTGACAGTGTATGGGAATTGTCTGATTCTAGAAAATAAAATATACACATACAATATGTATTAGCTGTTATATATCTTCAAATCTTATAACCAAAAAGTACGAAATTGATGATGGATGGTAAATGCCTAACCCATATGCCGTCTAATCAAGTTTCGCTGACGACTTATTTTGGCTTTAAATTAAATCACGTAATCGGCTCCAATGAATTCTAATAAGCAAGAGAAGTCCAGGTTTCAGAACCTAGGCAAACGATAAATTGTTTTGGTCTGGCACGGCAGAAAAGTTGATCGATTTCTTGTCTGTAAATAAAATCGATTAATGTAACGGACACAAACGCGTCCAAGAACGGATTTTATTATTTTAAAGAAATAGCATCTCCGTTTCTTACTCTTTTTTATCAGTGTATCTGAATTTTTGCATAATATGACAATACTACAAAATTACCTTCAATATAGGACACATATTTCGCAGTGAGATAAACCTACTTTCACCTTTTAAATAACACCGTTATACAATATAACTATTATTAGCAACAAAGCTTCAAAGAGAGCGAGGTTGATTGATTTAGGATTACAACGATTTCGCTAAAACCTCGGCGGCCGACGCTCCATACAAATTTAGACGCTTATCATTCTCCAGAAATGAACACACAGGGACGTATTCGTGAAAATGTTCGCTGGAGAATTCCAGGATATTACACTTTCATAAGGACTATTGAAAATTTGCTTTCTCCCTTTATTAATATAGCTACGTTAAATCTTAGTCTTTCGGTTTGTATTACCAACCTTCTAACAACATTAATTGTTTGCAGAGATATATTTATTTATTAGTATTTTAATCTCCGAGTAGTTTTTATTGACGTTTTAAGTAATATGAGTTAAAGCACTAGACCTTATATCGTTTGTTTGATGATCGGTATAAAAATAGCAAAATAATAACCCAAATCAACGACGCCGGTTACCATACATCGAAACTTGGCAGAGCATCCGAAGAAAAACAAGTTAGTGGAAACGCATGAGTCAACGACGAATTCCATCTTGACAGGCGACGTGATATTAATTCCGAGCTCTTAACGAAAAACGTTGTTTCCATATAATTATTTTCGTATTCGTGCATTATCGTTTGTGTCTTTGAACGTAGAGGTCGGTAAAAATGATATCTTCTTCAGAAGGAACTAACCTTTTCACTACCTACTTCATCCTCTTGCTGCTTCTAGTGTCTCTGTGGGCTCTTTACTCGGCTTTTTAAAATGGACTATACAATCGTGAGTACCACTTACATAAGTATTTTTATTGTATGCTTTAAGGTGAATATAAAGCTGTACTTTTTCCCACGACAAATATACAAAGTCAAAATACGTCAACGGCGCATCTTGCATAAATATTCCGTGGCTTAGGTGTCATGAGATTGAAAAAGTATTAATATTTTTAATTTTAGCATAGGAACCAAACCTTCCAAGCAAAAACTACTATCATATTACGGGATATAAAAGACTAAACGCTAACCTTTACGAATATATACATACAAAGGACATGCGCGAAGTGATCTTTAAATTGTAATAGAGCTTTTCTTTCATCCTTTGTTTTATTAATTTGAAAAGCATAACATATATGAAATTATTAATGTCTGTAAAAAGATGTTAATATGAATGACCCTCTTCTTTTAATTTTACCATCAACACCTATCACTGCTTACTTACATCTCAAATACCCACGAAGCCTAAAAAAGGCAAAACTCAGGAAGACATCCTTGATCGAGTGAATCTGGCCCTGTGCGCTGACGTTTTAATGCGCGAAGGTCCTCCCAGCAGTCAGTTTAAACTCTGCTACTCCACAATCATGCCGATCAACGCTGAAACTGTGAACTTGGCTGCCACCTACATGATCCTAGTGATCTTACTCTTCTTCCTGTGGCTCCTGTATTCGGCTGTCTTCTAGAACACGTTTGATGACTGTAAGTTCGTTTTTATGGCAACTAATTAGAAAATAGTGTGGTCATTTGGTTATTATTATTTAAGATTCTTTGAGCTAAGGGGCAAATACAAAATTAAGATATCTTCTGTTATCTACTTCTCTTTCTCTTAAAAACAACTTTTTCGTGTTTCATATTTATATCCGTACTAGCAATAATAAAACGTCTACTAATTTATTTTATGAAGTTTCATAGACCTCAATTTGCCATGTGTTGACTGGAGATGACAAATGGATATAGTAAGTGACACGTATATGTCTCTGTTTGTTATAGAACATTATTTAAAGTAGACAAAGTACATAAAAAATGTTTTTCAATAAGGAGAAAAGTAATAATGCGCTATTAACTTAGGCGAAAATGAATTTGTACTATGATTTGTATAACAAATTTTGGGTCACTGTGCTCTTGTAGATTAGCATTTTCAGACTATAAAATTATTAATAAGTGAAGTCTAGTTAGACTATCCTAACACTAGCGGCCTCAAATGTACTATTGGGTATCGAAGCAAGTACCCTTGAGCAAAAGTGCCTGAGAGAGTTTACGTTTCGTAAGACTAATTCCTAATTACAACCAACGGTATTCAAGTCACACCTGTTTTACTTTAAAAACGTGACGTCGCATATAGCTTTGTTATCGCCCTTATCAAATGCCAGATCGGTCTATCGGCGTTTCTATAATTACCTGGATAGTGGCTGGATATTTATAAGTGTGGATATTCAAGGGGCGTGTCGCGTGGGCGAGCGGCGACATTCGCTTGTCATATTCAGTTTTCTGGAGTGTCCAGTACAGTGAGGATCGCCAGCATCGCCATGCCGCACCACGAGACCACAAACCTCATCGCCACCTATCTTATCCTGGTACTTCTGCTCGCCAGCCTGTGGCTCTTGTATTCTGGGATGTTCTGAGGTGATCTCTTCTTGAATTCTTCTACTTTTGATCCTTCTATAACCCTTGTATTTACACCTTAACGTTTTCCCAGCTAAAATTATCAAAAACTCCAATTATAATGAAACTGACAGAACGGTTGCGCTTTTACATAGCAACAATGGCACTAATCCATCGTTTAAATAAAACAATTTAACGGTTTAAAACGTTTTTCGGAAATTATTTTATACGGCCTGTCGTATCGGATGCTTTGCAGCAGCCGTGATCACCAGCCGTTTTATTTAAATGTGTACTACTCGCGTAAACTACAGACAGTATTTAAGTAATCCCTCAATATAACTTAATTCGTATCTCAATATAAATTAATGGTATCCTTAACATTGAAGTACAAAACACTTTTATCACTACTACAACTCTCTTATGAAAGCTTAACTCCTGGTACTTTGTCGTTTGAGGTCCATAGTCGCTTATAAGATACATCTATCGGTTTCCACTTATAATATTTATTAAACAAACTTATATTTTTAATTAAAGCATCATTAATAACTAGCAAGTATTTTTACACTTTAACTCATTAACTATTTACAACCTACAACTTACTCGCAAATGAAAAATTTATAACTTCCGATATATAAACACTTTTAATTAGTATTCACTGATTTATGTATTAAACTATGGTACGTCATTTCACAAAACAATTATACGTCCATATCTTTATTCGTAAAATAAAGTCTTTGGTGACTGACTTTTTAATAAACATTAATGAAACATCTAAAATATGTAACAATTCACTTGTTTATAAAAGAGAGCCACAACATAATTTAATATTAATCAACACAATGCACTGTAAATTATCAAGAAAATTAAGCCATAGTTAAAAATAACGTGAACTAGGTATAACCTTTTAAATAAACAAATAGAATATTTAAATAAAATACTATTAATAGTTTAAGGCGAGAAATTGGTGTTTTGTCTCTTCTGTTCTGTAACTACGCTATAATTCAGTATAACGGCGTACGCATCTATTGAAACAGACTTGTGATTAAAACGTAGTAATTAAATTTCTTATTAAAACTTCTACTTGAAGCTATCCTTATATCTTGCCCAAAATAAGATTACTATATATGCGGCACTTTCGACGGAAGTTCACCTGGGACCGAAGCTTCAGCTATTATAATATTTTTTAAGTGATTTATGAAAAGTTATCAGTTTCTGTCGATATGACAAAGTTTAGTCTGAATTCAAACTCATGTGAAATTTCATCTAGAACACATCAACTAGCCGCGTAAAATATAAAAATAATTCATAATCACTATTTCTCAGTAAAATCTCATTTCTATAAATGTTCGTTCGCGGCCGCGAGATCATAACATTCAAAAATAACTCGTACGATTTTGACATCTCGATATAATATTTAAACGTAATGGATAATGTATTTTTTTATATCGCACCGCTGCCAAAATTCTGGCGCCATATTGTATATTTATTAAAACTCGTGTCAATCTTTCGTTCAGGCTAATTAAGAATTAATTATGTTTTAAAAATAAATTTGTTCTAAGTAAACGTCATCTGCGGATTAACTGTACACGTTTTAGCTGAATACAAAATGTTATAATGATAATGAGCTGTAAAGAGAAGAGAAAGCCTCAGAAAGGGTCTAAATGACAAAATAGAATTCGATCTAGTGATCCGATTTTTAAGCATGTCAGAAGAGATCAATTTCTGTTATTACCTTTTTATTTTGGCATTATGCTACTTTATCTAACAAACCGTCTGCAAAAAAGAGAACACGGTTTCCAGTAATTTGAAAGAGCCAGTCGATCAAAGAAGTTTTATTTTAAGAGAACAGCTGCCAGCGAAACGCCACGGTAATAACACATCAAAACAATGCAAAAAGCAGTTTCAATGATAAAAACGGGGAACACAGCCAACAATTTCGAGGGTATTGCATGCATTTCAAGATATTTCTGCAATGCAAATATACATATAATCGACAATAAGCCTTAACACTTGAGTACAATAACGAACACGACAGCTTTTAAATAAATCCCTTTAACGGTTTAAAACGCGATGTATATTACTTAAATATATTTGGAAATTATCTTAACGAAGAGCCGACGTTTCGGATGCTTTGCATATATCGCCTTTTAAACCGTTAAAGTGTTTTATTTAAATTTGTACTATTCGCGTAAACTACGCCAGATTTCATTATAATTTTGTAATGTTAATTCTCCTCAAAGTTCTTATTTCCGATTTGTTAACAGACTTGTATGATAAAAAACTCTGGATGGTTTGAGATCCACATTTTGATATCCGTCTTTTTATGATCCCATGACAGAGAGATTTTTATGAGAAACGTATAAATTATTAACAATGATGACAATACATAAATAATACTTTTCACACCTAATCAGTTGGAAGCGCCTGCGTAGCGACTCAATAAATCATTTCACATATTTCATGTCTAAGGGCTCATACACACTAGCAGGTTTGCCATAATGAGATCGGCCGCTGCACATGCGTTTTTCCGGTTAGACGCAGGACGCTGACCACATTGATGTAACTACCAGTAAGGATAAAAGATTTCAAGACTTCTATTAGTTTAGATTTGTTTTAGCCATTCACTGTCGACTGCTGCTGGCTCCCCCATAGACTTCCAGTACGACCAGTCATTCGTTACTTGAATCCAGCGCTTTCCCACTACCTTGACCACGTCATCGCTCCAGCTGTGTGGCGGCAGCTCGTCCAGGTTTTCGAAGTCCGGTACCAAGTTTTCACCCCAGAACTTTTTTGACCCAACGGCCCTCAGTTCTACGGGGGGGGGTTTCAGCCCCCCGCCTTTTCCGGGGGGGGGTTGGGGGGGGGTTGTTGGGGTTTTTTTTTTTTTCCTGAGCTAATTCTACGCGGGAACTTCTAGCATGGCCGAGAGTCTATCACCAATATATATTCAGTCACATACAAACGTTTCTCTTTACAACTAACCCCAAAGGACACATAGTGTGGACTGGTGGCGGGCTGTCCTGCGGGCTACTTGCAGCCAACCGCCTATTGTGTAAGAGCCCTAACAATTGTCATTCAGAACGTTGGATATGTTTAAAATAGACAACTGCAGACAGATGGTGACAAATGGTTCGAGCATTGCTCTGGTGGACGTAATCACATTTCAATTAAGATTAGCACGCCAATGTATCATTCGAAAGGATTCTTACTTCTAATTAATTGTGTAATTATGTGTCCAATTACTATTAAATACATTGCTTACTCGTAACGACGGTACTGGTGTGTTTTCGACTCTTTTTTTACAAGGGGAATTCCGCTTCGGATTCCCACCTCACCAGGAGCAAATGGAAAAAAGGTTGAGATCAACTTAACACGACTAATACCCCATGATGAAACCTCTAAACCAATAAAGAAGAAGCATCTCCCGATTCTTAACTCTCTTTACTAATCAAACTACATAATAATAACATAACTGACAGCTAGTTGATGTTTAGTTTTTGTGAAACTAGCTGTCAGTTATCTAAGAAATTTGATTACACGGGCTGAATCAAACTCACGACCATAATGAATAGAGTTATTGTGTCACACGGAAATGGTCCGTTTTCTCATCTATACTCTATACTAATATTTTAAATAATAAAAAAAAGTCCACGTCAATATATGTCCATCTTATAACATAAAGTTGCAAGAACGACGGGATGCGGAAGACGTTTTGGGTTTAAATGTATAAAACTTTATCTTTATAAAATTAAGGAGGTTTGCAAAAAATAATTTAAATTCCAAAAATTACTATTCTACGCGGACGAAGTCGCTGACACAGCTAGTTTGCTTTAATCAATGAGAGAAAAAATTAAGAGAATCAGTCCTCAATGTTTAAACAGACCAAAATGCTATTATAACAAAGAAAAAGAAGCAAGAAAGTATATAATTATTATATGTGGTTCATTTTACATTAGATACTGAGCAATGCGCAATATTACGAGTTCCAAGAATAAAGCTTCAGCGGTTTCCAACTGTTTTTCACGAAAATGTTTATTTGTGAATCGTATTATGCTTGTACATTATCCAGGCGAGTTTCTTTGCTTGTGTACATTTCAAATAATCATCTTGTCTTGAACAATATTTTGAATTCTGTCTGTCTGTAAACTATTGTTTGCATTTTCGCGTCTTACTTAGAAAAAATACAGAGAAAAACAATTCTTTCTTGTTAAGATACACATGGAATAAAAAAGCATTTGTAGTTCGTTTTATTACATCGATAAAATCAATGTTTTTTTATACTTTTACATCAAAAACGTACGTTATACAACTTATTTTGTTGCGCAGATTTTGAAACATAAAAATACTAGCCCATAGTTATGAGACGCTATCGCTGATAACTATCACAAAAACAAAAAGAAGCATTTTTTATCTTTGACAGTAAGAAACAAATCAATTATATTTTGAATAATAAACTATCAACAGTTTGAAACGTGAAATATATTAGTTAAATTAAAAATTGATAGAAATTATTTTTTTCAGTCTATATAGTGCCATCGTGTGCAATAACATGTGGAAAATATTAAAGTGTTCAAAAGTTGATGGAAGTTATTACAGAGTTGATGGAAGGCGAAACACTTCAGCGATATAACATCTCAACGAGATGCACTGTCGTCCTATTTTAGCTATTCGGAATTTTATTTAAATGTGTACGACCCGCGTAAACTACAGACAATACTTAATTTTTACCATATTGTTCCAGGTAACAGTCGAGACAAAAAGAGACCAAAAGGCGAGTAGAGAGTACCACATAAGTTAAACTTAAGAAACCGTTATGTTAGCGACTAAGTTAAGTGTTGACCCAGGCATTTGAGCGGCACACGTACAACATGGGGCAGTGCCGGGCATTCCAATATTCAAATCTACTAAAACACTATGTTAATATAGAAAGACATCTACAACTGAATCCTGAACGATGTAGCAAGAATGTTTCGTTATTAGATTGTTATCGTTATTGTTAAGAGCTAAGGTTTTGTAATAAAGATTTTTTATTATCGACGCTAGTTTCTCTTTAGATTCTAATAATGCCTGTGATTTGAGAGTAACGATGATATTATAAATTCTAAATTTAACAGTGCTTATTTAGTTCAGGTTGCCAACAAAAGAAATTTTAGCGATACATTGTAAGAGTTACATAGAACAGAATTTACAGAACACAATCAGTCTTTACACATTACATAAATATAAGTACTTATATCTACAATGTTTATCCTCTTAAAGAAATCGTTTGAGACATTTTTATAATAGAGGAAGACAAAAATGGGGCTCACTCAATTGAAGGGAAAACACCCAAGAGATGACCAATCTCACAAGATGTGCTGACCTATTTTGGCTTGGAATATTTGTTAATCCAGACTGTTACCGAGTAACGCTTTTAAACTTATCGATTTTTTCATATGTGGACGATGTTATATGTATATAGAATCTTAATTGTAATGCCAAACGTGTTTCCAGGACTCCCTAGAAAACACCACCATGGTGTGTTTATTGTCTCTGGTCGGCTTTTGTCTCCGAGGAGGTTGTAGTACGATTTACCACTCTCCCCACGTCACTATTCCCCGACGTGGGCGTGCATTAGGCATTCACATAATCAGTTGAAAAACAGTCTTAATTGTACTCTACAATTACACGATTTATTAGTAACATACAAATAAATTCAGTATATTTATTAATAAAAAAATTGCTTTATGTTCCTTATTTCCTATCCATGTTACGATCGGAATGCAATTAGATTGAACTTCGGTCAAGTGGGCAGGATGTTAATGTTATCAGAAATAGAGATGTGATCTGGCAAACATCCAGGAACAGCGGTAACGCTTCAACTATTATGGGACTCCGAGTAAATCAATGAATGAAAGTTTAGCATAGGGTCGCCGATAATTAAATAAATATAGAATCAAAATTAAGAATCTATAATAAACTGAAAAAATTTTAAAACCGGGCCGGGACATAAACCGGGATTTCCGGGGTTTCCTGCTTGGGGGGACCCGGGCCCCTTTTTCCCCCCTTTTTTTCCCCCCCCCCCCCCGCCATTTAATATCAACCTTAACACTTGCTCATTAAAAATTTGTATTTTTTTTAATTTATCGATTTTTAAATTATATAGTGCCAACATGTGCAAACTATTAAACAACTAACATGTGAAAAATAATAAAGATTTCAAATACAAAATCATTTTATTGGGAAGCCTATGCAGACTTACCAAAGTTACCCAGTTCTTGATTCTAGGTTCTAAATGGAGACAAATAACTGGCATAAATTTGTAATTACCCAAGGAGAAAAAATATTTGTATTAGACTTTTAATCATAAATGATATTTAAATGATTTAGTTTTTGAATATAAAGGAAATAAATTGCGAGTATTTTGTAGATTCCAAAATAAAATGTTATGTTAGTAATTGTAGTTACATACGTATTTGCGAACATAAAATCATTAATTTACGCCTATGCTGTCATATAGATTTGTTTCGTGTTCTCCCACTTCTTTTAATGGAGGTGTCACTCTCACTTTGAGCCGATAGCCTTGAAATAGTACTCCTATTATCATCTTCAGGAACCAAATTGGGATCGATATCGCTATCGAGACTCTTAAGGTTCCTTTCATCCGTTGATAAATCTCGAATAGGTTTCAACTCCTGACCTTCAATGGTTTGTCGTTTTAATTCACCATATCGGACATGTGCCATTTGTTTTAGACGATTCGTAGATGTTGGTTTGTCTGCATCATTAGAGTCCGCAGCTAAATCTTTCTCTGAACCCAAATTCTCAGTATCTTCGCCGTATCGACCGAGAATATAGTCATCGACGCTTTTCATATGACTTAAGTCTATCAAAAGACTTGAATCTTCATGTTCCATCAATGAATCTTCAATGGGTTGGGCGATAGTATCTTGTAAAGACTTACTAGATTCTTCTATTCTAGCCAACAATGCCTCCGTAGCCTCTTCCTCCTCATTCAAAAGTAATTCTTGATAGGTCATTTTGATATTAGAATCGGTTTGATTTGGATCTTTCTCTGGTTCTGCAATTCTAGCTGAAGTACTTTCTATCTGTGCTTGCGTAGTAATAATATTTTCAGGAGGATGAGCAAAGGTTACTTCCTTCATAGGTTCATAAGTGATAAGATGTTGAGATAGTTGACGGCTATCGAGAGGCCACAGATCTTCTTCCAGTCTATCATCCTGATTTGTTTCCGGTGACGATGAGTGAACAAAAGAACCTTGTTTTATTTCAGCAGTGGTTTTTCGCAGCGACCGTGCCCTTTTATAACCCTGTGAACCTGGCGAAGGATGATCATCATCAGCAATGGTGACTCTGCGTTCCCTTCTGCCTCTACTGGAACTTTCGTCAGGATGGGTGTCGTCTGGTGACAGTGACTTCTCTATAACACCTTTGCTTTCTGGAAAATGCTTTAATAGATGTTCCCAGTCGTTCAGGCATACTGTAAGTACTTGAGACCTCATGACAGTTATGTACGAGTGAGTGTACGGAAAGTTGTGGACTAGACCGTGTACCTGTTAAATAAAACATGTCTTGCTTATTTCTTACTATCCGTTCAAACGACTTCTTCTACGTAGAAGAGTTACTATGGACATCAAAATTTGTTTTTGGAAACCTCCTCCTCATCTTTATCAATTATTTATTATCGCTGGTACTATCGCGAACATTTTTTTGATAATTTAAAGAGGAATCATTCCTTCATACATATTTTTTGGGTATCATAAACTGTTTTCGCAACGCACGCCACGGAAACTATCAAAGATATCTGAATATTTTTCATCGTTTTTCCACATTTTCCCACGGTTTCATCGCTCTTATCGGTCGCAGCTTTTGAAAGCCTTCCTCGATAAATTTTCTTACCAACACAAATATAATTCTTCAATTTGAATTATTAGTTCCTGACATTAGCGCGTTCCAACAAACAAACAAACACTTCAGCTTTATATATTAGTATAGATTCAGTTCACAGGAAGTATATATTTTGGATATGAAACAATAGAATGTGTAGTGAGGTAGGTACGTACAGTCCCGAAACTCTCTCCAGCAAAATAGAGACGTGTGTTGTTATTATGTTCGGAGGTCTCCAGCACACGTCCGGAATGGACAAAGTAGAAGCTTTCTGTCTGATCGTTTTCCATTACTACGTACATACCTACGAAATTTCATTGTTGAATATTTTCTTTGTTAAAATAACTAAGAATATCTGTCACTCATACACAATAGAAGGCCACTTAACATCGGTTTATACTCAAACCTTCATTTACTGTGTATTTTACATTTTATACCGTAAATTTTAAAACTTTTATAAATTCAAGAATTTGGTAATTTTACCTTTCCGATAGGTGTATAGTTGAAAGCAACCAACTAATTGTCGCAAGAAAACAGACTCGCAGTTTCTAAATATTGGATGCTGTAATAAAAAATAAAGTTACTTTACAATAGAATGCGTAGGAAACTTCTAGACGATTGACTACTTACTCTCCACTGCTCAAAAAAGGTGAAAAGTAACTATAGTCTCAACAATTAATTGGATCTCAAAACTTACAATAACAGTGTCAAATGTAACAATAATCTGGACTGAACATTACAAACAGTGCTAAATATAAAAGACTTTGTTTAATAATGCACAACAATATAAATAAGCAATGCGGTGAAGCAATTTAGTTGATTAGGCATTAAGAATAAATAAATAGGCGAGAGGATTTAACAACGTCTATCTACCACCGTGTTAGAATTGATATTGAGGGCTTAACGTGGCTTTGGAGGCAGTGGGCTTCCAACCTAGAATCTAATGGTCCGCAGTCGAGTACACTGACCACTGGACTAAGCAGTTATTAATCAAATATTACCCATTTCGAAAGCTAGATAACAAAAGAACTTATCTAATAGAATCATACCGCATTCAAATGATACAGATAGGCCTCAGACATGACGTCAAGTTTTAGGCAGTTGGGAGCGTTCTTCAGAAAGTGCGGTAACTGGACTCCGCGTGACTCCGCCCACAGGTGAAGCGAGTATCGGTGCACCAGCTTCACTAAATTATGCGACACGCGATTATTTTTCAGGAAGTCCTGAAAAGGGGGAATTTTTAAGTAGACCGATGTAGACGATTCACAGCTAGCTAATTTAAAATTTATCTACCTTTAAATTGATTTACTTGTAGCGATAAAAGTCATACTCGAACCTGTAATTCGATGATCTTGCAATAATAACCGAAGGAGCGGAACGAGTAGTACTGAATAATGTTTGAGAATTCACCGACGTATATCATATAGACCATTGTCGATACCAACTGGAGAATAGAGACGAATACGACCTAGAATGTAGAGAAAATCTTAATCAAGTTTTTAGTCCAACCCGACGATTTTAGCAGTATTCAAAGAAACATCTAATAATACAAGTATACCATACCTCCGATTGTTTCTGTGGTAGAATATCGCCGACGCCATTTTGTGTAAAAGTAGTAAAAACAAAATATAAGGAGCACATATATTTGTTTTCACACAATGGTTTCCCTTCCGCTGGAATGTTAAAAAAATCCATCAATAAAATCTAGGTAGTTGGCACCTAACCACCAAGACACATTCTGCTTTCTCGTTTGATAGTATACTTACAATTATAGAACCAAGACGACTTTGGTTCGATCTCCTCTTCCATAACGCCAATGAAATACCATAAGCAGGTGGACACGTGGATAAAGATCGTCATCCAAATAAAAACGGAGATAGTCGTCGTCAGAATTAAATTAACGGAGATGCTTTCGTGTCGTCTTTGCAAACATTTGTATACTGTCACCTAGGCAGTTTAAATGGATTTTGAATTATCCTTATAGCATAACTAGCTATGCCAATGACTTCGTCCGAAAATCTGTTTCTGCGAACCTACTTCTCCTCTTTATAAATCACAGCTGCTACCCATGTAGGCCACGCCCCTTTGATTTGCACATTAATCTTAACAGATTTTTAAGATCATTCAAAGATTCTTTACCAACAAAGATAATTCCCCGTTTTTTTTCACATTTTCCCCTGTTTCTTGGCTCACATTAGTCGCAGCGTAATGTTTTATAGCTTAAAGCCTTCTTCGATATATGCTCTAACCAATACAAAAAGATTTTTTCGAACCAGTAGGTTCCTGCGCTTAGCGCGTTCAAACTCTTTAGCTTTTTATATGAGTATAGATAGACCGTGAAATAAGCTCAAAGACTTGAATTGTATATGTATGAATAAACCTTAACTTACGATTCTAAATAGGCGATTAAGCCTTAGAAAAGAAAAAAGCACGAGGTTGTCTTGAGAACTCAATAAACTAAGGGCTTCAATGGGTAAAACCGATAGTAAATCCACTTTGAATTCGCTTTTAAAATACCTAAAAATAAATTATAATGAGTGCTAAAATAATACTGTTTGTAGTTTACGCGAGTAGTACATATTTAAATAAAACACTTTAAAGCTTTAAAACGTGATATATATTCGAAACGTCGGCCCAAAGTTAAAAATAATTTTCAAATAACTTTAACTAATACATTTCGCGTTTTAAACCGTTTGTTGTTTTATTTAAACGAGTGCTAAAGTAGTTTCCAATAAAAATAAACAACAATTATACAGTGTTTAAAAACTATATTTAACACCGGAGGATTTGGTCCTGCCCAATCAAAAACTATTTTTCAATTTATAATACATTTTAAATTAACGTATTGATATAATTTTTATTGATGCGAAATTTTCTTTTAAACAAAGCCAAATATTAAAGATCATCATGTCACATACTTCCGTCTCTCCTTCCACATCGACTGCGTCTGCTTATGATTTAGACCAGCAGAGTAAGGCATGAAATATTCTATCACAATTTTCCAACAGAAGCCTAGATCCATTAAATAGAGGAAAACTAGCAAGGAGGGGCTGTTATTTTGAAAACCAGCGTTAAAGACGTCCACGTAGATGCAGCCCAGGCAAATGAGGATCAGGTAAATTTGAAAGATTGATGATCTCCGATGCACGTAGCTTAGCAGTTTCTGACACATCATTAATGCTGGGTGGGAATTGTACTCTTTGGTGTCCATTTGGATAATTTCTTCGGTGCCCATGACGTAATTCTAGCATAGGAATATACAATTAATATAAGAAGGAATCATTCAGAATTATTCTATGAAATAGATAGTTGGTTTTGTTATCAAGTTAACTCAAACATGTTTTTGGAAAGTTAAGTGTATAGAAAGATCTTATTTGACGCGAGGCTTGTGATCAATATTTAAAAAAATATATATAAATAGTTTTTCTAAAATCAAAACAGTTATTTTTTTACTATTTGATATAATACTTCATACTACCTTAAAAAAAAAGTATGGCAAAATAGAGAACGACTTTGTTTAACTTTGTCACGGATTTTCTAAAACATTATGTTCCCTAGAAACCCTCGGCTTTATTCAACTATTTTTCAACAAACTTTAATATTTTTCACACGTTATTGCACACTAATTTAAAAATCGGAAATAATTGCTCTAACAGAGCAACAGAATGGAACGCTGACGAAGCCGGTTCAAGTCCTGCCCGAGTCGAATATTTTTTCAAATTATTTTTGATTTTAAAACAACACTTCTTATAATCTTTACTTAGGACAAAAAAATGAATATATACATTATTCTTTATAACAAGATGCTTTGTGCGTACCTCATCCTGTTTCAAGTAAACTTCCATGAGATCAACAATACTTGGAAACTCCACAATTATATTATAAAACATAGGAGCGTTCATGTACAGAAGATGGACTGGAGTAACCGATACCACTTCCACTGGACTTCTTAGTGTCTCCATACATCTGAGGTTTCCAAATAAACTGGAAACCGATTCGCCATTATATAGAAGTACCAATTTGTGGTTTTTAATTGCTTTTTTGATGATTATTATTATGATTATTTTATTGTGTCTTTGTATGTTTCCGTTTTATTCCTAACATGGGACACATTCTATGGTCTTATATACACTTACCCCGTCTACAAATGTACTAATAACTGATAAAAAAACATACCGAAGAAAGCTGTTACCTCCCTTTACCTAACTTAACCCTCTCAACGAGATCTTCACCATTGTAATATCTCAGTTCCACCACCCCCTGGTCCACAAAGAACAAGTCCGATATGATATCATCTTGAGAGATGATGCACGTGTCTTTCAGGAAATGGAAGGTCTGCACTGCTCGACCAATGATGCGTAGAAGGGCTACGTCGCATCTATTCACTATAGGACACTGAAAATTGTTCGGAAAACTGAATCTGTTCTTACCCCGACCAAATGAAGGGATGTGAAGCTATATTTTTTCGCACTTGGCAGTTTTAGAGTAAGATAATTTTTAAAGGAATTAAGAATAACTACGAATAATTCTTTAGTCAGTTTAACGGTAAGAACTGGAAATCGTTAAAAAAAACTTACTACTAATTTAAGGTTTTTTTAGTAATAGCCTCTTGGACAGATTGTTATTATTGCATATACACATGTAACTATAAAATAGGTACGCGTGTAGTGCACATTTAAATAAAAGAACTTAACTGTTTAAAACGGGAAATATATGAGTTAAACTTATTTCAACCGTTGGTGTTATTAAAACATGTAATCAATTATAAGTCAATTCGTGCAAGTTACGTTAAATTAAACCCTTAACCCTTAACCCGTGGTGGGAATTTCGATAATTCTGTCGGGGTCACGGATTACCGTCCACAGATAATTTTTTCCAGTTTCACTTTCAGTCTGTGGATTTCTCAATATCCAAGGCCAAAAAAGGTCAACATTAAGAATCAAAGATGTTATATGGCTGCGGTATTTCACCTTCCCTCAATGACCCCATTCTCCTCTATGTTAAAAATACCTTCGTAAACGTAGGCCCGTAGATAAATAGGATTGCATCGGTGCGAAGAGTTATGTGGTCACAGAGCTTCAATACTTTCCTGTACTCCATGCCGGCCATTTTGTCCCAATTGTATTTGTAGTATTCTAGAACGCGACTAAAAAAAAACTAACGCTTTGATTATTATCTCAGCTAATTTATCTGTATACATGTGTCACTTAAAACTAAAATGAATAATGCGAATACAGATGATAATAACGCAGCAACGAATCCCAAAAAAATGGGGGAATTTAATAAGCATTTATAATTATAATAATAATAGTGAAAATGTTCACTACAAACTCTGGATGTACTTTTTCAATTCGGAGTCCAAATTCTCTTTAATCATGAATTTCTCGATGTCCTTCATGTGTTGCTGAAAGGAGGCTAGCGGTCTGTTGACATTTGCGCGGGCGCTGATGATTCGAACGGAGTAGTATGTTGTTATCATTGCACCTGAAGTTTTAAATACAAATCTAATTTAAGAACTTAATACCGCGAATTTAAACAAAACATATTTCAGAAGAATTGACAAAAAAGTCACATTCAGAGCTTGAACCTAAGACTGCAGAGTAGGATGCCCAGTCTACATGCCACAAAATAATTTTCATTTTAATTGAAAAGTTAAAATGAATGTACTCTACGTTCATTTTTTTTTCCTTAATGAATGAATTGTTTTTTAAATACAATTCCGTAATACTTCCGTAATCTTTTATGAAAAAGTGCACCAACGAGACATTTACTTTTATAAATATACTATTCCTCTTGAGAGGTTGAAGGTGATAATTTGTCGCCATTTTACCAATAATCATTCCGGCTATCATAATCCTCATTATGATGAAGTTGCTTGGATTTAACGTATTGTATCCAGTGTTTGTTGTCTGGTAGACCACCCAGAAGTAAGTCGCCAAGTGGAGGTTCCACGCGTTTTCAGTCATGTTAAAACGAACTGTAACAAACATTACTATATTGCAATCCCAAACATCAAATTAAATATTTGTATGTCAGTAAGTAATTTGTAAAAAAAGAAAGGATTGTTTTACTGTAAAAAAACGTAGCCAGGTAGTCTGTGATTCATATACCTTATAATATACTCTCCAACGGTCTATAATACGAAATTCATTAGTAAAATAATTTTTACTATAACGTTTTAGGTTTTTATAAGTTTGTGTTGTAAAATCTAAGCGCCTGCTAATTTTATTTTAGCAATGACGTGCGCAAGTTTATTTGCTTATTAATTGTACATGTTTGTAACTTAAATACTAGTAATAACGAATAACTAATATTGGTATAACGAAATGAAACATTTATATTAAACTTTAATAGGTTATCGGAAATAGTTTCATATACTTGATCCTTCAATGCTAAATCAATTCACTTATACAGAAGTGGTAAAAACTAAAATCCATTGGTTTAAACTCGGATCAAAATATTTCTTACAATGTTGTTATTTAAATAAAACACTTTAACGGTTTAAAACCGAATATTATTTTAAACTACGGCCCAACGTTTCGGATGCTTTGCAGCAGCCGTTGTCACGGGAAGACCTCTACCCGTACAAATAATTTTCAAACAAGTTTAACTAAAATATATCGCGTTTTAAACCTTTAAAGTGTTTTATTTAAATGTGTACTCGCGTAAACTACAGACAGTATGTAATGTTATTTTTAATTCATTTTCACGTTTGACCTTTTAACAAAAACATAAGATAATAATATCATAATTTCTTGGATGAGCATTCAAAATGTTTTTTACTCACAAACATTACTATACAAGTTGATCCAGGAGCCACCTTCATCATTGAATGGTATCAGTTGGTATTTGTCGTAATAACCAACTAATTTGACCGAGTTGAAGATAATCAGGCAAGTCAGCACATTTAGGAGTGCCATGAATGGTGGAATCGCTTTTAATCTGAAATATATTAAGCAGAAAAGAGACCATCTTACTTATAGTAGCAAAAGTAGGCTAGCAACCAGCTATTTGACCCGAAATTTGAACAATAAAGCTTCTCCAAGATAAAAACCTAAGACCCTAGACGAAATGAGAGGTATTTTTATGACCATTACAGCACGTTACAGCTGCAGACCTTACAAAAAATCTAAACTCTGTTTTTATTTTGCTTTAAAATAAGTAATTAGATAGATTGAGGTACCTCAACTTTTTTAAGGTTATAATTCTGGAACCATATAACATCTAAGCAAGATGTGCTGTCAAACTATTTTGGGTTTGAATATTTGTTTTTTTAGTTCTAAAGACGGTAATGAGGTAAATTGGACATACACTATTATTATATCTCTTCTGACATATCCCTTCAGACTCAGCAGCGCTCCGGGAGTTCTGTACAGCTGGATCAAGCGGTTGAGAGACAGATATTGTATAGTTGGCCGTACGTAGTATCTACCCTCTGTAAAAGACGGTTAATACATTTATTATTTAAGTAGATACAAAGAATACATCGATCCCAACCATTTTTTTATAAGTTTTTGAAACATGTTGGACTTCGTCTTCCAATCTGGATATTAAATGGTTGGTAGGAATATCGAAATTCCAATCTGGTCAAGAAACACCGGCCACAGAAGAAAAATCCGTGCAGTTTAATCTTGTTTCGATGTCAGTCCAAAGCCAAAATAGTTCGTCTTCACATCTTGTTTCGATTTTATATGGCTAGCGTATTTCACCTAACATCAAGGTAGTCACGTTTTTAAACTGTTTTATTTAGCTCACTCCGTTTGTTGTTTTTTTTATTTATTATTTATTCTTGGGTCAAATTTAGTAATTCAAATTTCACCCTCTTCCTGTCGACCGATTAATCTGAAATTTTGTATACACTTTGGATTTTGGTGACAATACGATTATGTTTATTCATATCATTATAAATACAAGATGGCGGCCGCTACAAAATGGCGGGTAATGTAGGTTTTATCAATCTCATCTACAAATGAAAGCTACAAGCAATACAATATACACTAAAAAAAGATGGCGGCCTCTACAAAATGGCGGATAACTTAGGTTTTATCAATCCCTTATATTTTTATATTCCCACGACTGTATCTATTTTATTATTTTTTGGTTCTTAATACCTTTATCTTAAACATTGCAATGTAGGTATGTTTAACATAAAACCGTTTAACTTAAAAAGTTTTTATACCTATTTTTATTTTAAGAGAGTTTTTATAAGTATGTACAATGTAAATTTCTCTATTATTGTCTTTTATAAGACAAAGATTCTCAAGTACTCGAAGTAACCGAGTTGAATAAACTAATTTATAATAGTATTTAAATAGTGGTCTTAGAAAGCATCCAAACGGGCCGAAGTAAAAATTTTTAAGTTAACTATTTGTTAAATTAAAGTGTTTTTTAATAAAATTGAATAAACTAATCAATATCGTGAATTACTACATAGTCTAGAAAAGGAATCTTAGAATAAGTATAAATAATGGTCCAACAACGGTCCAATAATACTTTCTATTCCCTCAGAAATAGAAAAATATTATTTCTTCTTTTCTTTCACTTCTTGTCTGATATGTACCTATGTAAGGATGGGTATTATTTGGCAAACAAAATATACTTCCCATAAGTCTCCTTGATAACAATTTCAAGATTCTCTAACGGAAGACAGGCTAAGAGGTCAATGAAGAAGGTCCTCTTCAGGTAATGGGCTGCCGTGCTGGCCGGATGGTAGACGAGCAAACCTTTTTCATTGTAATAACCAACTAGGATTCTCTGCAATCTGGTTTGAAAAGCTTAATGACATATATTTTTTATTTACAATTAATATCACAATACATTGACAGTTATTTAAAATTGAACCTGAAGCTCGAAAGCTTAGAAAGCTTAATAGTGGCTTAGCTTTTTTTAATAATAGATGATGGTAGGTGAAATATGACATCTAAACTTGATGCGCTGTCGACCTATGCTGGATGGACCACAATCGAAAACGTGATTAAACTTGACGGGCTTTTCATCTGAGGACGGTGGTTCGTGACCTGAACGGAATTTCGATATTCCTACCACCCATTTTATATCCTTAGTTAATATATTAGAAAAAATGTGTATCTCGTAGGGATCGAACTCACGAATACATTACTACCATTACACCTACGAGCCCGTCAAAGGAGGTTAATAGCTGTCGTTACAGTGTCATTGTCATAGCCACGGTTTCAGATCCTGCCTCTGGCATGTAAATTTATTAACGCATGTGAATAATATAAAAATGAATTATCTCACATGTCCAAATACGCCGTGAAGTCCAGAAAGTTCTGAAGGTAATAGATGACTGGCCAGTGGAAGATGAAGTAGGTCCACGCCGGGAAGACCATGGCACTGCCCAGGGCGCACGTGGCACGAAACCACTCGTACCGAGCTAAATACGGTCCATCGGGTCTGATCGTGAAACGGGGGAAGATGTACCTAAAATTATATAAAATTAGATCTAAAGAAATTGATTATACATTGAAAAAAAAAATACCACTCGGGCAGACTCCACAGTGTTCTCGTGAGTCTGTTGCTCTAACCAATTAAGTCGGTGCCCTTATGTGCGTTAAAGTCATGTGAAATATTAAAGTATTAAAAAATCGTTTCCCATAGTAGTCTTCATTTCTTTCTTTGGTTTAACGTAATAATATCAAAGCTAGTTTGCAGACATTTTTAGGTAATTTAAAGAGGAATCATTCTGTCATACATATTTTTTCACTGTTGACCCGTAATCGCAGCGAGGGCAAAAAAAGCCCTCAAAGACGAATAATCTTTTTCCATTGTTTTATAAAAATCTATTACCTTAGAACAGACAAAAATCCGAGTCTGCTAAATGGGTGTAGGAACGCGGAATCCCTTTCATGTTTCCGCGGGAGGGGAAATCGTTCTAGATTTGGCACCGGTTTCGGAGGAATGTAAGCCACGAAGGGCGGATAGGCTCTCTGAAGAAGCTCGTACTCCTGAACAATTTCAATAATGTTATCCTTGATATTTAAATTATAAGTATACTGTAGGTTATGTGTATAATTGTCTTATAGCCTGGTAGTGGATTCGACTCCCGCCAATGACGATCTTATTCGAGTATAACACGGATAAAGGAAGTAGCAATTGTTCTTAATAAGGGATTTTAGATGGGCTGGACTTGAACCGCCATTAACAGCGATTCGTGCTGTTGCTCTAACCCATTGAGCTACCGTGTCCTACAACCTCATCGTCGTATTTTTTCATGAACACTTGAACATCTCGCATATTGTAATTTTAACCTTAACATTTGCGAATTAAGGCATTTAATTACTTTTTTCCCAACAAAATCGAAAAAATTATAAACAGAGACACAAAGGGAAACAATGCGAAATACTTGCAAAAATAGAAAAATTTCGAAAACAACTAACGGGTTGTTCCCTAGCAAACTCCATCGCATCCCGGATCTGTGGTATTTCCACTGCATTCAATAGGAACTTTCGAGATATAGAATAAACTTGGACGTGAGTCACCGCCCTGATTGTGTAGAACGCAGGCAGTCCTAAAAGATACACGCACACAACATAAGTAGGTATACTGTAAAACAAAGTCAAATATACGTACAAATTATCGGAACTCACTCAATAAACATACAACAACACCGAAATGGTTTTTAGTTGTTAATTCGCCGACCACTGCTTTTGTAACTGGGCATAATACCTAGAAAAAAAAAGAAATATTAAACTGTGTCAGTTTAACCTCAACTTGTATTGCGAAATTCTAATCTAATATTATTAAATCAGTTAGAGGTCATGTTTAAAGTGTGAGAACACCCGTTTCCATCCGTGGAACATGGGACGAACAGATTTCTTTGCCCGTTTCACTATTAGTTTAAATCTCTGTGTCCTACCAGGCCGAAAGACTACAATTTTTCCCCCGGCACTTCTCGTGCTTTAAACAATTATACATTGCGCAAGAGATGCATATCAATAGATTGAAAAAAATCTTAGAGCACCGGGACGCTGTGGAAGCCAGTTTAAGTTCTGCCAGCTGCGTATTTTTTTTCAATTAACAATCTTATACAATTCAACCATTGAATTATGTAATCGTTCGTACCCATATAGCAGACTATATATATACATAGAACATTAGTGTATTTCATCATTGTATTTTTTTAGGTATGGCGACTTGTATTTACCTCGCATATCCCCTGCTTGACAACGTACATCTCATTACTCATGTCCCCGGTGTTCAACAGAATTTCATTCGGACAAGTGCTGAAGAGACGCGCGTTCGATGCTATAGTCTTTAATTCTTCTTTGTGTAGATACTGAAAGATAAGGGTTATACCCAGTTTATAAGGCTATTTTGCAAGAGTACTCGAACTGCTTAGAATATAATGGAGAATTTGTTCTCGCGATGGCGAATCGCAGAAGCCTTATGAATAAAGTAAGCTGTGTCTGAAACTGATTTTCGTCAAGGGCAATTAAAATAAACGTCGAAACTTATCGTCAATACTAATAATTTATAATAATAAGTTACCACAACCCCAACTTATAAATTTAAAAATAATTAAAAAAGACATCTTTGTCGAACGACGCTATCGAGCGAAAGTGACACTGAAGTGTTTCATTTATTTATATTAAATTTAAAAGGAATATTTAAGGTCACCTTATCCAAATTATAATTTTTAATCTTACACTGGCAATATCCCTACTATGCTGAAGCTGAAGGGATTCATCTTTAATTGGTCCTAAAAAATCTCTGCGACAGTACATATCTATCTTTTAATCTTTAACGCAAAAACGACGGAAGGCGGACGAAATCGTGACCACAACAAATTAATTTGATGTACAAAATATAAACAAACCTTCATAAATGGAATACAAAGCATGTACTTGCTTCTTTGTCTCGTCACGATATCCTGGTGAACGTGTGGAGGAAGATCGTGGAAAATTGATTTCTTCTTGTTTGTTATCGAATAAGCCTGCGATAATCATTCTAGATTAATCGATATTTGTCATTTTTTTGACGGAAGGGGACATACCAGTACAACTAAATAAGGTGCGCTGTTGTTTCGTATTGGTTTTAAACATTCAGCAATTCCCAAATCTGTTTCATAGATATGTGCATGCGGCATGTAGATTATAGAATTTTACATTTTATGAACAAAAACAAACCTTATCTGTATACCAGCAAAGCTCCAAATAGGATTTAAATCTGTTGGTGAGTGTGGTCTCTACGTCATTTCGATTTAAAAAACTTGTGACGCTCTCGATGCATGCGTCGTAACTTTCCCTGAAAAGTTTACAAATGGAACAACTTTTAACGGTTTAAAATATATTTGTTTAAAGATTTTTAATTGAGAACCTATTTGAAAGTTTAAGATTTTGGGATATTTACTTCTCGAAAAAGATAAAAGACTTCACTATACACGAAAATTCAAAATAGGTCAATAGCGAATCTTGCTTAAATTTTATACGACTCTGGTATTGCACCTAAGTGGCTTCCTTGTCTGTTCCCCTTTATTATAAAAAAATCACTCTACAACACGCACTTGTAAACACAAAAGCTGTATTTAAAAGCTGTTTCTTAAACGCCAGTGGCAGCAAACGATTTCCTGTATAACTATTGACGTAAGCTACAAATATTGTTGTACCTCATAGCAGTAGTCACCATAATAGTAGCCGAATAGACAGCTTCTATAAAGATGTGCAGGACTATGCAAAGCTCCAACACAAACATTATAAAAACCAAACTCATGACGTCGGCGGCGCCGAAATCTTGCATGTGCGCTAAAAGCACGAGATAGACTTTGAGGGGTATTTATGTGATTTGTCTGTCTTTTCCCCTGTGGGGCATAGAGCTGCCGTCCGTTCCACTGATCAAATGTATTTACTCGCAAGTATATAAACAATCCAACCGACAACATTTTTCGTTGCCCGGGCGTCGAAGCCGAGATTTCTCCTGATTTACCGCAGTGCTAAGCAACGTGCCATTGAGCTAAGATTTTCCTGAATTTAATTATTTAGTAACTATGAAATTTATTCGCACTATGTTCTTAGTTGATAATGTTGCCTAGCATAGCGTTAAGCACGAGAGGTCCCGGGTTCGAAACCTATGAGACAACAGGTTGTTACGGTCGGGCAAAAGTCTGATGTGAGATGTGTTCGTCCCATGCCCCACGGGGAAAACGGGCTTTCACTTATTTCATAAATATTATAGAATATAGGTAAAGAGGAGTTCTTAAACCTCAATAAGCACCTGATTTTTACTTACTAGTAAAGGTGAGCATGGATATAGACCAATACAGGCTAAAGGTGAGCCGACTTTCCACAGTGTCATCCAATGGCATCGGAGTCCAGTATGGTGAATGAGTTATATTCGTCACCAAGCAGTAATTAAAGCTGTAAAGAGATTTTCCAGCGTAAGTATTATGCGACTGAAGAACTAACTAGACGAAAGAGATACACTTAGCAAAATAAAGAAGACTAGTAGTGACTCTGGGGTGCAAAGTATTCTGAACTACTACACTTCTTAAGTAGTGCAAAGTAGTGAGCGCATAAGAAGAGAAATAATATCCACCCATAGCACATGAATCCCTGCTGCAAAGCTGCTAGAAGATAACAAGCAATCAAAAGAAGGAGTGAATAAGAGAGGAAGCGTAGGGTATTACTGTGGTACACACATTCATCTTCTACGGCTTTGAGCATTCGGAACACCTGTAATGAGACAAAAGAACACACTTTAACGGTTTAAAACGCGAAATATAATAAAATAAAAAAAAAACAAAAATAATAATTTTACAGAAATTCTCATTTTTATGTTTATCTGTTATGCAAGAAACAAACCTTATGCAGCCTGAATAATTTATTGATTCCAGCAAAATGTCCACCCTGTATAAACTCAAAGATTGGTGCTGTAGCTATTACATCCAGGAAGAACCACTTGCTTCTCGCTTGCTGTGATGCGGTCTGCGCAAGAGTGATGGGCATCCCTGAAATTCAATAGAGCTTATAGAGAGATAGATTAAAAAAAGCGAAAACGCTTTTACACGTTCAAAATTAGGTCTAATTTAATAAGAGGCCGCTAGAGGCAGAGTAACTGCAATTTTATGCCTTGATGTATTTATATTTTTATAGTCTAAAAATGTCAATCTACAAGAACACAGTGGCCGAAAATTGGTATCAAAATTCTTACACACATAATTGTACACATGCGTATTTTTATTTTCCTCACGTTTTATTTATTAGGCCACCTCTGCCTCATATGATATAAAAATTTATTGTGACAATGTGGTTCAAAACAGAAAAGGTAATATATAACCATCCTCAACATTATCCGCCGTAGAGAGGTGAACGATGAGATCCAAAATGAAGATGATGCTCACGACGTAATCGTAGAAGCGGAACAGAACTGGAACCTCCTTCTTATACACCAGGTAATACGGGTGAGTCTGAAATATTTATTTCATTATATATGTAAATAAATCATCAATGCCTCTCCTACAGTTGTAAGATTTATTTTAATTAGGACACCAGTGCCTAATAGTGTTACTACTGGTTCTGGAATAATAGAACTATTGAGAAGTTGGAACGAAAGCTTTATTCTCTATAAATCAGTTCTAAATACTGTCTATAGTTTACGCGAGTAGTACACATTTAATAAAAATTAACGGTTTAAAACGCGATATATTAGTTAAACTTATTTGAAAATGATTTTTAACTTCGGCCCGACGTTTCGGCCGCTGCAAATCATTTTCAAATAAGTTTAACTAATATATCGCGTTTTAAACCGTTAAAGTGTTTTATTTAAATCGAGTTCTGATTAATAAAAATGTATGTCAGGGCGGGACCTACCCTCCACAGCGTTCCGTTGCCCTAACCAATGAGCTACCGTGTCCTACACATGATCGTCACAAGTTTTTCAACCTATTGATACATGCACCGCTGGCGCAATGTACTTTCAACCATAATACTTACAAATTAGGGTTCAATGTCTTAAGCTTTGCAGCTGAATACAATCATCATCGTATAACTTATCGTTACTTTGATGCGTTATAAATGTGCTCTTCAAATTATACACCATCTATTTTTAAACGCCCTAATTTTAAGTAGTTACTTACAATACAAACAGCTACTATCGCACACGTTACAAAAGAGTGCCAAGCAACTTGCAGAGACGATGAAGGCTGCAGAATACATGGGAACGTCATTCGAAGGCAAATTGCATCGGATTCTTCTGTCAGCAACGCATCAGCTCTCTATGGAAAAGGACAGAAAAAACGGAGGAATAAAAACAGTGGCAATGCTTTCTTGCCTTGGGTTTGTCTAGGTTACTTAAGACGAGTATGTCAAGATATTCTAGTTAAAGCAAAGTTAAATTTAAACACAGTTTGATTAAACAAAATGCTAGTATTGTTAGCCATAGGTTGTTCTTTATGCTACACTAAACTTACATTCCTCATAACATAAGACCCAGCTATCTCCATCATGACATCGGTCTTCGCTAGCTGCGGGCGCTCATCATTTTTGGCTTGTTTCAAATTCATGAGCTTTCGCTTGAAATGGATAATGCTGCTTTTGAATCTATAGGATTAAGGAGTAAATAAAAAATGCATTATGTAGACGATGTAACAAGAAACAGATTAAAGAATATAAAGCTTTAGAAAGCAAAGTTTTGCTGTTTAGATTTTCAAATCCTATCCAAATCATCCACATCCAAACAAATCAAGCCTCCTTTATCTTCTCACTTCTACCTTTTTTAAAAAAAATTTTTTTTTTTTTTTTGGAATCATTTAATTTAATTTATATATATATACCGCGCCAAGGGCAATAAGTGTATTATTATATATTCAACCAATTCAGTTTCAAACCGTCAAAGTGTTTATTAAAATGTGTACTATTCGGGTAAACTACAGACAGTATTTAATTTATTAATATTATAGACCTACGCCGGTCTTTCAGGAATTTTCCAGCAATAATGTCGTCGTACTCTCTCCAGATGCTCCTGAAAATTTAAAAACTTACGCTTAAAGCAAGAAAGGTGATAATTAATCGTAGTCTTTACTTTATTATTCTGTAATCCAATATTGACCAAGATGGAAATACTAACATAAAATGATCCCAGGATCACCTCCTTCTGGCCATACTTAAGAACAGTTTTCCAAAGGTCCGACGCGTGTAGGACATGCGCAATGCAGAATGTAGCTGCACGTATCTCGACATGCGCACGAGTGCAAGCGTCAGGACATCCAGCGTAGGGGGAGAGGATTGTGCCACGTGCCATGCGCAAAATCGCTGTTGAATCGTCCTCTGCTGTTAACATCTGTTTGGGGACCAATAAAGGAGAGAGTCAAAAGTTAATTATGAAAAAAATACACAAAATTTAACAAAGTGTATAAGTATTGTTTGTACTTTATGTGAAGAACTCTACAATAAAACACTTTTTAAAGCTCAATTTAGCTCGATTAGTCAACATATTATATACTATAGATAATAAGATGGTAAAAAATGTTTTAATTAAACATAGTTTTATTGCGATCGTCTCAAAAACACTGAAACGTAAAGTGCAAAATAATCTGTATATATATATATATATATATATACAGATTATTTATATTTTAAAAAACTAATGTATAATTAAGATGCTTGCACTCAAATGACGACATTTTGATTACTGTAAATTCAATTGAATTGACGAGAAATCAAAAAAATTTCATGTCCTGTCTATTGTTTGTTGCATATATATATAAAGAACATATACATATATCATTTTACCACATAAATTCTTCCTGTTTATTGGTCTTTCGTGCGGCTTAGCCGTTGAGCGATTCCCAATTGACGGCCGAACAGCCTAAAACCTCAAATAACTAAACTGAATCATCACCTCTACATCACCATACGTTATGTAGATGATGGAAGATTTCGTGGTGTTCCGCTTGATGATCGCATCACCAGGTATGTAATGTATCGTTTGCATTCTCTTCGCCAACTCTGATAAGAACTCGTAGGATAAATCTCGAAGTATTCGACTCTATAAAGAGTATACAAATTAAATTCGACCAACTAAAATATATTTTATACGATGTAAACGGCTGGGCTACTATTGATGAAAACGATGTTTTAAGGAGTAGCACAGTGGCTAGTGCAGTGTGTTTTAATTAAACTACTTGGAATTGCTAATACAATACAGATTAATAAATACAGGGTCGTGGGTTCGAGTCCAATCGAATTCTCAATTAAAAAGCAAATTTATTTTTTTCTGAAACATATTGGTTTTTAGTCTAGAAATTTTTTGTCTGTGTCTTAAAAAGTGTTTGAAAACTCTTTATTTCAAATGTGTTTATTCACAGAATAACACCTACAGTCCAAAGATTAAAAACCCCCCCGCAAAAGCTTGCAATTTCTTCAATCTAAATTAATTTTTATTTCATAAAAAATGCTTTATCCAAATCCTATATACCTTTTGGGTAGCGTTGAAGTAAATATCAGTGTAGACTGTAGCGCTAAGCGTCGGGGGAAAAGCCGGCAAAAGTTGAGTAGCGGACACCGATTTCTGTTTCTGCCAGTACATCTTGTAGAAAGTTTCCACTTTATGACGAAGGCTTCGCGGCACGTGGGAGTCTTTCTAAAAAATAAATTTCAGTATTGTCTCCAGTTTAGAAAAAACAATTAACCGCTTAAAACGCGATATATATTAGTTTAACTTATTTGGAAATTACTTTAACTACGGCCCGATGTTTCCGATGCATTAAAATATACTTACCATTTCCTTAATGATAAGCTTGTATCTTGATCGGAATGTCTCTTCCGGACCCATGTAGAGGCTGATAACGAGAGACAAAGACGCCACAGCGATCCCAGTTACCACCAGAGAACCAGACAGCATTACCAGCAGACACGCAATTCGTTCGACATCGTTACTTGGCATTACTGACGGCCTGTTCGACACAAACGATTTGAAAGGAGGTGGCAAGTTTAACCACAAACAAATAATACTTATGAGAAATAAAAGTAATCAGTGGATTTGACAAAACTCCACAGTTTCTAACGCCATTGTAATCAATAACAATTAACAGTAAGATCGAATTATGCCGGACAAACCTAACATTAACACCAAACGACAGAATAAGGTAAAACTTAAAACGACCTCCCACTATGATCTAATCTATATTTTATACAGTACAAACAGAAACCTTGCCTCTTACCCAATGGGTATGAAGAGTTTGTTCAATAAGTAGAGCACGAAAAGGAATTCATTTGGATCACTTGCTTGCTTCTCATCTCCGGGAATTGTAATAGGTATCTGTCGACCTTTGAGTCCGTTTGCAGGTGTTAAAACCACTGAGAACTAGCATAAAATTAATTTGTGTATCATTGGGCTTACAAGAAAAATGTGTACACACTTAGATTTTATCATCTGTCGTGTATCCAACGCAGCTCAGAAATTTTTAAAAATTTCGACATTAATTTACCTTACCATAGTAAATATAGATACAATAAGATTTTGTCTATTGTGTCACTAACATGCCTCAGAATTTTCGACTTAAATAATTGTACCGTACTATTGTAAATATAAGAAATATTACTAATTAAGGGCCCAAACGCACCGAGTGGTTTACCAATGCGGATAGTCGCAGTTAATATGAAAAGTGTCTATTTAGTACTGTCGCAAATAATTAACCGTTTAGAGTGCGAAATTTATTAGTTATTAATTTACATGCCGTATCGTTATCGGATGGCTCGACAGATTGAAAACGCAGTGAGTTCTATACTTCGGCTGTAACTTTAACGAGCGACCGTTCGTGACTAATACTGACTCTAAACAAGACTTCCTTCACGAATAGAACCGGACTACCCGCTGGGCATGAGACTGTGTTTCATGTAAATGTAATAGATGATAGCACTGCAACACGGCGTTCATGACAACTGACAAGTCCTCTCTCGTTAAGGAATTTCGTTCCAGTCGTGTTCATGACCGTCACCGATATACAATTTATTTTTACCGATTATCGGATGCTTTGCAGCAGGTGTGGTCACGGGGGGACACATCAGGCCGTAGTTAAATTGTAAATAAGTTTACGGTTTAAATATTATTAATATTTCAAATGATTACAAAAATCTCTTACTGTGAAATTAGGGTAATTTGTTTTTACACTTTGCTAGCTAGTGCTACCCTCACCGTCATATAGTTTACAATACAAGTTATATTTGTCTATATAAAATAACAACGTTAGCACATTTCGCATTTTAAACAGTTAAATTGTTTTATTAAAGTTCCTATTCGTACTCACTCTCCACCGGGCACCATACAATCGTTACGTTTGCTCTAAAATGTAAACCTGTCGTCCTGTGACGCGCTAGCTAATATCAATATAGGAATTTTCGGCCACCCGCGTCCTGCTTGGTGTAAACCACTCAATACGCATGGGTCCTTATTATATTAAAAATACTAACGATGCCCATACGGAGCCAAATCAGCGCCCAAGTGACTCGCAGCACAATGAAAATGTAGCAATACTTCAGCGTGGTGCCCAGCACACTTCCCTTCATACTCTCATTGTTTAGAGACCCTACAACCATATTACTAAATCTTTGTACAAAGTAATCTTAAGTTAATGCTTTCGCAGGCTTTCTTAGTAGTAATAATATTGCTTTACCTCGATCGTCATTCTTGGTCCGTCGAAAACTATTCAAGTATTCAAACTATTCAATCTCTTTAAGAAATAACTCGATATAATGATGAGGAGGTGATTTGCAAGGATACATTTGGATGCCCCAAATAACTTTTCCACGCGGACGTAATCGCGGACACAGCAAGTGTGGTTATAACAATGAAATAATGAAAAATGATTTTTTTTATTACGAACTAAATATATTTTTTAAATAAAACACTTTAACGGTTTAAAACGCGATATATTAGTTAAACTGATTTGAAAATGATTTTTAACTTCGCCCCTGACGTTTCGGACGCTTTGCAGCAGCCGTACCAATCCAAAAATCATTGTCAAATGGGTTTAACTAATATATCGCGTTTTAAACCGTTAAAGTGTTTTATTTAAATGTGTACTACTCGCGTAAACTAAAGACAGTATTTAAATACATTTTACTTTAATGGTGTCCGTATTCTTTTTTTTTATTGTTTTCACAGGCGTCGTAAAAAAGTCTACTTACATAGATACCTCAGGGGTCGATGGAGTCTGCCGTAATAACACATTAACTCCAATAATTCGTAATCACTGACTTCTATCATATAGTGCGAGAATGTCAGCAGGTCTATCAAGAAACTAACTGGAAATTATACTTTCGTCATTAATAATTAGCTTTAGTATAGTCTACGGAAACTAGTAATAACTTATGTTTTAGTATTTGCTGACATTTCAAATAAAATGCGCCGTCTAATTATTTTGGCTTCGGATTGTCAAAAATCCACAGACTAAACCCAAAACGCGATTAAAATCGACGGATTTTTCATCTGTGGATGATGGTTTTATGACCCGGAGGGAATTTCGATATTGCTACCCCATTCAAGATTCAGATTTTCAGACAAAAATTATTAATTCATTAGAGAAATGTTGTGCCCGGTGAAAATCAAACCCATGACGCGTTGATTATCCTTACATTGCTATCATCACACCAATGAACACAGTAAATAATAAATAAGAAAACTAGAAAATAAAATAGGGCCTCTAAAACCTACCACCAGTCCAGAAGTCAATGTAAGAGTACTGCAGTCTCCTAACCCCCTCGCTCATCAACGCAGCAACGTGGACTACGTACGTGACGTTGAAAAACACCTCGATGGTGGTGTGCACCAACGTCATCATGGCTACCAAGATCACAGCCAACAAGGTGGTGATGCAGATGAAGCAGTTCCATGAGGTTTTATATGGGAGATGCAGGAAGGTATTCAGGAGGCAACCGTGAGACCACCACATTGGGTATGGCTCCTAAAACATCATTTACTGTAACTTGACAAATTTTCATGACTAGCATTGTTAACAATTCTCACGGTTTAGTTTCAAATCTTCTATGAGGGTGTGTACTAAAAAAGGAGGGATTTGATGATGACAACACCGCAAATATTGCTTGACATTTTTGCTTGCAGAAGACTAAATCAGTATTTTTGGCACTACAACAATGGTATACATGCATAATAACTAAATGATTTTTGTATTTATTGAACATATATTTAATACGAGAAAAAGAACATAATATAACAAGAATACCTCCTCTCTCTCCAAAACAGCCAACATCTCCAAATCTCGCATGCTCTCTGGATTCAAGTATACCTCTGATCTTTTCATCTTCAAATAGTTTTAAGGACGACACAAATAAATGTCTGTTATAACAATTAACATGACAGGGTAGTGAAACATATGGGCTATTAAATTTGACAATTGACAGTAGGTACAATATAACCGTTTTATTCCGATTAAAACAAAAAGTACTTTCATTCTTTTATTATGGTATCACAAAGGGTATTATCCTATATTTAGGCATAAAATTAAAATATGGATAAAAATAATTATAACAATTTCGAAACATACAATTTACTTTGACTTTGTGTGAAACTTCTTATTAGTGTTATAATATAAACATAGAAATAGCACATATATACTTATAAAAAGACATTCATACAGATAAACTTTACATAATATTAATGATAGGAATAACATTGCCACAGAGATGCATGACAAGACTTTCAGTTCTGCCAGCATTTTCCGACAGCCATCTTTGTATCAGTTATATCTCTGTTTGAACAGAGATTTAAAAAATTGATAGAAATAGAATCTTGTTTTCAGGCAGACAAGCACAATCTCTAATAGATACGATGTCAATATCTTCCTGTCTCTGTCACTTTTCTCATAGTAGAATAAAATTACGCTAGACAACATTTCACTAAACACTATTCTAAGATCACTGCGCCGTCACTTTGTTGTTCCTGAAATGTTCATTTCTGAAGTCTTTGTTCATTCGGTGACCGATCATGATTCGCATCCATTGCGGGGCCAATGTGATGAAGAAGTACTGGAACAAATCGGGATTGTAATAACAGAAGGAACAAATTACTCCATTTTTAATTTAAATGAATTTAAAACAAGTAAATTCGATTCTACATTAAACATTTTTTACGACACGAGCAGGACTTGAACTAACCAATTGATACGGGTCCCAATTGTCGAATTTTTCAACCTATTGATTATTATTATTATCTTATTACCTATTGAACAATGCACCTCTCGCTCTCTCTATAAATAATAAAAAATGCATAAAACACATGTAAAAAATTATTTGCTTTTATTTCTTATTATGCATTATTTCTTTACCAAAATTTAATAAATTTTTCAAACACTTCCTAATATAAATATCTAGAGGAAAAGACAATATTTAGGGGTTATTTAATTTTCTGTTGTCGTTTAACCCCCACTTTATAATCCTTACTAATATTATAAATGCGAAAGTAACTCTGTCTGTCTGTTACTCTTTCACGCCAAAACTACGAAGGATTGAATGAAATTTGGTGCACATATGGTTTAGACCCTGAGAAATAACATAGGCTACACTTTTTTATTGCGAAAAGGGGGTTGAAAGGGGTAAAAGGGGAGGTGAATGTTTGTATGGAAATTCGTGGTTTTTGAAGCTAGAACAATGACTTTCTTCTTGGCTTTTTGGGAATAGGAGTGGGAGTGGGAGTGAGATTGGGAGTTAGAGTAGGAGTGATGTGAGATGAGAGTGTTGCGGTAAAATAGCACTTACAACATAGATTGGCTGTAATAAATGCGCAATTACATAAATTAATAAACAGCCTAAGTAATTAAAAATTCTACCCCAAGTCACTATTCCACGCAGACGAAGTTGCGAGCACAGCTAGTTATTATAAATCCTTACCTGAATACCATGTATCCAATACCCAGTAGTATTACTAACTCTTCCTAACAAATAAACAGCGCTCTTAGCGTACGTAGCGGCGTTTGGCACGAGGATGTTACCATCCACCAAACGCTGGGAGAACGAGTTCAGCTTGGTGGATACGAAGAGCGGTGACACGTGCTGCACGTAGATCCCCTTGTTAGCGTACTCTTCTCGAATTGCGTATGTGAAGCTACGTGTATACGCCTGCATATATAAGATTTATTTGAGTATTAAAGTAACGATTATATTCGTTACTACGTAAACGTATAGTTACTGAGTATATTGGTTAAAATTGGCTGACGTTATTATCCGTCGGGATAAAAGTATTTATATTTCTAATTTCACATTATGTCAAAACATGTACAGCATGAAAATAAATAGTTTTTTTTTACTATTCAAATAGTACAAAAAAATTTTATTTTGATGCTGCATTTTATAATTGACTTTCGCAATTGATTTTAACTACTCTCATTGAGGCCTTGTGTGTTTCGTCAAAAACGTCGTGCGCAACCGAAAATGTATGTATGTCGTAAAGACATCTATGTATCACTTGTATACCAAATGTGAAAGTGTGTTAAGGTTTATTATATAACATGATTCGGTTGGAACGATTACTCAGTACTCAGTAACGAGTACATACGTTTGAAACCTCACCTTAGTAGCCGCATAAACCGTCATAAGAGGCAGCGGCTGCGCTTCGGAACCCGAAGATATATTGACAATCGCACCTTGGCCTCTAGCCACCATCGCTGGGAGCAGCATTCTAGTCAGCGTGGTCACAGTGACCACGTTAAGATTGATAATCTCCCAAGCCTTGGCCAGTGTCACTTCGCATAGCGGCATGGGATAATCGTATTGACCTCCGACATTATTCACTGGAAAAGCGGAAAATTAATAATTAAAAATAAGTACATGGTCAAAAGTACTACTTTGATTTCGACAAGGTCGAACGTGTTTTGAAAATCAATTTAGAATTTATAAGTAGGTAACATGTTAGACTTAGGAGCCTAGAAAACTTGGATCATATAATTGGTGGTAGGAATATCGAAATTCCGAACCACGACCCAAGACCCACAGTCCACAGGTGGCCTTTGGACTTTGGGTCTTGGGAGGCCCTTCAGTTTCAGTATATGAAATTCCGATCGTCTAAAAGCAAAAGAGATCGATAACGCATTTTGTTTAGATATTATTTCGCTGTAGTATTTTACCTTCCATAACGTTCCCACATCACAATTTACGCAATAAACAATGGACGCACAGCACGCAAGCAATTTTACAGACAAAGTTGCCGAAATTAATTACTATCTCATAAGAAATTCATTAGATCATTTTATGGCGCTGCACAACATTGTAAGATTATTTCTTAAATTTTAATTGGGTTGTACAATTTTGTTTAAATTTAACTATGTATCTACTCAGTTTAACGTATTTATGCTGGTTTGACGGAATGATTACATCACGGTCCCCGCATTGTGGAACCGGCCTTCAAAAGTGCGAAATAGGTTATCTAGACATTATTTTTATTTGGTATTGATATGGTTTAAATGTTCTGATTTCAATCAGTTTCGTTTGTAAAATTTTGGTATTTAAATTATTTAGGTTTTATAGTTTTACGATAGTTTAGAAAATACAGAAATACAATATGTTTGTATCACAACTTGTATAAGTCCGCGAAATAAAAAAATTATCGATGTATGCGCATATCTTCCTAAATAAATTGCATAAATTATTTAAAAGATACGAACTTATTTATACAGTACGTTGCTTTGTACTAGGTACTCACCTAATATCCCGACTGGGATATCTTTAAGTTCATCTTCAATGTGCTGGTACACCTCGGTACCCTTGCTGAGGTCGGCCACGATTATTTTTGTCTTCACACCATATTTTTCTATAACAAAAATTACGACAGATAAGTCTTGCTAGATTATAAATAACTTTCATTTATTGGGATATAGATTGTACAGTCTCAGTATTTAATTGAACCAAGGTAGAGATAGCATTAAGTATTTCATGTTTCGTGGATCGTCCATCGTATTTTTTTTTTATTTCGACACCAAACTTTCCAAGTATGACTGAAAATTTTCGTCAATTTGGATATGTTGTCGATTCAATTACTCGAGTCTACCGCATCCAAGCCCGGTAGGTATAACTTCTATTATTATTTTTTTTATTTATTTGTTATTTTTACTATATCCCTTGCCGTCAATGTTCTCGTAGACAAATATTTTATAACCAAAGTCAGCTAAAGCTATATCCTAGCTTTACTGATGTTGATCTATCTTATAATTATATTTACACGTACTTAGTAAGTCGAGGCCCTCACTCACCTATCTCTTCCGCGACGTTCTTTAATTTATCAATATTTCGACTAATGAGTACGATGTTGATGTTCTTCTGCGCCAATTCCAAAGCATAATGTTTGCCGATGCCGTCCGTACATCCGGTGACCACTGAAATTATATGTTGTGTTATTTATTGTTTATTAAGTAAAGGAGTCAAACCCCCGGCCCCCCCTGAACTAATGCCTATGCGATTACATCTGGAATACGGTTAATGGTAAAAACATCGGTATAAAGCAAAGAGAGACTAACTAATAATTCGTTTAAATAAAACACTTTTAAGGGTGTAAAAGGCTAAATGTATTAGTTAATTTATTTACAATGTCTTTTAACTATGGCCCGACGTTTCGAATACTTTCCAGCAGCCGTGACACGGGGGAAATTTAATTTTAATATGAATTCCAATTTTAAAAACAAGTTTCAAATCAATGCACCACCCAATTTAAAAATAGAAGTTAAACACGTTGTTTAACTTTAAAATAAGTGTTGACTTAGTCAGCGTTGTACCTAAGTTTATATAATATTTGATTTAAAAACCACTGGACACGAAACTGAAGTGGTCCTCCATGTAAAATAACTACAATAACAGTGTAAATATAACGAATCAATAAAAGAGATCTAAAGACATACAATGTTGAACTTTACAATTGTATGTTGGCTCATGACGTAATGCGCCATTAGAAAACTTGTCTTCTATGGGTTTGTGTCAACTATAAAACAACTTAAGGACGGACACACATACATTATACAGAGCTAGGAGTGTAATTGGTTGTTGAGAGAATGTTTTCAGTCAGCACTGGAACCTGGTCGCGAGAAACGAGACAGTCTTTTTTCTAATACTACTAATTTGCAAAGCTCTTTCTTGAAGGATGTATATAATCTTGATACAACAAAGAGGTACTGACAATCAATATGTGCGCATATAATTATGTATGCAAAAACGCAAGAACATCTGCGAACTATTCTAACTATTTCGTGTTTTAAATCACTATAAACGGTTTAAAACACGAAATACATTCGTTAAATTATTTTTGAAACGTCGGGCCATAGTAAAACATATTAATTAGTATATTACGCATTTTAAACCGCTAAACGTATTTTATTTAATTTTGTACTCGCGTAAACTATAGACAATTTATTCCAATAAAAATTATTTTTAAAAATTTCGTATGAAAATACACAAAGGCATGAAACTTATACAGCTTCCCTTAAAAATATTACTCTGTTGGTGGTGTTCTTAGTGGTGAAATATTATAATAAGTTTAAATAAAACACTTTAACGGTTTAAAACGCGATATATTAGTTAAACTTATTTGAAAATGATTTTTAACTTTGGCCCGACGTTTCGGATGCTTTGCAGCAGCCGTGACCAAGGCTGCTTCAAATAAGTTTAACTAATATATCGCGTTTTAAACCGTTAAAGTGTTTTATTTAAATGTGTACTACTCGCGTAAACTATAGAGTTATAGACAGTATTTAATTATAATAAGTCTCTAGTATCGGTCGAGAATAAAGAATAGACATAAAGCAATAAGTTGTAAATTTTATTTAACCCTACGACGTAATAACATGACGTTTATGCATTTTTATTATATTTAATTTCTAAGATATTCGATACAAATCGTTTGACACCTCGATTAGTTCGTGAATGTTTTATATATATAATTTGTATAGTCCAGTCATTATAGTAAGTTCACCTCGGAATTCGAGATACCCAGCTGTAAGTCTGTAAATACGTGTATATTGACACCCTAAAAGTTGTCTCAAAACATACAAATGGTAGAGTGTACGCAACTATTAAATTTACAAAGTAAATAAAAATGGACAAATATGCCGCGTTTTCGACGGCAACACCGGTAGACTGATGTGAGGCTGTGACCGCGCGCTCTCCGCCCTCTATCTTGAAAACCGTTCATTATGTATATTTTTTTTAAACAAAAATCGTATCCTACAAAATTAGACACTTATTTATAAAAAAACGATTTTTGTAAACCTTAAAATTTGAGACAACAATATAGAAGTATTTACAAACTTACAGCTGGGTATCTCGAATTCCGAGATAATTACCTAATTTAAGCTTAAATGACTGGACTATTAGTATTTTGAGTGCTTTAAAAATATACAGATATAATATGAGGTTAGATGCAGAGTGGCCTAATAACAAACAACATGATTTTCAATAAGCAGCAAAATAAAAATACGCAATTAACTTTGGCGAAAACAAGTTTGTTCTCTTGTTTGTGCAAAAATTATGATAACAATTTTCCGCCACTGTGCTCTTGTAGATTAACAGTTTTAGACTATGAAAATATAAATAACATAAGTCATGAAAATTGCAGTTAGGCTACTCCGCCTCTAGCCGCCTCATATGTATTAGTATCTATGTCTACGCTAAAAAATAACATAATCTGTGTTTATCAAATTAAAAAAAAACTAAGTCGTTGATATCAATCGATTACAAAACGTGGCCAATGTGTATCGCTTAATCCGACCTTGGCCCGGACCAATGTCTATAATTCGAATTGCAATGTCGCAACGCATGTCGCATTGAAGAACAGTTTGGAAATCGCGGTATTTTGTTTTAATATCAATGATAAATATGTCTTGAAAATTCCACGAGACTCTTGAAACTTAATGGTAGAGGGGGTACAGTTTCGCCTCGCCAAATAGTCTGAAGTATCAATAATAAAATAAAAACAACAATTAGCATGATTTTCTCCCGTTAGAGGTCACATTTAAAAACTTAAAATCTAGCAGCTTAGGTCAGTCAGTCAGTAAATTAAATTACGTAAAAAACTCTTAACGCTTTAAGATATATTAGTCCGTTCGTGGCCACTACTGCCGCGCATCCGGAACACCGGGTCGTAGTAATAAATAAAAAATAAGTTTAACATTTTCTCAGTTTGAAACTGTTAAAGGTATTAGATTTAATTGTGTACTCTCCTGAACTACTACGTACCAGGAAGAGTAAGATACAAATTATTATTTTATCCGCAACCAAATACAAAGGCAATGCGGAAGATCTTAGAATATGTTATTAATACGGGTAATATGCAAATTTTTAGTTGTTTTATGGAACAAAGTTAAGTAAAATTCCCTTTTTTTGCAATTGCATTGTTATTAAAATTAATTATGCTCAATTTATACAACCAGTTTTAAGATTAGTTATTGTATCCTTGTACATAATTAAGCTTTTTTTTTTAAAAAAACAAAAATTTTTCATTTAATTTAGTTTTATATTTTTTCGTTACTTCGCATTCTTATTGTCTATTCATAAAATTATTATAGTTTTTTTTTAATTAGCAATTGAATTTTTAATCATAAAAATAAATTAATTAAATCATTAAAAAAATAGAGAACTCATAGGTAGAGTTACAGGATTTTTTATTTTATCGACTTCTATCCAAACACAATTATGTAATTGGGTGAGAATTGGGTGAAATGGTCACCTTGTAAAAAAATAGTCATCATCAAGTCGAAAGACCGGTTTTCGATCACTGTGCCCAAATGTAATCTAATAATTATTAAATCTATACTAATATATAAAGCTAAAGAGTTTGTTTGTTTGTGCACGTAACGCGCTAATCTCAGGAACTACTCGAATTAAGAAAAATATTTGTGTTCGTCTTGTGTTAGTTCGAGCACTTATCGAGGAAGGCTATATAACATCGCACTGTTACTTAGAGCGAAGAAACAGCCGGAAATGAGAAAAAAAAACAAGGAAAATGATTCATCCTTGTGGGCTTCCATTGCGTACGCTGCAAAAAAGGTTTAAGATACCCAAAAAATAAGTTCGAAAGAATGATTCCTCTTTAAATGATCCAAAAACAATCCTCGGCAGTAGATATCTGTTGCATGAACGACGGGACACGGCCAACGTCGTGGGAAACAGCTTAATTTTATAGAGTTTAACAGGAAGATGGCAAGAACAAATTTTGATGGCCAATATGACTATTCTACTTGCACTAAGTCGCTGACACAGCTAGTGAGCAATGAAAAACATGGATCTAAAGAGAATTTATCGAAAGACTAATAATATTTTATAGAGAATGTTAAATAATTAAATATTATCCAATTTAGTGTTGTGGTTTTTGTTCTGTAGTTTTATTAGAAAAACTATGTATGTATTTGTTATTATCTTGATATAAATCTTTTGTTTCGCCATATTTTACTTCACACGGTAAAAAATTTGTGTCAGTTCCTATTGTTCGTTTTCGAAGATTATAATATTTATGACGTTAAGTCGTAACACAGTTTAAGATCTTGTTATAACTTATAATAAATACATTGAGCTGTTATCAAATTAGTTTTTAAATGTGTTTAACCTTTAAAGAAGTTTTTAAAACTTGTTCGTGTAGGTAGATCTTTGTTGATAAATTCCATTTTTCTATCTTGACTGGTTTTATCCTATCCTAATCTTCGTTTTTGATGTATAGTTTTACAGAACGATTTTATTTACACGCAATTTATTTGTCTCCTTCCTGACTGAAATAATATTTGGTTTCACCGGGGATTCGAACCCGGAACTTTTTGTTTTTAACGCGTTTTACCAGCGAGCTATGAGGGACAACATATGTCTGTAGATTATTAACACTCGGGTCATTGCACTATTACAAATTCAGTTACTCAAGTCCTCCCGAGATGAGATATTGCAATATTAAAGCATCTGTGGCTTACGAAAGCATTGCATCGCTATTGTGTCAGATCATATGTTCAGCATTTTAGCAAACTTCAATTATTTAAACATTTTTATTCCACGTGTCTAAGTATTATCACACACTGGGCCAGCAAAAAAAACACATTTACATAATTTTGTCACTGAGTTTTAATAAATGTAAATATTTGTCAATAGAAGTTCGCTTACTTGATTTTAGTAACCATTAGTTTTCATCTTAATCTAGAATAGGCATAGACTTAGGTCATGTTTTGTGGTTAGTTGGTAGTTAGTGGTACGCTAGTTACGGAACGGGAAATTGAGAATAGTTTGAGGTTTCGACAATTGGAAACCAAGAACAATATTCAGCAAACTACGTTTTATATAAAAACAATATTTGTTAGGGCTCGGTCCCCAGCGAACAACGAATATTATAGAGTAAGTAGAAACGCATTAAAAATATATTATATTCTCGAAAATTGTAAAAATGTTCGTGATTTTAATGTACAATTAACATGTCAATGTTAAATAGCTATTTAATATATAATCAATTTTTTACAAGTCTTTAGCACCTTTAAGAATGAAATATTGTAATTTGCAAATAAAGTGTGACGTATAAAAAGGCACAACAGACCTACAGATAAAAATATGAACTTGATTGTGATTTCCCTTTAATTTCGTAGTTGTTTTTATCTGTAGCGAGATAGAGCTATATTAAAAATGCTCATCAATATAAATTTAATTTAACAAGCCATTAGGCGCTTATGTAAAATAGCGACCTATGTTACCACGTACCACTAACAGCTGTAGGAACTATGACGGTAATTAAATTCATGATAATAATTATTTTTATCATTGAAAATAAAATATGAAAAGGATTTTTTTCGATTCAGTGAGCAATAAAACTACCTATTTTCTTTTATCATGTATTATAATAATTTTAATTTTGTTATAGAAAATAATATGGCTATAAATTAAATAGTAAAACACGTTAACTTTTCGTAACATGTCAGATATTTTTAAATGCTTGACATATATAACGATACAAATTTTACAAGTAATTATATTTAATTGTGTATATTAAGATATGCGATGTTTTTTTCGATTTCGACATAAGTTTGTTTAATCTTTTATGTGTTTAATCATAATCAAATTTTATATTACTGAGACGAAACTTTGTATGTTTGTCTTTTGTTTCAACCCGCGATCTAGCCCTATGTTAAAGTTGAACGATATTTACGAACAATAAACAAATTCCTATCAATTAGTTAATTTTACAGCGATATTTCCCATTTCACAGTGATTTTTGTCACACAATTTTCTAGTACTGAAATTAACTATACAATTTTTAATAATTTATTCTACAATATCGTACGCGTCCTCGTAAGTTTATCGTAGCAACCATCCTAGGACAGAGTTAATGACCATGAATTCCTTTCAAAAATACACTTAAAGTTCAACCAATAAACTATGTGTACTAACCTGCCCAATTTCCATACTTCTTCCACAGAGGATTTACGTCTTGCGGTATGAAATACGGTGTCAAATGCGATACAATCAACTCTACTACACTTCTAAGAGAATCTATGAGGATCACAAGAAGTGTGACTGCCCCTATAACAGCCAGAGTAATTAACACGAGCATATTTAAATTTTCGTGATTGTTTAGAAAGTACACGACATGTTTGCTCGGCGCGCGACTTCCGACTGAATGCGGTCAACATGTTAGTAAGTTACAAGTAAGCAGTTGACCTACAAATTTAATGTCATTATGTCACAGATTATAATAAACATTAGATATTGTGTAATCTAATCGTAGCGTCCATAATTTTTTTTCGTTGCCGGAAATCACTCGCTTTGCCAAAGATTTTGATATTTCATAAATTATGAACTAATTTAAATTTAAGAAATTAAAAAGTTTAATAAAAAAGTTTTAACTTAAATTAATGTTATGTTATACCATTTGTGCAATTGGTTCTACACTTAAAGATTTAACGCCTCGTCAATTTATTTGAGCAATTGACACAAAAGTAGAATTGCCAAATTCTTACTGAATAGTAAAATCCGTTTTATTATAGGATTTAAAAACCCCACTACTTTTAACTACATTTAACTGTAATCCCCGACATGCAAATGCTGCATGGCAAAAGAACACACTTTGATTAGTTTATGGTAGTGTGCCCTACTTGTGCGGTATTATCGCGTTTAAGAAGAGTTAATAATAAAAGTATTTTTTTATTTCCGATCAAAATTATTAGATACGTATTTATTACTTTTTGTGAAAACTTAGCGTTTAAGATGCCCCGTTTCTAAGCCTTGTCGTTAATTTTCGTTAATTTAAATAGTGTGATATATACGATGTTAAATTTGCTTTAACTAAACTCGTTTAATATTGATTGTTATTATTCAACACGAGCAAATAAAATTTACAGAAAGTAAACTAAATTAAGTAAAAAAACTGAATAAAGCAAACAAGATTTAATTTATAGACACAACAGCGTCACTTGGCTTTTCCTCAACCGACAACATTGATTTTTTTCCATTGGGCTTAACTGAGAACAAAGAGAGAAGATACTTATGAACACAAATCCACACTAAAACAAATAACAAAAAACACACAAAACAAATAAATACAATTTTAAATTTAACTGTTAAATAATATATAATATAACAACTATTTTTCTGTTTTCCATTATCGGCAATTAGAACCATAACTTTTATTGTATGCTAATTTTTCCTTACGTACCGCAATTTAGAAATCTCCCGATGCACTCTTTTCCTCTGCAACATTTAATAATTTCGTAGATTATTAAGAGACCAAAAGTACCAAGCAAATAATACACCAAAAATTCCATCATCGTGAATTTAAAAATAAAAATTTCAAGTATCAGACAGGTTTTGGCGCGGTCACTGACTTGCATGGCTTGCAAACCACAATGCAACGAGATAAATATGAATCTGGTATTATCTAAGTGATATAAGGATCATATCTAAGTAGGATGGCTATTCTACTTACAAATTATTAACGAAACCGACGCATGTGTTGTATTGACCTAAAATGGTGTGGTCTTTCTTTAATGCGTATGTAAGTAAACGTATGTAAGTCAATCTAGAAAAGAAGATAAAGTAGACTTAAAAAAAACGTAATTTAGATATTATGCTGTAGATGAGTGTTTTATTTCGAAGTGATTTTCGAAGTGAAGTGAATCAAAAAATTTTGTTAATTTCAAAAGCAGTTACGCGCTTTATAAATTATTTGGTCTGTATTAATTAGTAACTATAACCTAACCTATGGTAAGACATTTTGATTGAAGGTGTTAGAACTGTCACATGTGATGTGTATGGCAGCCACTGTGGTGACAGAATCAGGTGTCACAATTATTTTATTTGTGATTGTTCAACTTAAAAATGAAAACATTAAAATAGAAAACCTCCAGGAAATAAATTGTTCACTTGTCGCAAGACTCTTAAACTATAATTTGTTTGAAAGCTCATTTTATAAGAACACAGTTGTCCAGAATCACAAAAAAAAATGGAGAAAGACTTGGATAAAGTCGTTGAAGAGATAATGTTAACTCCGAACGTGACCGGCTGCATATTTGCTGACCACCAAGGCCTCTGTCTCGCTTCAAAAGGCACGGCGCATGTTGACTCGGCTGGTATTCTTGTGGCGATATCCGAACAAGCCTGTAAGTTGCAGCCAAACTTAAAGCCACCTACTGTTTGCCTAGAGACCGACGATAAAGTATGCCTTATACAGCGACACGGCACAATCACGGGAGGTATTTTTAAGCAGAAGTGAATAAGTCACTTAGGTTGAGATATAAAATATTCATATAGTTTTGTTTGTCAAATTTTTATTGTATCATATTGTGTTAAGATTAAAATAAATCTCCCATAATTTTATCTTATCTTTATTATATATAATCCATATTATTTCCAAAAGATAGTGCACCTAGATTAAACTACTTCCCATGTTATGGGACTCAATTTGAGATATTTAATTGCAAGATGCACTGTGATGAACAAGGCGTTGATCTAACAGAGAGATAGGCATAGCAAAGTCAGGAGAGGTATTGGGTGTATCTGGTTGCCTTTATTAACTAAAGATTTTTCCCCTTGCAAAATTTAAAGAATGAATCTTTGGTCTTTAACTTTAGTGATTAGAAATAATACATACAATGCAATATACACACATTTATTACAGATATGCTGTCCTAACAGTAACATATTATGACAAGAACAATTCAATAACCAGTCCTACTCCTACACATAGCATTCAAACATACTAACATTTACCACATGTAACTTTTCCTTCATTTGCCTGAACAAGCAAATAATAAATTTTAAATAGTAATATTTTATATCATCAAGTTCTCTCGAAAAAATTGCGTCCCTGGTACTTTTGGTGACTAGAAGCAATTCAAAGGTTATAATGAAATTTATCTTGAGGCATGTAATTTTAACAAAAATTTACTTTCCAAAAATACCACTGTTTTGTCTTTGTTTTATAAACACTGTTTACAATGAAAAATATAACATTTTAGTGCCATTTTTCTTACATCAGAAGTCTTCTAGTCATCAACATTGGTGTAAGGTCTACATTATGAGAATAACAAATAATTTTACTAGTTATTTACAGCTACTCACTCCTAAAAGCGTATGTAACAACACTTTTTACATTATAAGATATGTCAGAAAGAAAGTACGTTTATTTAAAATATGTATTTTATGTTACAATATTATTATGAAAGTTTCAGAGTTTTCATCAAATCAAATATTGAAGATGGTAACGAACGCAGTGTGGTCTTATTTTAAAATAAATTATTTTTTAAAATAGACTCAATACTTAAAGATAATATTATGTACATTAAAAACTATAAATACTTAAAGGATACATAAAAGACAAAGTTGGAAGAACATTAAAATAATTCAGTTGCCATATAATTGGAATGGAGGTTGCGTAAATATAAAAAAATATTATGACTCATGAGCAAATTATCCTATAATCCCTACAAATTGCCATTATATTTAATAATTGAATCCAAGTAATGCCATCAAATGAAATTTGCAAGGATTACCTTAAAACTAAGGGCGTACATAATAATGATTTATTAAAAAATTAAAGTTTACAAATGTATTGCCACAGTCAAAAAGTTAGTAAGGAAACAACATAATGGTAAGTTTACATAAATGCTTAGGAAATTGTGTCTTTTACATAATATCAACAAGAGGGGCAGATTATGAATTGACATAGGTTTAGAGAAAAAACATGAGACCCATCTAATTTGGAATGCATACAATTAATTTGTTTAAAATATATTTTTTTTTGATTGACCTAATAACTTATACTACGGACTGAACTACTTAGAGTTTAGACTATGAATACACCTCTATTATGCAACATACTAACGATTCAGACGTAAAATAATGCCTGGTAAAAATAGACTCGGGTTAATATTACTTACTGTGCTGATGCATTTGAATATACCGTTTAGACTAAAATCTTGTTAGATGGATTTTAACTATTTTATTTAGGGATGAAATTCTTCAAATTAATTATTTATAGCTTTTAAAAGTTAGTCAATATGATTTAAATCAATGTAATAGAACAAAACACAAGTTTATCATGATAACAAGTAAATTTGTACCATATGAGAAATTTAACGACGCACCATCTAACTTAACAATTTAAAACATGGTCTAGCCTCGCGCTTTAAAAACAAAGATATGTAACTTCCGTTAGTCATCAAAATTTACTTCCAGCGAGCAATATCACAAAATAAATATCAATAAAAAAATTTATTGCGTTTTAATAACGCAAATTAAAAACGCAAACCACGAACAGCTCATTTAGGTAGTCAAAATATAAATTGGATCTCTATAGACCCACTTATTTATAGGGTAAACAATTTCCGTGATACGATTTACATCTACGTTTTCAACAATAATTATCTATCTACTCTATACAACAAACATTATACGTCAATCAATTTAGTTATGGAAACGGTTTACTTTTCACTGAAATAAATAACTTCTTATTGTATTGACCATAAGTTGATTTTCATATATTGTTAAAAAATATAAAATATATAGTATAAGGAAAAATAGTCCTCCTTAAACTTTAAAATTCATTTTCTAAAGATTATCAGCAGATTAGTCATAAGTTTAGACATCAGCTAAAGATGAGTCAGGGCTAAACAAGTCAAAAATCTTAATATACAAAACTGACTTCAATACAATTTACTATATGTTAACGCGTTATAGCCGTAACCACACTAAACATAGTTTTCCAAATCTCACAGAGAAAAATCTTGCCTACATTGGAGTATAGATAGACATTTTGAGCACACACTTCCATTTTAATGAAGCAATCAAAATGATTAACAAGGAATTCTTGGTAGTAATTCGGGGGTGCCACAGGGGATCAAGATAGTTCACTGTATTATATTATTATATTTTATACCGGCGATTAGACATACGAGAACTAGTCAACGTGGCATCAAACTCAGATTAAAGTTTAAAGAGATCGATTATTTTAATGGGGGACCTGAGAAACTGAACGGCTGTTCGTTAGTGACGAGGTTGGCCCGCGGCGCCGAACTGGGCTGTACTCCACCCGCTTCTAAAGTCGCCGCTGACGTTCTCATCTCATCCATGGACGCCCTGAAAAAAAACGACCATAAAGTGTCATCACATGTGTGTATTAAGTACTAAACCGTCTATCAAAGTAGCATAATATGAAAATTGAGGTAAAATGTTTGCTTGTCAATCAAATCAATAAGTATATACAGGTTTCTATAGCGCAATATCAAAATAATTTGCAAACATGAATTAACAGGATCTAGGTGATTTTTCAATTGGCTTAGTTTAATTTTAAATTTATTTTTCTATTATTTTGTGCAAGTTGCAAAATACACCTTAAATTAAAGCTACTAAGAGTATGTGTTTTAACCTACTTATAAAGGAAACAAGCTTACCACAGAACTTTGTAATTTAGCAATGTAATAATTTGGGAACTAAAGACAGTTAACAATTAACCAAAAAACCATTTGTACTAATATTTGAAACCAAAAATCCTACTTCATAGCCATTTTACTAGCGTGGATCTATCCTCATAGGTCCAAATCCCAAGGGAAATAGTAATTGTTACACAGCTTATGGCATCAACAAACGTTATTACGAAAACATGCAATATGCCCAAGAGCTAATCATGCAGTGCATCATAGCGTAATTAAGAAGCGATGTATGTTATAATGAGAAGAAAACTTGAGCCAAATAATGTGTTAAAAGAATTCTTGGATGAAGAACATGGATAATTATTTTCATGCTTTCTTTTTATCAGACATTCTTAAGTTTTCTTCTTTATTTTATAAGTAAGTAGGTTCCGTCTCTACTCGCGTAGTGTTATTGCCTTAATTAGGACGCCACACGTCGGGGTCCTCCATGAGCGTGACGTTGTGATCCTGCGAGGCCGCCATCGGAGCGCCCGGGGGCGTAGTCCCGCCGGCCGCCATCGCGGCCATGTCGTCGCGCGAGCCTCTACACCGGGCAAGCACGCGCGAACCGTTTTTAATGTTACATATGCCACGCCCACACATTGTTAATCACTAATATATGTGTCTATTTTTCTGTTAGTTCTTTTCATTGAATCTGTTTTTGTTTGCTAAAATAGTGTTTTATCACAACACTAATTTAGGTAACATTAAGTAAATGAGTACCTTGAACATTATTTTAACAAAGATAGATTCCCATTTTATGCATACAGTCAACGAGTAACAGAAAACTAGATTAAAATACATTTAAAACCAAATAGGCGGAGTTAAGTCGTTTTAAAGCTTTTGAGAGCATTCTCTGAGGAATTTATGTTAAACATAAACATTTCATTAGAACCACAAGTAAAACCTAACTTACTTTTTGCCCAGTGCCATCATGCCGTAAATAATTCCAGTGGCGAATATCAGACCGCTGCCAAACCAAGTACTCAGGCTCAAGAAGCACAAAAAGAATGGCGGAAGTGACAATCTGTAAAAATATCAAGACACTACTTTAATCTTGGAGATTTACAAATTACAGGGTTGTAAAATATACACAACAAACAAAAAATTAGTTTTTAATAATGTCAGTGTAAAGTAGAAACAACTTCCATTTTAATAGGTATCGTTAGTAACCATAATATAACCAAGAAAATATTTCAGAAAGATTTTACCTGATACACAAAATCAATGCTATACAATAAATATAGATTACAAACTATTCATAAATAATCATTTGTTATCAATAGGCATAATTCGTATGATAATATAACATACAATTCTCCATAAAACTTATCTGTTTTCTCAAGTCTCAAAAAAGATAGGCTGGTTGTTCAAGATATAGAATGCCATTTTTTATTTAAATTAATCCAACTGACCTAGAGTCACAAGCCTGGCCTACTCCAATCAAGTCCTTCATGTCTGATTGATTTTTATTAGTTATAAACTATGTATTTTGTACTTTATTTAATCTTTAGTTTGTGAGTTTAAAGTAGTATTATCTACAATGATTATTGAAATAGTGGTTCTGTAGCAAGTTTATGATAGGTTAAGTTGATACAATGTTGGTCTGAGATTATTAAGGTTTGATTATTATAAAGCAACAATAATTTGCTTAATTTTAAGAGATAATTAAAGCATTTGGGCATACCACTTACCCAATATATAAAGCTGCCTTATTCCAATATGGTCGTCCCTCCATCTTATCAGAGAGGGCTTGCACATAGTCAATGAAGAAACAGCAACATGGGGCTTCACACACGATAACTATGAAGCCAGCCAACATTTGCCACACACCCGCAATAAGGCAACTCACTTGCATAATAATTATGCCCGTGCAGTTTAATAACCCCAGGATTATTGCAACTGAAAATGTTGTGTTATCAATATTAATAATGATGAGAGGGGGGCGTATGTGCACTTACTTAATATTAGTGAGTAGAAATTCAATAGAAATGAGATCATTTTTGTTACTTTAGTCTGATACTAAATAGTTTTATGGATGTAAAATAAAAAAGGCTAATAGTATATACTGTATAGGAATGCATTGCAAATAACATAGAATAACGAAGTTGATAGTTGCAAAGTGTAGTATAGTGTGTCCAAGCAAAGAAAATTATGACTAGTTTGAAGCCCTTAACAATTTTTTTAAGCCTTTCTATTGGTCAACTTATAAAAAATAATAAATTCTTATTTAGTATAGTTTCCTACCTTTCTATATAATTAATGTAAAAACAAATAAATAATGTTTAAAGAATAATGATATCAGCAAGTTACCACCATACCACTTACATCATGTTTTTGATGCTTCAGTGAATTTTGCTTTCTTTTATTTAATCACGTTAGCTAATACACTATTATGGCATTTCTTGTTATACTATATTCAGAAACATAAATTGCATTCAATAGGTCTTTCATTTGATAAAACAAATGATATATTTAATGTACCTTTAAATGCATAGAAAAGAAAATGGTAAATATAATTTAATTTTATATTAAAATTATAAAAGTGAAAGTGAAGCATTTTTATATTAAACATATGCTATGACTATGCTTAAGAACAACATCATTGGTTTATTAAATTTAATTTAATTATTATAGACAAGCAGTCAGTGATGTTACTGTATTCTAGAATAAATATGCGGACGTCCTCTTCAATAAATTGGTTTGTTTAAATACACCACTGATAAGATAAAATTCGTAAATGGCTTTTTCACTGCGTATTAAAAACATTCTGTACTGTTTCGTTTTCTTTTGTTCGCTATAAATATATAAATTATATACGTACTGAAACTGCCAATAGTTCCCAACCCCCGTCCAGCATAGCGAAGTGTCCAAGGAACATCATCTTTTTGAACGTTGTCGGAACCCGGGCGGGCCCATAGCATAGTAATCTTGTTCACGAACGACTAAAAGGTGAAAACTCATTGTTTATATAGAAAATTATTAAAGAAATTTTATTTTACTTTATAAAATAGGCGACTTACCATCTTTGAAAAAAATCAATCGCCTTGGCACTGGCACAGCACAGCACAGGATGACAGATATTTTTTTGCCAAAGGATCTGCCAATGTCAATCTTTATTTATAGATAATATGCATATATTCAAAGTGCAATAATTTTCCCACAGGTTTAATTAATCGTAAATTGACGATTAGGTTTAGATTCTGCATATTTTCATGCCTTTGACATTATCTTTTTGGCACCAATGTCGGCATTGGAAACTAAATAATTGTTTCGGTAATTTAATGTTTAACAAGTTTTGTGTAACAAAAGCTTTCATTTGTGTTAAGACGTTATAAAATCAGCGTATTAATGCTGCGATTGTCATTTAAATAAAAAATGCAACCAACAACAATGCAACCTAAACTTTCCGACACAACCCAAACTATGTGAGTAGTTCTTATTCTTGTTACAGTTTTGCTTTACGCTAGTTCCTTAAATGCTTACTCAGAAAAGTTATTAGTTATTTCTTTAAAGATTTGATACACTTGTAACTAAGTATGAAGACATTAATATATATGTGAAAGTCTAGGAATATAACCCTAGTATTTCGCCCAGTTAATTTAACACAACTAAAGTTATATATTTTTTATTCTGGTAAAAGTGAAATATTAAACAATATTTATGGTTATGTACCTTACCCATTTGAAATCTTAAATAGTTTGTAAGGCTACTTCAGTTTGCAATACGTATAAAAAGTATTTTTAGTTTTCTTTTATTACCCAAAAGATAACAGATCTAATATAAACCAAGTATTCATCCCCAGTGCAGGGTTCAACAAAATATCATAAATACATTTCAATTTCAGATCATTTGTGGATGAAGAGGAGACATACAATGCTGAAGTGTTTGCCACTGATGTTGTGGTCACAACAAACTCTGGTAACCACAACCATGGTAGCTCAAAAGTAAAACTTACTAATATAGTTGACTATAACTGGGAGGCTAAATTCTATCCCGGACGCTTGATTGTCATACATAGGAGTGGAAAGTTTTTAGCATATTGCATTAAGGGTAAGTATGGAAATTACAAAAAATTAATAGTTTAGTATATGTTAGTAGTATATATTTATAATGATCAGTTTGTATAAAAAAATACTAACTTTCAATTCTTAGCATTTGGTATTGAATAAAATGAAGCTTAAGTTAAGCTTTAATTAAGCTAACAGTATATCATATTACTAGATTAGATTTATATAGAAACTTAATGGTGACAGAAAAGTATTTGCTTATTTATTTATTTGTTATTAATAAATTGGACTAGCATGATGGTCTAATGTTACCAAAGTTTTATTGCTAATTATTAGTTAGTAATTAATTTATAATTTTTCTTGAACACATTGGACTTTGTCTAGAAAATCTTTATAAAAAAAATAAAAATTACATCTGGGTCACCAACCACCACCTACAGATGAAAAAGCCTAGCGTAACTAAGTTCAAACACGTTTTGGTTTTAGTCTGCGGATTTTCAAATGACCAAAGCAAAAAAAGGTCAGCGGTGCATTTTTTAGACATTATATGCCTGGGATATTTCACTTTCTATCAAGTGAAAGCTATGCTTATTCACCCTGCTTTGCCATTACAATAACAAAAGTATATTTGTATGTAATTAATATTTGAACCAACAGAAGTATGCTTGCACCATAGTTCAAAAGCCAAAAGTTAACACAAAATATGAATACCTTTTCCAGCTCCAAATTCTATGGATGGCATGATAAGAGTTGTTTATCTGGAACCAGGAGTAAATGAGAGACTTCTGATTAAGGGAATGAATGGAGAGGTAAGTTGTATATAAGATTTTGTAAAGAAACCAGAAGGTTTGACGGGGATGCAGTGAGAGTTGGATAATCCGAAATCCTCCGTTAAGAAGAGGGGGGTATGTATAAATGGTCAAAAGACGATGTAGTCTGATTACCTGGCCTTGTATTGATGTTACCAAAATAAAATAAAAATTATGCTTTCCAGCTCTCTTTGGTACACCATATCCATTCAAAACAACAAGGTACTTTAAACCAATTTGTCTCATTTTACAGGTTCAGGATCTCTCTTTTGCCTTCATACAGAACCAAGTTCTCTTGGCTAGTATTGATGAACTAGGACATGTGTACGTTCATGAGATTGAACTTATTGATGGGAGATTGAGGTATGACATAAAAAAACTAATAATGAATTGAAGGTTTCTAGATTATCTAGCTGTTGAAAAAAAACCTATATATAGTATGTAATTTATTCAAGTAGTACACATTTAAATAAACCACTTTAAAAATATTAAAAGCGATCGTAATATAAATTCTAACCGTCGGGTCCTACTGTAAATACAGTTCAGTATACTAAAAAAATATAGTATATAATAATATGATATTCTATTTTTTCTGTTTTATATTTTGTTCCTGTTTTGTGAGGTCTACTCTAAATCTATAATAAATAAATATCTTAATGTAAAACGATAATACAGAACGATACATTCATAAGCTATAGCGCTAGATAACAGTATAGTTGATGAGATAAATTTGATCCTAGATGCTCACTAATAGTGGAGATCCAAGAAGACGCAGGGTTGGGTGGATCTGCGCACCTAGTTGCTTGGTGTCCATATATACCTGATGAAGACGACGACGCCTCAGACGCGGATATCGCTAAGATGCTTATTAGTACACACTCTAATGTCGGTTAGTACTTAGCTTAAACAAATGCTGCATGTTTTATTGGTATATATCACAATTCTGTCCACGTCACGAACTTACGTTGAATGGAAAAGCCGTTAAGTGTAATCGCGGTTCGGTTTTCGGTCTGAATGTTTAAAGCCCAATAGTACATGCTTAGATGTTGATGCTGGAGTATTTCACCTTTCATTAACCCTACGCTTGTCAAAAAAGGGCATGTTTAAAAATAATTGTTAGACAATTGAAATCATATAAACAAGAAACAGTTAAATTACAGATCCTTGCAATGAACCCTATTTAGTATATAAGTTAAGCCAATCAGTAGATACAAATGGAATACATTTAACGGCTTAAAAGGCAAAAAGTTAAAACTGAGGTTTCTGATGTTTTGCAGCAACCATGGTTACGGGGAACCGTGGTTTATACATTTCTCTTATGGCTTAAATAACCATAACAACTTTAAAAAACAAAGACAATAAGAGATCCATATGTATGCCAGTGCGTCCCAATGTAGTGTCGATATATCGATAATCCTTATCCTTACTAATATTATAAATGTGAAAGTAACTCTGTGTGTCTGTCTGTTACTCTTTCACGCCAAAACTACTGAACGGATTTAAATCAAATTTGTTACACATATGGTCTAGACCCTGAGAAAGGACATAGGCTACTTCTTATTGCGAAAAGGAGGTTAAAAGGGGGGTGAAAGTTTGTATGGAAATTCGTGGTTTTTGAAGCTAGAACAATGAAACTTTCTTCCTTGGCTTTTTGGAAATAGGAGTGGGAGTAGGAATGTGAGGTGAGAGTGTTGCAGCAAAGTAGTACTTACAACATAGATTGGCTGCGATAAATGCTCAATTACATAAATTAATAAACAGCCTGAATAATTAATAATTTAGCCCCAAGTCACTATTCCACGCGAACGATGTCGCGGGCACAGCTAGTATTATATATGTGTGTAAATATGAATGCAACATAATAACTATATACTTTAATAAATAAATGTGGCTAAGAAGGCACACTCCTTTTGAATTGTTATTTGTTGTTCTAGCCGCACAAACTGTTATTAAATCAATGAATATTTTCATCCATCAGCTCGCATCTGGAACATCCGGGAGGTGAGCATGATGTGCAGCGTGGGGTCCGTTAAGGTGACGGACGCGTTGTCCTGCCGCGCGGGGCAGACGGCCAGCACGCACACAGCCCCGCTTCGGGCTGCTGCCTTCTCGCCTGATGGAACTGCTTTGGCCACAGCTGGTGCTGATGGATACGTCATGTTTGCTCAAGTGAGTACAATCCTACCTTCATCCCGTACAACAGATTCCACTGGTGGCTTATTTAGTCTCGAAGATTAAACTTGTATTTTTAAATGCGCTAAATTTATGTTTTAATATGCCCGCAAATATCGTAATACCGTTGTCTAATGACGTCACGGCTATTGAGATCGAGTAGACTGTTAGTGGAGTAAAAAAAATAACATGGGCTAAAATTGTTTAATAGAGAAAGCGACACACATAAATATAATTTATATTCCTCGTTTGATAAATTTATTTTATCAATATAACTAAATAAAATTATTGTACCAATTATTCTACCAATTTGCAATCAAATTATATTTATTTTTGTTAACATTCAACATCCCTATTTTAACATTTAATATCTTATTTTCTACCACAATCTACGAATGTTGGATAGCCCATATTTGTTTTTATTTGTTACTTTTGTTATTCATGGTAAGGACAGAATATGTAGATATAAAAAATAATATTACAGGTATGTTTGGACCTCTCGAAAGTCCCCAGCTGTCTGCACAAGTGGCAACCGCACGAAGGAAAGCCGTTGACCTGTCTCCTCTTCCTTGACAACCACAAGAATTATAATAGCGAGTGAGTTTTTTGGTTACAACATTCGCCCGCGAATTTGTTTCAAAATTTTGATGGGATACCAACCATACTAGTCTGTGCCGTTTCAATCCATTGTTAAAAAAAGTCTAATCCTACAACTACTTTTTACCTAATCAAACATTTGTTTGATTCATGAACAACGTTTAGTCTGTGCCATGTTACACAAAACTTAACTTTCCTTCGACTTTTTTCTTCTTTTATTGGCGGACACAAACTTGGGTTTTTCTGACGTAACCCATTTCAATATAAAAGAAAATTTAGGATGTTGCAGTTTATTTTATTCACTGTATAGTAAAAATTCATAATTTGATTTAAAAAATGGCAGTGAACAATTTTGGAAATTTGCGGTCACCGGTGCTGACAACAACACGAACATCAAGATATGGACATGCAAGACTTGGACGTGCATCCAGACGCTCACCTTCACGCCTCCCCTGGGCACGGACTCCCTCTCCTTGGGGATGAAGGCTCAGCTGGACATCAGTGCCAGCTATCTCCTCCTCAGTGACTTCAAAACGAGGAGCCTCTACGTGCTGAACATGAGGCGAGATGACGAAGACACTATCGCGTATTGCAAGAGCGTGTCAGAATTTCTGCTGCCGTATCAGGTCCTAGGTTTCTGCATTGTCGATGCTGGTAAGAATTGAAGTTTTTACCATATATATGCCATAAATTTTTATTTTTATTTTGCTTCTAATTCAATTTTTAAACGGTTTTCTCAGATCAAGAAAATACCATACCATATTCTCTGTAGTTTACGCGACTACACATTTAAATAAAACACTTCCATACTTTAAACGCAATAATATACGATTTATTTTAACTACAGACCGACGTTTACAGTACATACCACGAACTACTGCAAATTACCGAAACGTCGGGCCTTAGTTAAAATAAATTATAACTATGTAGTATACTTTCGCTTTTAACCGTTAAAATTGTTTTGTTTAAATTATAGTGAGATTTCCCTTGCTTGGGTTTTATTTTATTCTTGTCTCTATAAACAGAGGAGCAACCAGTGACGTGTCAGTCCAGCTGCGACGACCCTTTCCATAGAAACGGATCAGCGCACGACGCGTCGCCAAATGATTATGACATGCACGTAAGTAAAGAACGTCGAAATAAATCTTCCACGATTTCCATGAAAACGTATGTCGAAGGTTGAGATTAAGTAACGTACAAATTAAGTTGGTACGTTGCGATCACCAAGCCAATTCCTACATAGATTCTCCCTCTTTCTAAAAGTTAAATAGTAGCTTTGACTTATAACACCGACACAAACTAGATCCGAAAAATGTTTTCATACTATTTACTCATGTATTATGTGCATTAGTTTAGGATAAACACAGTTGAGCACTATTTTTAAGGACAACGACGTGTCGTGTGCGGAGGTCGGCGCAGGCGCACAACGCACTCGCCTACGTTTGTACGTGGTCCAGCCGAAGGGTCTGCAAGAGGCAAATCTGATATACACGCACCAGCTCCCAATAGCACAAGCCGCGCATGGTATATTTTTTATCTCTTAAAAATGAAAAAAAACCTATATCTTATCCACAAAGTCTTGAATGAATTAAACATACATAACATTAAAAATTAATATTAATAATACTTCTTGCAGACTTAGAAAGTTTGACCTTGGAAGAGACGGTGGAAGATGATGAACTACCATCCAATATTCTGCAGCAACAGACCCAGCAACTTAAAAATCTTTTACTATGCTCACAGGTGAGGTGTGGTAATTAGGATTTGTGTATAGATTTACATATTAATGTTATTAACATTGCACATAATCGTTTATAACTGTATAACAAATTATAAATTGAAAGACAATTGAGACATTGTAGTTCAAACTATAATCAAATTTTAATTTGTGCCATGATGTGCAACAACATGAAAAATGTTAAAGTTTTGAAAAGTCTATAACAATTCAAATTGTACAACAATATTGTAAAATTGTTCTTTTTTAAACTGTCTGTAGTTAACGCGAGTAGTACACAACTAAATAAAACACTAACGGTTTATAACACGATATATATTAGTTAAACTTATTTGGAAATTATTTTAACTACGGCCCGGCGTTTGAGACGCTTTGCAGCAGCCGTAGTCACGGGGAAACAGTCACGGTCACACGATGTATAAATAATTTTCAAATGAGTTCAAGTAATATATCGCGTTTTAAACCGTTAGTGTTTTGTTTTGTTTTTTTTTAAATTTATTTACGTACTTTACGTACTATTGTGTATTAATTTGTTGTATCTAAACTATCGCATAGTACAACTACAGCTTATTGGAGCTAAGATTATGATTGAAAAAGTACTTATGTGATGATGATCTTTACAGACGCAAAGCAATAGCCTCATCAATGCACGAGCGGAGTCCCCAACGCCGATGCCCCAACTTAACTTGATGACGCCGGACGCTTTTAGGTAATACTACGTGTGATGTCATGCCATATCTATAGGTTCCTAGTGATTAACAATTTAGACCACTACAGTGGGTAGTTGACATGCAAGTATAAACCACGCCCTCAAACAGACAATGGAAAAGAACATTTGTAAACTTTGAAATAACTGCTACTGTAATCTATTATTATAATTGTAATACTCCCCGAAGTTAGTAGTTAAGTAACTTTTATGATACTTACAGTTCACCTGGCAAACGCGACGACGAGGAGGCATCGACGAGCACACAGGATGCAGTTATGCCAAGACTATCGACTGGAGGTATGTTTATTTTGAGCTGCAACTCAATTTTATTTAGCTGCGACTTCAGGTTTGGTTGCCAGTTATGTCATTTGTTATTTCCACGACTGCTGCAAAGCATCAGAAACGTCGGGCCGAAGTTAAAAATCATTTTCAAATAATTTTAACTAATATATCGCGGACTCGGTAGCTCAATCGGTAGAGCAACGCACGGAAAGCTGACGAGTTCAAGTCCTGCCCGAGTCGAAAATTTTTTCAATTTATTTTCGATTTTTAAAATAATATAGTGCCTTCATGTGCAATAACATGTAAAAAATATTAATGTTTTCAAACGTAATATATCGCGTTTTAAACCGTTAAAGTGTTTTATGTAAATAGTTATGTCATTTGTATAGTTTATACCCAGGGATACCTTTCCGTAAACTTGTTAATCCCAAATGACTCAAAATTACGACTCGTATTGTAGCCCAATATAAAAAACGTAAAATTTTATACTTATTGTAAAAAATTGTAGTGCAGGTATTGAAATTAGGAAATAAAACGCGGTAGCTCAATTGATAAGAGCAACACATCACAGAACGCTGTGAATTCAAGTCCTGCTTGTGTCGTTTTTCAATCTAAATCGATTTTTAATTTAGATTAATTGAAATTATTTACAGGTTGTAAAGACGAAGAGGCGGTCAGCTTTAATTCGGTCAAGCAAGTGTCGGGCGGTTCCTCCCCGAGTCGCGAAGTGCAACAGATTATGTCGCACAATGATTATTACAAGGTGATTTTATTTTTTCCTTTTTTGTTTACTGTCATTTGGTTTGTTTACTATAAAAAATAATTATTATTGAATTTACAAATGACCAAAGCCATAAGTCGATTATTTGGTCTAGAAAGGGCTACTTTCACCTTACTAAGAAAAACCTAGCGCGTCTTTCCTCATTTGTCTTTAATCTTTATCACTGTACACGCTCTAATGATCATTTAATTAATAATATTCCAGGATGACGAAGAAGAAGAAGAGTCCACTCAGACGCCGGTCGCTGAAGGCGCGACAGCGAACGGAACCGAGCCCCTGTTCAAGAAGGAGTTGTACGTGTCGCCAGAGAAACCGCCGCCACCTGCCAAACTGACGCACAGTAGTAAGACATGCAATTATAGCCCACCTATATTATACTCTGCTTAAAACACTTGTGTAAACACTAAAGGGGGTTTGGGGGGAGTGTCTTAATGATAATATATAGGAGGCCTTAAGATAACCTATTTATTATTTACAATCCATATTCAATACAAAAGGTATATGCACAAAATATTGCTTCCGTAAGCACGAAGTTTTGATAACATTGGCAAGCAAGAGGCTAGAGGCTAAAGGGAAAAAGGGGTTGCTCTATACGTAACGTAAAGGCGTTATATATTACGTTGAACGGCCCTTATCTACAAGTAAGTTTTATAAACTATACTAACCGCTTCTGTCGCTTAGTACTTGCACGTGTTGCCTTGCATTACGTTAAGCGATTGTGGATTCTGAATTCGAATACCGGCCAACGCGAGGTCTGATCCGTGAAGAAACAGAAATGTGTTTGCCCTATGTCACACGGAGGGAAACCAGATTTCATTTAAATTAAGAGACAACGCCATTAGCAATAAAATATGTTTTAGACAGCGACACATCATGGCCACAAATATCGCTAGCGCAAATAACGGAGGCTAACCAGCGCAAAGCGTCCAGCGACAAATCTAGCAACCAGTCGGTCTCCGCCCCGCTCTCCGCTACGCTGCCTGCCACGCTCTCCGCCACGCTACCCGCCGCGATCTCCGCTGCGCTGCCCATGCCGCCCCAGCCTCAGTCTGCACCTGTCTTGACTACGGTTGTTGACGAAGCTACTAAGATTAAATTGGAATCTCTAGAATCCAAAATCGACAAATTGACTGGTAAGTGACGAGACCTGATAATTTTATGGTGTTGTTTGAAATTCTAAAATATTTTGTTTATTTTTATTTTTGTAACCTAACTAGGATCTTAATCATATTTTATGATTGCATATTCCAGAGCTGATGTCTCAACAAGCGAGAGAACTTCGTGCCCTGCGTAACGAATCGAGACCTGCGCGTGAGAACGTCGAAAAAGCGATGCATGAACACTCGCAGAGGACAGCGGCGGCCATAGACAACGCTCTTGCTTCCGGGTAATTTCCGTTCTAAAAAGTGTGGAACGCCAGAGTTTTTGTAGATTTCCGAATATCCACATCTTGTTGAGATGTTATACGGCTGGCGTATTTCACCTACCATCAAGCGAACTCCATACTTATCTATCCATCTCTATCGTATAAAAAGAGTAAAGTAAATACTGTCTATAGTTTACGCGAGTAGTACACATTTAAATAAAACACTTTAACGGTTTAAAACGCGATATATTAGTTAAACTTATTTGAAAATGATTTTTAACTTCGGCCCGACGTTAAAGTGTTTTATTTAAAAGAGTAGAGTAGTTTAGAGTTGACTCTTTCTTTTGTGACGTCACTTAATTGATATTTTAACAAATACAAAACATACCTTATAATTGAAATATAGTAAATCAAAAATCGATGGCATGGGCGAACTTGAACTGGCATGAACATCGTTGCGTGCTACTGGCCTAACCAACTAAGCTGCCGTAATCTAAATAGAAATTTATTTTGCTATATTCTTATTTAAAAGTCTATATCTACAACCACACATCTGTTGTTCTCAAGTTACGGTCTGAAGCTGGAATGATGAGACAAGAAATATATGATGATGAAACTTTTCCTGAACCCTGAAAACCTTTCCTAAATTTTAAATCAATCTATATTACAGGTGGGAGCGTATATCTCGCATCGGCGAATCTGCCAGCAAGGCAGCTGCGCAGGCGGCGGGAGCCGGCGCCGCTCGGGCCCTAGAACCCTTAGCATCAGCTTTGCAGCACGAGCTGGCCATCAAACTCACAGCTACCGACAACTTGCTCGCTGAAAACATCAACAAGCTCGTTAATAGCAAGGTAATCTTGGCCTACGATCACCGAGTGTGCAGCAAATAACAAAAGCAAACTGACAACCTAAAACATACGCAATACGTACTGTAACGCTCTTTAAATGTCGTCGTATTAGTCTTTATTTAACCTAACATTACAACAAAGTTCACTAAACGGTTCACGGGTCATGCGGTCACAAACACTTTTACGGTTTAAAATGCAAAATATATTAACTAAATTTTTATATATTTTAGCTACTACCCAACGTTTTGGATTGCAGCAACAGTCGGTCACGGGAATATATAAAAATTTGTTGATTAATGTGTTTAAACGTTTTAAACCGTTAAATCAGTCCTGCAATACTTATCAAGCATGATTCCATTGATGGAAGACATATCTGAGGCATCATATAAACAGAATGCGTTGTCGAGTTATTTTGGCTTTGAACAGTCACATGGCTTCTCGTACATTTAATTTCGACCGCCTCTGTTGTTAAATGGTTAAACGTTTTGCCAAGCATTGATTACATCCGCAAAGTGGGAATGGGGAAATGGATGAAGTGGTTGGCGTGGACTGATCACCCGGCCTTTAATAGATGTCCTCAATAGAAAATAATTATATTATATTGTTACTTCTCACGTTGTAATATGATTACAGACTGTAATGGAGCGCCTCAGTACGTCGATAGCGACGTCTCTCTCTGAAATGGTGCGCGCCTCCTTCCGCGACGCGTTGGTGGATAGCGTTCTGCCTTTACTCGAGAAGGCGCACACGCAGATCTTCCGACAGGTCAACCACGCCTTCCAGACTGGCACCAAAGAGTGTGAGTACGCATACGCACGTAATACGTAGACGTTCATGTTATATTCAATTTAAAAAAAAAACTTATTTTTCTTTAAATTGAATATAACATAACACTTTTTTTTTTCATGTAAGTTGTGTGTTTGTTTACCAAAATGTTATATTAGCGTTATTTATATACGCACGTGGATATGAATTTCGACTCTTGTCAATGAATCTAGACTGTGTTCGTTATTATGAGACAGACATTCATACATCTACACTAACATATAAAACTGAAGAGTTTGTTTGTTTGTTTGTTTGAACGCCTCAATTAGAACCAGTATTTCTTAGTGAAAGTAGTAGTAATTGTTCGAATTGGTTAGAGAAAATATCGAGGAAGGCTATAGCCAATAAAACATTGCGCTGTGACTGTGTGTAATAGGAACAGCGGAAATGCGGTAAAACGGGGAAAATTATTCATCTTTGTAGGTTTCCGATGCGTACGCTGCGAAAATGGTTCAAGACACACAAAAAATATGTATGTAATGAGAGAATTTTTCTTTTAATTATCAAAAAAAAATGTCCGCGACAGTATATCTCTTAAGATGAACTCACAAGATTGACGGGACGCGTCCAATGACGTTGGTAACAGTTAGCAAAAAAAAATTGCATGTCCAAAATAACTATTCGACGCGGACGAAGTCGCTGACTTAGCTAGTATCATATATACTGTCTGTAGTTTACGCGAGTAGTACACATTTAAATTAAACACTTCAACGGATTAAACCGCGAAAAGTTAAACTTCCACCGGGGAGTCTCTCTCGGCTGATGCAAAGCATGGGAAACGACGGACCGTAGTTAAAATATTTTTTAAATAAGTTTATTATATTTTGCGTTTTAGCTGTTGAACTGTTTTATTAAAACATTATATATGTTTTAACACATGTAACTACGTAATACAAATATTTATTACAGTAATGTAACAAATCCCTAAAGAGATTTATAAGGATTTTTTTTTTATAAATCAATTGCTCCTCTCTTGTTCATTTTATGATATAATTATTTTTGCTGTGTTTTTTTTTTTAATTCCTTATTATTTCATATACATAGTGAAAAGTGGATTTTATTTAATTAAGTATGTAGTTTTATTGTGCTAACTTTAACACACATAATGTATGTTGTGGAATCTGTCATTTAATACTTCTTTAAAACAGTTGCAGCAAACACGGAGGCAGCAGCACGTGCAGCAGCGGAGAGGGGTGGAGCAGCAGCTGCTACGTCGCTGCGACAAGCGCTCGAGAAACACGCAGAGGCGTTGGCTAGAGCCACGCCTATGCAACCACAACACTTTGCGAATACCCTTAAAGATGTCGCACACAGGTATTTAAAACTTTTAGATAACAGTATATCCCAGGTCAAGTATGGACATTTATTTTTCATTTCCGTGCTGTGATTTGTTTATGTCACAGATCACTCGCTAACATATAAATGGATCTATGTTGACAAAAATTAATTTTATAAACATAAATATACCAAATTAACATCAAGAATTAATTGACTATTTTTCTTTTTTAAATACTAATGATTGTAATAAATATTTACTTTTATTATTTTAGCGGTTAAATTATTGTATTGAATAAAAACTATAAAAAAAATTCCTCAGCGTTTTGGAGAAAGAGGTGGCATGGTGGCGTGAACAGGCGAGGGGCGTGGCCGCTCAGATGTCGCGTGCGCACTCACCCGCCACTCCCTCACTTGCCGACAGACAAGTATGTAATCGCATACTAATAATGCAATAATTAAAATATTATCTGCAGTTCACGTGAGTAGTACTACATTAAAATAAAACACTAACTTTTTAAACGCTAAATATATATATAAGTTAAACTTATTTTAAACTAAGATTATATTATTATTTTGCGTTATTTGAAAAAATTAATTAATTAGCTATAAATTTCATTTTAAACCGTTAGTGTTATTTAAATGTACTTGTCACTTGACTCTCGCAGTACATATAAAAATAGGTACCACTCACTAAAATGTTAGGATGGTGCAAGAACTTGATATTTTTTTGTTTGTCTATGTGTTTCCTTGTAGAGGGTGGTAGCTCAGCGATCAATTTATATCCTGATAAGTTATTAAATGGTTAAGTACCTATATAAAGTATTGAGTACCCCACTAGTATAAAATACAAACAAGTAATTGTTTTCAGAAGAATTCCCGAAACGCGCCAAGAAACTGCGTCCAAGAGTCGTTGCCCTATTTGTTAAGAGTATTCTTTCTATTAATATGTAGTTTGTAGTTACCAGTTTCTCATCATCAGTATGCAACAGGGAAAGACTTTAAATAAGTAACACAAGTGTACTAAGTACACTTTGACGGTTTAGACCGAAAACTATATTACCCACGTTTCAAGAAGTTAGGCACTTAAGAAGACTTAAAAAAATAATTTCAGTTAAACCATCCCACATACACACCACTTTCAAACACACATACTTTTTTCTTAATTACTTACAAAGCATTGATTGTGGAAGATTAGTGGCTAACTAAACTAATATGGTTTGCTTATAAACGTTAATTTGAACGGTTTAGATCGATGTGTATTCACCGCGCAAATATTAACTTCGTTCGACGTTTAGTATAGTTATTTATCAAGTATTAACTACTTAAAACTAAAAGTCTGTATTTCTATCATAGTAGAACTTATTTGAAAATTATTTTTTCCCGCCCTGGTCTTGGGGAGAGCCCCCCCCCCCCGAAAACCCCCCAATTTTCGGCCCAATTTTAAGGCCTTTTTTTTTTTTTTTTTTTTTTTGGTATCGCGTTTGAAACTGTTAAAGTGTTTTATTTAAATGTGTACTACTCGCGTAAACTATAGACAGTATTTAAGTATTGACTTCTTAAAACTAAATCTGTATTTTATCATATAGAGTATTGATTTTTCACTTGATTGATTCATTGGGTAGTTGATATAATTTTTTTAAAGATAGCTCACTAAAAAATGACAATTGACAAAGTCAAATCAGTTATCCCCCGACTAAGCTAGGATATCGCATATCGATTTAAAATACTGTATACAAGCTTATTTAGTAAAGTACAGTACACTCTTGAATCCCTCGTTCCAGATGCAAGTTAGCCAAATCCAGTCGCTCATCATGAGCGGTGATATCAACGGCGCCTTCCAATTGGCGCTCTCGGCATCAGACCTGAACCTCGTGGTGGGTGCCTGCAAGAGCGCAGACCCGAGCAGAGTTTTCGGACCACCTTGTAGACTGAAACAGCACGTTCTGTTATCGCTTGTGCAGCAATTAGCAGCCGATATGACGAGAGATACAAATCTGAAACATAGGTACATAATCAAAGAAGTATTTTTCCACTGTTAGGTTTCTAGGTTTCTAACGTGTTAATGCCAATTAATTGTTAAATTTGTTTTTTGTCTATTGTCTGACCAAGCAAAAAATAATTTCTTTAAATACTAGTACACATTTACATAAAACATTTTAACGGTTCAAAATGCGATATATATTAGTTTGCGATATAGATGCTTTGCAGCAACCGTGGTCACGGAGAGAGACATTTGCTGCAAAGCACATTGGTCACTTTGCACATTGCTTCAGAATAATTTCCAAAAAAGTTTCACTAATATACATCTCGTTATAAACAGTTAAAGTATTTTATTTAAATAACTTCATTAACTTGATTCAGTACAGACGTAGAATTGTTATAACACAATCAATTTATCAACACAATACCTTCAGGTACTTAGAAGAAGCGATAATGAATTTGGACACAACCAACGCAGTGACCAGGGAACACCTGCCTGTGGTTGTCAGAGAACTGCAGAAACAGATAGTGGCCTTCCTCAATGGTAACCCTGGGCACGCTCTCAGCAGACAGTTCAGGATGCTTCTGATGGCCACAGAGTCACTGGTGAAGACCACCGCCTGACCAGTTTGTTGTCATTGTGCGTGCCTACACAGACTGTGACAGACAGTGTTTTATAGTCAAACATAGTGTGACAATTAAGTGGAGAACTTATTCAATTATAGACTAAAACTTTGATTATGTGATCTTTAATTGATAAGCATTATATGCAAAACAGTGGTGTTCTAGAAAATCGGACAAAAAATAGAGTGTTTATAATTTTACAGAATATGTAACACGGGGCTTGTCTGTCGGTAGGGGTGGAAATAATTGATTTGAGCAGATTTTTTTTACTCCAAGATCTTTCTCAAAATTTGAAAATAGACATAAAGAAATACTTGTTTAAAACTAACATTAGTTGCTACCATTAAACTTCTACTAATGACAAAAAAAAAATCAACAAACCTAACGGCGGATATATGAAACCGCAGTGGCATATTTAAATTTCCACTTTTGCCTTTTTCATAAACATTTAATCATATGACTAACTGAAAAAAATAATCTGTAACTATTTTGAGTTCTTGAATTAAGAACTAGTTAATATTGATTATTAAATATACATAGATTAAATGATATGTACACGAACAATCCGCTTAAGGATACATTTCAGTTTAATTTCTTTATAAGTATTTATAAATAGTGCTTAAAAAAGTAATGTCTGTTAAAGTAAAGTTTGTTAGACTATTAATTGAATTGAAATTGTTATTTGTTAAAAAAGATTTGCTTAGATTAAACTATGTGCACTCAAATGGGTTGACAGAGCATTGTCGCTCTCCCACAGTAACAGACGAAGAACAAGGACAAGAACTTGTCTGTATTCTGTTACATAAGTATTTTGCTCCTTCTATTTCTTATTCTTTATAATCCTTATCACTACTTCCTTGAGATTAACTAGTGCAAAAGTGCTGATTAATGTAAAACAATTAGAAAAGGCTACGTACTGTCTGTAGATTTTTTGACATTGTTTTTTTCAATAAGCTAATATTTGTAACGTTTTTTATGCAATGGTTAATTTCACACCGTTTAATTTGTTTTGTGACTTAAGGATCATTTATTAGTAGTTAACTTTTTCATTGTTTTGCAAAGTGTTTAGTTTGTTATATGCTCAGAGAATTTCGCATGATGCTAATGTTTTCTACCTCAACACCCATGGGTGCATTTTTTCGGTCCTTATAGTAAACTCAGTTTATATTTGGATAAAGGCTTAGTATTATAATCATTTGTAGTAACATCAATTCTTTTGAATCTCAATTTCATTTCTGTGCTTATTAATAGAGAAATCTACAAGATGTTCTTCTGAGGACACTACTTTCGATATAAGTAACAAAATTATATAATTATTTAAGATTTTGTAAGGTACGTATGGTTGTACAAATATTAGGAAGCTAATATATTACCGCCATACTATGTGATTTTTATGTAGTATTTTATAAGACTGGCTAAGAAGCTATAAGTCTGTAATAATTGTAATATGTTATTTGTTAGACATATTATAATTAAAAGTCTGAAATTAAAATATTACCGTTTGTAACTCTTTTTTCATTATTTATACCAAAAGTATCTTAAGGTTCTAAGAAATAATAACGATAAATATTTTTAAATTAACTTTGTGAAAACAATGCAATTATTATGATCTGTGTAATTAAACAATCTGCCTGATACATGTCTTAATATTATAGTCAATTGTCAATTAAGTTTCTTGACATGACATTGATATATCTAAAAAGCCAAAGTTTGTTATTTTTATCTCATTGCAAACCATTTCTCAAAAATAATAATAAAAACCCTAAAGAATGCATTAAATCAATGCTTTACTGTTTGTCTGTACCTGCAAAACGAATTTCAATAAAGAAAACTAAAATGTACCTCCACCATTTCGTTTCGTTTATGTTATTGTTATCGCCTAACATTTTATTTTGTGCGTCGGCGGCGGTGCACAGCCATAGTTTGGACAACGTTGAGCGTGAATCTGACGGCGCTTACCGGCCGCGAGATGCAGAACACTACAACGACGTCGGGCACAACGTCGAGTTTGACCACGAAGCGATATTAGGTAGGTATAACTTGAGCAGGTGTTTACACTCGTCGCTAACTGAATTTTGCAACGCTCAGTTGATAAGAAGCAATTGCGAAATGTCCATGAAACAAGCTCTGCTTTTACTCGTGCCTATAATGCTTATCGTGACGTATTATTACTCGATAGGCAGCGTCAAAGAAGCTGAAGAGTTTGATAAGCTGAGCCCTGAAGAATCAAAGCGGAGACTGGGCCTAATGCTGCCCAAAATGGATCTCAACGGAGACAAGTTCATTGACCGAGACGAGCTAAAGAAGTGGATATTGAACTCATTTATGTAAATATATTTCTTCAGGATCCTGACCCGCCAGTACAGAACCTACAAATTTGCCATGACAAAATCACTAGAACTTGCCTCGTTTATAATTTTTTTTTGTGTGTATATTATTTTCATAAACTGTATACAAAGGTTTTTTTAAATATTCTATCAAAAGCAAGGTGTACTGTAGCTTGTATTTGAAACATGATCATGTGATATTCTGCCTGTACTGAATTTATAAACTTTAGCATATACAATAATATGTCTTGATTTGTGTAAACTTTTTCGATTTATGTTGTCAGTAATCTTTCTCGGGAGGAGGCAGAGGAGAGATTGACTGAGGCAGATGAAGATAGGGATGGTGCTGTGACTTGGTCAGAGTACTTACGGGACTCCTTTGGAGTTGACACAGAGGAAGAGTTGAATCCTGATGATACTGGGGATACAGGGATGGTAAGAGGCATTTAATCCTCAACATGTCTTAGACTTATGATGAAAAATATCTTAATCAAAGAATACTATATTATAAAATATATTTAAATATTGTAATAAACGCATTTATAAAGTAAGTGAAAATTATGCGGACTGCCAAACTAACTACTATCTGTAGTTTACGCGAGAAGTACACATTTAAATAAAACACTAACGGTTTAAAACGCGATATATCTTGAACTTGTTTGAAAATTATTTTGAATTATGGCCTGATGTTTCTTAGGCTTATTTTATAAAAAACATTGTGTTTGATTGTATTCTATAACCTAAGAAAAGCATTAAGTTCACATATGTTAAGTTTATACTTTGGAATATATGAATTATAATTTGCAAGCAGTTGGTCCATGAGGAGAAGGCAATGTGGAAAACAGCAGACAAGGATGGTGATGGAAAACTTGATATGGCAGAATTTGAGGTAGGCACTACTTATTTGTAGTTAATTTATGACAGAACCGTAACTTACTTTGACAATATATATTTATTTTTAAATAAACATTATTTCAGAACTTGTACCCCTTGAAACACAGCAATATGTGCTGTTACTCCTCCAATAGGCCATCATGTCAACCTACGAATTTGTTCAATTCATTTGTACAAGCAACTCTCGCGCAATGTAATTTCAACCTTTATACTTAGGTATTGAGGTTTAATATCGCCCAATACTTCCGTTACCTTTTATCTTAACAGCATAAGAAATTATTGAAAATGAAATTACAAAGTGTTAACTGCTGAAATGTTATTTGCAAATTTAGTTTGTTTTTTTTTTCAATCTATTAAGGTTTTCAATTGAGGTACCAAATCAATAGTTACATGTGAGAATAAAACGTTGACCTTGTGGCCCTATTTCCTCAATGTGGTGTATCTTTAAGGTTTTCTCGAATCCCGAGGAGCACCCTGTAATGCACCCTCACCTGGTGTCTCAGGCATTGAGAGAAAAGGACAACAACAACGATGGGATGCTAGACTTTCACGAGTATATTGGGGAGAGAGGTAATGGAGTTAATTAGTTTCAAATAATTTATTTATTTATTTACAACAATTAAAACGGCAATAGCCAGTTACATTAATTGGAGACACATACTTAACCAATAACAATTAAAAATAGGTTATTACAAATTACATAGGAGATAATTTCAAAGGCAGACAATTCTTTTAGTATTGTTGACCAATCATCTGCGAAGAGGTCACATTTGGGTCTTAACTTGAGGAGAGCATTGAGTAAGGTCAAAATTCGCGGTATCGGCGAAAACTCACGGGCGGAGGTGCGACCTTTTGGGACGTCAAACAAATCGTGTCTCCCAGCGCGGCCATAGTTGTCCGGAACAAACAGTCGACAAAAAGCTTCCCTCAAATAAGGATCGTCGATTTGGTTTCGAAACAACTTACAGGCTATAGTAAATTGGCCACGAGATCTGCGACTTTCCAAAGAATTAAAACCAAGCTGTCCTAATAATCCTAATGTCCTAATAAGGAACCTTGACCTCTTTTGCTTCACAAAATAACACAAACTATTTGTCAACTGTTTTCCCATTCAAAGCTTTTTTTCTTTGAAGAATTTCGATATTCTTATTCTAGTACAGACTTGCGGTCTAACATGCTAAGGATATCAGGAATTGACAAACATAGACTTGATAGTATTAAGGCCAGCTATGTACATAAAAATTACCTTGGAAGGCACTTCATCCTCTTGTTCAACCAACTTTGTTTTGGATCTCAGGACAACATCAAGACAAAGAATGGTTAGTATCAGAAAGGGATAAATTTGATAACGAGCTGGACTCAAATCGGGATGGCCTGCTGGATCAACATGAGGTTCACCGGTGGCTCATACCTGACAATAGGTAACAATAAATAATCGTTAACGAAAACTAAATATTATTTTCGGATATATAATGATATATCTAAGAACAATTTTTACAAAAATAATTTTATTATGTTTTATGAGAAACTATTCATTCCTTTTTTCCTTCCCCTTTTCAACTACATATATTACTTAACATTCCAGTGAGATAGCTGAAGAAGAAGTGGACCATTTGTTCGCGTCAGCTGATGATGATCACGACGACCTTCTGACATTTGACGAAGTCTTGGAGCATCACCACGTGTTCGTTGGCAGCGAGGCCACAGACTTTGGAAATGATATAGATCGCTTCGATGATGAGTTATAAGTTATCGATTTTGGGCAGTGAATGTTGTGTGTTGCATGTGAAAAATTGGGAACATCACTATTCACTGCTTTTTAAAGGTATGTAACAGGATTTTTAGTATGTTAAGACAAAGATAAGTTGCCAGTCCAGAATAATGCCATCTTAGTTTTTATCAATACAATAATTGTTTTAATTTGATCGACATCTGTTTTCCGATAAAATAAGAGTGAGTTTTTGCATTATAATTCTAAAGCAAAGATTATATCAGGAGTGTTCAATCTCTTGCAAGAAGCGGTAAATTCTTACATTACTACATACAATTACTAAAGGTGACACAAAAGCAGGTTTCTCTTTACAAAGCTATGACAATGTTAGTTTTAATATCAAACTATTTATTGAAATAGGCTAAGATTGTAATTGTCTACGATTTACAATAGATCTGATAAAACGCACAAGTACTTAGCTAGTACTTATCTCAAACTGATAATGTTCAAAACTAGTCAATATTCGTTTGTTAAAAATTTTTTTTTAAAATATGTATATCTAATGATATAATATGACTTGTGTTAGCATTTATCTCATCCGCTGACTTTAAAATTGTGCCATTTGGTATTGAATTTAGGTTCAAGAGTTAATTATTTTATCAATGTATGTTATAATAAATACTTTTCTACTAATAAACTACTCTCTTTTAGTGTTATTGTTGTGTTGCGTTTCGAAATAAAACCCCGCGAAATCATTTACAATATTTTTTTATTCAATATAATAATCTTAATAAATCCAAAATATTTACACAATACAAAAACATACTATATGACCTTGATCGTCGTCCGCCTCCGCGTGTTTCAAATTTGATTATTTATTACACGAACAAACATTGTTCGGATAACTTCTACATATTATATTTATGGAGAATCGGTTACCGCGTCCTGCTGCGACATTTACAAACGGCACAGATAAAATATTCCATTTTAGCCCGTGTCTCGTTTCCCGCCATTTTGCATCTACCATTCGGGGAGCACAGATAAAATAGAAGACTTTATTTGACATTTCATCGTACAGAGTCTACCAAGATTATTGATGCACTAATGTATTTTTAAATAGCAATTTTACATTCAGGAGACGGTCTGATTACAACTAAGTATTGCACATTTTGTGGTATGATGTCTAATTTTTTTCATACATTTTCGCCATTTTATTGAACATATGCGATACGAAATGAATAGTTCTTCGGAACACAAGACATTACACCAAAAAATGATTATTAAAAGCGTCGAAGCACTTCCTGTTATAATTATTACATTTGTAATGTAAGCGTAAGTAGAAAAAAATATTGATTTATGTCCCTGTGAGGGCTATTGCATCGAAATCGTTTTGCCCTTTACCTAATATTTCATTCGTGGAGTTGCCTATTTCTTCATCATGAATCAAGAAATCTACGACTTATTGATAAATAATCGAATTAATATACGCTATAAGTGCACAATTTTAAGTTAAAATTTAATAATTATATACTGTACATTAACAAAATGAGTAATAAACATTATACATACAATTTTATTAAAATAATCGTAATCAAAATACAGGAGAAAATTGACCATAGACAACTCAGACCGACACAAGGTTACCTCTATCCAACGATAAATAATGCAAATTGTTTTTTATACATATATATTTTGGGTCTGACATTTTAAAACTCTGTGTCAATTCTCTTGTATAGAATTTTTATTATGTTAGCAACCGTATTCGACAAGCATTTGCTTCATACAAGAGAATTGACACAGAAGACGACTCATAATTCATTATTTGGACCAGTGCTGTTCTCGATGGAAAGATTTCGGTTAAATAGAGCCATTTATAGAATGTGAAATTTCATTTATAAAAGATCACTAACCGTCTGTTATCGAGAACAATTTCGGCCCTAGCTAGTGCACTACGCGCCATTGGAATGCGATTATAAAAGATACGGCTAACTGCAACGTTATAAAATCCACCGATTCGATACCCTTATAAATAAACAAATAGTAAAATTATATAGAATGTACGATGTTACGTTCACTGAATCATTAGCGTAAAACAACTAAGAGGCTTAGCTAATTCCATCTATATATTAACTAAATAAAGTGATTTCTACATATATCGTCGCGACGGGACGGCAAATAAATGAAAAACTGGTTTGTCGGTGGCTCCATTAAAAGCAAATTACCCGCCCATCCTACTTTTTAAAGTAGAAATTGCGAAAGCGGATTAGACCAATGTTTGCACATGAACATTTTAAAAGTCATCTTTTTGACTCCAAGGGAAAGGGAATGGGCGGGGGGAGGAGAGAGGGGTTATAGGTGAAATATGGCTTCTAAACTTTCGTACCAGCTACATCCAATGCATCTCATTGATGGTCCTTAAGGATTAAGGTACGTGGTGGTTAAATGTCAAACTGGAAAAGGCTTAACTTGGGTGTCATGTAAAGTTAAGTTAAGTGGAGCCTCCACCTTGCACAGTTGGTTGGCAATTCAAAATTCTCACGACGAGTAACACGAAACACAGCTAATTTGCGATTTGTGATGTTTTAACAGCTGTCAGCCTAAGCAGCAGGTGTCTGCTGTTTAATGGAACCGTCGACGATGTAATCACGTAATATACAATAAACCTACCAATTCGTAAACGTACGCGCAACGTGTTTTCGATAATGATTGTGGAATAGTTTATATACACTTTGTCCAGTAACGTGAAAGAGTGTTATTATACAATCGCCATATTACCAACCGCTTCGCGCTATTCTTATAGCACAACTACATCTAGAATAAATCATATTGTCATCTCTTTCTATCTGAAACGAATTCGGCCGAACTACCTCTTTTGTCTTTGTCGTGCAAATGTAGCACGAATGCGATAGAATATTGACCTATAGTAGGCTAGTATCGTTCTCTCTTTTACATTTTTCGCGTGTGAAAGGGACAGCGATATAATTTTCAATCTATTATGCACAAATGAGAGCTATCCTCCCGTCCGCCTAACTGTATACATATATATATTTAATATTAAATAAATTGATTTGTATAATTTCATATTGGTCTCGCTACTAAACAAAGTGTAGATAAAACTTAACAATAATAATGATTATTAGGTATAATTAGTGTTTCATGTAGCCAGCCTTACGAAGCCGTGGCCTGAAACGGATAAGCTTTATAAATTAGAGCTCAATACCATATTAGTATTAAAATTCAGGGCATAATTTAAGTCAGTTAATAATATGTTTTCAATGGTACATACCTCATCAACCGCGCGCCGCCCCACTTTCCAACAGTCTGCTTCTGAAATATTTTAAAATTTGCATTTATATTGCTTATTACGTTACAATGTCCTATAGTATTAAAAGCAATGCAATATTTTTTTAAATATAACACTTTAACGGTTTAAAACGCGATATATTAGTTGAACTTATTTGAAAATGATTTTTAACTTCGGCCCGACGTTTCGGATGCTTTGATGACCACGGCTGCTGCAATAATAATATATCGCGTTTTAAACTGTTTTATTGAAATGTGTACTACTCGCGTAAACTATAGACAGTATTTAATGCAATATTTATCAAAATTAAACATAAAACTTTACATTTGAATTGATATAACATTTATTTTCTAGCAGATTCTCTCCAATAACGAAAACAATCGCTGATTCCAGAGCCAAACGTAGGGCTTATGATTTATTATAATGATGAATTAACAATAAATCATTTTTACTCTGTAAAAACCTTTTTTCCCTTTATCTATACATTTCTATATTCTGATTCTGATTAATTCATTTAGCTAGTTCTTTCTGTAAATCCCATGGAACAGCTTTTAAAGCTTGCCAACAATGAAGTGAGACTAGACTGACCTGGCGGTATCACTTGCAGCAGGTAGAGGCCCTCGGCTGCTCGCCGTCCGCCAATCGCCTCGCCCCGCCCGCTGCGCCTCCGCCCCCGCTCTCGCTCTTTGGTAACTTGTTCGCTGGAATTAAACGTAATATTATAATAAATAACTTGAGATTTTATTGAGTTCTAAGATTAGCCAGCTGAAAGAGACGCTCACCGATCGCTAGGAAGATGTCGTTGACGTTCATGGCGGTCTTGGCGCTGGTTTCCATGAAGAGTAGCCCGTTCTCGTCGGCGTAGGCCTGCGCCTCGTCGAACTCCACCATCCGCTTGGCGGCGAGGTCGTTCTTGTTGCCGGCCAGCGCGATCACGATCGACGGCGACGCCTGCCGCTGCAGCTCCTTCACCCAGTTCTTGGCGCGGCCGAAAGTGTCCTACGAATGTTTTAATTATATTTGACCAGATTCTCAAGAGATATACGAGATACGAGACCCTTGCTGGCAGGAGTATTAAGTTTTAATTAAGTAAGGAGTATTTGTTGACTTCTTAATTTAATATAACTATGGCCTGACGTTTCGGAATCTTTATAGCATCCATGGTCACTGGAAGACTATAAATATAGCAGTTGTAACGGTTTAAAACGCAAAATATCGGATATTGGCTGTCGTCTTATAAATTGTAAATACGTAAACGGTAGAGGAGTTTTATTTAAATGTGTATTCCTCAGGTCGTTATCAAACGATTTCGTACATTCAAAATTGCGCATTTCTTAGCGTTATAAATATCGTATATATAATGCGAGGCGATATCTTTATAGGGCTTTGCCCTGCACCGTACTATCACATGTTGTGAACCATCATTCTTTGATAAGGTTATCTCTTGTCTGGGATGTTGTCTGGTCAGTGAACGCGATTTTTGTTCATTTTTTGTCAAAAGCGATGTAGCTACAGCATCTAATTATTCTACAATAGAAAAGAAGACAATAAACAAGAAGAAATAGTATATTCTTTATAACCAGGAATTATTCATAAAAACTGTCTCTGTGTTTCAAATATTTAGGGAAAATTTTCTGCGACATATCTTAATTTAAGTGCACTTAACTTAAGAAATAAAAAGTAAGCTTGCATTGAAATAATAATTATTAGATTTTCGCTTGGCAAATTAATATTTAATTGTTAAAAATTCGTTCAGGCTTTAATGTATTTAAGATGATTATAACACCTACTTACTTACTTTACCTACGTACTTAGTTTCTTTCTAATTAGATATTTTATCTTTTTCATTTTTATTTATTGTAAGTTAATTGCAAGTTATTTATAAGACATTATGTAAGCACAGTGAAAACACTGCGCGGTGCGTGCTCAAGCAATCGTATTACACGCATAAGTCTTCTAGTTCAAGGCCAAATGAGCACAATCTATTCACCGCGATCGATTCTTTCTCGTCATTTTGCCAAGTCCACGAGTGGCGTGCTAAAATATAAGCCCCCGATAGACTAGACAACCTGAGACTTCGCTTCACTCTTTATCTGTTAGTCTAACTTGGTAAATCAATATACGCAATTATATAATATGGCGTTTAAGCAAGAAGTCGCTAATTTGGCATTCAGGAGGCGGTCGTGCGCAACGATGCGCTTGCAACGGCCATGACCGAATATCGATGACACTGAAATGACAAAAGGCATGTCAATATTGGATATGAGATGCCCAATACTAAACACCGATACCCGAAGGTAGTTTTAGCAGTTAGTAATTCAACCAATATAAACCCGTTACCCATTGTGGAGTATGGGACCAACAAATATCTATGTCCGCTTTCTCTTACCTTTAAATGGATCAGACTGTATTCACCTGACCTATTTTATTTTCTCATCAGGATTCGAACCTAGCATTTCTGCTTAATATAATGCCAGGCAACCAGTTGAGTGGCAGAGGCGGACAATAAAGGATAAGTAAATCCATTTAAAATAACGGTATTTTTAAATCTAATAATTAGTTGTCGATTGCGAGTTCAAAACAAGTTAATGTCGGGTCAAAATACTAATTAAAATTTCGTTTTTATAAACATTATAATAATGTTGCATTGGAATAATTTAATAACCGGTAATGTTTATTTTAGGCCACAAACCAACTTTTACGGTACATATATACGCTGAAGAGAACTATTAATTAGATTTTTATTATATCTTTTTTTTTTATTTTTTTTTAAACAATGCCGACACTAAATACCCTAGAGAAAAACTGTGAAAGTTGCATATAAAAATCTTCCTCTTGAATTACTGTCTGTATTTAAAAGCGCATTAACTGATTGTTTCATATAGAGCATAGTTCCATCGATTCTGATGAATTAAATCTCTTAATTCATCAGAATCGATTAAACTTGACAGAGGATACAAGTTTTTAATTAGTTGATCTATAAATATTGTGAAATCTAATCAAGTTCTACAAGGTACAACTTGATGTCTATATTTATCGTAAGGTTATTCGTGAGTCGGGGTCTTCATCCGATCTTCTTTATGACAGAAGTGGACAGACAGGCATAGGGTTCCATTATGTCAACAAGATGCCTGTCGGCCTATTTTGGTTTAATTGAAACCGAAACGCGATTCAACTTCACGGCTTTTTCACTTGTGTGTTTGAAACCCGGATGGAATTTCGATTTTCGGGTGATCGGAAATTGTGACCAGTACTCCTGTATCCAGTCCAAAAATTAAGACTATCAAGATGATGGCTGTACAAAATGTGATAAGACTTGGCATACCTGATTAGTGATGTCGTAAACTACGATAGCTGCCTGTGCTCCTCTATAGTACATGGGTGCTAAGCTGTGATATCTGAAAATAACAATTAACTTTACTATATTACTCACGGCGAATGATTAATCAATTCTACTGTGTGTGGCGTGGTATTATTATTAAATCGTGTTTAGCTGTTTGGGTCTTTAGATTACTTAAGGGTAAAAGTGGAACATCTCAAGAACTGCGATTGTCAGAGAGTTGAAAAAAGATAAAAAGAAATTCTTTTTTCCTTTTCTATTTTAAATGAAGAAGACTAACGGCCCCTAAAAGAATCTAATATTACATTTTACATTAATAACATATGTATAACCAAAAAAAAACAATAAACATATAACATAGGTGAGCACTTTTCCCAACAAAATATTACAATAATAAAGTTTATATTTTGCGGAATTCTTTGAACGCTAGTCCAACTCGGACTTGGCCAGTTTTATTTATACATTTTTAATAAATAGAAATATGCGTAGATATATACGAAAGACTGTAAATTTTCGTAAACAGGTTAAAATGCGCAAAGTATTTTAATCAAGTAAGAAGTAATGACGCAATATATTTTTTACCTCGCCTTGTTAACACGAGACGTAACTAATATACAAATAATACAAAGATTAATCATTATATTTACATTACAAACATCCGACTTCTTATAACTATATTGCAAGAAGTAGATTATGCTGATAACATTTTTTATGAAACTTGGAAGGTCAGATGGAAAATTATGCCCGTAGCCACAAACAATTATAATTATAGTATTGTCTAGTTATTTTTGCTTTTAGTCTGTAGACTGATAAAAAAATGCTTAACATACGAAAATAGAAAGCACGAGCTCTCCGGCTCTACGTTTCTCCATATCACTGGCACGGACCAAGCTGGACAAATTCGTTTATGTCATTTTTATTATTTTCTTTGTCGTTTTGTTCAACACAAGCAAGAAACTAAACGCCAAGTCTTACAAATAATAAATAAATATAAATTTAGAGATTTTAGATATATTGAAGATCTCTCATCTCTTAAAACCGAGAGGAAGAAAATGGAGCCTTCAGTCTGGCCCGAGAAATGACAGAGTCCCGCCTCACCTCTCCTGTCCCGCCGTGTCCCAAATTTCGAACTTTACGGTTGTGTCATCGAGGCACAGCGTCTGCGTGAGAAACGCCGCCCCGATGGTGCTCTCCTGGTACTCGTGGAACTGGCCCTTGACGAAGCGCAGCACCAGCGACGACTTGCCCACAGCCGACTCGCCCAGCAGCACCAGCTTGAACTGGCACACCTTCGTCTGCGGCGCGCCGTTCGCCCGCTGCGCACCGCTTCTGTTTGTTGCCATGGCCTGCGGATAATTCTCCATTTTGATACGCTTATAACCTACCATAAATACAACGTGATTGATTTTTGGATTACATTTGCTTCGAATTTAATTAGCGTCTCTAATATCGTCAGTGTAGTGTGTGATAACGGGAACTACTCAACCGAAGAAATAAAGAACAGATCATAACACAAAATAACATTGTTACACGGGTTCTAAATAATATTACTGTTATTTTCATTTTTTTTTTATGTGAAAGGGGGAAAAAACGAAAAGACGTACTAGAAAAATAGGCCAGCTACCTATATTCATATATTGTTTCTAAACATTCGTCTGATACGCGATCCCAAAGAATATGGGTTGGCCCCGAACCTAAAACTTAGCAATGTAAGTACCACTAACATTTGTGAAGGGCGCTGGTGGTCCTCAATTACAGCCTCCAACTATCATGGTGAACTTTTATGCTGAGTTTACTCGAATGCAAAACAAAGACGAATCCGTTATCAGGGTGAAGGATGCATTGGCGCTCGTTTCGCAATGAGAATACTTAGCGTGACGTAAGTGTGTATGACGTACCTGATCTTAGTTCTTATTGGATTAGGCTCTTAGACTAACGTGCCGTACTCATTTCGTGATTTGAAGGGACTGTAACTTCTAAGTGACGACTGTGTGACGCGCGCGACACAACCTTGGGGCTGGTCTAAATCCTACACACAATAAGTAGGTAGTGTCCAGAAAACTAATAGTAGAAAAATATACACAAATGGACGACAGGTAGCGACACTACCCAGCTATATAAAGAAGATGATCGACCTATTCTGGCTTTGGACAAAAAAATTACAGACAGAAACCAAACTGCAAAATGGCTTAAATCTTTTCATGCTTGAAAGAAATTTCAATATTTCTACCACTCATTTTAAAGTTCATATAGTTAAGTCAAACTTTATTCTGTAACCTTATTTAGTTTGTAAATATATGTAGCACCTGAAATGAACATTTAGACCACATTCAAATAGACTGAAAATTTTTCTTTTACTTTACAATATACAATTAAAATAATTTCAAATAAATTTTATTAAACTGAGCTCACTGTTTGCAGAGATCCCAGTTATCAATTAAACAAAGAAAATGTGAATAATATTCTTATCTTGAGTACTTTTGTTTTATCAGGTAGGTTAATTACCTTTTAAAATACAAGAAATTGTTTACATTACAAATATTTCATAGTTCAAAGTTAAACTTCACATAATTATATTATTCACATAAGTGTTATTATCAATTATATTAATCTTTAAAGATGTTCTGAATCAGGTTATTGAGTCAAAAGTTGACAGTGGCGACTAGCAATTATTTATCAAAACTTAATACTACATTGAAAGATAACAATATTATATCCAAGATATGTTATCTCCTGTATTTTTGCAATAATTGATATTTCTATTTCTCTAGACCTCTCTTGTTCACTCTTGCTTTACCATTTTTCATATTCCCTTGAGGAAGATTTCCACTAGCCTGTTAAGAGCAGAAGTGGGTACATTATATTTCCCTATTGGTTATTAAATAAGGAGAAAGAGTTAAACAAGACATGAGTCAAAATCTGCACCAATGGTACTCATATGTGGCAATCAAACATCATTATGTTAAATCATGTTGACTTTATGTGGTATACCTATAGTATTTATTGGTCTTTGCAAAACCTAACATGTATGTAACATTCATGTACCGCAAATGAATATTTTTAGCTTGAACTGATTACAGGTCATGTTTGTAAACTTTTACTTGGGGCTCATGTAGAGTGAGAATTTAATATTTCATTTTATTTCGAGACAAAGACAATGCCGACATATTAACCTAATAAAGTGTTTCAAAACTCACCAGCCACTAACGACACGAAAATACAATTAGACACCATTGACAAGTTCACAGAGTATCCATGCTAGATTGCAACTGATTACTGAATTAGGAAGCATTACAAGTGAGCAGACGTGTAAGAAAACTCCAAGAACCGTAAACAGTGTTATCTTTCCGTAGTGCGTAATCACAAAGAAAAACCTAACAATGTCACTAGCCAAAATTCTTCTTGCAACCGCATTTACACTTGTTTCAGCACTGAATTTACTCTCGTGAAGACTCAAAACACGTCTGACTATATGACTAACCGTCCAAATCTACAGCCCGTATCAAACCATTTCCTTGACGTAAAGTGATTCGCCCCCTAGTATGGTGTAAGCAGAAAACGCTTTCGCAAACACTCCCCTTGGTCACAAAGCTTGGATAGCGATGAAAAACTTAGCACAACCCGTTACTGACGTTAACTGGTTTCTAATAAACATTATATTCGATGAAATGACGCATTTACACGAATTATAAGGATATGAAAGACGTACCCTCCCTGTTGTTAAATCACCGTTATGCACTTTATGATTGGCGACAAATCCTCACAAGGTCGCCGTGATTCCAATAATTTCATTAATTACACTCCTTCACGAATTATATCACTAATTGAAACGCTAAACTAGAAATTCTAGCAGAGAAATGCAAAATGACCACGAACAAACATGGAAGCGAGAGAGCGAGCAAGAAGATATAAAAAAATATCTGTAAAAAATGTAGTGTCTATGAACATCATTTCTGTTTATGGCACAATCATTTTTCAATGGATGTTAACCATGCAAAAGATTATTCAATTTATTTGCAACTTCTGAAGAAAGTATACAATTTTGAATTAATAGCGAAAATGTTTCTCAAAAGACGAAAATTCTTTCCAATAAACATACACAGCCATAGACAAACATGATGATAAAAACAGACTATGTTCGATCATTTTTAAGCTGTAATCTGTAGTGGGTAATGAACAAGTGGATTACAATTTACAACCGATTTTAACTTGCTTATACATCCTGTCAAAACAATAATCGCGATTAATCGCAACTAAATATTTTGTATTCAAAAATAAAATGGACAGCAAAGTCCGTCGTAATGGTCGTCTTATCGACATAGTAGACGAAGAGTGGAGAGCAGAGGTTCTACCTCATGAGGAGATTGAAGTACCATCTGAGGAACTACCAGACCCCGAGGCCGATAGCGCAGACTCTCATCTCACCTTGAAAGAGCAAAGTCTTAGATGGCAAGAAAACTTCCCAGAACCAGCTCATGTAGAACAAAACTAGTCAAATATAGTATTAAGAATACTTCTTTTTGTTTTTATGTTTTATTAATTCTAAGTTTTGTACCGCTAGCACTACTATTTACTATTTATTACCTGAGGTAACAAATCAAAATTCAACAGGCAAGAAAAATATCCTGTTCTAATTATTTCCTATCAGATACTGACATTGAATTGAATTGTAAAAGTATCTTACTATAAACAATTTGCCTTCTGTTTTTATAATAACAAAACGTTAGATAGGTTTATAAATATAAGTGAATTTTTATCTGTGCAATTGTAATATCAAATTAAATTAGCATTTGTATATGTAGAGCTATTTATTTACTTTAGTTTAAAGGGCCACAATAATTTCAATCTGTAGCTACCAAATGTAACTAAATGCACTAATGGCAGATTACTGATATACACTGTATGAAAATGAGATACTATATCATAGCATTCTTCTGGTTCAAATACTTCTTGACCATCAGGAGAGTCCTGCAAAAGAAAACAGCTATGAATGAATGTTAAGTTTTAAATATTGTATTGTTCATAAGCATATTCACTTTATGCAATAAACTTTGAAATACCTCAATAGTATGTCTGATCATAATCTCCTTGAAATACTTCCAAACATTAATTGGTGCCATCCAGTAGTACCATTTGAAATAATTATGAGTAGCTAGGTACATGGCCATGAGACAGGCCAGCTTGTCCGGTGGAAAATGGCGCTGAGCAGCATAATCTATAGTCTCAGTAAGAAAGCTTATGAGAAAATTCTTTTCAGGAAGATTATAGTTTTCCACTATTTTTTTCTTCACTAGAAAGTCACCTTCAATGTGAAAAATCTTTATACTGGCCATTTTTTTATTAAAAATTTTTAACAATGAACTTTCCTAGAAACACAGCTTTTAATTAAAATTGCATTCATCTCCTTCACTGACATACACTATGATCACTTTGTATACAATCACATGTTGCTAACATCATGTCTCACTAAACAAAATAGTACGTAAACATAAATGGATTTAAATACAAAAATCTTAAGAATGTTTATCTTATATGAATTATTTACCTAACGCCTTTTTTAAACTTTCTCCAGTCGCTTGAGCGATAATCTCTATACAATCATTCTCAGTCACCAAAGTTTCGATCAGTAGCTTAGGTTGCGCCTCATGTACTGGTCTCCTAAACGGTGGCGCTTTGTTTTCCTTCAAAGAGTGTAAGTAAGATGGTGCCGATATTTGTATGGTAAGTTTAGCAGCCTCTGATGTAGAAGGCAAGAGGAAAATCGGCGCTGATGCAGCCTTAATTTTCTCAGACGACTCTGTATTTATAGTGCTCGTCTTCGAATGCATTACAGTCTCCATTTTGGGGAAAATTATAAGTCGCTGACACAAAATATCCCCAGCAACTTTTGACACTAGACAATGTCAAATTATTCAGAACAAAGGGTGATTTGACACAAATGAAGACTTAATAGTTTTTTTTTTAACACACGACGTTTTAGCAAAGTGTGTTAAGGCACTGTAGTTAATATCTAAAACAAACTCTGCAGTAATTAATTATTTTATTACCATGCTACTATACAATATATCTTAAAACATTAATACATTTATTATTCAATTCATCGACGAGTTTTGGCCTCCCGTTCAGAGTGTTTTGTTCTTCTGTCTTTTTCTTTATGCTTCTCGTCATAACTGTCCCAATATCTACTTATTTCGCGTGGTTCACTCTCATCTCTTTTCTTATTTGAAAATCTATTTTCCTTCTCTGGAGTGTGTTGCGAAGAATCATCACTACTACTGTCGCTGGACTTATTTTTGTGTTTAGATTGTTTTTTATTATTTCGTTTATCTTCCTCACTATCTGAACTATCGCTACTATCACTAATATCTCTTTTCTTCTTGGAATGCTTCTTGTCAATTTCTTTTTGACTTTCCACACGTTTCGAATTTCTTTTACTATCTCTTTCGAATTTAGCATTATCCAATCGCTTTGAACTTCTACTGTCATTTTTATGATTATCTCGTTGATTGTCTACATCTTTTGATTTTCTTTTGTTATTCCGATCATCATTGTCAACTTGTTTAGAATTTTTATTACTATCTTTTTCTAACCTTTTCTCATTATTTAAATGTTTCGAGTTTCGACTGTCTTCTACTTTCTCCCGAGCATTATTTTGATCTTTATCAATTCTCTTTCTCTCAGTTTCTCTGTCTTCTCTTTTGCTGTCTGCATCCCTATCTCGCCTATCGCGATCTTTCCTAATTTTATCATCCTTGTTGTCCAATTTTTCTCTATTTGTCTCTTCATGTATGTATTTCTGTCTATCTCTGATTTTTTCTGTATTTATTGAACGTGTATCTCTATCTCTGTCTAATAGCTCTTCTCTATGATTTCTGGCTTCACGGCTTTGTCTGTCACTGTCCTTCCGTTTGTTAGATCTATTGTCTTCATAACTTTTGTCATTGCTGTGATCATTATACTGCCGGGATTCTTTGTCACTTCTATTATCTACACGATGTCTACCACCATTACCCTGCTCGTTATATTGACTACTCCAGTATGATTGATAATTGCCAGCCTTTTCTTCCGATTGTTCATAACTTTTACGATTTTTGTCACCTCTGAACTTTTTACTCCTATTCTCATTTCTTCTAATATTTACTTCATCACGGTGCCTATCATTATTTTCATTTCGATCTGCATCATTATTTCGTCTAACGTTTCTTGGTTTAGCAAAATTATTTCTTTCTGGTCTGTCTTCGGTTTCATTTCTCCCATATCTCTCATAATAACCATCATGACCCCATCTTTCGGTTTTATCTTTAGAACTTTCTGGCTCCTTTTCCGGCTTTTTCTTAGACTCATTGTTTTTCTTTTTGTTTGATTCTTCTTCTTCAGAATCTAAAAAAAGGTAGAAATATTCAATTATATATTTAAAGACTGCGGCTCATATAAATTTTTTATATTAAAAACCCATATCGTCAGTTATGAATAAATTGGAGAAGAGAAATTACAAAACTACTTGAAAATACAACATGCTTGATCACAAAATGTTGTACCTACTATTAGCCTTTGTGTGTGTTGGACATATTTTTAAATGATAAAATTTATATAACATAGAAAGTCTAACTTATCTAACTTGACTATATTTGAAATTAATCTTTTGACAAATGTATGTCGGTTTGTATTAACATATAATTGGTTTTTGACTACTTTGTGTCTTACCACTTGAACTGGAATCACTAGAAGATGATGATGAAGAAGATGAGCTGGAACTGGAGTCTGAACTGGAATCACTATCAACTTTAATTTCAGCAACAGGAGCAGGAACATTCTGAAAATGATTTAACATTATTACATATTCTTTACTCATAAATAGATCATGTTACATATGTCACTTGGGACTGATTGATTCACTTAAACAGCCAAGATAAACCTTTATTTAGATGTAATTTAGTCAAAACTTTTACCTTTGGCATTTGTTTAAGATGTTCTCGAAGATCATCAGTTAGGCCTCCAAGACCAATAGATGTAAAGAAGTTGATGGAAAACCTGGTATTCTTAGGATTGTCCCTAGGGAATATTCCAGAGAAAGCATCCTGCAGGGTCCTGGAAAGAAATGATAATATTATAACAGATACTTATGGGCAGAGGAACATACAAGTTTAGGCAGACACTAGATTATGTTATAAAGAGATGGTTTACACATGTATTTGTCTATTTTGTTATTCACTTCATCCAAGTAATATAATATAAATGTCCAACACCAATACTCATACATATTTAAGTATGATTGCACTTGGGTCTCAAAATATAATTATGAGCAGAAGAATCAATGTCATGAGAATACTATGAGGAAAATAAACGTAATTTAGAATGAAAATATAAAATAGTATTTTGCTATTAATTTACGAAAATCTAAGTCATGTGTAACCATCCCTGATTAGAACTTACGGGTCCCTAAGACGATCATTGAGCTTCTTCAGTCCCATATATTCGGCTAACTCCTGAAAGAGGATCTTGATATAGATACGACTTGAACTTGTCGTATCCTCCTCATTTAACTTTACACAGTCCAGAACTTCCCAGCTAATTGAATCTGTGAATAGAAGGTGAGCAAAGAACTTGCTAACATTTCTGAGACGATTTGTATCCAACCTGTGGGCTGTGGAATAGGAATCTTTGAAGATTTCTTCAAATGGGCCTATATATATTCTATTGATGTTACAGAACCTTTGTGCTAGTAAACCATAGAATTTTTCATATGTCCTCTGTTCCGCACAACAGTCTAGGAACATGTGACACAGTTCAATTTCTTGACCAGGTTTTAATTGCATCTTCATAAGCTTATGAGCACATTCTTCAAAGTCTAAACTTGAGTTAATAGTTAGGTAGATGGTACGCCTCAGTGCTACCAGGTTAGTTTCTGTATTATCTATGATTGTTACAGGTTTTTGCTCCTCTTCTTCCTCCTCTTCTTCACTGCCAGACTCTCCAGAGCCATCTTCCTCACCAGATTCAGCATCAGAACCAAGTATTTCTTTGCTCAATGTCTTATACTTTTGTTCATTGTCTTCATACTTTTCATCAAATTTAAATACATCTGAAAAGATTTAAGAGATTATCCATTAATTAATATACAAATTGTAAGATACTTGTTTTTTTAATAAGCCGTTTTCATCAAATATATATACCTACACTTCACATTACAAAAAAAAATATGTAAATCAAAATTTAAATGAAATACTTTTTATTCTAACATACTTAGGATATCCTGTGCATCTGTTGCCTCATCTAACATCAAAAGATGAGTAAACTGATCCTCTTCAGGCACTAGTTCCAATTCCTCAATAACAGATGGGTGATCTTTAAATCCGTCCTTCCACACTTGAAACATCACCTCTATCATATACTGCACACGCTTATCCAACTGTCCTTCATGAAGAATATTCCTCAGCATCTCAAATATAGCATTTACACCCTTAGATGAAACTTCAGTGAGCTTTTGACCACACTCTTTTAAGAAAGCTATAGCCACTTCCACTGAATCGTCAGAGGGAGTTTCAACAAGAAGAGTTAATAGCTCTAAAGCAAGAATTTCATGTGCAACCCGTTGATTTACTAAATGAGCAATGAATGATGCTGATGATATACAAATAGCCTTATCGTTTCTTTTAAAACCTCGTTTGAATTGGATTACAAGCCTCTTTAATAATAGCTCGCCAATATTAGGGAATCTCGAATTAACAGCAGACACTAATGCAGCATATACATTTGTAAAAGTGGGAGATGCAGCCTGAGCTTGTATAACAGACCGACAAAGTAGACCACGACCACGCACTATGTTCTCTTTTAGCAATTCCTTAATGATAATACCAATATTACCAACGTTAATCTTATTAATATGACCATGTATGGACTTTTTCAGTGCTTCCCAGGCTAATCTTTGGTATGCTACTGACGATTTATCGGTGATCTGCGCCTGCATCATTCTAAGGCGAGCTGGTGGTATATAGGCACCTCCAGTTCTTGTATTAAGCATGTCTTCGTTCTTGGGTTTCCTAGGCGGCGCTTCTTTTACTTCTCTTACCTCGTTGCGTCTGTCATCTCGTTTAGGGGAACGCGAACGTGAATGTCTACGTTTACGATTCGAAATTCTTTCACGATTATCCCTATACTTCTCTTGTGATCTAGATCTAGTTCTCCTAGATTTCCTTTCCTTGTATTCGTCCTTTTCAGTTTTATCTCGCCTACGTTTACGATCCTTTGCATCTTCCATTATTCTACTCACTATTTCTACTTAAGGTATAGTAATATATAAATATTTTAACTATATATAATAACTGTATGTCCAATATGCTTTAAAAACGTGATTTTACGAATAGACAACAATAATTAAAGACGCCATTATTTTGCAATCGCAAACTGACAATTGACATTGATTTTCGGTGGGAATGAATTTGAACTGTCAAAAAAAATACAGATAATATCAAATACACATTTCTTTAAAATATGTTCTTTAACCGTATATAATACGGCCGATGTCATTTGGTAACTCTGAACAGAGGTTAGATTAACTTTGGCGCATGTACACTCGTAAAGAAAACTAATACTGCCATTTATTTTCGTTACTGGGATAAATGTAAAATTTTACCTATAGCAAGCAAAAGTAACATACCAATAATTGATTCAAAGAGAATATTGGCTACGAACACTTATCTTTCACTAAAATACAGAGACTAAACAAAAATATAACAAAAGAGAAATAATAATATTAAATTTAACAATAAACAATCACTTTTCTAACGGACTGCGCTCAAGACAGAGATAACGAAATTAACACCAAGGAGTGACCGAGACGCACTACTGTTTACCGAATATGTACGAAGCTTTACGAAAGAACCAAATAAAAATGTCCATACGCGATCCTTGAGAGTGTCATTTAATCGATTCCTATTAAAGTAGGCAAAATTGGATGGTAGAAATATAATTTTATAAAAAGACCTAAAGAAAATAAAAAAAAATATATAAATAGTAACTCATATTTAACTAAATCAGGTAGGTCAATAATGAAAAAAGTTTTTAATGATTTTATTAATTTAAAGGTAATCATGGTATTGTTTATTAACAACACCATTCACTGTGTTCATCAATCCATTTAGTACAATATTTCATACGATTTAAAATCCACAATCTAAATCGATAAAAATCGATTACAAAGTTGGATAGAATAAGCGGTCGATTGTGTTGACATTGAGTCAATCACTATTCTAGATCTTCGTCCCGCGCCCCTCGCTCTTACCACCGTTAACATCCTCAAGAACGTTTCTGCGCAGCATTTCGCGTTTAGATCAGGTCTGCCCAGTTACGTCGGCCGTATTGTAATACGAAATTGAAGTTGATGTTGAAAAATTGAAAATCGAATTTTGGGCAGCAATGAAAGTACCGTACTTTCATTGCTGCCCAAAATTCGATACAAACAAAAGGCTTACGCTTAGCTTTATCTTCTGTAGAATCTGCCTGTAGGCATTACGAGAATGTCTTTTTAAACAATATATCTTTATTTCCATAATTTTAAAGCTTTGTACTTATCATTGATCACAAATAAGGTTTTCTTTACAAGAGCGTATGAACATGATCATGGTTTATCTTTTTAAATTGTTCCGGTTTTTGTAAGATTGACTTTAAATATCAAAGACAATGATATGCTGAACGATGGCCGTGAAAGCCTTACACAATTTATTTGACTTTGAATATCTTTTTCGTAACGTCTATATTATAACTTAAGTTAAAATGCATCTATTTACCCATACTAATTTTACCGTCAGTACATCAGAGTCATGCATGACAATCCAGAAGAGTCTTTTTATAAATAATAAAACGAATGCGTTTGTTAGTATTTATGACTTTATTCAATACGACAATGAAACTACAAAAGTTGCCTGCACTTCAAACAGCATTTTCATATACCTCACGAACTGAAGCACATAATAGTATTAGTCACATAAAATATAAAATAATACAATTAGAGGGACTAACGTTAAGAAAATTAAAAAATGAGTAACATTAAAGCGTCGCTATACATGATTCATCCCGATTCCGAGACTAAAATGCTACACAATATCCAAGGCAAATTGGTCAAAGGTTGTCACGTCTTCGATAAGCCGACTTACACCTAACCTTACTAGAACAGCGTCAGTAATACGAGTAGAAGCTGGCAAGCGCCCGCCCCGCCACCTCTCGGCCCCCGCAAAGCACTATCGCCTTATTATATACAATACGAAACGAATGGCAAAAATATATATCTCTTCCCGCGTAACACCGACATCGAACGACACTAGATATGGTTATCGATATAATTTGTGCCTTATCGATTTATTCTATAGCGATACATCACAGAAGCTGTCCACGACCACCGATACCGGCCCGGCTTTCCTTACGATTAAAACAAAAGGCAAGTTTACGTTAGCTGATGCTGAGGCACTTGGCTGTTGCTGTATTGTGCTTGAGATCATAGCCTCTATCACACGTAGAGATACGCGATCCTAAATAATACCTAAAAATTTCCTCCCTTGAAAATATCCTTTGCAATGTAATCTCCAAGGTACCAACTTGAGCCCATTACAAAAGTGTGATGTTTGGTTGTATAAAATTTACTTTAACTATAATAGACTAGATTTAACGCATGTATACATGAGATGTTTGTAACCATTTAACTTAAAATTTGCATCTAAAATCTGGCAACACATGAGAATAAGAATGGGGAAAGTGCAAATCAAATAAGAATTACTGATATATGTTAGCTTGCATTGACTTTGTGCCACTAATAAATGCATAACCGGGCTCATACAATCCAACTTCGACATTTCAATAGTTCACAAAATACATTTATTATAGTCTATAGAGTGACAGTGTAAAAATGACATAGGGGTAGATCATTCGGGTGACTATGAAAGTAATCTAGCAACACTCGACTCTTTAGTCTTTGCCAATGTGTATACTGTTCCAGAGTGACCCGGAAACCTAGTTACCATAGACAATGAAAACTTAAATTTATTTAACCCTTCTAGAAATACTGTTGCGTACGATTAAAATAATGATATACGTCTATGAACTATTTATTATTAGAAAACTGCCCCGTCCTCGTTCACACTCGCTAAGCAACGGGTTCCGTATTACTAGCGTTAGTTACTGTCTTAATATTTACTAAGAACCCTATAAGCCCGAATTTAGTATTCAAATAATTCATTGACCTGCCCCACAAAGTGAAAGGATTCAAACCGCATTAACAGGGGTGATCTGTCAAAAACTCCATGATCAGAATACGGCCACTCGTGCTATCGGAATACTAAAAATTGGCCAAGAGCGGTTTATACATAACGTCATCTATTTACCCCCGTATAAATCATTAGTCTATCCCAGCCCACATTTCTTTATTCCATACGACGTGATATAAAAAACCGCCCTTACGACACGACTAATACTTTTTAAATATTTTTTTATTTATAGGCCTGTGTCAGCAGTTGCCACGTGAAAAATTACTAAATCATTTACCACAAAAACATATGAAGCGAGTTAACGAGGGTAGCTGTGTTACCTTATTTAACACAGTTTAGCTATTTACTTTCTAATGTTACAACGCCGCATGGTATTACCAGTCGCCTCCGCCGAAATTGGCAATAATACATTTATTTAGATTGTAGGCGCGAAGAACCGACAATCAAATGAAATTAGTATTATTGCCTAGACGCCTTCCAACAGTAAGACCCACTGTTTTAACTATTAAATCTTAGGCAGTGTATTTGAATTATTGCTTTTCATAGGAATGTAAAGGTTCATATGAACCTCGTTGATTTGAAAGTAAATTAGGAAATTGAGTTTTTTTTCTAGTCGACAAAAATATTACACGCCATTTTGTACTGACCGTTTAAGATGTCATCTGTCATGTCATACGAAAACGCAACGCAGTGCGACTCGCGGCCTTATTAACCGATTAACTTAAGTGCGGTGCGTATAAACTTAGTTACTTAATAGCAGTTCGCGAGATTGGCGTAGCGTTGTCGCGACTGGTCGCGGTGTGTTGCGATTAGCCGGTGTAGTACGACTAGTCGCGGCGTACGAGTCGCATCTAGCCGGATGTTGGCACTTCGCTTTCAGCGCGCGCCGATTTGTTCTGTCGCACCATCTCGGCACGTCGCTCCTGAAAAATGGTTTGTTTCGTTAGAAAAATATATATTATCTGTATATCTATATCTGGATACTTGAAGAAAAAGTAATGAGAAATTTACATTTATAACTACTAGTTTTATTACCACTGGGTTTGGAAAACCTCTTAAACCTTTTCAAATAGAAGAGGGTTTAAGAAGTAAGACCATTACAGGTTGACGGGCTCTAGCAATTAAATTAGTAAACTGAGTGTTAACGTGTCCGCACCGGGGTTAAAATCAGTTATACAATATTTCTTTTGGATCTTGCCATTCTTCCGGGGCTTTGACCTAAGTGTATCTTTAAACAAACCTCCTTCTTAACGAAGTCGAGCTTCTTCTGTATCTCCCTTTCCCTGTTGACCTCAGCCGCCGTCAACTTGGTCTCAATGTCTTTGGTGATCTCCTCGACTTTCGCGGACAGCACGGACTTCACTTCCGCCGGCTTATTGTTCTAATTCATGATGGATGAACAAACGAATACAAAATGTCAACCAAAGCGATGATGGTCTAAATAAAATATGGAGGGTGAAGCAATCATAGTCTACGAACAAACATATAACTGATAAACATATTACAGACTAAGTTTAGATTTTTGATTTTTCTATTAGGGAACACGTTAGAGCAGGTGGACATCGCTGATTATTAGTTATACATTGCTATCATTAGATAACTAGCCCGTCAAATTCAAAATATCAATCAATTTTAGTAATATAAGATGTATTCAATTTAAATTTGTTCGTAGGTATAGCGATTATGAAAATGTTTAACACAATAACTGAAAATACGAGTGACGAAACATAAGGTGACAACTAATTATGATGCTTTCTTCATCCCATTTATATACTTCTTGTTCTCTTTTTTACTATGGGAAGAAATTGCTTACCAGTTACGAAGACACCCGGACCTTTAATAGGGTAACAAAACAGAACTTACATGGTTGCGCAACTTCTCCTTCTGCTCGGCTTCGAGCTGAAGACGTCGCTCAGCGGCCTGCTGCAGCTTATCTTGGATTGCGCTCTCGAGCTGCTGGAAACGCTCCTGGTTTCCGGCGCGCACTTTGCGTACTTGCTCCTCCTGAGCAAAAATAATCGTTAGTTAGCTACTGAACACGGAGCGACGTGTGTATTCAAAGAAGCATTTGAATACACACGTCGCATTAGCAGTTTTATATATAGTGGTAGTTGTGTATAGGAACACTGAGATGACGACATCAAGGAGAGGATAAGAAGTAATGGTGACAGTCTATATAAGCTCACAACTTGTCTTAGAGGTGACTGTGCCAAATTGAATAGTCAATCTGTCTCTTTCAAGTAAGTCAGTGTTATGTTATTTATTATTTGGAAAGTAGGATTATATAGTTTGTTTGTAATTAAATTTACGAATAGAATTATTTTATATATGCATTTCTTTGAAAACTTTAATAATTTTCAGATGCACATGATGGCACTATAATTGAAAATCGATATAAATTGAAAAATGTTACGACACGGGCAGGATTTGAACTAGCATCCAAAGCCAATTTATAGACGATTTACACAGTGTAGTATTGCCTTTTTTATAATATTCAACTCTTGGTTTTTATAGGATAATTATACTTACATGTTCACGGAGGCGTTCCAGCATCTTCTTGATGTTTTCGTCACGCTTGTCAGCAGCTGTGGTCATCTTATCTTCGATCGCCTTGTACACCTCGGCTGTCTGCTGTTCCAGGGTAAGCCTGGAAGATGAGAAGGATTCTATTTATTTTGTTTAGTTTTTTTTATGATAAAGGTGGACAGACAAGCATGTGGTTCACCTGATGGAAGGAAATACCTCAGCCATTTAAAATTTCAACAAGATGCGGTTTTAAATCCATAGAATGAAACCGGGACGTTATTAAACTTCACAGGTTTTTTATTTAGAGGCGGAACTTTAAATATAACTAGCATTCAATTAATGTTCACGCTTCCAGATGAATCCTACCATTAAAAACAATTGATTGGATTCAGTGGTCATCAAACCAAGACCCGTTGATTATTAGGACAACGAGCCCGATGTAGTATTTGCACCGAATTCTGTTTATCGTTTAATATTTAATTTATTCTTTCCGTATCAGTTATAAATACTGCAAGCTCATGATTGTTATTTTGAACTGAAATAAAATACGATTGAAAAATGATTGTACGTTGTATTTATGTCAAGGAATACAGATAAAGAGCACAGAAATATCACAAGTTTAAAAAAGGTTACATTAAATCTGTCCCATTGTTCCGGATATGACAATCTTGAAACAAAAGCTAAGAATATCGTACTCTTCCTAACAATAGAGTTCCCGACCTTAGAGAGCTTTGCGAACTTATTTGAAGGCGTTCGTCAGTGGCCAATGGGCGTAACTTTTTAATGAATTCTAGCGACTCGAATAGACCTTATGTTACGAGCAAGTCGTAGTGGAATAATTTAATTCGATATTTCGGAGTTGAAGAAAAAAAGAAAAATAATAAATTGTGTAAGAATTCACGGCGATCGTTCGGTATATGTATACGTGAGCAAGAAGAGCTAACAACATCTCCTGATGATGCCGTCAGCTCGTGATGGCGAAATGTCGAGAACCTCTTCTCGCTTACGTCGGCCGAACGGCCCGAAAAACAATGATATAAAGGAAAATAATGTTTTACTATTTTAATAATTTAAATATAACACTTAATGGATTAAAACGCGATTTATACTAGTCAAACTTATTTGGTAATTATTTTAACTACGGCGAGAGACCACGATTACGTGTAAAGCCACGCTGCAAAGAATCCGAAACGTCGGGCCATAGTTATTAGTGTTGGTGTTTTAAACCGTCAAAGTTTTTTTTAATGTGGTTACTCGCGTAAACTACAGACAGTATTTAATAACTTAATATATCCGACACGTATATTCTGTGATGCGTCACATCGCATCAAATCGTTATTAGTATCGTGTTTAACAAGCGAATGATGGTGCTCTGTCGAGCGTGCGACGTATCTAAACCCGGTCAAGTGAGGTCGCTCTATATCGCAGAGCCGACCCAATGAGGGGTACCGCTAACTACCATATACATATTTAAGTGTCTCTTCTATGAATCCTGTAAAGAAGGCTTCAGGCAACAAGATTAATAAAAAAAACGGAAGGAAACTCGGTAATTTACAATATTTCGTCGGATTTAAGCGATCCCTTAAAAGTTATTGGTTTTTATAGCCTAGCCTTTACAGAGAAGGACGTTTCGAGAATCCACAGATTGAAACCGATTGATTATATATGAATGACTGATCTGCCTTACATAATATGATCTCACTACATTATAACAATACCATATTATTTTTCGCTCTGAAATGGGAAACCCTTCGTCACAATAGGACACCGAGAAAGACATGGATATTACTAATAACCTCCATTTTGATAAACATCTTACAAACGATTCAAAAATTATAATATTTACTTTCTGTAAGCTTTAGATTCCTTTTTCATAAAATTATCAACCACTAACAACACAAGCTTACCCCCATCTAAACTCCTTAAAAGATTATTCTTTTTTTGTTATTTTTCCTGTACTTAAATTGGAACGTGATCCCTTAACAAAATCAGACCTAAGTATGTCTACTGTGCGCTTAAAGAGATAGCACTTATCATCAAGCACACTTATATAGTCTCATCCCGTTTTTAAAATTCGCTTCATGTATTAAAAATTACAGGAAGCTTATTTTTTAAAACATTCTCAGCTGGATGCATCTTTGTAATCCAAAGTAATTCTTTGTGTGGAGACAAATTAACTTTGACACTAAAAATTTTATACTTTTATAGTAGACAAATAAATGATTCTAAAGAATGCTATAACTTACTAAGGTATTATTATTATTTAATAATCTGTTATGAGAAATACAACTTAGAAAAATCAGCTCTTAACTTACGCTAACTGTGTTATGTTTAATCGATTAAGTGCCAGCACACCACCCGAAACTGACCTGGTCTTCTCGACACCCTCGAGGTGGTCCTTAAGCCTCGCCCGCAGCTCGTTAATGTAGGCCTCGCGCTTCTCCTCGTGCGAGTCCATCTTGGCGTCCAGGGCCTCCTTGGTCGCGGAGATGAAGCTATTCGTCTGCTCGCTGCGGATCTTTGACGCTTCTTCAATCTTCGCCATCTTCTGTGCGATCGCCGCCATCTTGCTCGCTTCTAGGCTCTGTAATGTGTCGATAGTGATGACCATAGAATCTTCACCATCTTCAAAAAGGCATGTCTTTGGAAACAGGTAATGTAGGGATAAGTAAAGAATAGATATGAAACTAACTTGTGTGTGTTAGCTTTCTTGCTAATGAGAACATTTTGAATAGATTATTCAAGCTCTTATTTTTTTAATGGTATAGGAGGTCAGACAAGCACGGGGCTCACTAGATGGTAGATGAAATAGTCCGGCCATATAATATCTAAGCAAGATGCACTGTCGACCTATTTTTGCTTTGGATAGTCGCAAATCTGGCCAATCTGGAAATTTCGATATCAATATCGAAATTTCCAGAAATTTCCATACAAAGTCCAACATGTTTCAGAAAAATTAGAATCACGTTGGACCCGGTGGGGATCACCCACGACCCGTTGATTATTAGCCATACATTGTTACCATTAGACCAAAGAGCCTGCCAAATACATTACAATATGTATTTTGAAATAATCGTTCGAAACGTGAGAAAAATACATACACGCCTCCTCTCCTCAGCGGCCTTGAGTTTCTCCTGGATCTCCTCAACGGAAGGGGTCTTCTCGGGGGAGTCAGCCCGACGCGGCACCGGCACTCCGACTGGCTCGGCGAGGATCACCTCGTACGCGAGACCGCCCTTCGACATCTCTTGGCAGCGGATCTCAGTGGCTGTGGACAATACGAATAATAAATCACGTTCTCTAACTACCCCAAGGGATAGCGTTTGTCAAGACCCAAACGTGAAGGGAATAAGTATTTGAACTACCAAAGTTTGAAAGCACATTTATGTTTTCTAGGCAAAAATAAACTATTTATTATATTATATCTTCAATCATAAGGCAAGAGTTTGTTTGTTTGTTTGAACGCGCTAATCACAGGAACTGAAGGTTTGAACAGAAAAATTATCTCGTGTTAGGGCATTGATCGAGAAAACAAATTTGGATGGCCAAAATAACTATTGTTCGTGGACGAAGTCGCTGACACAGCTAGTATAATAATGTGTATGATTTAAAATATTACTATTTTGAAAAAAAAATGATCACGTCACACTTCGGTTTGACAAAGAACAGAAATTTTCGTTAAAATGACACAAAAAGGACTAAACAAAAACAACAAAGTTAAACTTGTCCCTATAAAATGCGAAGCACGAATAATGGAAAAGTTGTTGAAAATTCTAAAACAATAAAAAGAAACTAAATAAAAGGGATTTGTCGGATAATGTTCGTACATTTTCAAAATGAAAGTTGGCGAAGCTGTTAGAAATTATTTTGGGGTCGGGGTCGTTTGTGGTGATGATTTTGGGTTTTTGGGATAATTATAAATCTAGTAATACATAATATAACTGACTAAACTTTAAATCTACATGTCCAGTTTTAGTCCAGAGTAGTAGAAAAAGTGGTTTAATTGAATACTGTATGTAGTTTACGCGGGTAAACACGAAGTATCGGATCAACTTATCGGATGCTTTGAAGCAGCCGTGGTCACGGTGCTCTCCTCTTAACTAATATACATTGCGTTTTAAACCGTTAAAGTGTTTTATTAGTCGTTTAATTATTTCGAATTAACGATTCGAATTGAATTAAACGTTTATTCCAAAATAATATATAAGTAGGAACAAAGAAATTATCTTCTTTGCTGCATAGTATCTGATCTGTCTGTGCACTGACTTAAACTTTAGAACCATATTGTCATGTTTTTTCATTTGAATGTAACGTAGAATACTCTATGGACTATCAATGTACATAGATTTGTTGAGGAGATTTTAGCGTTTCAGCTAAAATTAACTTAGCTAATGAATTTCTGTAGATTTACGGGAACAATGGGAAATATGCACAGAGCGCACCTGTTGTGAGTAAACGTAATTTCCCTTATAAGCTATTACTCTGTAAAGCACACAAGGCGAGGCTTCCCTATGCAAAGCTCCGCGCTAGAACGCAAACAGTCAGACATTAAATTATGATTACGGAGCTATTAACACCCCCGCTTGGGGACATGTTACTATGTATAATGGATAGAAATAAAACACGTTTAACTGTTAACGCGATATTTAAGTTAACTTATTTAATTAATTTACCTACGGCCCGATGTTGTCCTTCCGTGACCGCGACGGCTATGATACATGTGTTAGCAAATAGATTTCGCATTTAAAACCGTTAAAAGTTTTGTTTAAATGTGTATTACTCGCGTACGCTACAAACAATACTTCACGTGAAAAAGTCAGGGCCAATTTGAAAAATGTAGGTATATTATCTAAAATTTATTGTAGAATTTTATTTATCATGTTGACATTTGATTGTTTACTAAAATTATCTTTTTATTTTTTATTTCTACATGCAAAGGTAGTGCCTGGAAGAAATTGCCATAGGCAATAAGGCCGCCTTTGCACAAACATGTTTCATTTTGTACATATAATTCTATGTTCTGTTCTTATGTCTATGTTTGTGCAATAAAGAGTTTTTATTATTATTATTATTATTATTGCACAGCTAGACCCTGGTATAATTAAATGGCCTTTACTATACAATTGCTTATACTGGGACTATTAACAACGACAATTGCACAGTGCAGCCAACTCGGAAATACCGTAATATACATATTTAAAAACGTGAAGGGAAAGAGAAGCATTCGGCTTCGAATGCAAGTTTCAAGGTCGCCTCGGCAGGTCCTTTAAGTCCCTTAAAACGAGAGGGTGAGTCTCCCCAGTCCCCACAAATGAGTCATGCCGATTTCACGCCCCCGCTATACATCTCCATATATGCTCCCCAGACAGTTACTTCACAGGAACTTTGAAAAGTTACGGCTACTCAAGTAAAGGCCGGTTGTAAACTGGAGTAGTTAATTACGGAGTGCAAAGTAAAATTTCGTGCAAAACAACATACAGCACCTCCCTGACGGTGTGTGCTAACATTGCTCCGTCTCTTTCAGACAGCCGTCGTAAAATAAGGTAAACCAATTTCCTACGTAAATACTTTTGCTTGAGTTACTTTTACATTACAAATAAGGTGGCAATGGAATACCCAAAAACCGAAGAATTTATTGACAGTTATGTATTTTTAAAATTAATTAACTCGTTGGTCGAATGACTAATAAAAGGTGACTCGCAGGTTCGAGCCCTACCGAGTCTAACATGTTGGACTTCGTCAAGAAATCTGGATATTAAAAGGGGGTAGAAATATCGATAATGTCCACATATGAAAAAGCCGTAAACATTAATCGCGTTTCGGTTTGAGGATTTCCGAATATACATAGATAAAATAAGTCGAAAGCGAATTTTCAGATGTTAAATGGCTGGTCGTCTTCCATTCTCTCGAATAGAATTATAATATTTATTGACATCTTAAAGCTAAATGGTTCTAATGGCTCTAATGAGTGAAACAGACACAGAAATGTGTTCGCCCCATGCCCAATGGGAAAACACGATTTTACTTTTTTAAATTATAGATAATCAACATTAAAACGCTGAACGTCAAACTTACTGATGAATTTGACTTTCTTAGGTTGTTTGGTTCTTGGCTTTCCGAGCGGCTTCTTCACTGGTGCTGACCTCCGGTGTACTATTGGAAAAATGGTTGTTGAAATTACCCCAGTCGGCATTACCGAACTCTCGCTTAGCCCATTTGCCCATTGTCTTGGCAAAACGATCGACCAATTTTAAACACCTTATTTTTCCTTCGTACTGTATCAGGTATACAGTGTGTGCAAAATTTTTTTTTGACACCTCTTGCTGATAAATTTGTCTGGTATGACCATATATAATAATCTAGGATTAAATACTATCTCAGAAGAACGATAATTAAAAATGAAGTCGAGTAAAGAATTTTAACGGCTCAAATTGGAATCCTATCGGTCTCAAATAAACACAGGGACCGTGATTATTATCGGTAAGAGTTTGCCTTCGATTTGTTCCAATATTTGAAGTACACAATGGAACACCGAGAGGGAGGTAAAAAACAACAAAGAAACTTGTATCCATCACTTTGAAAAGCCTCTCATTTCTGATAGAGACCTTTGTAATGAATCAAAAGAAAGGTACAATGACGCCATTTTGCTACACGGACAAATTTTCTTTTTCACGTTCGTTCCATAACTGGAAACTGGGTACTAATGATGGGATTTCGAAGACCTGTTTGGATTACAATCAGAAAACCTCATTCAGATAGCCTGGAATATGGAGTCAGATTAACTAGAACAATGAACAAATAACATCCCAATTGTTTAGCTTAGAATAAGTGAAAAAAATAATGACGCAATATAGATAACTATATCGCGAAACGTAATCAAATCATCATAATTTCATCAGAAAAGGGTGATCGAAATGCTATTACGTCCAAATCGGTCAGCGGTTTACTCATAGAGCATTCAGACCGGAGCTAATGAAGGGATGGCAGTCGATGGTCGTGCGACACGCCAGTCGTATTGATTTTGTTCAAGGATGTATCTTGTACGATGTTACAGTACAATAATAACGTGCATACGATAGGAAGGTTACTTCGAATTAAAATTGTTTAATAAGCTATTCAATTCATAAATGTAAAGTAAGATTAATAATGATTCGAACAGTTTTACAATATCAGTAAAAACAGCAAGAATTTATAATACGTAAGAGATTATACTTGATATTAAATCTTAAACTTTGTTCTACAAATTGATTTTCAGAACTCTATGTAAAGTAAGTTTTGGTATGTAAAACCAAAGCAGTTTGTATCTGTAAAAGACTAAAACTTTGTCCATCACAGTGATTCCATTCTCCAAAGACATAAATATGTAAAAGTTTTTAAGACCACGAAAGCAATAGTCGAGAGGTAATAAGGCGACGGCACGACAGCGGGAGATGAGAGGCCACTACGTGATAAGAATGGGGGATTGTCGGGAAATATCCCAGCAAATACAGATAATCCCTCGCGGGATGGCGGAGAAACGGTTTACAATGTAGACATGCCATAGCCAACTAATACTTGAGAACTTTAATAACTTAAGAACTCATGAAGACATTTTTCTAACGTAAACTATTTGATGGTGGAAATACTAGTATAGTAATGATATTAATGGTAAAGATAAAAGCAGTTCTGAAAGGGTAGATAACTATTTTGAAAACGTCCAAATAACTAAGACAGCTACTTTCTATTAAAGCAAGTAACGAAAACAATTTTATCTAAGGTTTAAACGCCATCATTGGGACCGTAAAACCTATATAATTTACAGAAGAAATTCATAGATTAGTACATCCTGATATCGTTCTGAAATCGGCCGATGCAGTTGGAAACCTTACGTCACGAGGTACGAGGTCAGCTCCTGGCTAATGCGGTTGAAACTGACATAATGCGGATTTTTGTATGGCCAATATATTTTAAGATAAGTTCTAAACAGTATTTGAGAGTAGTTTTAAAGGAAAATGTAGAATTCCATATGGTCTAAACATGAATTACAATGAATAGAATCAATATTTTTTTTTATTATATCCAGTTTTAAAATTAAAAAATCAATTTTTCATACAGCAATGACTAGAGATTGAATGCAAAACTTTAAAGATAAAGTATATTATTTATTATCAATCGATAGAAAAATATTAGGTTACTTTTTCGAAAGTAATAAAACTGAAATAAAAGGTATCAACATAAATATTTAAACTTGAAATTACAACTGAAAGGGCCGGCCCCTCTGGCGCCACACGATACGACATGAAAACTTATAACTTATTAAGTAGCACGTTTTAAAACGCGGGGGGAATTCAATGTCTGGAATGAAATCCTTCGGGATTAAGGCCACTGTTAAATGTTATTGAAGCCTTAGAAAATAACCCTTGCATATTTATTCAAGTCTAGATTGTTCTCTGGGGGCTTGACCTCTTCACGTTCTCTTTTGAGAGAAGCCAGCTCGGTTTGTAATTAAAATATTCTGTTCTATTTAAGGCCTTTGCATATTTAACGCGATAGCGGACCTCCGAGTCGCTAGTTATTAAAATATAGTGGATGGTACATTCAAATAACTTTTATATTTGGTAGAATCCGATAAAACTCTAAGCAACGGTTCAAAAGAGAGATCTTTTGGAGATATTGGAGCGTTATAGATCAAATAGGGCGACGTAAAAGCTCGTGTGACACGCGAAGTTGGCAACCGCAATGCATCACGGTGACATCGTCGATAAACTCAAGTTCAACCGACCGTTGAACGAGTTGTTCAAGCGAACATTCGTATTGTTAAGTCGAAATTAATTAAAAATTGTGAGCTCGATGTGAACGTGATACGAGGGAGACAAAGATTTAGGTCCATAAAGGGGATGACACCACTAATGGCATTAGCCGAATATCAGAAGGGTGCAAAACTTGTTGAGCCAATTAAACTCAGCTCTAATAATGCCACCCTAAACAATTATGTCATCTCTGTTCCCGATGCTAATGAAAGGGTATGTTAACGATTTAAACAAACACTGTTATATGCAAACGACTCAATCATTACCATTGATGTAGGAGTCAATAAAGATTTGTCGGTAACGAGACCCTCGACCGCAGAAGGGGCTCGTGGAAAAGAGCAATCGTAATATGAGAATTGCGTGCGTGGAATTAATAAAGTTTATAATATGTGAGGACAACGCCGTTGGCAGCCGTTATAGGATATCGGCCATAAAGAATTTAACGAATATAAAAACGTAGAAGGTAAACGAAAAAAACGTATCTAAAGTAAATTTCAACCAAATTAATATTGGAGTTATGATTAGTATACAAAATCTTGTAATAATTAACCAATAAAGCAACGCTATACTCGAAGTAGATTTAAAGAAACCAGAACAAAATGGTTGACATTAGTAATGTCAAATCAATACGAACTATTTTGATGCTAACTTTTTATAGAAATTTTACGAAAGGGTTATGATTCTAAGTAAGTTACAATGCTAATTGTTTTATAAATATTGTTAGCGAAATGTAAAACTAAAAAATTATAACATTGACGTAGTTCCGTACACACCCATCGCAACGTGGACCAAATTTAGCCGGTATTCGTATAGTGAATACGAAGGCTTCGTCGGATGAACCAAGTAACATATCTGATGTTTTGCAATAGAGTCAGACGAATTACTTCTTACTAATACATTGATCGTCTCATATGTAAAAAGACAGTTGTTCCAGCCCTAAAGAATTGCCAACAAGTATTGAACATCTGACTGAAAAATTCAGACGTTACATTTGATTTACTTGAAAAATTCATATGATTTGTAACACCGTTGATAAGAATGTCTGTAACGTGAGATATAAGCTAAAAAGATCCCAATACAAGACAATGGGCGTTTGTCAAGCGAGTGTGCCGGTAATGCCGGTAACCGAGAGGATCCTATATGTTTGAAATCGGCAATCCAACCTGCTGGCAGTACGGGAGCCCTGCACGAGTGGCAGAAGCACTGCATAACCGAATCACGAACGAGACCTATCAGCATGGTGGCGGCTTGAAATTAACTATCTAATACGTGACGGAGCCGCGTCGCGAAACGAGCGGTCTGCGCGACTCTCGTCCGGAAACTGAAAGAGTCGGGGGGAGGGAAGCCGGTCGATAGCTACCCCTCGCGCACCCCGCCCCGCCCTGCGGACCCTCCGCCACCCCTAGGCGCTACCGTCCCTAACTTGATAACCCGTACAAGAAAATAAGCCCACCAAATGGGAAAATAATGTTTCCCTTTCCTCTTCGGCGAGACAAGTTCATCCCTGAGGTAACGAAATATAGCCTCTTGGCGTAATAAAATTTACTCATACTGTTCACAATGTTTACTACAAAATTTTTCAGGTTACGAACGGAATTTATTTAATTATCACAGTTGCATCGAGGCGGAGGAATTCACCTAGCAACTGAGGGGTCCAGACGAGGGACAAACTAATTTAAGAGCCGCCTCGACTAGCGCGGCTCGCGTTGGGCTTTTCTCGCCGAGGAAAACAGCGCGAGGGCGGGCGGGCGGCGCAGCGAGGGCGCGAGGTGGGTATGCGGCGGTTCCGCCGCCGTCTCGGCGCCGCCACCCGCAGCCAATTAACAGCCGGCAACGCCACGCTGAATTTGTTTCGCCACTCGAATTGCTTCCGATTGATTTCCCGTTCTTCGATTCCGGTGATGATAAATTGACGTCATCAAGCACCGGGATGGAACGGCAGAGGACATCCTAATGGTATACCTTCATTAAGGCAATGGTCCGGTGCTTTGGTTTTTCTAATGGGCTGTGTAGATAGGCGATGCAGCATGGGTAACCTCGTGCACCGGTGACAGCGATGTTGCGGCGATCGATGCGGGCAACAACCCCGATTCCCCGTCCCCCTTGAGTAATAGCTGGGAATTCCAGGAGAGCCGTGCACGGCCGACACGAGCGGATAGCGTGGAAATACCCTTCGAGGCGTCTGACATCTATTCAATTTAAAAGCCGAAGAATAGAAATAACGACGAAAGGAAAAATCTACCTCAATAAAGGGAGATTACAACGTTTTATCAATAATTTCTTTAACTGGTCAAAATAAAGAATACATATAGCATAATCTGGCAGTTTTATAATTCAGTGTACTCCATTAAGGGGACGAGGAAATCGAGATAATCCACAAATCAGAATGTCTGCACTCCATAGATCATATCGCGGCCGTGATAAATTGCTTTCCTCAAACTTTCCCCTCGACCACAAATAAAATTTCGACGAGACATTATACCCGGCAAAGGAAGCTGCGGTGAGGAGCGGTATAATAGGCTCGTTTGTATAAACAGCAACATTCGACGGTCTCGTTGGTACAATTATCCAAAAATCTAGTCGTGGGTTCGATTTCCCACCGGAGCCAATGTCGTTTCCGAATATCCAAAGCCAAGATATCTATAATAAACTAGCTAGTACGCTCACGAGTTCATCCGTATAAAGTAGCGTCCCGGACTTTTTTTTAAGAGAAATGTCAGGAATTTTTTTGGGAGTCTTGAACCCATTTCGCAGTGTACGCATCTGAAACCCACAGAGATGAAAAATTTTCCCCGTTTTGTTCACATTTCCCGCTGTATCTTTGCTTCTATTAGTCACAGCGAGATGTTTTATAGACTTCCTAGATAAATGCTCTAACCAAGACAAAAATATTAAATTACTCTTTTTTTGTTTAAAACATTTTGTTAAATTATTTAAAATGTTTTTAATTCAATAGGGAGGAGCCCAAACTATCAAACCTGGATCCCATATTAAAAACTCTACCAATAAACACTACCACCTAGTCATTCTTAAAGCAGTTTCGCCAAATACCAACTTCACGGAACAGATGGCGCTAGCTACAATTCTTTACTTTGAGTTGAGCTCCTCCATCTTTAGTCTCCCCGTGACCACGGCTGCTGCAAAGCATCCGAAACGTCGGGCCGAAGTTAAAAATCATTTTCAAATAAGTTAACTAATATATCGCGTTTTAAACCGTTAAAGTGTTTTATTTAAAAAAAGATTTTTTTCTTCGAACCCGTAGTTCCTGAGATTAGCGCGTTCAAACAAACAAACAAACTCTTCAGCTTTATATATTAGTATAGATAGATATATGACAGCGCATCTTGTGTAGATCGTATATGGCTAAAGTATTACGACTATTATTAAGTGAACTACTCGACTGCAACTCTCAGAGCCTTCCTCATTTTGTCAAAAACAAACATATAGTATATAAAGTATATATTTGACATGGAGGACAGCGTGGCGCCTAAGCATGGTACTCTACATAAATAATTCGTACGTAGCTTTTATATTAAAAACGACTCCAGATTTATGCAAGGTGGAATCTGTTGTTGACCCTATACAATTAACAAAACACTTTTAAAAAGATATATCAATCTAAATAACAATCTAAACTAAATACTAAACCTAACTTATATTTCATTTTTACGATATTATATTTTTTACAGAATTTTAATACTTTCGTTTTTGGATACTATAGATAACGCATTTTTTTAAATTGTAATTCATAGAACCTCCTTTAGAGGAGTACACAACGAATAAAATTGAAAATCTATAGACTGAAAAAATCTATAGTCCATGGATGGCGGAATCCAATACATATATAATCAGATCATAAAATTAGACTAGCAGGGTTCTCTCAAACAATTGACTTGGTTTCTTGTCAACAACCACATTGGGCCAACTCAAAGAATTTGAGGGTAGACTTGGTGAAAAGAAATAGGCGAGACGAGATTAATCCTCCGAGCAAGACGCGTATTATCGGAAAACAATAACGCCGGCTAATTTGTGTCGGCTGCGGCAACAAGTTAAGTCACGTGCAGCCCAAAATATAAACCGGCGCGCGTCCTGCCACGCCGCTCGTATCGATCCAGCTTCAGACACTTTCGGATACAGCGTTCCAATACGAGGTATAGCTGCGGTTGTCAAGTGAAAAACGAAACGACATCTATAAAGGGCAACTGATATTCGATTTTAGGAAGACAAACAAGCATGAATTTATTTAAATAAAACACTTAACTTTAACGGTTTAAAACGCGAATTAGTTTAACTTATTTGACAATGATTTTTAACTTCGGCCCTACGTTTCGGATGCTGCAAAGCAGCCGCGGTCACGGCTAAGCTAATATATCGCGTTTTAAACCGTTAAAGTGTTTTATTTAAACTCGCGTAAACTATAGACAGTATTTAAGCATGAATTTAACTTAATGGAAGGGAAAGCACCTGTTTATAACATCTAGACAAGGTGCGCTGACAACCTATTTTGACTTTGGATATTTGGAAATCGACAGACTGAAATCGAAACGCGATTAACATTCACGGCTTTTTTATATGTGTAGGTGGTTAATGACCCAAGCGAAATTTCAACATTCCTATAGAGATTTTCAATCGAAGACTAAAATATTAAAAAAAATATTACAAATATATTGGTCCTGGTGAAAATCGAACCTACGATCCATTGGTTATTAGCAATACATTGCTCGAGTGTTCTAAAAGGACTCTACACAATTTGTACTTTAAATCATATCTTAGGCAATTATTTGAATCGTTATAAGTTTCAAATATGAATGTAATAAGTCATAATAATTAATAATTGTTAACAGGCTGTTGCTTTAACAAATTCACGGCATCTCAACAATACTTCGGTGCTACTTTATTTATTTCATAGTTAATACGTAATATCCTAACATAAATTGGATATCTGTCGCTATTTGGGGCATGTTTCGATCTACAGATAATCGTAATATCACAGATAGCGCGCCATCTGTATTAGAGCTTGGAGGGATAGACACTTCTATCCCGGATGCTGTACTAATCTGCTAGTCAAGTGTTAACATTCAACTAGCGGGGATTCTATGAAGCTGTTTATTTTGTTGTAAACCGTGTAATGTAAGGACGCGATCCCCCACGCGATAAGATAAGTGTTTACAGTACAAATACCTTGGGCGATGGGGTCGCATACGAAGCAGATCCGAACAAATTAAAGTATAATACAATTTATATTAAAGGTATTTATCATATTTATGCAAAATTACGTTTATTGTGAACTAGTATATTTGTAGCGTATATTACAGAAAATTGACGACTCTGTATTTGGATCTTGAAATAAAATTAATATAAAATTTCATACTTGTCAAAATAGGACGTAACCAATTTTAATTTGTTTTTTTCATTTTTGACGAAAGATGAGCAGGAATTCACTTGACGGTCGGTGGTATATCTTAGCCATATAACATTAAAAAAGATGTGCTGTTGGCCTATTTTGGCTACGGATATTCGGAAATCCACAGTCTGAAACCTTCACGGGTCATTCGTCTGTGGTTGCTGATTCACGCGGACGGAGTTTCGATATTCTTATCACCTATTTAATATCCAGATTTCCAGTCGACATACAACCAACATATTTCAGAAAAAATATAAATTAACTAGAAAAATTTTGGACCCGCTGAGATTCGATCCCACGGCCCGTTGCAATTATAAACAATACATCGTTACCGACGAACCAGCTGAAATCGTTCGTAGCCTTTAAATAAATACCTTTTTAACTTGCTACGAGATTTTCATTCTGGAAATTTCCCACGAATTGTACAAACTTAGTTAATTCTTTAACGTACAATGTTATTCCCAGCTGCAAATTTGGTAAAACTGTCTTCAGATGACAATTTATGATGGGTGTACATTAGCTATCTTATTTGAAGACAAATGCAACTTCCGTTCACTTTGAGTCTAGACTGCGTAGTAAAGCTGTCGCCATTTCTAACTAGATTTAGCATTTAGTCCTTAAAAGCGGTGTAATTGTAGTCTATGTAGGATGTGACTCGACTCTGTCGGATTTAACATGAGTTTGAAACTGAAATTGGTATCGTCACTCTTCATAATGCCACAGACCCAATCTAGAGGTAGACACTTTTCCGGCACATATTTTCATTATGAACAAAATTTATTTCAAATAATTATAAAATACTGTCTGTAGTTTACGCGAGTAGTACACACTTAAATAAAACCCTTTAACGGTTTAAAACGCGATAAATATTAGTTAAACTTATTTGAAAATTATTTTTAGCAGCGTGACCACGGCTGCTGCAAAGCATCCAAATTTCAAAAAATTAAAATATAATCGCGTTTTAACCCCTTAAAAAAAGACCACGGCCCCCCCAGAAGGGAGGAACGTCGGGCCGTAGTTAAAAATAATTTTCAAATAAGTTTAACTAATATATATCGCGTTCTAAACCGTTAGACCATGGCCACGGCTGCCGCAAAGCATCCGAAACGTCGGGCCGCAATTAAAGGTAATTTAATTAATATAGGTATATCGCGTTTTAAACGGTTAAAGTGTTTTACACGGTTAAAGTGTTTAAGTTATTGATTGATTACAGTGGCTATTTTTTTTTGACATGTGTAAAAATATGACGTTTAGTTGAAAACTGTAAATGCTGTACAATACTCGCTAGTACGTAAGGAACAGTGGCGACAATTGGACAATAGCGTAGAAAACATATAGGTACACGTTGGCAATACTCAGGCAAAGCAAAAAAAACAAACAAATTTGTCAGGACGTATGAATCATTGTGATAAATTAACAGCCTCCGAACTTGGCATCGGTGCAAATGTTAGTTAGTGCCACGCAAACGATTGCATTCCCTCTCTGCCAACCTTCAAGGGCTATTTTTGAATGCATTGACGGTAGTTCCAACGTTCAAACTTTCAACTCCAGTTGGAAGTGATAACTCAATTTGTAAATGTTTTGAAAGGATTTTTAATTAAGATTAAAAATGTTAATGTAACGTGGAACACGAGTTACATAATTACTTCAACTTCTTTCAGCTTTGAAGGGCCAGTGAAATAATATAGCTGGTTGTAGGGGGTTAATATTTAGGTTCTTAAATTTTTACAAAGGCTATATTTTTTTTGAAATAAGTGATCATAACTCCATAACACACACCAGCTG